TCGTGGTGGCTTCTTCTCCACTGAGAAGTCGTCCGCTGCCCTATTTGGCGGAGGCATTTTCAGCCCCAGGAGCCAATAGTAGAGCGCACGGTAGAGTTCCTGGCACGGTCCTTATTGCTTCTGGGGACTGTTATCTTAGTCCCCAGAAACAGAACCCTTGCATTCTGACATTCCCTATCGTAAAATATCTCGAAAATGACAGCCTTACTGATCTCATGTGCGTTGGCATGTCACATACCTTTACCCCTTAAGGGCGTAAGCGGAGATGTCGACGGAGTATCAAAAGGGAATGTTCAAAAAAGGAACGGCAAGGGGAAGAAAAAGGTGAGATGCCCTAGCCCGGGTATTCAGCTATAACTGATTGCTTCTTCCTCTCTCTACCGCCAAGCGAACCCACTTGCGCAAGTCCATTGATGAACTTTCCAGTCTGAATACGGCTCCCAAAAAAGCATTTGCTAATTTCACTTGTTGCACCATGTCGTGGAACCAGGGAAAGCCACTAGCCCTTAACTTGGGCTTGAGAACGCCGCAAGCTGCAACTTCAGCGGTGCTGTACTTTATCCGCTGCTTGTTGCGCTTGGCTGCTGTACAGCTCGGTGTCACCGTCCAGACTCTTTACGAACGCATAAGTGTGTTTTCCTTATCTTTCACTATATGTCGGCTGTTTGCGATTAGTACATTGCTTCCTATCTATATTTTACAAGTCTCGTCTCGTCTTCTCCCCATTGTTCTCGGAAATATATGGCGTCTTATTTTGCCTTGGAGTAAGCTCATCGAAGACACTGAGGCTTACAGAAGACTGGGGGCGATGCAGGCGCAACTTCAGCTAGAAGGGAAGTATATTTTCCGAGATGATGAGATTGTTAGAGTCGACCGTTCTGAAAAGCAGTGGATGAATGATATTCCATGGCATGACAACACTGAAGAGTTTCTTGTCTGTGGCGCAAGAGTGAGATTCATTCATTTAAGGCCGGCTGCCATCGATAGCAGCAGGAGTGGATATTTGCCGAAAAAGCCCATCGTATTTCTACATGGAAGTCGGAGCTGGAGTTATATGTGGAGAAAGGTGTGTTGGAATTTGTTACTCCATCTTGTTCAGGTGATACTAGGTCATGGTGGGCAACAGTGAACAGTGATTACATGCTACTGTAAACTGTGGGAAGTGCTAATGTTTATCCATCTATAGATTATGACCAAACTTCTCCAAGAGGGCCATGAGCTCTACGCCCTTGATTGGCTCGGCCACGGACGAAGCGACAAACATACGCACCGAGAATGTATTACATTTGAGCTTCACATGCGGACGTTAAGTGCTTTTGTCAACCATGTGCAACTCAGAGACGCCATGCTGGTAGCACACAGTTGGGGTGGGTAAGTGAAAATTTTATTTCTCTGCCATTATCACGGCAAGCCTGTAATTCCAGCACATTTCGTCCCCCATCCCCCCTCCCCCCCCCTTTTTTTTTTTGGAAATAGTAGTAACGACATCAGGTGTGTGGCTCTATGCACTATTCCTCATCTTCCCTCATCGTCATGCAGTGGCCTCTTCCTCATTAATTCATTCTTACCGCGTCGACCTCACGAGACGAGTCGAAACAGTTGCCTTCTCTATGGAGCCTGGTTCCTTTTGAGTAGGGTCTTGCACGGTTATGTTTCTGAATCCACTATCACGAGATTCATATGTCCAGAAATTTTGGAGGGAGAAGTTGAAGGCTATGGGGCACCTTACCGGCACGTACCCGGGAACGCTAGACCAAGCGTCGAGAATTTTGCACATTTGGGCACTGGAATACCGCGCTTTGTTCTGAGAGATCTTCGTGAGGCACCTCTGTGGAAGATATGTGAAGCTATTTGTGGTCCAAGACACTTCAGTGACCTGAACGCGCTGGCACTTCTATCGGAAAGGGATGACAATGCGAGATTTTACTGGCAACTGGGACGACGAGATGACCTGAATGAGACCACGGAGAGCAGACCAAAGATTGTTGTGGTATGTGGAGAGCGTGATCCATTGGTGAAAGACTACAAGCCTGGTGAATGTCATTGGCAAGAGTAACATGGCAGACTGGGCACCAGATGGTATCTGGCTCCAAAACGCAGGTCACTACCCCATGGAAGACAAGCCAGAGGATGTTGCGCAATTGATAGCTAGGTTCGCCTGATTTTGTAACCAGGTTAGCTTGGCCTACGCGAAAGGCCTCGTATTCCCTGGGGGCATAAACGTATGCCTATCAAGAAGTAATATTTTTGTAAAATGACTGGATTGCTTTATTCTTGACTGTGTTGATCATAGCGTATGAGCAAATCGTTGTATTGTTGAGGAATAGCAGTACACAGGGTGCAGTCCATTGCTGATTAATGTAGCGCTGTAAAGTTCGGCGTCCATCCCAGTTAGGTGGAATAATTAATATAAAGGTCTTCTGGTTGAAACATTTCGGCGTAAAATAGAAAGCAAGCGGTACCATGGAACAGGAGTTGAGTTTGCGCCACCACAGGCTAATGTCTGCCCCTCATTACACCATAACTACTTAATGTATTTCCCGGTTGACCTGCGCACCCGGTTGACCTGCGCACACCGCCTACCACTGTATTTAATTGATGAGGAACCAGGTGATCGCAAGTGGGCACTTAGGTCGCTGCAAGGGTCACGTGACTTCTTTGGCAGTTTTGGTCCGTGCTCATCGCAATTATGTAATTTTGTAGGGTATGCCCTGGTAACCCGGTAATTTACCCACACAGATTATTAGTCTCTTTCTATCATCATCCCAATTACCATGGAACACAGTACAGATTATATCTGGAGGGCCTATGAGGATCGTACCCTCACTGAGCTTATACAGGTTAATTCTGAACCTGATACGGAACCAGCGAGCGAGTATGTCGATGAGTTTGAAGACTGGCAAGAATTCCAAGCAGCAATTCCTGACCCGGATGAGGTAAATATATATTGACAACAACTAGATCCAAACTAGTTTTAAACTGATTTATTCCTAGCCAAGTCATATTCCAACACCATTAACCTTTCATCCAACCCACCCAATATCAGCTACTATTATTGAGCATGTGCCTCTACTTCCAGAGTATCCAGAAACTCATGAGGAAGGGTTTGCCTATATCGTGAATATTGACAAATCTAGACCGGATAAGCTACGAGCTGTGATGAAATCTTGTCGGGATTGGTAGTAGATAATAATAAGAGAGATAAATAAATGCCTGCGGGTCCCTATGCGGCAGGGCTGTCTTCAGGACAAATATTTGTAGAGAGAAATACTACCTCCCGTAGAGGTTAGCTACTACTGCGGCGTAGTGGCTTACCCCTGGAAGATGAATAAAGATAAAGATAAAGGGTCTCTTTGGTCTGCCTTTAGGAGAGAAAGGTAGTAAGAGAATAATTCAGATGAAAGCTCTTGTTTTATTCAGTCTGGTTTCTAGGCCATATTTATAGACAGAAAATATTCAGTTCATCTAGCTAATTACCCAAGGTAAGCGTAGGCTGTTTGCCCGAGGTAATCTTGCCGTAAACGTGCTGTTGCCCGAGGTAGGTAAACGTGCTGTTACCCGCGGCTATAGAAGGCCTAATAACCTCGGTTTGGTAGGCTGACGTAGATAAAAAGCATAGTAAAGGCCGAAGTGAGGGGAAAGTGAGAGATAAATGAGAGATAATTGGAAGATCAGATGAAAGCGGTGAGAGATGGCAGAACGGGAACATCAACTGGAACTTTCCATGTTGAATTGGAAGCTCTGGAAATCTACATGAATTAATGCATGCACCTAAAATCCTGACAAATCTGTTAGTGAATAACTAGTTATTAACTATTTATAAACTACTTACTAACTAGTTATTAGACACAGTACGCTATGGGTGGGTATGGATCAAGAGAATTTGTGCATTCCGCATTCCTTGGCTGCCAAACAGAGCGAAAACGCTTTAAATGTAATGGTGTTAAGAGCTGCGAGTTTATTGATCCTAGACTCTCATATCTAGCCCATACAAAAGTGGACAAAGATCTATGGACCCTAATCACAAATATACGCCAAGAGATTGCGGATTCCTCGCTCTCAGAGGGCCATGGAGAGCTACAGCGTAATAGTATTGGGTAAGTAAACTAATTCCGAATCAGTTCTTGACTAAACTAATCTCTATAGACTATATAACGCAATTAAAAAGAAGTTCCTTCGGGGTGACGCTTGTAAAACCTCTTGCCTAGCTTGTCAACCTATAATTCGCCAGCATAATTATGGAGTAAGTCTTATTCCTACTAGTTTCTAACTAGTTACTAACTAGCTATTAGAATATAGGTGGAGTGCCTAGCTATTATATAGGCTGCGCGAATTCAATATAAGAGAACCATCAACAACACTACTACAGTTCTCTTCTTCCGAAAGAGAGATTACTTGATATAGAACTTCTACAGAAGCTTCTAGCCTCTACTTATCAGCCTAGGCCACTAACATACGGAGTGATTGAACCGGCGAATTCAAGAAGGCCACTATGCGGTAATATTTACTTCTTAACCAGTAATTATCTAATTACTAACTAGTTCTAGGTGTCGTCCATCCTTAGGGCTAGGGTAAAATCCAAAGCCATGGGTCTTGCAATGTGATATTCCAGACCTTTATCCCGCTTCTTCCTGAGAGACACCCATATGCAATCTTCTACTCTCGTGGAAGGCATTCTCATCCACCGCCGCCGCCTACTAAATCTCCATAGATAATCGCTAGCGAGGTTCTTGATCTAATTTGTAAAAATCTAGACCTAGACCTTAAGCTAAGTACGCGTTTTGCTAGCTAGAAATTAGTTAGGAACTAATTCCTAACTACTTCTAGGCACATTCCTACGTAGTCCTACGCTTCGTGATTTCTGCAAGCAATATCAATGCAAAACGCTATCACAGATCCACTCTAGCTTTGCAAAGATTGATAAGGTTTCAGCATTACTCTGGAAACAACGAGCGCTTAGTTACCCCTTTGGTAAGGGTATAGCTAGCCTTCGCCATCAAATGGAAGTTAAACCTAAATTGAAGGTAAATTAACTAGTACAAAGCTAGTTTTTAACTAGACACTGACTAGTTCTCTCTAGGAATATATTCGCGAGATCTATGAAACTTCGGAAGGGACCTTTGTCTTCTGTGCTTTTGTGAAGCAGCTCCAATTTATGGCAACGCTTGATGCTATTGAGGTTGATATGTCCTATAAGCGAGTGAAGGGGGATATCAACGAGGTGATCTTCGCTACAATGCTCACGAACCATGGTAAAAGTAAGTAAGGTTACTATTAACTAATTTATAATTAGTTACTTACTAGTTCGAACTAGTTATAACGCTCTGTCGTGTTTTCACTGACCAAGAGAACTCCGCGGGGTATAAATTTATCTTCCGGATGGTCTTTGAACTTATATCAAGGTCAATAGGGAGACCTATTAGGTTTCACTACCTACATGGTGAAGGTATTAAGGCAATTGTTGGCGATATGTGTCCAAAGCAGATCCTCGGTAAGTTAACTAATTAATCTTTAGTTATAAACTAGTTACTAACTAGTATAAAGGCTTAGGTACATTCCTTCAGGACCAAGATACCGAGCACCATAGGCGATCTCCAGCTTGGCACCTCGCGCGGATTATGATCTTTTGCGCTATTCACTTTATGCGAACAGTATCAAAGATCTACCCAAATCGACCTGATGGCTCCCATATAGAGCGCCATGAGCGGCTAAATGGGCTACTGCTATGTAAGACCGAACGTGATTACCATAAGCTACTAGATCTTATTGAAGGTAAATTACTTACCTAAACTAGTTTATACTTAATTACTAACTAGTTACTAGAGCACGAGCCAGACCTCAAATATTGGGTTCGACATAAGAGACACCCAGTTATTGCAGCGGGGCTATGCCAGGCATGCTCAGGTGTTAGCCCTAAATTCTTTTCAAGGTTCCGGCCTCATACAAATGCAGTCGAGCAAATCCATAATAAGTCCTATGCTCTTGGAACTTATGATTCGTTATTAGGTGCTGTGACAAAGTATGTATTAGTTCTAAACTAATTCTAAACTAGTTACTAACTTAATATCATAGGTCATTATACCTTGATCAACAGGATTTAGACCAACTCGAGACTCGAGAGAAGTTTGGTATTCATCACCGCTATCAAGCTGATGATATCGAAGCCCGCTTTGGAAGGAATCTCCAGCGCGAAGCTAGAAAAAGAGAAAAAGCGGAAAATCAGGCTAGTCAACATAGAGAAGCACAGATACAGTTTGATATTGATGATCAAATCCTCCTTGAGGCCTCATCGTCAGGCTACGTGGTTGATATTGGACGTCGGTCAAGGTCATCTACGCCACGTCGGTCAAGATCATCTACACCACGGCGATCAAGCTCTAGAGCTACTACACGGAGCCGTTCTCGGTACGTATAAAACTAGTTAAAAACTAGTCCAATACTATTTACTAACTAATTTTATAGAATATCTACAAGCCCTAGTCTCCGGCGTACAGCTGTGATAAACTCACAGAATCAAGACCATCTAAACGACCTTCGAGAGCTCGAAATTCGGCAGAAACGCCAAGAGATTGAGGATTCTCAAGAAGAAAGACGAATGAAGCGTCAGCAGTTAGAGCTTGAGACTAAAGAACAAGAACTAAGGGTTGCGAAGATTGAACTAGAAAGGCAGCTCGTTGCGGCGCAACTAGAGCAGATAAAGAGAAGGAACTAGTTAAAACCTAAGTAAAACTAGTTCTCAAAGCAAAAATGCAAATTGAAAACCATAGAAAACACCATAAAGAACTAGTTTTAACTAGTTCTTGAAGCTTGATAGCAAAAAAGCAAAACCCACGAAGAAAACTAGTTTCAAACTAGTCCCTACGCCTCATCCTCTGATGGGACGTACTCCTGACCCTGCTGATTGCGAGGGTCAGTGAAAAGACCAAAATACTCGCAAGTGCCCTTGACTTCGTCATGGCAGCAGACTAAAACTAGTTAGTAACTGGTTTAAACCTTGTATTTCTGGAGTACTCACGCTTAGGTTGATCAGTGTCTTTGCAAACCTCACAAGGCATAGGAAGCTTCATCGATCGAACGGCTTGACGCATTTTGGTAATATGCACCTAAGAATATTAGTAGAAGAACTAGTTAGCAACTAATATATCGCGATACTTACCGATCGATCATTCTTGAGAGGAAGCTTAGGCAAAATCTCTTCCTTTGCCGCCTCGCGCTCATCGTAGGCCTCCATGATCTCATTGAAAAACTCTGTAAACTAGTTAGTAATTTATTCAGAAATCCAAATTAACTAGTTCTTAATTAGTTGTAGCACTTTCTGATAGCACGGAATTCATCAGCTTGGCAAGGGCGACCACCAAATTCCTCGCCAGTCAGAGACACTTCAGGATGCTGCTTCTGAACGTGCTTGCGGAGGTTGTTGGTGGAGGTAAAGAGAGTCTATAAAGTAGTTAGCAACTAGTTTAGAAAGGAGCAAAGTGAGGAGTAAAGTGAAGTAAAAGTAAAAGACTTACAGCATTTCCACAATCTTCAACTCGACAGTATCTCTCGCCAACCTCGATGGTGCAATAGCCTTTGTTCTGTAATATTAATTAGCTTTGCAGCCCAAAACCAGTTCAGAACTAGTAAACTGACGTCTTCAGTGAGAGAAGGGAGCTTCAGATCTGCCTTCGACAGGTCAAGGTAACGTTGGAAGTTTGGCTGTAAATCTGTCAGTTTGAATACCCCAAAACCACTTCAGAACTAGTAAACTCACATTTTTCTTGACTTGGGCCATGATGATGGAGATGATGGAGATGACAGAGATAATGGAGATGATGGAGATGATGAGAACCAGCTGTTTACTAGTTCAGAGGATGGTTTTGGAGATGGTGGAGATGGTGGAGATGGTAGAGAGGATGGTGAAGAAGAGAAGGATGGTGAAGAAGAGAAGGATGGTGAAGAAGAGAAGGATGGTGAAGAAGAGAAGGATGGTGAAGAAGAGAAGGATGGTGAAGAAGAGAAGGATGGTGAAGAAGAGAAGGATGGTGAAGAAGAGAAGGATAGTGAAGAAGAGAACTAGATGTTGTCTAGTTTTATAGAAGGATTATAGAAGGAAGATTCCGGATGGGTAATTCCGTAAGGGTAATTCCAAAATTACGAAGGATTTACGTTTTCCCGGAAAGTGGGGGCCAAAGTCATGTGACTCTTGCACTCACCTAGATGCTCCCTTGCGGTCACCTATAGTCACCAATACTCCCACCACCCTGCCTGATTTATCAGGCAGATACACCTAGATAGGCATAGCGCAGTAAAATCATCCACCGCTTTTCTCACCGCTTTATTGCCTTTCCATCTCTTCTTTCTCAATGCTCTCTCCAACTAACCTCCTATAACCTTATTATGGCGTCTTTGCCCATCAGCCTTCTTTTTGCGGCCCCTAGTATTAATGATGACAGCGAATCAGGTTAGCTCTCTCTCTAGAGAGGCGTTTAATACTAACTTGAGTAGTGTCTTCAGCTTCGGCCGACCGATTATCCTCCGAGACACCCCCTGAGTCCCCTGCTATACCTATTATGCGGCCTCCACCCACCGAGACGCAGTACGATACTCTAGCGCTTGCGATGGGAATGATCCACCAGTTCACGCGAGACGAGGGTTATTCTGTGTCAACCTTTAGGTCTTACTCTAAAAAGGGCATCAAGACAATCGTTCGGCTATGCTGCACTCGCGGGAGGCTATACCAGCCGCGGCAGAAGCCGCAGGATGCGGATAATCGAGCTCGGCAGACTACAACTCTCGCGATGGGCTGTCCTTTCGATGATGGGCTGTCCTTTCGATATTGCTATCCGACTACGGCAGACGACGAATAAATGGGAGATCACGCATGAGAACACGCTCCATAGCCATGGTCCTACTCCTCTATCGACCCAGCATATCCACCGAACGCAAGAGCTTCTTGCAAAGGCCTCAATCATCGACCATTATATCCGGCAAGGCTACACTACTCGTCAGGTCCTAACTGGGCTTCGCGAGGAGGATTCTAGCTACGCTTTAATCCCGCGGGATATCTACAACCGCCGAAAGAAGCTTAGTACGGAGTTTCTAGCTGGCCGAACGCCTATTCAGGCGCTTTTGATGGAGCTTCCAAAGGATAACGACTGGATTTTCAGGCATAAGCTTGACTATGAGGGTCATCTAACTGCTCTGTTCTGTATACATCGAACTAGCCTAGAGATGCTAAGGCGTCATCCCTGGGTAATTTTGATGGATTGCACATACAAAACCAATCGATATGGGCTGCCGCTACTTGATATTGTGGGCCTAGTGTCTACTGGGCAGACCTGCTATATCGCGTTCGCGTTTATCCAAGATGAGAAGCAAGACACCTACGAGGTCGTCCTTCACTGTCTTGCAGAGGCCTACGAGTCGCTTAGTCTTCAGTATCCGCGGACGATATTGATTGATAAAGAGCGAGCGCTGATTAATGCTATCAACGTCGTCTTTCCTGACACTAAAACCATCATTTGTATCTGGCATATCGAGATGAATCTCTTGAAGAAAGCTCGCCCTCTTCTATCAGACCAGATTGCTATCGCGCGCAGAGATGGCTTTCCTCTACCTACGGGCCTTGACCTCGACCTTGACCCTGATGATCCTACGCGGTCTAATAGGCCCAAAACCAAAGACCAGCTCCAGGAAGAGCTTCGAAAGCTAGTCGATAAAGGGTGGAAAAAGATGCTTCAGCGCTGGAATCAGGTGGTTTATGCAGATTCAGAGACCCTATTAAACCAGCGCTGGGACTGGTTTAAAGAGTCTTATGCAGACCCAGTTTTCCAGCCTCTACTAGCCTATCTTCAGGCTGAATGGCTAGATGACTGCCCTGAGCAGTTCCTACGACTTTATACGGCGCATTATCTCCATCTAGGTGAGACGGCGACGTCAAGGGCTGAAGCAGCTCATTGGCTACTAAAGAAAGACCTCCATACATCAGCTAATGATCTTCTGGTTGTTTTGACAACTTTTGAGCGCGTTATTAACCGCCAATATACTAATATCAGGCATACAATTGCGTCCGAACAGGTTCGCAAAGCCACTAACCAATCATCGCTATACACAAACCTCACATACCTGATCTCCTCGAGAGCGATCAAGCATCTAGAGAGCATCAGACGCTACTATCTACCAGAAGGGCAAGACAAACCAGCTATCCAACCAAACTGCAGCTGCAGATCGAAAGAAACCACCGGTTTCCCATGTATCCACCTTATCAAGCAACACCAAGACACACACCAAAGCTTCGAACCTAAGCTTTCCCATCAGCAATGGCATCTATACCCACTCGGTGAGGCGCCACCTATCAACCCTCTACTCCTAGTGTGGGACCCGCTACCTGTTCGGCGCCGTGGAAGGCCACGTGGAGCGGCCAACTTCTTACAGCCTTCGCAGGCGTCGAACACGCAGCAGAGCACCCAGAGCACGCAGCAGAGCACCCAGAGCACTGTATTCGACCATTCAACCCACCGAGAGCCATCAGCTTTCGAATATATTCTTCCACCACAGGAAGGGGGACGCGGAGGCCGTGGAGGGCGTCGTGGAGGTCGTGGAGGCCGTGGGGGGCGTCGTGGAGGTCATGGAGATGCGGTCGGGGGTAGGAGGGTGCTTCGGAGCTATCAGCGAGGTCAGATAGATGCTGAGTAATCAGGTTGGAGGCATCTGATTGGCTATTAAGAGGGATAGACGCAGAAAACGAGGAGAGAGCGATGGATGCGGTCAAAAAACCTGTCTTTTTACTATGTAAACCAGAATGAAGAATCTCTGCAGGAAAAGGACACCTCAAAATTCAGGCTATATTGTTTTCTTCGGGCAGAAAGGGTGGGTGCCTGATTTATCAGGCAGGGGATGGTGGGAGTATCAATTCTCTATCTTTTCGCAATTTTGACACCGGTTCACCTGGTTACAAGACTGACTTCCTGCGGGAAGCAGAGAAGCGGAGACAAGAAGATGAGAGAGAGAGAAGCAGGCTAAAGAACGACAGAATCAGGATGAAGAGCGCACCCGTCACACCACTTTTACGGAATTTGTACGTCCGTTCTTTGTTGAGTGGATACAACTTGCCGTGATCCTCATTCATGCCATTGATTATATCATGTATATTGCTTGTATTTTGTTATATTGTTTTACTACCGAATGGGCCCCAAACTGCAATGCAAATCAATAGTGCCTTAGTGCCCATAATCCTATATCTGAAGCCAGGTTCCGAGGTTGACTGTATTGATATTAGTAAATCTTGTCAAATAATATTATGGGAAGAAACAATAAGCTGACCATGCACTACCTTGACCTGGGTATACGCTGAAAGGGCATACTCGCCCAACTCTCGTCCAATGCCGCTTTGTTTATAGCCGCCGAATGGAATGGCAAAGTGAGAGTCTTGGGAACTATTGATCTGTTGGTTGTCAGGATCGCTTCCACTCATATAATGACACACCAAGGTACATACCCAAACTATGCCAGCCTCAATCGCGGCTGCGACTGTGTGGGCACGGGTGATGTTCTCTGTGAAAATGGCGGCGCCCAATCCGTATTCCGTGTCATTAGCCTTGTCAATGGCATCTTGCTGACTGCTGAAAGACTGAATTCCGACAAAAGGTCCGAAGACCTCTTCGAGGACCAGGGGTCATATTGCGGTCGGTGTCTTTGAAGATAATGGGGTGGGCAAAATATCCTTTCGCATTGTTTGGCGGCTGATTCTCCCCAAGAACGATTGTGGCGCCTTCTTTCTTCGCGGCCTCAAAATAACGCAGAATCCGATCTCGTTGCGCCGCTGACACTTGAGGTCCGTGGTTCACCTTGGAATCAAATTGGCTCCCAACAACAGAGGTTTCAATTGTGTATTATTTGAATCTCTCCACAAAGGTCTCGTAAGCACTGTCGTGAACATAAATGCGCGATGTGGATGTGCAGATCTGACCCATGTTGCTCATGATTCCAACATGCGACCACTTGACTGCTTGATCCAGATTGGCATCTTCGAAGACAACCAAAGGGCTCTTACCACCTGTTTCCAGTGTGATTGTCTTTAGATTCGAAGCAGCAGCCTTCATGATTGCCCTTCCAGTGATTGTACTCCTAGTGAACGCGATCTTGTCAATGCCTGGGTGCGACGCGATGGATGCTCCGGCGGTTGCACCAGGACCATTGACAACATTCACAACACCAGCCGGAAAGCCAGCCTCGCGAATCAAAGTTGCAAGATACAAAATTGAAAGTGGCGTCTGTTCGGCCTCTTTGATGACAACCGTATTCCCGCAAGCAAGTGCAGGCCCCAATTTCCACGCTGCCATCTACGCTTAATTAGTGTTTGTTCTAGTTCAAGCTCTGACAAAGACCGAAGTATATAGCTCACCATTGCAGGGTAGTTCCATGGAATAATTTGACCACACACTCCAATAGTTGCATGCCTGGTATAGGCCAGCTTGGCATCGCTAGTCGGGATGGTTTGACCATGAATCTTATCGGCCCAGCCACCATAGTAACGGAAGATGGAGACCACCTCGGCAAGGTCTTCGTTCAGAGCCTGCTCATAAGGCTTACCATTGTCCCATGCATCAATGGTCGCAAGTATATGCTTGTCACGATCGCATAGCTCCGCCAAGCGGGTCAGAAGTACCCCTCGATCGTAACCTGTCACAGATTTCCATTCGCTTGACTTGAATGCTTTCTGAGCAGCCGCAACGGCAAGATCGCTATTATCTGGCCCTGCAGAAGAGACGCTTACAATAACCGACTCAACGAAGAGGTTAACAGTCGAAAGCGTTTGGCCGGACAAAGAAAGAACGAATTCATTGTTGATAAACGGTCCTGTATTAAGTGATGAGCCCTGAGCAGCGACATCCAATTCCTCGGCAATGTTTCCTTACTAGTAGGCTGCAGGTAGGTTGTGTTATTGGGGGCAGTCAACTCGATAGGCTGAGTCATGATGAAAATACTTGAAGTGAAAGGATTTTTTTTGCGTAATGTTATTGTGAGGTGCCATATTTATATATTTTTTTTTATCTGGGAACTAAGTTTCGTTGCCCCACGAAAGGTTTTTGTGAAGGAATTGGTATGAAGGTAGGTCGATGGGTAATGGCCTATCTTTTTACCGCGTTGGGAAAGGCCAAATTGAAATTTCTTGAAATTGATGGATAAGCATGCGCAGGCTAAATTGTTTGCGGAATAATATGGAAACTTATCTGCCAAGGTTTAGCTGGCCTAAAATCTTTCCCATTGAGGTTAGCTTCGCCCAAATAGTTGAAACGGACGCCCCTTTGAACAATTTATTCCCCAAATATTTCCAGCGGCTAATTTAATCTTCGACAACTGGGCGCGCGGTTCCCTATCTTAAGGCTTGGGCAATTTTTGAATATTTTAGGCAACTAGAGGGGCAACAGCCAGGACCACGTCCATACCAGGCATGTCTTCTGGCCATGTGGAAATTGGAAGACGAGCTCAGGAATGTCCACGGTTTACTATATAAATGGCTACTTTGGCCGACATATCTCACCAATCAATCATCCTGGTTCTTATTCTTTTGAGTACCACATCTCTCTTTTGTTTCTTTAAGCAAAGATGGAATTCTTCAACTATCCCGGAACTGAGGCCAACTCAGAATCTTTCCACTACTCGCAAGCCACCCGCATCGGAAACTCTGTCAAAACTTCTGGCCAAGGCGGCTGGGATGAAAATGGCAGTATCACTTCAGATGTGGAGAAACAAGTCGCCGTCGCGTTTGCCAATGTCGAAAAAGGCCTGAAAAATGTCGACACCCGCCTGTCCTGGGAGAATGTGTACGCGGTGCGCAGCTATCATATCAATATGGAAGAGACGTTTGAAATAGTCACCAGCAATTTCAAAAGACTTCTGCCGAACCATCGCCCCATTTGGACTTGTGTGGAAATCGGAAAACTCGGGATTGATGGGATGCTGGTGGATCGAGGTGGAGGCCCATTGCCCATACTATGACTGATCATTGCTGAAGCGTCCTTAAGCCCACTGTGTCCAGCCATGTTATTAATTGCATCAAATTGAAAACTTATTCATCAAATGGTCTCAGCGCTCTTTATATTTTATTGGTTTTCAAAGTGCAAATAATGCCATGAATTTATGTGAAAGTTCCTTGTAGGAATATTTCCGATCTGCGTACTACATGCGCCTAAGAGGATCGAATCAAGATACTACTCACATTGATAGATAAGAGATCAATGACAATCGCAACCCGCCTATCGCTTGAAAAGCCTCAATGAATCATAAATAAATGCCAAGGTTGAAGGACCGATAAGCCGTATCTCCGATGGTTGATAAGGAATTGAAATCTGCGGGGTGCACCGGGAAATCCCCGAGCTAGGCTCAATGAGGAAGGTTTTTGGGCCATTTTGAAAGCAGTTCTTAAGACCCAATCAGTACACATTCCCCCACAACAATATTTGTTAGTCACTATATGAATTTACCCCGCAATTTTGCGAGCAACAGAATTTACGGTAGCACGCCACTGGCTTAACCGAAGTACTTGACAGTGCGGTCTTTATCTTTCGAGAGTCATAGCCTATCTGCTTGGCTAGGCGCTAGACCGGTCACGGATGAATGGCCCAAATGCTTTCCCTTGCTGGACTAGAGCAAAGCTTCTTTGTAGACCATGCGCAGTAGATGGGGTATATAAAGCGAGACCTACGTTCTGACAAAAGCAACTAACGGAATGATCGGAACTTCAGCGCATTCCTTTTCAAGTCAATCAATGGAGAAATCAAAATCTAGCGTCGGCTCACTGGATGCAGTTGAGAACGCACAGCTGGGTACTTACCAGGATGAGCAGCTCTATCGGCTGGGCTATACGCCCCAGCTGCGCCGCACGCGGAAGTTATCGACTATGCTGTTTACGTCACTTTCAATTGCGTCTATTCCGTATGGCATCGGCAGTTCCTTGATGAATGCCGTTTATGGCGGTGGTCAACTATCACTGTTTGTCGGACTGCTCGTTGTACTGGCATTGGATTCCTGTGTCGCAGTTTCTCTTTCAGAACTCGCATCAAGATATCCCACCTCCTCGGGTGTCTATCATTGGTCGTTCAACCTTCTCAAATCTACCGGAAACCGACGGCTAGTATCTTTCGTCACTGTCTGGATTTGGCTCATTGGAAATTGGACTATTTCTCTATCGGTCAATTTCGGCATCGCGTCGCTCGTCGCTGCGACAGTGTCAATTTTCTATCCCGACTGGACGGCCACATCATGGCAGCTTCTGCTCATCTTCTACGCAATCTGTCTTATCACCTTCATGATATGCTTCTTCGGTGACCATTTACTTCCCCTTATTGACACCCTGTCAGCGGCATTTTCGGTTATCACTTGCATTGTCTTTGCTGTCACCATGGCCGTTCTTTCCAGAGACGGTCGACACGATGCCCATACGGGGTTTGCTGGCTATGATCCTTCTTACTCCGGATGGGAACAGCATTTCACATTTTTCATCGGACTACTTCCACCGGCCTATGCTTTTTCTGCCCTTGGAATGGTTACGTCCATGGCAGAGGAATGCACAGATCCTGAAATACAAATCCCTACAGCAATCAGCTTGGTGCCCGTTATTGCCGGTGCAGCAGCGCTGGTGTTTACTTTACCAATCTGTTTCACTCTGCCGCCTCTGGCAGATATCATTACTGCGCCCTATGGGCAAGCGCTGCCATATGTCATTCATGTTGTGACAGGATCACCGGCAGCATCAATTGTTTTGATGATACTCGTGCTGCTTGTGGCTATGTTCTGCTCTATTAGCATTACTACGACAGCGGGCAGATGCACTTGGGCGTTTTCTCGAGACGATGCCATTCCAATGTCCCATCTGTGGTCATCCACCGTTAGGGATAGTCCACTATCAGCGCTCTGTCTGGTTACAGTTATTGAGATGCTACTGGGACTCATTTATCTCGGAAGTAGCAGTGCTTTTACGGCCTTCGTATCAGTCGGCGTGATTGCATTGGCTGTTGCATACGCGATTCCTATTGCGATCAGTCTGTTTGTTGATGGTCGGAAAGAAGTGGCGAAGTCTCGCTGGAAACTAAGCAATGCCATTAGAGGAGCAGCAAATGTTCTGGGGATATTATGGATCTTCTTCCAGATGCTCCTATTCAGTATGCCGGTCACGCTTCCAGTGACCAGTGCATCCATGACGTACGCATCAGTCGTGTTTCTTGGATGGGTCGGTCTAAGTATGGGATGGTATTTACTTCACGGTCGGAAATGTAAGAATTTCCTCATCATCCGAGCTTTTTCAGTCAACTAACAAACCCGCTTCCAGATTTCAAAGGACCGATGGAAGAAATAGAATAATCTTAATTTCGAGTTACATGAACGTCTATAAGTGTTTATCAATTCATATAATTCATAAAAAGAATTAAAGAAAAAAAAAGCAATAAGAATTATTGAATTATAATACCAGAACATGGTTTCCCAGACAAGTAAACATATCTCCCCAACCACCCTCCTGCCTTTGAGAAGTAAGTCCTCCAAGGCCGCACGAATACTCAACAATGAATTGAAGCGCAGTCTTAGATATATAGAATCCAGTGTGTCGAGGATATCCTGCTGATGGCCTGGCGTGAATGAATGGGCACCGACAACATAAACGGGAAATACAATACAGTTATAGTCCTTGGAGCTGCTACTTATAGCCTTAATGCATCCCATACAAAAGTTCACATGCTGCTGGACAAGATGATGCCTCGGCGGAAACCCACAAACAGCCCGGTAGAAGTAAATCAGAGCACTGTGCTGGAAAGCGCGGGTAAATGCGATCGTTTGATTGACGCGCTCCATTTCGAATTTAGAAAGGGACTCCTCCTCCGGGCAGTTGAAATGATCGAGCCTCAGCACCGAGAAACGAGGCTGGAGAGACCTTTCGAAGTCACGGACCTTTTTGATAGATAGTTCCTCGTCTCCGGCTCGAACAGACTGTCGGTGGAAGGCTATTTGTGTCATGATGCGAAATACTACCGCCAGTGTTACCCCGTATGTCTGCTTCTCCCACCACACTGTGCCCTTTTCGATGTTACGCCAGATTCGGGCGGGAAAACAGGGGGCCCTGTCGTCAAGTATAGCGCGAGTGAGATCTGTGGAGGCAAACTCAGATAGAAGCATGTGCGGAGTATCTTTTTGGCCCTCATCTACAAGCATGTTGAATCCACCAAGCTGTTCGACAATGGCTCGCACACCAACCTGGTGGCTTATTGTGGAAGCGGATTGCTCCCCGCAGTCTATGAAACCATCCAGAAAATAGAGCAGCAGGACGGCGACAAGCAATTGAGAAAGTGACCCGTTATTTGAAATACTTTCTCGGAGTTGCTTTCGGACGGAGGATAAACAAGTCAATCTCTTGTTGCTTATAGCCTGCAAATTTGTCAGGCTACCTTCTTGCTGGAGCAATCGATGTGCCTCTGCTAGTTCACACATGGCTAGCAATACTGGTTCGGACTCTAAGGCAAGAGATATCGGTGGCGGACAAGGCTGTGTAGCAGTGGATAGCAATGGCCACACGGCGGCTTGGAAATAGTCAAGAGCTTTGAGTTCACCCGCTGCTAGGCGATTGTCCTGGATCTGTCTGAACAAGGTGGATTTGGGCGATGCGGTTGAGGCTTGATATGCGACGGGTGCGGCTTTAGTCGGACGTGAGTTCCATCGCACGAGTATCTTGTCGAAACTGCATTGGGCACCTGACACGTTGCAACGGCGGCACCGGGTAATGTACCCTTAGATTGGAGGGACGGAGAATACGCAAAAGGTTAAAGTGAGGGGGATGAGATGGTTCAATTGATAGAACAACTGTAAGACTATTGCAGTAGCTCTCCTGTTGTTCCCTTTTTTGGAAGGCCAATTGAAATTTGAATTTGATCAAGGCTGCCTTGACGCACACTATTGGTTCTTCCGTCAGCTAGCAATCAAATATCCAGGTCGTATCACACACTTGAGAACAATTACTCCGGCAGTTTCCATTGCCAACTTGGCTCCGTATTGAAATGGTATGCCTGTTAGAAGCAGAGCCAGGGCAATGGCAATATGGCGGTGGGTGACACAGACAATGTCCCGTGGTTCGGAGGAGATCTGGAGGTCCTCCTTGATCTTCAGGATCAAAGGCTCGAGTCGTGATTTGATGTTCAAGGAAAATCTTCAATTTACGATTCACCGTAAGTTCAATTTGACATATTCCGCCTTTCCCTTCCAAGAGACGAACTTACTCGCCACCTGGACAACCGTCTGTCCAAAGATCCCAGGATCCACAATCGCTTGGTCGCCTTCGATTTATTTCGGAGTAGGTGAGGCCTTCAAACGTCCCATAATCCCATTCCATCAAGGAGTCCTCGACCCTGAACAGGCTCCCACTGACCGTAGGAAACATGATTTCAGCAGTGCGTCTTGCCCTTCGGAGAGGCGAACAGTATCTGCGACAAACGTTAAATCTTCAAACCACGCACATTACAAGTATTTATCACCAACATGGCTCGCAGATTGACCTCATCGATGAGTTTACCAGGCCCTATACATTTACCTCTCGTCTGTGTTGCCTCTTTTTCGCCATTGGGTGTCAAGGGCAAATCCACACTTCCAGTGTAGCGATGCTCAGCCGACCATTCGGTCTCGCCGTGGCGGATAAGAAAAATGCGCGCATCCATTTGGATCAGTAAGATTAGCAACCGACTCTGTTTTTCGTCCAACTTCCAACCTGGTGATTTTGAATACCAGTGCCACACAGGGTACTGAGAAGAAATGCACCTCACAAATTGTTTACTCTGACCAGCTACTCTGACCCACACAAAAGCTATTCCTTGCCCTTGACCTCAAACCTGTTTCCATATGTGTTATGATGGGCGTTATTGACATCATAAGACAGTAAATGTTCTTTTACAACGTCACTCCGCACGGGTAAGACGGGTAAGACGGGTCCATCTTGACGAGGTTCAGGGGGTATTCCAATTTTCGGCTAATAGAGAAAATGCCAAGCTATCAAAAACAGGGCAGGCAGCTACAAAGCGGGTAGTAGGAAGCAGGGAAGCAAAGTCTATGAGAAAATTCCTATGTCAAGAAGGGCGACGCAGATCGACAAGTTGTCTCACAACCGCGGGATTTGAGAATCTGTAAAGTTGATCTTGTGACCGATTGGACACGACACAATTTGTGCACTCGCAATGATCCCCGAGTGCAAAGCAACCTTTGGTTCCTTTCCGGAAAAGGATCATGCGCTGGGAAAGCCCTCTCGGGCACGCCATGCTAGATGGCAATGATTTATCAGACCTATTACGAACCTGATTTTTGGATCAGAGATGTTAGATGAATGATTAGATCGGTCTCAGTTATTGTTTATATCCGCCGGATAAGTCGGCAAAGACGGGAGAAAACCTTGGAAGTGACCCGCGGGACCTGCCTTTTGGTCGGGCTTTACCAGAAGTTCAAACTGTTGATGAAACAAGCCTTCTGATTGCATTCCTCCACGCAACACTTTCGAAAGAAACCATCTAAAGCAGTTCTCCATTAGAAAAAATGAGATTCTTGAACGAAGTTCATAATCTATTCGCTTTTCTATTTTGTCGAAAGCAGAGCGTGCAGCCTGCAGTACCCTCCAATCAAGATCAGCAAAATAGTGAACAAGCAGGCCTCTCAAACAAGGAAGCATGCTCACAAGGAAAGTCGGAAAACTGGAACAATGACCGGTTTGGTGTGCTCAGCGAAGTCGCAGCACCCGAGCCAGTTGAGCAGCCCCCAGACGAAGAACGGGCCCGCATTGCCTCCCTAGAACAGCAATTATCAACAACTGCGCGTCGGATTGGCAGAAACGAGGAAGACGAGGGAGCCTTGAGCGAGATTGCAGCACCACAGCCTGTACGAAGGCGCTCGGATGAGGAAGAAGAGAGGCATGCTTTTCTTGAACGTCAGATCCCACCCCATTAGCGTCGGCAACGGTTTCTAATTTCACCCTCAAACTTTTTCCCGTCTGCAAGAATGACCGATGCATTACTATGCATTATTTCTTCCTGACTTTTAAGGTCAGTGATGAGAACGTGAAGTAGATGAGCAAATTGCATATCCTGCAGCCCAGTTCCGAATAGCTTCCCAATCAGTAGCCATCGGGGCAGAGAGATGCCGACCTGTGTTAGTGCCTTAGGATGAGTGCTCCAATCTTCAACACAAGATCCTTCCACATGGCCGCCGCTCGGAATTGACCAACTTTGCGCCAATAATCACAACCCCATACAATATCCTTGACACGTTTACCTTGGGAAATTGCGAGCCACCCTATTGAGGTGCGGCTGCTCAATCAACAACTGGACGCACTGAGAGAGACCACCCGCTGCCGCCCACAGGAATAAGCTCCGAGGATAAGTGAGCCACAACTCTCGCAGTACTCACCGCTCGTGCTATCTTTTCACTCGTTGCTGGCCAATTGAAACAGCTGGCCGTACAGCTCAGTGGTCAGGTTGTCCAGGAGAGGGAAGGTCTTGGTCGAGTTGTGAATCGAGCCCACGTTCAAGTAATCGAAGATGGTGTAATCATTCTTGAAGCTCATTTGGGCCGCGCTGAACGTGGAGTTGAGCATGGGCGACAGCGAGGTAAAGAACTCCTTGGTGGATGCCAGCGTCTACCTGTATGGGTGGGAGAGGTAGTAGTTGTTGCTGCTGACAGTGACCTTGCGGCAGTCACTAGAACTCTGCAGCCAGGCGAATTTTCACAGACTCTGGGCAACGGCACCTCGGCCTAGTGGCCGGTGGACGGATATCAGATCAATTCAGTTTCAGAACACGGATACCAGCCAAGACAGCGAGAACTTCGCTTGGGTGCAGAGCTCCAGTGACTGCAGCAAGGTCACTGTCAGCAGCAACAACTACTACCTCTCCCACTCATACAGGTCGATGCTGGCATCCACCGCCTCACAGACACTGGCTAACTTATGAGTCCATGGTCTCCTCTATCCCAATTCTAGTGGGTCACCAAGAGAGACTAGCTAGGGTCTTGCTGAAATGGTGATGCTGAGTCTACCGAGATGGTATCGGTGAAGAAATGTTGATTGACGGCCAAGATTTCTACAGAGACCTCCAGGTGCAGCAATAGCTATTCAACCAGCAATAGATTGCTCGCAGTTCCGGGGCCTACTCCACTCTATCTGTTCACGATCTAATGTGGATGTATTCCAAGAACTTTAGTCAACATAGGCGGAGGAATTCCGGGGTGCGGCGACCCCCGATATCCAATCCTGGGGAAAGCTTGTCATTTCTTAGCTCTTGTGGAGTAAAAGCTTATTTTGCTTAATGATGATCGGCCACCAAACACCAGGGTAATTTCGCGAAGTCACGAGTAGACGAAGGTGCGGCGGAATAGCACCGCGCCTTGAATGAACCAATGGTCGCATACAGTTTACATAAAATGTTCCGTTTCTCGTTTCCAAAATTAGAGCCAGTGGCACCAGAAAATATGAATTATTGCGTGGTGACAACGATGTCCTGGGTGGTTGGTGGAATGCATTATGTTGGGTTTTGGTGGGGGTGAGAAGCGATTTGTGGGACCTGTCGTGGAGCTAACCGAGGGCGTCAGAAAGAACTTTTCTTCGCTCGGGCCGAAATAATGAGAGTAGATTCAGATCGTGAACCACGTCCCCGATACTTGGACACCAATTTCCCCGCGCTTACCCGCTCACTCGAACCCTTTCTAGGGATCAACACCATGAGGGTCAAATCCTATAAATACCGTAGGTGGCAGGGTGCATACTGAAAAATCCTTCAAGCAACGATAATTCCCAGTAATAAGGCAGGCAGCCACTGTCCCGCACTTGGTGGGCATCGAAGCAGCCTTCCCGAGGCCATAGGCGTACAATTCCAACAATCCTACCCTCGTCTTATTAAATGCGATCGCTTAGTGCGGATCCAGGTGATAACACAATACCATCAATCCCGGGCCACTAACACGAAGCTTGAAAAGAGGGGCAGCATGCCTTGGGTCAGCCTGGTAACGGAGGGGGCAGGGAAAATACCACACTACTTATTGAACCGATAGCTATCCCAGAAATACATCTAGTCTCGTTTAGGATCCGGCACCGAAATCCCGAGTTCCGTCGTGTTAAGCTTTCTAGATATGAATCTAAGGAACCCTGGCATCTGACTGGGTCAACACAGGCTCCGTGGTCCACGGTTGACACCTTGCTGCATTAGCCGACTGCCACGCTTGCCCTTAAAACCGTATGTACTCCCGAATTCGGGACATGGCGACCTAAGATGTTTCTCATAGGCCAGAATCCCGAAGGGTAATGCTACTAGTGCGCCTGGACCCTGCGGGCGAGATTAGTAGAAATCCCCGCACTCGTTCGGCTTCCAGCGAAGCCGTTTCGGGGTTCTTCGCTAGAGATGGTCATCTATTATGCTTCCCGCCGGACCTTACCATCAAATAAATACCCCTCGTGGGCCACGTTTCCTCCAAACTTAGTAGGCTTTTTCTTTGGTCTACTACTAGCTTGAGGCTCTATATAGACCCCGATCAATCTTTATATTATGGCCATCCTTTCCACTCTTCTTACGATCGCCATCCTGCCTTTGGCAGATCTTGCCAATGCAGAGAGGGTGTTGGGTGCCTATGTCTTCCAGCGCCATGGGGACCGCACAGCCAAAGCTCTGGGATCGACTACGTTGACCGACCTGGGTGCCAGGGAGGAGTATCTGAGCGGCGCATTTTTCAATGGTCGATACCTCTCGGACAGTTCGGCATATCAGATTGAGGGAATCAGCCCCAAAATTGTGAATTTGGCTCAAGTTTCAGCTAGCGCCCCGGAGGACAACGTTATCCAAAATTCCGGCCAGGCATTTCTGCAGGGACTCTACCCTCCCGCGGGTTCATCCGCATCTCAGGTCCTTCGCAATGGGTCCACTATCGAAGCTCCACTGGATGGCTACCAGCTGATTCCTATGTCACAAATCGAGTCTGGCAGCGACAGCGAGGACAACACGTGGCTCCAAAGCACGTCTACTTGCTATAACGCCGAAGTGAGCAGCAACGAATATTTCTATTCGACCCCGTTCCAGGAGCAGGAGTCATCTTCGAGCAAGCTGTACCAGTCTCTGGCGCCTCTCACTACCGGCATTATCACGACTAGCCAGCTGAGCTACAAAAACGCATACACCATCTGGGACCTGTTCAACGTGGCTTTGATTCATAATACCACTAGCAATTTCCCCTCGTCCAGCATTTTGACCAACCAGACTATGCAAGAACTGTTCGTTTTGGCCAACGAGCATGAATTCAACCTCGCATACAATAGTTCTGCCCCGATCCGTGCTGTGGCTGGCATGACGCTGGCTGGCCAAGTAGTTACCGCGTTGAACAGCACTATCACATCCGGTGGCTCCTCTAAGCTGAGTGTTCAATTCGGTGCCTATTCGACCTTCCTGTCCTATTTCGGTCTTGCAGGACTCACTGAAAATGCCATGTTTACTGGAATGCCCAACTACGCTTCGTCCATGACCTGGGAGCTCGTGACCAACGCCTCTGGCACCGGTATACCTGCTGAGTCGGACCTCAGCGTGCGTTTTATGTTCCACAACGGAACGAGCATTGAGAACTCGACCCACCTGCAGGCCTATCCGCTTTTTGGACAATCCGAGGTTGAGCTTCCCTGGTTGCAGTTCGTCGAGTCTACGAACAAGTTTGCCCTCTCATCTCAGCAGCAGTGGTGCCAGTCGTGCGGAAATACTACTGGTATCTGTGCCGGAACCTCCGACTCAACCACAAACGCTTCCTCTTCTTCCGCTTCTTCCTCTTCTTCTGGCTCGTCTTCCGGAGGAATGGATCTCCAAGTCGCAGGTGTCATTGGTGCGATGGTGACTCTAGGCGTTCTCGCGGGCTTGACAGCGCTCATTATTCTCGTCTTCAAGCTCCGCCTTGTTCGTAAGAGCACGCTTGCTGCTCTCAATCGGGACCAGGAAACTTCGGTTGCACACCCGGCTGACAAGTAGTCTTCCACGAAGGAACGACCGTTGGAACTTATGAAGGATGGAGATTCATCACGTGTTGTTAAACTTTTCTAGTCCTTCAGAGGAATTATTGAAACTTCATTTTAATGGGTGCGACTATTTAGGCGCATTTAGTACAGCGCCGCCTCTATAAGCGACCATTAAAGTTACTTAACAATCCTGTAATGTGTACGGGGAACCGTCGCGTTTCATGCGAGGCACAAGTGGGTGAAACCAATGCGAACGCACCTTTTCCCTTTTACTCCTGATATACACCCTCATAATCTGAGAGTTTGGGCCTCATATGTGTCTCGCCTTAATAGATACAAGCACGTTTGCCTCTGATAGAGCCCACGCCTGACTTCCACCTTGTAGACCAGATGTCACCATTTCCAGAATGTCTCGAGTGGGTTTTCATGCTTCACTCCCGCTGTTCGTCGCCCGTTCTTCTCCTTCTGCTAATCACACCACCAGGACAAAAGAGCCTTCAAGAAGCGAAACGTCTCCTCTGTATCAGAGAGTCAGAATAAACACCCCACCAGATTGCGTTTTCCACCTTTGGAGAATCTAGGCCAATCAGAAAATTCCCAATGTTCCCTTTTGGTCAATATGGCCTCCACAACATTTAGTGCTACGTACCACCACACTTGGACCCAAGACCTTAACCCTGCAAAAGTCCTCCGAACCGTTTCATTGATTGATCCGCTTAGGTACACTGTCAGTATCGCAAAAAGACGGCCGAGAAAACGAATTAAAGCTTCATAGAACCAATTCAAAGACTTCTTCTAAGCCATCTTCTTCATCCATCTCTTCTCCAACTTTCTGGAACCCATGACTCGTAACGATCCTTCTCGAGATCCAATTACTTGGGCTGATAGATGCCCTTACAACATTAACCCGATGGTCATGCCGGCATACTTCGAGCAAAGTCCTAAGAGTTGATGCCCCATATCCACGGCAACGAAATTCAGGATCAACCGCGTACCCAAATTCTACCATGCCTCTCTGATCGGGTCTGGCATGGAATCCGGCCCGCCCAACGATAGCTCGTGTTTGCTGGTCGCGAATAATACGAGTGGTCCAAATGCGATCATCGGGATTCGTGATGTGCTGGTCTCGTCGTCTTCTCCAAGTCCGTCGGCTTGAGTCGCTTACTAGAAACGGTGGGACGCTGTTATCGATCTGTTTGCGTGCTGTTTCGAGATCACCTTCACAGAGTAGATTCAGCGCTTGCCGTGAGAGACATTCTAGTTCGCAGGAAATTGGTCCGTCTTGGGTTGATCTCCAAGGAGCTTCTGTGACTGTCATGATGACAGTTTGGGGAAGGTAGATAATTTTTTCCCCTCTTATTTGTTGTTGTTTGTGGAATATCTTGTTGCTAAGCTTTTTGTTTTGGGGTTGGGGAGAGGGAGCGCGGGAAAGGCGGGTTTTATTTCATGACTCATTCCTTAGGGCTTCGTATTCATCTCTGAGCTGCGACCAGCCTGAGGTGGCTGGTCTGGCACCGCTGGTCGCGATGGAAATTGGAAACCTGCAACGGTGTCACTCCCAGCGGAGCCCAGCCAGATCGCCTGAGCTTATCACATCCAGACTCGTCCACGTACAGCAGGTGGCATGATTGAAAGTCCGATAGGTTATGCAGTTAGAGGTCTCGCAAGTCGGCATTTTGTTCCTTTGCTCTTCGTCAACCCACCGTTTTTGACCAGCCTATGGAAGCAAGAGCTCGTTTGAGACTCGAGTTAGTTACTAGAACACGGAACTTGTCCCATAAAAAGACCGCCATCTCATCTACAAACAACCCAGGCGTTGCGAGAAGATGGTCACACAAAGCTTCTATTGCCGGAGGTGTTATGCTTCTTCGTCGTTCCACACGAGTGAGGGGCGCTCTGACACTCCTCAATTGACGAAGGTGGTTGTGAATATTGATGATCGAACGCTTACTACATTCAGCGGCTTCGGCCATTTGCGAGGGACTTCGATTTGAACTTCAACTTGATCGCGGCCGAATTCTTTATTGTTGAAATGGCCTCACGGATTCCCGAGGTTTTTTTGACTCGGTATATAGAATTATTCACAGAAGAATGCGCTGCCGTAAAACCAAACCCAGTCTGCCAACGCCCCAGTAGATAAAAAATAATCAAATAAATCTCGATTCATTAATGCGCCGGTTTGCCCAACCCGTCTAGCACCTCGTCAGTCGTGTCTTTTCTCCCAGCTCTAGTCGCTCTCCTCCTTGGGTCGCCGTCCACCACGCTTCCGACGCCCTTCGTTTTGGTCGCTGCCGTCATCTTCGTGTTTCCGACCGGCGGGTTGATCGGGCACCTTGGCGATGATGTCGGCCAAAAAGTCCAGCACCTCGTCCTTGGCCACCGCGTGCTTCAGATGAGACGCCGTGACGCGCTTCGAGTTACGGTCCTTGGCTTCATGGGCGGCCTTCGTGACGAGCGAGATCATGAAGAGCTCGAGTGCTTTGGCTGCGGGGGAGGTTAGCGATCGTCCACGCCATTGTGTGGAAAGAGCGTAACTTACAGACGGCGATCGGGGTGACTTGAGCGACCTTGCCGACATCCTCGTCGGCCTGCATGATGCGCTTAATGCGCGCGACAGGAAACTTGGTTTTGACCTCAATCCCCGCGCCGGGACGCGCCTGGGGAATTTCGTCGGGCATCGCGACGGGCATTGCGCCTGGAGCCTCGGGAACGGGCGCATCATCATGCAAGCGAGAGGAGCGGCGAGCCATGTCGTCTTCCTGAAACGGCGGCACGTACTGTTCGGAGACGCGACCTTGGACTTGGGGTTGGGCTTGGGCTTGGGCGGGATTGAAGAAAGGCGAGGCGTCGTAGGATACGCGATGAGCGAGAGGGCTCAAAGGTACGTAAGGAGGGTTGGGGGGGAGAGCGGGGAGAGAAGAAAGGTCGGGAGATCGTGGACGATAGTTCTCGGTCATGCTGCAGCTTTCGTTGATGCCGAGAAGAAAACCGGAGACTCGGGGGCGTCGCCCTTTTTAAATTCCGCGCGGGTCCACAGTCCCTTTTTTACTTTTGCGCCTCCTTCTTCTCTCCAGCGGTTGCAATTGTCGTGGTCGTTGTATATAGTGAATGCCGTTCGTTTCTTTTCCTCTTTCTTCTTCTTCTTTTTCTTCTTCTTCTTTTTCTTCTTCTTCTTGCATCTGCCCCGGTGTACCCGTCAAGGTGCTATAGCCTCTCCTGTAATGACCGTCGATGATGATGACTCCGTCCGGAGACCACCAGAGGAAACCACGCGTTGGTATCGCTGAACTGGTCGGTGATGGACCCGAAATAACTTGATCTAATCTGAGACGCCGTCCGATCCTGTACTATTATCACTAGCGATTCATCTCTCTAATCAACTCCCTTTATCTCTCTCTCGCTCCACCCGTCAATTGAACCAGCTGGGAAACCAAAGCTGTAGATCGGCAGAACTATTTCTCCGGCCAAATTCGATATCAACGCTGCTCGCTTCTGTTCTTCCACCCCGCCGTCTTCCCTTCTGCTCCTGCTTCTGCGGTCGTGAGCAGCCGACGAATTATCTGTTCCAGCCATGGCTGCGGCGGATCCGCCGGCAGGTCTCATGGACATCGTCAGGTATGTCCCGCACAGAGGTGATTTGCAGCCCGGACTAATCGGTATCGGCTTCTAGCACTCTGTCCCAGGATGAAATTCCATTCAAGCTACGATGCGCCATCTGCAGCAAGCTGGCGGTGAACGCCTTTCGCCTCCCTTGCTGCGACCAGTCGATCTGCGAGACCTGTACGACGCCACTTCTTACCAACGGTGACAACACACGACTGACTGGATGTCCATTAGGCCAAACATCCCTCTCTGATACCTGCCCCGTCTGCGCACACACTCCCGTTTCCCCCGATCTCTGCAAACCGAACAAAGCTCTGCGCACCACCCTCAAGGCCTTCCTCCGGACTGAAGAGAAAAAGCGCGAGAAGGAACGCCAATCCACAGCACCTCCAACTCCTACGGTTCCCACTCCCGTGGAGAGTGAGGCTCCGGCCGAAACCTCTGTCGAGCAAACGCCCGTTGAAGCGACACCGGCTGAGAATGTGGAGGTCACGCCGATGGAGGCTAAGACCGACCGAGCTGCAACGGAAGCTCCGCCCACCGGCACCCCGGCTGAGAACCATGTGAACGGTGATACCGTTGAATCGGGAGAACCCGCAGCGGAGGTACTTTCACAACAGATTTTCCTGTTCTCAAGTCTATTACTAACGGTTGGTGCAGCCCGAGCCCAATGGTGATCACGCCCCCGAAGCTGCCAGTACCGAAGCCGACACAAAATCCGATAACGGAGACGCACCTGTCGAAAATGAATTTGCCCCGTCTATCCAAGACCCGTCTCAGCAATCCGGAACCAATATGATGAACATGGCGCCGGGAGGTTTCCCCATGGGCTGGAACGGGAACGCAATGAACCCTTTCATGGGGAATGGCATGTTCAATTTTCCGAATCCGATGGGTATGTGCAACCCCTATATTTACGAAAGGACCATCGACTCACTCACGCTTCCAGGCATGCCCATGACGATGGACCCGATGGCCGCAAATCAGGGGATGTTCGGAGACTACGGAATGAACATGACTGGTATGGGCATGAACATGGGGATGAACTTCAACGGGCAGGGCATGTATGGATCCTTAGGATGGGATGCTTCCCAGCAGAACATGTGGCAAGGCGGCCAAGATAAATTCAATCCAAATGCGTTCGCAAATGGCACGGGCCCTCCGTATGGAGGAGCATTTGGCGGGTCTAATATGTCTTACCATTCTAACGCCGACTTCCAGTCCGGCCCCTACGGCTCTGGATATGGCCGTGGTGGATTTCGCGGTCGTGGGCGTGGTCACTTTGGACCTGGCAGAGGTGGTTTCGCCGGTCCCGCTAATCATCCGTTTTCTAACCAAACTACACCTAATAACGGCCCTGATGGAATATCCGGTACTGACAGTTCCGAGCCAGTGAATATGAACGGTGCGGAACATGTATCGGAGAATACTCTGGATGGCAATACAGATATAACTGCAGAACAACGCTCGGGAGATGCCGATGGGCATCAGCTTCAGGGGATTCCTACCATCGACAGTCTTGACCAGACGGTGCCCACTGGGCCGAGTGGCTTCCGGGGTCCCAGAGGCCCGGGATATGGACGAGGCGGGTACATGCAAGGCCCCGGACGTGGATTTTGGGGTGGACCGGCCGGTTCGCACCAGCCCCAGATGGAACAACCCCAAGGCCTCGGCGTTGAAGGTGCACCGGCTGCACCACGCGCAATGCGTGAGGGTTTGCCCAATACGAGCGTCTTCCGGCAGCGCGGTTTCCATCAAGCACGAGGTTCGGGAGGCAGTAGCACGCCGGGACTTTCAGGGTAAGGGTTTATCCACCATGATAAAGAGATGTATGCTAATGTCTGTAAAGAGGTGTCTCTGACCCTCCCCAGGACCCGGCGCAGCCCCGATCTCCGTCAAAGACGCCATCCCAACCTCCACGAGCAGGGTCCCGATCTCGCTCCCCTTCACAGAGTCGGGCATCTCGTCCTCGTTCGCCTGGGGCCACCAACATGGATGAAGCCCGAGAAGGCCGTCGCAAGCATGATATGAGACGCCCAGATCACGACCGTGTCAGCCGTGCTGATGACCGCCGCTCTCGCTCTCCATCTCGTATCTCCTCACGTCGAACCTCGCGGCCCCGGCACCCCGAAAGTGGTCGGGACAGACGGAGTGACCACCGTTCGCATCGGTCACGTCGCGATCACGGCCGAAATGACAGCCGTAGCCGCAGTTCAAGCAGGAACGGCGAGGGCCACACAGACCGAGTGTCCATGATCAAAGAGAGAAACGAACCCAATGGCCGCAAGACACCTTCTGAAGCAGGCGATCTCTCCGGTCGTGTCAGCGGCCGTCGGTCTAGCAAAGAGAGGCCCAGCCACCGCGAGGAGAATCGTGACAAGGACCGGGACAGTCGACGCCGAGACCGGGACCGCGATCGGGACCGTGAGCGTGATCGTGATCGTGCTCGTCGTGACAGAGATCGCGAGCGAGATCGTGAGCATGGCGGTGACCGGGATCGACGCGATCGAGGTAGAGATCGTGAACGAGACCGCAAACGCTCCCGCCGGGACCGATCCCAGTCGAATGCCGACCAGCTCCGTCCGCAAGCCCGGCGTGTAAAGCGCTCGCCCGACGAGCACCCGGACCTCGAGAAGCCCAAGGCGTCGGAACCCGAGAAAGACCCATACACTCTGGAGCGCGAGGCCCGCAACCGTGAGCGCATGCTTCGTGAGCAGCAGAATCGGGGAGGCAGCAAGCCCAGCACCTACAAGTCGAGCCGCCGTGACAGTCGACCGGAGCGCATGGTGGGCGGCCGTCCTATCAACTTCAAGTACGAAGATGAGCTTTAGATTTGAGGGGTTACTAAAAGTTTTCATGGCATGGGAACGGCGTCCGGCATTTTGAGGTTCTTACTTCTGCTGGGGTAATCCCCCTTTCTCTTCTTGCATGTCATTATTTTACCCCGGGGATGTGACGTGGACCAAATGCGGTTCGTTGAGTAGATACGACGGGGTGCTGGTCTCAGGTACCGGAAGCCCTGAAGATACACAAAATCCAAGTGTGGTCAAATTGAATCCCTTTTTACATGGTAAACCATCTATAAGTTACGTTTTCAAGTTATAAAACACTTTAAGTGTAGATATTCTATTGCCTCTTCGCATCGTGGTTAGCGTTTATGATGCGGGTCAGTCATTCCCCGGCGCCACCATGGTGGTAATCACTCGAAAGTGGATCAAATGATAGCGCGCAGAGTTAATTAAACTGAGCAAATTCTGGTAGGCGTAGCCCTTGGCGTTCCATTGCGATTTCAAAAATTAGATTTACGCTGAAGTTGTTTTTTTAAGCCTCCGCTACTTCGTCGCTACTCCGTAGATTAATTAACCCTTATCAGATTGGTTATGCTTAACCGCGCACGTTAACCTCAGGACTCAGCGGCAGCACATGCGTAGGCAGACGTGCGTAGGCAGACGTTGTTACCCATCGGTCATCTTTTCATCCTGCAATGTTTCACGAAGAGTACCACTACATCTTGTGACAGCAGACGGTGCTCAACTCTAGCTCAATATACTCAACCAAGTCAGTAACGGCTTCCTCCATTCGAATCGTTTCTTAGGGGACGCCATATCCTTCCGAGCTGCGTGATACCGGCTTTGTGACTGCTTACTTCCATTGCCGCCAGTGACTCACAAGGGAGATTAGCTCAGTGTAACTCAAAGGTTGAAGCATCTGGATTGGTATGGGCTGCCAATAGAGCTTCCTATGACGATCTGCTTGATCCTAAGTTTGCAGTGGGCTGGTACGGCGTATGCTTGATCGAACTGGAGAATTATCCTCCTGCTTACCGTAACCGGTGTGCTTGCCATCCTTTTTTTTGTGGTTGAGCATATCGGTGGTAGTAACAGCATGATCCCTTTGTCAATACTACGACAGCGAAATGTAGCCGTCAGCTGTGTGATTGGCTTTTGTAATTTTGCCGCTTTATGGATCCTTGCCAACTACGTAAGTTCCATCGAGAATAATCTACTTCATCACTCCTGGCAAGGTGCTAATAGTTCGGTAGATTCCCATCTATTTTCAAGTAGTGCGTGGAGCAAATGCCCTTCATTCGGCTTTGATGTATCTACCGACCACGCTAAGTTTATGTCCATCTGCGCGCTGGCCAGTGGACCTTTTACATCTACAATCGGTTATTTCAATCCAGCGTTACTTTTCGGCAGCGCGCTGAGTGTGACTCGAGCAGCATTGATGGCCACATTCGAAACCCATACGCCTGCAGCACGATGGATAGCTTACCAGATCATCTACGGTATCGGCGTTGGTATGGCATTCCAGCCTCCTTTCATCGCCCTGCAAACCGTACTTGAGAAGCCACTTGTTCCTGCAGCCTTGGTACTGCTGAACTTTGTGCAGATGCTCGGTGGCATCATCTTCCTATCCATCTCTCAGAATGTGTTCCTGGACAAGCTGACAAACAATCTTACGCAAAACATCCCGAATTTTAACCCAGCCATTGCCAAGCAGAATGGCGCGACTGGTCTAAAGGGTTTGGCGCCCGTTGATTGTCAACCGCAGGTCATACTGGCCTACAATTCTGCTATCATGGACGTATTCTACATCGCACTTGGTCTGGTTAGTGTTGGTCTGCTAGCTGCGCTCGGCCTTGAGTGGAGGTCAATCAAGAAGGACGATAAGAAGAGAGAGTGAACTCAAAAGACATGTGTTGCTCTGCGCAGCTATTGGACAGTTGAGATCATTTTGTGTGTTCAGGAAACTATCCCAATGTGTCTTTCATAGGCGTGTTTCAGTAGCGTATTGTGCTACTTATAACCTCTCGCAAGGGTAGAGACCCCGAGAAACACGCCGATCGTTAGCTGAGCAGCAACCGCATTGACTTCGTTCTCTTGCGCATAACGAACTGCATCCAAGGTGGCCCTGATTAGTGGACCACCCCTAGCCTCGATAGCTACCAAGATGAAGTAGAACCAGCTGTCATCGATCGCACCCGTGACGGTTATCTGAGTTGAGAGGTTGCCATGTATATCTCCCGAGCTCAGCCCCTCATCATCGGCCACAACCCTAAGTCTACAATAAAAGGTCCAAATAATTAGGTATTCAGCTTCCAATTTTGGAAGATTCATAGAGATCATTTTTAAAAGTCCAATGTATTGACAAATGCGCTAAAAAAACAAGACCGCGTATCCATATGCAGGTGTGCATCATGTACGTCGCCACATCAGGGACGAAATCCAAGCCCACGACGCTAACAACAAAATACTCGCCACAATACTAGTTGCAAATCCTTACACTATCACATCCATCCTAGGTCAGCTTGCTCTTCAGGGACTCAATCTCGGAAGTCAATGTCTGCATCTGTTGAGCCTGCGACGCAATGGTCTTGGTCTGCTCCGCGATCAGTTTCTTGATCTCCTCCATCTCGCGCTGGACGGTGCTGGTGGGCAGGGTGGACTCGCTGGCGGGGGATGAAGCGATGGGGGTCTGTGACTGTCAGTACTGGTCGATATAAAGAGGCGGACAGGAGACATACGGCTGCACGGGGCTCAGGCTTAGGCTCGGGCTTGGCCTCGGGCTTGGCCTCGGTCTCCTTTGGCCGCAGAGGGCTGCTGACTCTGAGAGAAGAGGTCTCGGTGACAGTCGAGCGAGCACGCTCGGTAGGCTTGGGGACTTCCTCGAAGCTGGAGTCATCATCCACAGACTCGGTCTCATCTTCGTCGTCGGCAAACTTGTTCACCATGGCGGCCATGGCGCCACCCTGCTCCTTCATAGACGGAGCAGGACGAGCCACCTGGGTGGGCTCAGGGATAGACTCGGGGACCGCCTTCGTAACTGCAGGCTCGGGATTCTTGGCCACAGGCTCAGCAGCAGGCTTGGGCTCGGGAGCACCCATGGTGCCGGTAGGCTTGTCCTGCACACCTTCAACCTCCTTGAGGCCCTGGCCATCGAACAGGCTGGCCATGGAGATTTTAGGTGGGATAGCTTCCTTGCCCGACAACCACTCGGCGGAGCTCATGGCAGGGGTCAATCCGAGAGTGGGCGGGTAAATGTCGTCCTGGAAGTTGTCGGAACGACGGGGCACAATGAATGAGACGGGCTCAATGTAGCTGTCGTTGATGGTCTTGTATGCTCGAGCAATTTCGTTCTCGTGCATATTCACACCTCGCTTGGGCATGAATGCGACACCACGCTGAGGGTCGGCGGACTTGTATTCAGAAAGGAACTCGAACTTGTCGTTTTCGATTTCGAAGTATCGGATATTTCCATCACTGTGAAGGGCGTTAGAAGACGATGATCATGTTTCGCTCGAAAAAAAAAAAAATCAATAATTACTCACCCTCGTCCAGCCAGATACAAGCAGCTGTTACCTTCGTCCCAGAAGGGCATGCAAACACCCGAGATGGAGTCCAAGGTCTTGAAGCCACTAATGGGCTCACGAGCGGCACGGATATCCCATAAGGCCAGCTGGCGGTCGCTCATCTTGGAGAAACCGGTGGTCGCGATCCGGTCGCGCTCTCCCAGCCAAATAGCACGGCTGTTCTTGGCTCCCGAGTGTCCGTTCGACTCATGCGCCGGGCGCTCCTGACGGACATCCCAAATCCGGAGCTTCTTGTCGCGTGAGGTGGTGACCAGAAGGGAACCGTTACCGCTCCACGACTGTGACTGCACAATGTCGCCGACATTGAGGGTCAGCTTGGGCGCACCCGCCTCAATATCCCAGATCTTCACAGTATAGTCGCCCGAGGCCGTTGCCAGCACGTTTTCCGCCGCGGGGTTGAAGAGCACGTGGCCGACTTTCCTGCAGAGAGGGGTTAGTTCTGCACCCTCACGTCGCCAATGGGTGGTGCCTTTCTCACTTGGGGTGGCCGTTCAGTTTGCCAACAGGCGCGATGTCCTTGATGTCATCGGCATCGGCATCGGGGCGCACGGTGAAGTTCTCCGGAACCCGCCAGAGGAAGACCTGATCCCGGTCAGCAGCAATCCAACCATTATCCCAGACGTCCAGTTTATACCTTTCCGTCGTCGGAACCCGAAGCAATCAGATCATCGTTGAAAGGATTCCTGTAGAGCGTGAGTGGTCATGCACAACTCAACTCCATTGACTTCCTTACCAGTCGGTGTCGAGCACGACTGCGGTGTGACCCCGAAACAAAGGGATGCGCTCCGGGAGCTTGCCACGCTCTTCGAGAGGGATGACGGCGAAAGCACCGCCGCCACCAGCTTCCCAATTAACCGCAAGGTGTTTCGGGTTAACCTAGATCGTGAGTTGTCAGACCAAACGCCGTTGCGGTGAGGTCAGGGGCGGTGGCGCAACGGACGGACCTTGATCAGGTTGGTATCCCATGCGTTTCTGGAGACGCGAAGGTTATCGTAGCATTGTTCCTGCGGTTCGTGTCAAAGGAGACGTCGTAGCGGGCGCTTTCGTGAGGAGATGTACCTTTCTCGTCGAACGCCCGAAGACGTGGCCTTCCCAGCATAACGGTCAGCGGACAGCTCGTTGTAGGTCATGCAGAGAGGAAGCACTCACGGTATTTGGAGGAACGCACAAATCGCCCGGACATTGTTTTTTCCAAGAGCTGCAGGGCAATGAAGTAGAAGCAGGAGAGCTCAGGAGGAGAGGATGAAAGAAGAGACCCAGCTGCCCTCTCGAGCAACCAGGGAATGCGGGAACTGGGCCTTTTGGTGTGTTTCGAGCGGGCCCGGTGGAGTCTGCGCTGCGCTTTTCCTTCGACGGCCACTTGCAACGGGGAATCCCAGTCAATTCGGCCGATCAATCACGGAGAAGACACAATTGAGTGACAGGATGGTCAGGAGTATGCACATCAATGCCGAGTATCAACCCATCAACCGATCAACACCTCGACGAACCCCCGCAACGGTTTCCCTCAACGACGGGGTCACGTGCGATACCGACGGTCACGGATACCGTAATTACAATACAGCTAGTCCGGACTTGGATGCTGACTCAGCGTTTGTTTACTGTTCGTCTCTGGAGAAACCGGAGCTCCTCATACTGTACACTGGCATGTCCTTTGCATCCATCCTCCTTCGCAAATTGACTTGAACCGTGGCAGGACGAGAGTTTGGCCTGCTCGCCCGGATCTTCTACTCCGTGACCTGGCGACCCACGACTCTGACCATGGAGGACGAGAACTTGGTAAACGGCGACTTCCCCGCTGTCGCATCTCCTCCGTTTACTGATTGCGATGCAGACTCAAGCCCGTGCGTCCACTCGATCGCGCATCCCGTATCCTGGCCTGCGCGAGATGAACCCGGCGACGACCAATTCTCGGTCGGGTATTCTGCCACCGGGTTCCATCGCCAACAAGGGCAGCGTGTCACGTACGAACCACCGCTCAAACGTTATAACGAAAGGTTTACTGATGACACTCGCAGCCACTCGTCCCAAGTCTACCATTCCTCCCGAACCGAAGAAATCAGCATCCGTTTCCCGCTCAGGGGCCGGCGCAACCAAGGCGCACACCCGCGGCAACTCATTGGCTTCGTCCACCACATCCCGAATCGGCTCGACAACCTCTCGCTCGATCAATGGCAATTTTTCTAATACTATGGGCTATAACCGCCCAGCGTCCGCTATGTCTCGTCCCAATTCGTCCCTGAGTGCTCGCAAACCCAATGGCGCCGCCGTCCCGCGCCCCGCCACCTCGTTAGATACCCATGCCGAAGATGGAGCCAGTGTACTCGGAAAACGAAAGGGTATGCAACCATTTCCTTCTTCTCCTAGTCGCTCCTTTTCTTGCCCTGTTGGAGATCCTAAGGAACCGCACCGAAGCGCCACTTGGAGTGAAGCACGTCAGCGGGTGCCGAAAGAAGCCCCTGGTAGATATGCAGATCTATCATATAGCGCTTTTCGGAGTGATAACCCAGGATCCAAGACCAACCCATGCTTCCCGAACCCCAAGAATTTGGACTCCAAAGCACCTACCCCAGCGAGACCGGTGCGGCAAACAAGGGTTCCCATTCCCAGCCCAACCAGGTCTTGCAGAACACCCTCCTACTCACCAGGTCCAACACCCAAGAAGCCCCCAGTCCCTCTATTTCTTTCCAAAAACTCTACGATTAAGATTTTTGACCATCCCACAGGTGCCGAGTGGAACCAAGAGCGCAAGGAAATGGACATGGAAAACATGCTGAACCAATTCATGGCAAAAATAAATGAGCAAGGCCAGCAAAGCTCTGGTCTGAAAGACAGTGTTGAGCTCTACAAGTCGAGAAGTGAGTAGATCAGCCGGCAGACCAAATATGCGCGTACTAATTTTTCGGGGCAGTTAACGAGCTGGAAAGCTCTCGCGACAAATTGACCGAAGCCAATGTGTCTCTCCGCTACGAGACAGATGCATTGAAGAACCAACTGGCTGCTGCAGAGGCTGCATTGAAAGATGCTAGACGCGAACAAGAAATTGCCATGGACGACCTCGACCGGCGTCAGCGCATTGAGATGGAAACTATCAATCAGGAAAGCAAAAGTGCGATTGAAATCCTCAAAGCTCGTCACCAAGATGAGATGCAACAGCTGAGGCGCAAGTTTGAGCGCGAAATTGAAGATGAGAAAGCCGCTCGCGTCCGGGAGCTTGGGCAGCTTACTTCAAAGTCGGCCCTGGACATCCAAAAGTCCGAGATCGAATTGGAAAAGAAAAATCGCGAAATAACCATGATGAACAATCAGCTTGCATCCCTCAAGTCCGACTTGGAGCGCGAGCGAAGGTCCACCCACGACCTTCGACAGAATCTTGATACCGTTGGTAGCAACAGTGTGACATTGGAGTCGACCATCCGAGCCCTCAAGGCTCGAATTGAGTTTCTCGAGGGTGGAAGAGAGGAACAGTCTCAGGCCTTTGAACGCTGCAACCAGGAGATGATGGATGCACTGGCCGAGACCGAGGCCACCAAGGAAAAACTACGGAGGGAAGAGACTCTGCGTCGCAAGCTTCACAACCAAGTTCAAGAATTGAAGGGAAATATTCGGGTTTTCTGTCGTGTTCGTCCGTCTCTCAAGAGCGAGCCAGCGTCTGATATTGCCCCGATGCAGTATCCTGACGAGCTCGATGACGCCAAGGAGATCAATGTCATGGGCCCAGAGGAGAAGAGCAGCCTCGGAAGCGTCAGTCGCAAGAGTAATACCTTCTCTTTCGATCGAGTATTTGGCCCTTCCGCCAAGAACAGTGATGTCTTTGAAGAAATTAGCCAGCTGGTCCAGAGCGCGTTGGATGGCTATAATGTGTGCATCTTTTGCTACGGTCAGACTGGCAGTGGTAAGACACATACCATGTCTTCCCAAGATGGTATGATCCCTCTTGCTGTGCACCAGATTTACGAGTCTGCTCAAAGCCTGGAAGAGAAGGGCTGGCGGTACAAGATGGCGGGAAACTTCGTCGAGGTCTACAATGAGAACCTGAACGACCTGCTAGGCAACCCCGATGAACTAGACAAGAAGAAGCATGAGATTCGCCACGACATGCAACGTGGCAAGACCACCATCACCGACATCAACACCGTCGACCTAGACTCCCCGGAGATGGTCGAGTCTATCCTTAAAAACGCGGCCGCTAACCGTTCTGTGGCTGCCACCAAGGCTAACGAGCGCTCCTCGCGGTCTCACTCCGTCTTTATCCTCAAGCTGACCGGCGAGAACCACATCACCGGCGAGCGCAGTGAAGGCACCCTCAACCTGGTTGATCTTGCTGGAAGTGAGCGTCTGAGCCACAGTGGGGCGACTGGTGAGCGTCTCAAAGAAACCCAGAACATCAACCGCAGTCTCAGCTCCCTCGGTGATGTGATTGCTGCCCTCGGTCAGGGCAAGGAGGGTGGCCACATCCCGTACCGAAACAGCAAGGTATGTCTTCTACTTTCTCCCTTTTGTCGTAACATGTGCTAATCAGCATCCAGCTTACCTACCTCCTCCAATTCTCGCTGGGCGGCAACTCCAAGACCCTGATGTTTGTCATGGTCAGCCCACTTCAGGCACACCTGTCCGAGACCTTGACCAGCTTGAAGTTTGCCACGAAGGTGCACAACACCCACATCGGCACTGCTAAGCGACAGGCGCGCGTTCGCGACACTTGAATATGATGATACCTCTCTTGTTTTGCATATACTTGTTCGGGTTTTGCGTTTTGGAAGGCAGAGGTCTTTAACGATCCTGTCCTCTGCCTCGGCGTTTGGATTGGGTCCATGATGTTTTCTTATTGAGCCTTGATGATCGGTCCCTTGGCGTGTCATTTATGTATGGACTGATGAATCTGGTTTAATCAATGCACAGTGCAGGATTTTATCTCACCTCCGTGCCTCTTCGGAGACTATTTCGTAAACTTTTTGTCCGTGCCAGTGCGGCGATTTAGATAGATGTGCATTCAAGTAGGTTACATGGCGTGTTCTAGATCACAGCGATCCCAGGTATTTATCCGACTTCTCCTTTACTTGATCCGCCTTCTTCTTGATGGCATTCCGATCCAGAGTACCCTCTTCACAGATATACGCATCAATCAGTTCTGCTGGCACCCATTCAAAGTAGACGTTCTTCACCTCGACCGCACAATTGCTTGTCCCAGGTCGAGCATCCATGTGCCTCTCGAGAACCTTAACCCCTTTGACACCGCTATCAATCCAGGGAGACATCACCTCCACGGGATCGTTGTTTTCCACTCCGTGGTTTTCTTCAGAGCCCGCCTCGGCTACTTTCTCCAATTGACTGAATACAAGCACCTTCACCCGCGGACCGACGTGTTTCGCACATAGAACAGCTGGAAGAGACCCTATTTTGTTGCTGATCCATCCCGCACTGGAGATGCGGTCTGCACCAAGCAGCACAAAGTCCACACCGTCAGCAGCGAGGGCAGCCGAGGCATCGGTATAAACGGCCAACTTCAAATGACGGTCTGACGGTGGGGGAAACTTGGTCTGGAACTCCGAGACCAGAGAGGACGCCATGCTGGCACCTTCGAAGAGGGGTCGAGATTCCAGAATGCGCAGATCCAAGGTCGAGATTGGGAGAGATGCAAAGGCATCTAGAATGCTATCCCGAATGGTCGAGCTGGCCGAAAGGGTGAGGATCGTAAGAGTGGACTGCGGTTGTGCCTTGGTAATAAACGTACCGTGCAGATAGGCCGTAAACGAATCCTTGATGTGAGCGGGCATCGCCCGACGATTCTCCAGGTGGAAGTCGACGACTCCGAGAACATAATCCCAAGCGGATTCGTTTTCAAGACTTTGACCGGACACCTCCTCCATGTCGCCCAAGACACCGAGGAAGGCATTCGTGGTCGCTGCGCCCATACTTTCACGGCCGTTCTTACACATGTGCCATGCGGCCATGCGAGCTGTCTGCCACCAGTTTGGATCGCCCCGTAGATGCACCAGCACATCCCGGAATCCCGTCAGTGCGATCGTGGTCAACTCGTGGGATCCGCTTCGATGGTCGTTCTCGAGTTGTTGCAAACCTGATCGTAGTGCTTGGCTTGCTTCGTCGTTCATTTGCGCTTCAAACCAAACGCGACCCAGGCTGTCTGCGAGGCGTGGCACGCCGTCAAAACTTCCATCGTTCACGTCCTTCGGGTCATACCATTCCCAGCCGTCGTGTTCCCAGTCAATTTTGATAGCTTCTTCTCCTCGGCCTCCTTCATCGGTGGTTTTGAGCCGAAATGCGAACGGATAGATGGTCCATTCTCGCCCAATTGAAGCGTCACTGAATGTATATGGCTTTCCATGTCGCCATAATCCCACATCCCGATGTGTCAGAGTTGTCTCTTCTTTGAGCTCGCGCCATGCAGCTGCGATTGGGGACTCATTGGGCTCTACGCTGCCCGAGATCGGTGCTAGTCGATGCCTTCGTAGATCAGCCCAAAGTTCCAGAACGGATTGTGCCGAAAAGACCCACTGGTATGTTCTTACTTTGGCGCTGCGGCGGAAAAGAGCAACGCGTGGTCTACCGGTCACAGAGAAAAGAAAAGAAGATACGACAGATCTGTGTTGAAATTCAGATTGATGTTGCGCTGTCATTTTCCACGGGATGTAGACAGTGTAGGACAGCGGTGAGTGTGTTGATCAAGCAACGCGGGGAACGCGCGGGATTTTGGGGTGTCGAGGATCGCTGGATCTGGTGTCATCGTCACATCATAGCTACGTTTAACCTTATTTACGGCAACCGATAGGTGCCATCACTCAAAATCAACTTCCAAAGATACCAGAAAGATATTCACAGGGAAGCCGAGATTCTGAAGCAAAGACACGCTGCACAAGGGTAGAGGAATAAGGTTTCATCATGGCCTATGCTATGACATACAAGCATCCACTCCACAGGCTGCTATCAAACCAAGCTCACATCTTCCACCACCAAAATGCATTTCCGACCCATTGCATTCTTCTTTCCAACCCCTGGTCATCCAACAACATCTTGCCAACCCCTTCCTAATCAGAGCACGAAAAGACCGGCAATTACTGCGGCACCGCCTAGCACGATTTCTTGAGCTGTGGCAATCGGCATGGCCGCATTGCTGGTGGCAGCTGCAGAACCAGAGCTGGTAGGAGTCGCCTCGTTGGTAGCAGGAGTTGTGGTAGCACCTGCAGCAAGCTTCGATGATGCTGAAGAGACCTGTGCTGAATAATCGGTTGCGGCGACGGGAACCGTGGTGAAGCAATTGTCGCCAATGCTGAGTGACAGACTCAGACTCCTTGGTAAAACATCTCTGACTTTCATGTTGGAATTCGTGTTCGCATTGATGTTCTTAACGCAGCAATATGTGGGGGCGCTCCCAGACACAAAGGTTCCGTAGCAGCATTGGCCGTTCTGTGTGTCCCAGTCCTGGGGGCAAGAGGCTGCCGTGGCCGCGAGGGAGAGGGCGATGAGCAGAAGGCTCTTGAAGGATGGCATTGCGAGTTTCAAGTGGATCAGGTAAAAGTAATTATGAATGATTGAGTGTGTTGATAGACCGTGAATATGGGTTCTGCTTACCTTTTATAGACGACATGCGTGCCGAGGAGCTTGCTAGAGCTGGGTCGCCCTGCGCACGGAGCTGCGATAACTTCCTTTTTGATTGGTGTAGAGACTCTGACTGCATTCCCTTAGCGAGGACCTTCGGACGAGGCTGAGTCTATACGACCTATGCGGGGCTGGCGTTTGGGGCTGAGGGCGCCGCAAAGGAGAACGGGGGGCCTGAAAGGAGAATGGGGGCCAAGAAGGTATTGCATGCCAGGGATTTTCATGTAAAATACAACGACTATGTAGTTATCTTAGGAAGCGGTCTGAAACGCCGGGTCTCGAGGACCTCTCCACTCAGGACTTGCTGACACTCGATATTGGTGGAGTCTCCTACCCATCTCGTATAATTGAGGCTGATGTCGGAGATTTGATCCTTGACCCGTAGTTTAGTGGCAGAGTCTCTCTAAAAGGAAATGTTCCTGCCGGCCGCCTTTTCTGGGATTCTGCCATTCGGAAGGACAAAGGAGTTGTGCTTCCTATTTATGTCGACCTCCTAAGGCTATAATCTGACATGGAAGTAGCCACTTCCCTGCGTAGACCACAAGGCTATTGTTTGATTGCTTCTTTATGAAACACGTCTATTTCCGTTAAAAGTATGTTCGGTCGACCAAACTCAAAGAGAAAAGCTTATTAGTGCCCCGTAATAGCGCCCCCCCCACCTGGCGGTGAGGGTGCTGGCAGCCTCCTAATCATCCCGTCAGCCGCACGCAGATGTTTTTTCTGTGTTACACCTCACTTACTCCATACTCCAAGATAAAACGGCCACAGTTATCGCAGAACTCGCGATAGATTACAGCTCCGGACCCATTGTCTGCCACATGTTCCTTGGGGTTTCCCGCGGTGATGTGGAAGGCGTCTTTAGGAACCTTGGCCGTAAGACCGTAGTTTGTTCCAAAAGCTTTCTGAGTGAATAATGTGGTTAGAAACGCCTGTCCTGTACCGGCAAAGGAGCATATCTGTACTTTACAGCTGCGACAGTAGCGAAGCGAGGTCCGAGCGTCGTCCCGGGAGTTCAGCTGAAGCTCGTATTCAATATTGCGGCAGAAACATGAGCCCCTGTAGATCGGCATGATTGCTCTTTTAAATATTTTGCGCTCCTTTGAGTTGAGCTTGAGAAACTAAAGGCAAAAGGAAGAACGTTGGGTAAACCTTGGGGAGAAGCATGGAATGACGTTAAACCTGGATTCGGTCTGAATGTGAACCCGCGGACACCACGCGGGGATTCAATCGCCAATTGAGTTCTGCCCGAGCTTTGCCGACGCTCCCCTGATTCAATGCACGAGTTAATCACTGCGATCATTGCAGTCAGAAATGCATGCGTTAGGAAAGCTACCGGGAACAATCTTGAGAAAGATATTTTGAAGGTTGTCTAGAGAGTTGGCTAAACAGATATTCATAATTCGTGCCTTGGGAGTTGCTGAAAATGGAAACTCCGTAATGAGATTTGAAGATGTAATGGAGGTAGATTGTGTCCAAGTGTATGAGATAAAAGGAAGATGAAGAGGAGAAAAGGAAGTACTTGGGAACATAAATATTCCTATATTCTTGGTGTCAGCTAGCGATAATTCATCAAAAGAGTCGAGTCTTCCGATCGGCCAAAGTTGGGGAAACATTTCCCTCCTCGTCATGCGCTATCCCAGTTCCACTGTCATAAACCGGAATCAATCCATCAGAAACAGAGGGGCAGAGCTCCTGCATGCGATGACATGCCAACTCATTACACAGGTTCCACAAGCAAAGAATTTCCACCCGCATATAGCCCGTATAGCGAGGCTCATACCGATTCTCAGGATACCGCCCATCGGTCATACCAACAAATCCCCAAGGTTGACTAGGCTTCCTAGGCCGTGTGTCCTCGAGCCAAGACTGGGGGTCGGGACTGGCAACGATTGACTTTAGTGACCGCTCAGCAATGAGAAGGCAGCCTTCGAATCGACCAGTTCCTAGGCCTTTGCTTGCACGAAGGTACTCAGAAAAATGTTGGCGAACTTGCTTGATACTTGCTCCATCCCAGAACTGTTTGTCTGAGAAAATAACGTCCTTATGCGTTTCTTTCACTAGTCGCTCTGCGTCTCCATCTGGCTCTGGATCCTTGGGTTTCTTATGTTGGATTTCGGCCTGAAGCTCAGAGTCGATAGAGTAATTCATGACTTTAGCCAGTTTATCCATGGCATAGGCCATAGGTCATCTGATTCAGCAGTGTAGACTGTTCGGTATATAATGTAGCCCCAGGGGAATCTAGAGTCCACCGAGGGGCACAGAAACTTTGTTGTGAGACGCGGAGTCTGTTCAGCCCAGGGAGCTTTAGACTAATTTTCCAAGTAGTCGACTACTAACTCAGGGGGAATGTCTCGATTAGCGTGACGCCAATCTTGGCAATGCAAGTTAGCCAAAGCTTGTGCTCCAATTTTGGTATTTATGAGACCACGGAAAAGACCGACCAGGAAATTTCTGTGCCCGATGTGACTTGTGACCTGCTAAGGAACCACAGAATCAAGAATGGAAGTGCCCGCTTCATATTGACATGCATGAAACACTTCGAAGGAGTGACTTTCTCCCCAAAGTTTTCGATAATATATCCACTCGTTTAATCTGGCTAGCTTCGCAATATCTTAGTTCCTTGGCAATCCGGTGAACAGGAGCTTTGGGAGAATTGACTTGATTACACGCAGAGCGATATTTCTTCTATTCCTCCCCCCTATGACAAACGTGCTAATTCTAGCGCAAGAAAGCAAGCAGCTACGCGCAGAAAACGAAAAACAGAAGCAAAAACGACGTCCATCAAATAGGCGGATGTCCCGGATATCTTGCTCAACGTCTGTCTACCCCAACCTTACACCGCGCTATTCGCCGTCAAACTCTTTACCACCATATCGGGAGCAAGTAACTTGTCACGGATTGAGACCCCATTGAGATAGTCGTTACTATCCACCCGCCGATACCCATCCTCCAGGGTCTTTTCAATGCCCGCACGTACATGCCGCTTGGCAGTTCGCTCGCGCGCTTCTTGCAGATCGGTATCCACAAAGATTCGGCAGTCAACCATCGTGGCCAGGTCTCTCCATCCCGGCTCATCGAGAAGGAGGTAATTGCCCTCGGCGATGATGATCGAAACGTCGGGTGTAATGGCAATCCCATTTTCGACGGGGTCCTTGACTTTGTGATCGAAAGCCGGGGCCCGGATGACGTCCTGGGCAGTCCATTTGCCCGAGTAAGGAGCTGCCAATGGGGTCTCGTCGGCCCACGCTCGAAGTCGGCCAACGAACTCCACGAACCTTACGACGTCGAATGTCCATGGTGCGCCGCGGCGCACGTGTGCCTCCGTGGAGTTGGGCAGCTGGTCCAGAGCTGCGCGAGACAGATGAAATCCATCCATCGAAAGAAGGGCGGCGTGTACCGTAGGGGAGGCATTCAGCTGCTGAACCACAGCCTCGGCGGTCGTGGTCTTACCAGACCCGGGGACTCCTGCAATGGCAACGAGATAGCGCGGCTTGGGGTGGCTGCTGGCCTTTTGGCGGATGGTGTCCGCCAGTCTGCGGTACTCAGATTCCATCTGAGTCTGGTCAGCTTTGAGAAAGAAGAAATGGTAAAGGACGGAGCCGACCTTGGGCTAAATCAATCGAGCACGTGTGCGATATAGATGTTTTGATATCGAGTCACTGCAAAGCAGCCTCAACGGCAAATCAAATCAACCCCAAATTAACGAATCATGGCGAGTCGGAAGCAAAAGAAAGTGAGCTGATCACACAGCATGAGTATTCAACGAACTATTCGAGGGCGCGAGGCCATCGCTATGTATATCGGGGCGGAGTGGCCCGCGGGTCACAGTGCTCCGACTTCCTACCCGCACCGCGAGCGTCGGTCTTGATCCGAGTCGGGTGGCCGAGTGCCTCTAATATGCAGATCTCCAAGTTTCTCCGCGGTTTACCAGAAGAGGGATTTGGTATGGCGAGGTGGGGGGTGACATCCCATCCCAATCGCCGTTGTTGGTCCATCGCGCCGAGTGGGCGCCACCTTTCTTTCTTACCCGCAAGGGAATAATTTCTTTAGATCGGGGTACTATTGGAGAACAAGAAAAGAAGAACGGGCCCTTTAATAATTAAGGCGTAGTGAGATATACTCCAAATACCGTGTTCATGCATTCGCTCCCTTTCCCGTGTACTGCGCTGGCACTGGGCACCAACTCCGTAGAACAAAATCCCACAACGCCTAAAGCAGGGTTTGGTTCATTTCGCCATTCAGCACTTGAAGAGTGACGAGGGTGATAAGATGATTGATGACGGTGTCACCGTGGACTACCTGCCACGGATCTGTGCCAGCCGTCCAGTCGAAGGGTCTCCCAATTGGGGCACGGACTCGACGCGTTTAGCCTTACGCTTCGGGTTGGGATTCACATAAAAGCAGAGAATTTGTTGCTGATAGCAATGAGAACATTGTGGTTTCGCATGATCGCAGGCGACATGCCATTCGCGACAGGCTTTGCAGCCGAGAGAGTCGGCAGTATAGGATTGAGCCGGGGAGTGGGCGGTTTCGCAGCCCCACAAAGAGGGCCACAGCCATTGAGAAATGCGAGAACAGATTCCCCGCGAGATCACCGGCTGCATCGGGCGGCTGCGCGATTGTCTCGCATGTCTGGCGACCGAGTCGTGGGGTCGCGCTGCCCTGGTTTCGGTCAGCATGGAAGGAACAGGTCGAAGTTCCTCAACCGGGTCACTCACGTTGGGCTTGCCATTATGTGGAGTGCAAGGTGTATAGAGGAGAGAGAAGGACTTGGACACTTAGACAAAGAACAAACGACACTCAGACCCCCCACAATCCCCAAACCCCAAAGGTGGATAAGTCGCACACGCCTCGTTCCCCGTGAGCTGTCATTCCGACTTTGACTGGGCCTTGATCTGGTTTCGTGACTCACGGTGAAGTGATCATCCGACGCCACTTGCATACAGGTCACGCCGGAATCGCTTTCCACGGGGTGCCTGCTCTATGGCCGGAGTCTATATGCGGGAGAGTTTAGAGGTGTTGCAAGGCACGAACGTCATGGTCACTTCAGCCCTAGTAAGCTGCATGGGGGCTACATGTATTTTTGTACCGCGATGGCTGCTGCACACATGCATCATGTACCGCATCACCGACGCCATCTGCACTGACCATCGCAATCTCGAGGCCTACTATGATCGCATTGCCGATGCTCAGGACTCCGATGAACAGACTCGGTATCAAAATCAATTTACTTGGGAACTGGCTCGACATGTTGTGGGTGAGGAGCTAGTGCTGGATCCGGCGCTAGAAGCACAGCTGCCCGATGGCGATACAGGCGAAGATCGCCAACAGCAGCACACGGTAAGTTGCAATTCGGCTCCTCTCCCGGAGTGGAAATTGAACTGGACATTCCACAGATCAAAGAAAAGCTCGCGGTATTTCAAAACCTGAGCTGCTCCGATCCTCGCTTCATTCCCACTTTGACGATTCTCATGGAAGATCTCTCAGCCCACATCCACATCAAGGAGACGCGGGACCTCGTCAAACTCGAAGGTGCGATTACCGCCGAGGAAAGTCAGCGCCTTGCCCGGTCCTTTGACCGCACCAAGTTCTTCGCCCCGACACGCGCTCATCCCGGCTTGCCCGATCGCCCCTACGTGACCGCGGCTGCTCTGATAGCTGCCCCGCTGGATCGTCTACAGGACCTATTTCAACGGTGGCCGGAGGACGGATTGACTCCAATTCCGGACCTGGAATAGTTCAACTCCGCTCGGCCTCTCTGGAAATGCTGAGGCTTACCCAGCTGTGTCGCCCCGCACTTGCCACGTAATATCGGCCGAGGTATTCCGCCCGTTGCAATTGGATAGAAGAAGCACGAAACAGGATTAATTCGAGGTCATTCTACTAAGCACGGGAAATCGGATAGAATTCAAACTTCGCTCTTCACTTTGCCCACGGGTGTTCCGAACACATTCGCTGAAGTATGCGTCATGCTCTCGTCAGATAGAGGCAAATGTGCCTCTGGAGAAACCACGGAATGCCAATATTCCAGATACTTCGGGACTTTTAGTTACGCGTTTCCTAGCTGCCACCCACTACCACGATTCAAGCTTTAATGGCTCGCTTAAGCTCCCGAAATAACGGGAAGGACCCACTCGTAGGTGTATAGATTCTCTCGACCTGTCTGGACCAGTTGGCCACCTGCAATTTGCCTTGCCGCTTTACACATTGAAAATGTGAATAGACGAATCAAATCCGGGGCTCCATTCAGCATACAGAGACACGGTGGTGCCCAAGGACTGATGTCAGTCTTGCGTCGGGTGGCCATGGGTCAGCACCCCTGGGAGTATATGAAGGTCGGCCTGGCATCCCGAGCAACAACAGGCCAGTCACTATCGGATCATTCTATCCGGCCGAATTCACGTTCTTTTTCCAAACCTTACATTCGTTATTCCTTTCGGACGCCGTTCCGATCTTTATCATGTCCAGTTCGGTGGACGCAATCCGAGGGGCCGGGGCCGGGGCCGAGTATACAAACCCTCGGACTGAGCTCAACCGCATCGTGGAGCGCGTGTACGCTCCCGACACAGATGTTGATTTGCAGGAAATTCCCCTACAAGGCGACGACGACCTTGATCTTGAGCAGGAAGATCCGATGGCTGCACAATACGCAGACACCGTGAAGCACATCGGTATGAACGGCGGCGCTTTCTTGAAAATGATCAACTAATGATCCCCAGGACGAGCTGGCCGTCCACGAGGACCGGTCCAATATTCTGCCCCGGGTGGCTTATGACAGACAATCTTTGATGGCGATCAGGAAAGTGACAATAATGAGGAGAGTCTGTCGTCGTATCCGTGATCGCTAAATCATCCGGAGGTCCTGGAAGGCGGCAAAGATATAGATGACGATACCGCAGAGTCCAGATGACACTCGATAAAACGTCTGCATCTGGCTTGAAACTTAATTACAGCCGTTTTTAATTAGATACAAGCTCCAAGTCTCTGCAGCTAGTAACTTGTAGCAGTGGTCGAGCGCCAAGACTTTTCCACCCGCGATGTTTTTCCGTCGCGCGACCGAACATTCTTTCTCTCCTTCACTCTCAGACCCGGCATATCCGATTGACCGGTGTTTCCAATCTTGCGAGGCCTTCGTTTGGGGGCTATTTGTCTTGTGTGGAGGTGTCGGTCCATATCCAGGAGACCAATGCAACCCGAGATCTCCGGTGATCGTCTCCCCAGCGACTGTCCCGGATTGATCTCCAGATTGACGACGCGGTCGTACTATGCAACGACCATGGAATGTGAGATGCGATCATGGGAATTATCACGGCAACCGGGCCCGAGTTACCTGCAGTTCAAGAGATGGTTATAGCTCCCCTTTCGGAGGCGCCGGACAAGTTCGCTAGTGATGTTTCTCCTGTTTCATGTCGTTTCAAGTTGACACCAGCACCACTTAGCCCCGCACGTTGTGACCCAGACCTTCCATTGTCGCCAAGGTCCACCTATGACCATCCCTGAAGAATGGACGATCATCCACGTCGAGTGGATTCGTGCCCTGGCCTTGAACACCGCGCCATGCCATTTAGACTCATCTGCAACGAGTTGGGCGAATGGGGTAGACACTGTGCCCACTGCCATTGTCCAGGGGTCACTGGAGACGGGCCCACACGCCCGATGACTGGTGGAGAGACCGATAGACAACCTGAGAATCAACGAGAATGGAGGATGTGTGCTCAAGGTGGAAGCTCTAAATACCAGCTCGCCGCGCCGCCTCTGCGCTTTCCTTCCCACGCGTACATTCCATTCTCCTTGTTGACAATCCGGCATTGTCTGCCTCTCTTTTTTGTGGCTTTTCTTTTCCCTCGCTTCAGTCCCTTCTTTTCTACTCCTGCCGTGTCATCATTTTGACTTCAGGTACTGAGGACCAAGTGCTATTTTCATTATCAAAGAAGATGGTTTCCTCACTCTTTTCGCGAAGCGCTGGTTCGCTTTTCATGCTATGGCTGGCTTCGCCTGCTGCAGCGGTGCCTGATTACAAGTTGGTGGAGAAATGGGAGGGCAGGAATTTCCTGGACTTCTTCAACTTCCACGTCGGGTCCGACCCCACCAATGGCTTCGTCAACTACCTCGACCAAGATAGCGCAGAGGACGCTGGTCTGATCAAGTTCACCGACTCCGGCAGCCTTTACCTCGGGGTCGACCACAAGAACAAAGTTGCCTCCGGCGCCAGAGGCCGCGACTCCGTGCGCATTGGCAGCAAGAAGTACTACGAGCAGTCTCTGATCGTTGCCGACATCGCACACATGCCTGGAAGCGCCTGCGGTACCTGGCCTGCATTCTGGTCAGTGGGTCAGAACTGGCCTGCCGATGGCGAGATCGACATCATCGAGGGAGTCAACCTGCAGGACCACAACGAGATCGTGATGCACACCGGGGGTACCTGCAGCATCAAGGATGAGGGGATGTCGGGGTTCGTCAATGCTACTGGCTGCGGTGAGGACCTAGGAACCGTCGGCTGCGTTATTGAGGGTCAAAAAGGCAGCTATGGCACTTCGTTCAACAAACAGGGAGGTGGTGTTTACGCTATGGAGTGGACCGAGCAGTATCTCAAGATCTGGTTCTTCCCCCGCGACTACATCCCGCCTTCCATCACGAACGGAGACCCGGATGTCAGCAAGTTCGGCACCCCGATGGCCCTGGTCGAGGAGGGTTGCGATGTTGCCAACAGCTTCAAGGCCCAGTCTTTCATCTTTGACACCACCTTTTGCGGTGACTGGGCTGGCGGCGTCTTTGGCAAGTCCGGTTGCCCCATGTCAAGCTCAGATCCTTTCCAGAGCTGCCACAACTTTGTCGCTAACAACCCGAGTGCCTTTGAGCAGTCCTACTGGGAGATCAACTCGGTCAAGATCTACCAGACTGGTGTGAACGGCCTCGAGACCACCTCGCACTCGACTGTGTCGCAAGCTCCTGTCGCCAAGACCATTGCCACCGCGGCCAAGGAGGCACCCGAAACCACCGCCATCGCGGAGACTTCCGAGCACTCTGTTGCTCACGAAACTGCTACTCGCGTCGTTGAGTCTTCGGCAGTGCACACTGCTGAATCTGCTGCTAACGAGGAGACCTCCCCGGCCGGTGTCGTCGGCCTATTGGGAGATTCTACCACTGTAGCTCAGGCTTCTGCCACAAGACCTCCACCTGGTGCATTTGCGGCGACTTTGGAGGCTCCTGCCCCTGCAGCAACTACCAACGAGAAACCCTCCACCACTCGCTACGTCACTAAATACGTCACTTCTTTCACAACCATATGCGAGGCCTCTTCTGCGGCCGCCAGCGTGGCTGAGAAGACTGCGAAGCCTGCGACTACAGAAGTTACGGAATCGGCTTACTCCCAAGTCCCGGCTGCCACGCAGACTTCTCACGGAGCTCAAACCTCAGCTATCGATGTGCCCAACGCTGGCTCCTCTGCTGACGCAGCTTCCAAGGTCGCCAACCAGTCTGCTTCAACCCATGCCCTTCCGACAGTGATTCCCGGCCCCGGGTATAATCTTGGCTCTGCCAGCCCTTTGCCCTCTGCAAATTCACCAGGCACCTCCAAGCCTGATATTCCCGCCCCCACAGGAAGCTCGGCTCCCTCGGGTTCTGTCTTCACGGGCACCCCTAGCGCCGGCTACAGCCCCGTGTTCACTGGAGCAGCAGATAAGGTATCTGTCAAGTTCTCGACATTTGCTGCAGTCTTTGCTTTCGCTCTCTTTGCATAAAGTGCTCGCCTTGGTTGTTTGGTCGGGTTCTTTTATTGCGTTTGATCCGGCGGTTTTTGTTCTCTTGTTGCTTGTAAAATAGTCATGGCCCGTCCATAGACGCATTTGGCCGTCTTTTCTAGATAAACTGATAGTTGGCAATCCCAAATAACAACGTATCCTGAACCTCTATGCGCGTGCATGCCCAGGTGAAAACTGGCTAAGATTGAGATTCAATAAATATCCTTAACGCCACTTAAAATAATATACCCGCCCTTTGGCGCCCCAATCTCCGGTCCACGCTGTAAGCAAGTGCAATCTAGTATTTACTTCTCACGCAGTCATCCACCGATTCAGCCAATCCCGCGCATAACAATTCAAAATTCCGTCCTCGATAATCCTCAAGCGCCCATTGCGCAGAGTGACACTGTCCCTCTCCGCCTTGTTCGTGACGAACGTCTTCGGCCCAAGAGGCGAGCCCGATAACTTCCCTCCATACATCGCCTCATAATGTCCGATCAGCTTCACAGCCGGGTTGATATGCTCTTCTCCACGCGTCTCGCTCGCACGCAACATCTGCAACCATTTCTCAAAAGGCACAGTCTCAAACTGGAATCCGCTTCGGGCCAAGGACTCCAGTAGAGCTGACCACGAGAACCCTCGCGAGTTGCACACGTTATAAATTGAGTCATCTGCTTCCTTTATTGTGGAACTGGATGTATGACACGCGGTGACCTCTTCACTTGGCGCGGAGCATGTTCTGGTCAGCTCGACGATGGTCGATGCCAGTTTGTCAACCGGGAGCCAGAAACATGTCTGGTCCATGTCGGGCAGTGCCCCGAGCGTCAATGCTGACCGAATCAGCAGTGGAAGTGCTTCACTGTCGTTCCACAGACCCTTCTTTGAATGACCGGACACTTGTCCAATCCGGAGCGAGAAGGCCCTTGCCCCTGATTTGCGTGCGACGCTGACTATGTGCTCGCCGATCAACTTGGATTGTCCGTAACCCATGTATGCGCTGCCTGGGCTCATTGGGTTTTCTTGGATCTCGGCGCATGAGGATGCAAGAGCCGTCGAGATGGACGAGCAGAAGATGACTGTTGCGGGTTCGGGTCGTTGCACAGAGAGGGAGAACTGGATGAGATTGTGGAGACCCCGGATGTGTGGCTCGAATTGTGCGAGCGGAAGATTGAAATTGACCGGCCATGCTGCGTGGATGATCTGTGTCACCGACTCCTTCATGGAGCGGACTAGGCTCTCATTCTCAAGACCGAGCTCGGATTGATCGAGGGAGCTGTTCAGTGCGACGATCTTGGAAGCTTGCTCTGCAGTAATAAAGAGGTCTCTTTCGATCAAACTGCGGAGAACAGCCTCCAATGGGGATTTCCTTCGTGTCAGACAGAATACGGTCGTAACTGAATCGTCGTTGAGCAGCTCGTAAAGAGTGTGGGCGCCAATTGAACCCGTTGCTCCAGTCAAGATCTTTAGCGTGTCAGTATTGCCTGGCGACATGAATAGGATCTGGCTCACTTACCACAGATTTTGTGTCTGGCTTAGTCTCCGGTCGGGGAATGTGTTGTTGGAATGAGGAGTACTTGTGTATCAAGTTGGTCATGGCTTCTGTATCCGTTTCTTCAGATGTGAGATTTTCTCCATTCTGCAAAGCACAAATATGCTCCGCTAGGCGCACAATGCTGCCAGTCTCATAGACTACGTTCTGGCCTACCGTGCCTTTGTCAAAGGAGAAATTCTGGAGAACGAGACGCCGAAGGTGGATGGCCTTGAGACTATCCACACCTTCGGCGAAGAGATCAGCTTTCTCGCTGGAGGGAGAGATTCCGAGACTCTCACGACAGATGTCCATCAGGCAGGATTTTGTGCCTTCAAAGTCTAGACGGAGGCTGCCGTCAACTTGCTCTGCACGAGTGTAAATGCTGTCGATGAGCTCAGCATATTGAAGATACACCTGCGCTCGGATCATGGAGCCCTTGTCGGTCCGAGGGAATTTCGAGGCGTAGGGCAAGACGGCAATCATGTCTCGAGATATCTGAGAGAAACGCTCAGATCGAGCGTTCGCGCCTTCAATTGTCGGCCAGATTGCATCAAGATACTCCTTGTGTGAGATATCTGCAGCGTCGACCTCTTGGGATCGGAAGATCAACAGAGCAGGTGCAGCCTTGCCGATCCCAACCACTACCACTTCATGGATCAAGGCATCCTGCTTGATGTATCCTTCAATTGGCAGCGGAAGAACCTTCTCCCCGTTCACGAGAGTGATGCGATCGTCCAGTCGCGACGCATACTTCCATCGATCTGGGATTGTCGGGTGCGGAGTGAAAACGTCCTTTGAGTGGAACGAGCCCGGCGGTTCATTTGAGTTGGATGTTGTCAATGCAGGGTGGCCTTTCAGATATACACACTCGTAGAGTGAATCGCCAATGGGCTTCATCCAGATGTATTGGCGAATGTTGTCGAAGAATCGCAAATAGTTCCAGTACGGGTCACCTGGAGGTCGAGAAATTGACTCGGCAACTAATCCTGCCTCGGTCCTGGGTGTAATAATCAGTTTATGATTCTTGGAGTAGTCGATGAAACCAAACTTACAAGCCAAATGACCCTCCGAATGAGACGCCTTCGCTCACAAGACGATCGCCCAGTTCGTCTGGACATGGTGCACCTCCGTAAGTGACCAACTTGCACTCGCGTAGCGCTGCAATCCCACGGGTGCTGTCCACCAACAGCTGGAGCATGTAAGGAACAGCTGCCACGGACTCGGGCCGAGCAGTCTCCAGCACAGATACCACCGATGCTGCGGTCAACGGCAACGCAGCATTCCACATGAAGGCTGTCTTTTTCATCCACATTGCCTGCAGTGCAGTAGAGAGACCGTGGAGATGATACCATGGAAGCGGGTTGAACGAAGTCAATCCAGGCCCACGAAGAGGATGGGTCATCAATACTCGATGGGTGAGATATAAAGGTTTCGGCGTGCCGGTAGAGCCGGATGAATGAAGAATTAAAGCAATCTTGTTCTTTTGCGCCTCTGAGCTGCGATTTCGGCGCAGAATCAAGATGGATGATTCAGCGTTGTGGAGAGAGGCATGTGGCATCGGACGGCAGCTCACGAGCTTTCTCTGCAGTATTTCGCCCATGGTTGTACGGATTCTTCCGGTGTTGCCGTAAATTATGATCTCGCAGCACGTGGTGTCGAGCAATGATACACAGGCTTCACCCGATAGACTTGGGGATAGCATCATGACAGTATATCCTAACCGACTGAGGGCGAAGAATGTGATCACCATGTCAAGGTCGGACAGAGTCACGAGGGCTACCGTACACCCGTTTTCTTTGACCTTGGGATTAATCAGCGAAATTCATAGGTGGAAGTAAATGGAGTATTTACCGGCTGAAATCCATCGTTGATCAACACTGTGACTGCCTGGTTGATCATCTCGTCCAGGTCTTGACCTGTATAGTAGGTATAGGATGCCGCATCTTTGTCGGTACTAGGATATGCGAGAATAGGTTGCTGAACAACATCCGATGCTCGAAGTCTGATTAAATCATCGAGAACATGAAGCTGTCCAAATGTTTGGACCAAAGGGTCGATGGTGCTGGACGAGGCAACTGCCGCACTTTGGCCTCCGCGTTGGATACCCATGATGGGACAAGGACTCGAACGCAGAAAGATAGGAAACACGAGAAGACACAACAACAAGGCAGACTAACAGTGGTATTTAAGAATTTCTCGTCTCCATTGCCCCCCTGCTCTTAACTCAGCTCACAAGTCGCACATCTGTTGACTGCATTCGGGATGCTCGGGAGCGTGCTGTGTTTCCGTTTTAGGGCACAAAATAGGCATCCGCCACGCCTCTGAGCCTTGTAGACAGCTCGTTTCCGTCACCTTGGTAGGAAAACATTGATTGATCTGCATCTAGTCGCGAGCCAGACCGCTAGCGTTGACCATAATTTGAAGGTGATGTGACGGGTGGCTATACTCCGAGGCTACAAACAAGCCACGCGCAGGGATCCCTAAGCAAATACCTCCGAAACCCACTGTAGCCACAATCGCAATCAAGAACTTTGCAAATGGGATCGAGCCCGTGAAAAATTGGTTTCCGCTCTGAGTTTCTACTCGCTGGATGTACATGCAACGAACAACCATTCACTCGGGCTTGCAGCGTGATTCGGGGACTAAATTTCTCCTTTTCATGCAGTGCCCGGTTTCCCTCGCGTCTAGCGGGAATGGTTACACTGCAGAGGTGCCTGATCCCCGTCGCGGTTGGAATCAAAATCCCGTTGGGATGCAGCCCAGAAGCCCCCTCCCCATCCACAGCCACAAGGGGAACGAGCTGCCGTTGCGTTGTATTCCAATGGACCTGAATCCGCGCTCTCAATTCTACATGTCTCGACAGTCGGCGCCATGGCAACTGAGCCGACAACTTGAATACTGATGCGAACAGCCCGGCAGCAGCCCGGGAGGTGATGGTTGCAAACCCTTGACCAAACGGCTTGATCTAAAGGATCATTCTCAAGATTATTTGCTGCGGTTTCATCGACTGTCCCACTGAAACGGCTCGGCCGCAGCTGTTACATCCCAGTAGCCATTCGAGACGATCTCAAGCGTCCATATTACTGCGTCCGGATATAGCTGACAATCCTTGACATACGCCAGCCTCCTAGGTCATCGGCTAACTCATCATCAGCCAGCCTGCTCACCGAAAGCGTCGGATGCAAAGAGATCTTATAGCCGATCACTTCACACATTCTGAGATTTGTGACGTGAACATGATCTAATTGAGATCAGACATCCGAAAAATGTCCGTGATAGGATCAGCAAGGCCGGAGTATAACTTGGGAAATGCGATATTGGCCTATACTGGGCCTAGATTCCCACCAAAAGTACCCAGTACCCATCGCCATGGAACCTAATCAACGCTCGGATCTGCATCATCCCGTGTCCGCAAAAGTTTCTTTTCTGGAACGGCGACCGCGGACCAGGATACATAGATCCGAGGCATCGGAATGCTGATGTTCCAGCTGTCCGTCGCTGGAAACGGTCCTGCAGAATCCCATCTGTGGAGCACATGGATCGGATCGCTCCTCTGTTTGCCGGGAGGAATGCTAACCGTCCGATCGGGCCCAGGCATGCCGATCTTACCGACTTTGTTCATTGCTCTCTCACTGCCGGTGGCGAATATGATGAACGGGATAGCATTCTTGAGCTCGCGGAACCCCACCGGACCGTCCCGGTGCGCCGAGGAGCAGAAGGCGGTACGATACCAAGGCTAGGGGTATAGTTGCGACTAGACATGTCACTCCGTTCTAGAAAGTTTAAATGGCTCTGCGGCATTCCTTCAATCTAAGACGATTTTCAGCTAACGGGGAACGCTTCCGGTGCGGTATGTAGGCGGACGCCGACTCCAACGGCGACCAACGGCGTCTCCGGAAGGGATATACACCGAAGGGTAGACCTGGGATAGTGGGCATTGTTGATCCCAGTCGACAATTGCTTAATAGATTCTTGCCTGGCATCAGGGGGATGTTCTCGCATAGCAAAGGAGCGAGATTTAGGTTTGCACTTGATCAAGTAGACTTTATCGTCACCATTCATTACTAACTCTCCATGAAAGCGTGTATGATAAGTCTATTCTATACCAAGAATGCTAAATGTGAAACCAACTAAACCATTCAGGGCCAAGATGAGGAAAAGATGAGAATGATCCGCCCCCCAAATAAAGCCCTAGCATGTCGGACCAACCTTCTGGACCTTTGTGTCTAGCCTCTCCAAGACCCGCTGCCAGGACTGACGAGCTCGTGCGGCATGCTCATTCGGCACGGAGGGCTTGTCCACCTGGGTGGTTCTGGAAAAGACTTCCATACTCACGTATCCGGTGTAGCCCAGACCGTTGAGACAGGCGTCCGCTACCTCGCGAATGGGGAGATACCCGCCCCGCTCCTCTTCGCACGGGAACAGTCGAGCATTCCGTGACCAGGTCAGTAGCTTGGGCAGGCCCGGTGCATCAAGGAAGGGCACCTGTGGGTCGACCCGCTCGCCGTCGGCTAGTTGGACCATCATGACCTTGTCCGGATCGACATCCTGGACGAGCCGCTTCATCGACCGTTGCAGATCCTGGTCCGCGTTCAAAGGTAGTCGTCCCGTCGGGCTGGTAGGATCGGCCCACACACGGGCCGCGATGTTGAACGTGTCCAGACAGATGCCCAGATTCGGCCTGTCGGCCCGCCGAACAATGTCCCAGCAGTCCTCCCACGTATTCACGTATGTGCCCCAGGCTAGGGCCTCGTAGGCAACGCGGACCGGGAATGCCACATCGGCCGCTTGAGCGAGATCGGCCACGAGCCGGTCTCGGTCACCCGTGATCTCAGATGGGTCCAGGAAGGAGGACGGAATGAGAATGAAGAGATCATCGCCCAGGATCTGACACAGCTGCTTCCAGTGGTTCAGCTCGTCGAGGCGCTGGGCATGCTGCTCTAGATCGAGGAGTCCCTCGTAGTGCCGGAAGGGTTGGAGTGCCAATACTCGTAGGCCCCGTTCCGCGCAGAGATCGCGGATGGCGTGTGCGGCGTCGATCTCATAGTCGCGATCGGAGCGGGCCGCAGAGCACTGACAGCGTAGAGTCTTGGCTAACTGCGCTAGATCATCATGGAATAGCTCTAGTCCCAGTTGACCATTCTGGGCAGCGGCCTCGATTTTAGCCGTGATAGAGTGGAGGTTTGCCGCGCCGAGACTAACGGTGGCGATTGCGGGCTGCCACGGCGAGTCGGCATTCGAAGTGGGGGGACTCGGTAGTGAATGCATCGTGAATCGGAATTGCAGAAAAGAACAATATAGCCCACTACACCTCCATTTCCTTCCTCTTCTTATAGAAAGCAAACACTCGGAAAAGGTGATGTCGCTTCGCCCGTTTCCGTGACGATCCCAAAAGGCTCAAGGGGTAACAGCAAATGCAAGGCTCAGGGGTGAGCAAATGCGTCAAATAAGTGGGCCGATGCCGTCGCGAATGGTCCAGAATCCAATTGAATCCATTAGAGCGCCACCCGTATAGCCCACGTCAAGTTCTCCACCACATCCAGATAACTGGTGTGACAATCTTGCTCTTCCTGATACCGTGCTGGTGGCGGCCGAGGCGCTGTTTTCGGGCCGTCCGGTTTCCACTGGAATGGAACTGCGAGGCTGAAGAGTACTGGAATAGAAAGGGAATTGGGAAACAGCGTAACGTTCCGAAAAAAGGTTAACCTGCGTTCGAATGCAACCGTGAAAGGTTGATGCGAGTGTATAAATGGTCTTGTTCGACCGGCTGGAGAGACTCCGTCACTCTTGTTCGTGTTACATGTAGCATATTCACATCTTACCTCCTTCTCTTGGTCATGACGGTCATCACTCCCTTGTACTCGATGGTCAACCGTCTGGGTCAATTGGCTCTGCAGGACGGCTCCGACCCGTCTCCCAAGGCCCACTTCGAACTGCTTCGTATGATCGACCAGTTAAGGTTGGCCGTGGAAACTCCGACGGAAACCGTGCTGCGTCTGATCTACCAGGTAAACTCAATTCACTCGGGACTTTCTCTCAGCTGGTGACCTGACCATACACAGCCTCCGCAGAATGCGGCGCTTCGCGCGGTCGTGGACCTGAAAATCTTTCCTCTCCTGGTCGAGAAGCAGGCCAGAGAGGGTCTCTCTGCCGCGCAACTTGCCGAATTCACCGGTGCCGAGAATGACCTGATCGGTAGGTTCATGTTCATGTGTTATGCGCCTCGGGGGCCTTTGCTGATCTCTTCAAGTTCGGTTAATGCGCGTCATGGTGTCTCTGGGTCTTTGCACCACCCCGACCGCCGAAGTGTACCGAGCCAACGACAAAACAGTAGCTTTGACTCAGCCCATTGGCAGGGATGGAGTGCCGTGCATGTATGTTGGATCCTGTCCGATGTCTGGGGTCGTTTGCTAATCGAGCAGATACGATCTCACGGTCCCAACCCTGAGTAAACTGCCCGAGTATCTGCGAGTCCACGAGTACACCAATCCTCAGGAGTATGCCCGCTCCCCGATGCAATGGGCAGTGGGCCAGAGCCAGTTCGAGTGGTTGGCCAATAACAAGAAGCATCAAACCCTGTTCAACTCGTACATGGCGAGTCGCCGACAGGGACGGCCGATGTGGTTCGACGTGTACCCCGTGGAGCGGCTGATGGGACCCGCCGTGCCTTACGAGGACACGGTCTTTCTAGTGGACATCGGAGGCAATCAGGGACACGATCTGAGCCGATTCCGGCAAAAGTACAGTCATCTCCCCGGGAAGCTGGTTCTGCAGGATTTGCCAAAGGTGGTTGATGGAGTATCCGGCCTGGAGGGGATTGATGTGATGGGATACAGCTTCATGGATCCCCAGCCCGTCAAAGGCGCTCGAGCGTATTACTTCCGCGCCATCTTCCACGACTGGCCCGACCACATTTGCCAGCAGATCCTGCGCAACACCATCTCGGCGATGGCGCCCAATTACTCCCGGATCCTGATCGTGGACTTTGTCCTGCCAGATACCGAGACTCCTCTCATGCAAGCTTCCCTGGATATTCAGATGATGAGCATCGGGGCTGGAGTCGAGCGCTCGGAACGCCAGTGGCGAGATCTACTGCACAGCGTCGGCTTGGAAATTTCAGGGATCTGGAGCCAAAGTCCGGGAATGGAATCGGTGATTGAAGCAGTTCCTCTGGAGAGTACATGACGCGGGTTGGATTTGGGTTCGGGCGTTTTGGAGTATGGGAGAATTGACATTTTGCAATCATAATCTATTTGGTCTATTTCCGATCGTACACTCAATCGAGCATCAAGAGCCCCGATAGTCGAGAAACAGAACTTTCACAATGGAGGTCATTGCAACGACAAGTACTTGGCACCTGCCGCGGCAACGTCGTCTACGACGAGAACACTTCGGAAGTTCAAGCCACGTTGGGCAAACTGCCGTTGCAGAGCCCGTTGATATCCCTCATTCTTCATCAATCCACCTGCTAAGATGATCTCGGACTCCTCCGGCGTGACGCAACTGCTGCATCTGGGGTCAACCAGGCGACTCAATGCGTTGTTGACCAGACTGGTAACTTGGTCTTCCACGATGGCCATGGCAGTCTGGTTGCCAAGTGCTAGTTTCAAAACGGTCTCCGCCACTCCGGCGATGCGGGTCTTGACATTCTGCATGCGATTTTGCGAGAGGATGTCGGTTAGAAGGTCGATGCTGCCGTCGTCCGCGACGTGACAACCCAGTTGTCTGATGATCGCATGTTCGAATTCGCCCAGACCCTGCGAGCGAAGACCCAGAGACATTTCCTCGAGGACACCAAGCGTGTGCTTGATCGCATCCAGACCGATGGAGTACCCGCCACCCTCATCACCGAAGATGTGGCCCCATCCGCCGGAGCGAGCCATGCGCACGTAGCGACCTTCTCTCCGGGTAAAACGCATGGCTACACTTCCTGTCCCTGCGACGAGAACCACCACGGAGGAGCTGTCCTCCGACACAGCTGGGAGCAATTCGACGTCGGTGGTTAATCGGAAGTTGGCCGCCGTGTGGTCAAAGCCAAAGATTTCCGCCAGCTTCGGGGCCAACCTTCCCTGTTGACCAGCGCGATCCAACCCCGCCAGACCAATCCAGACGGATCGGAAGCTGTCCTTCAAATATCCTCGCCACTCTGGCTCAGTCGGCTCTGTGCCGCTCGGCAAGTGCTCCTTCAGTGCATTTTTGGTGGCTCCAATCAATGTGGCTACCACTCCATCCACGTTCCCAAGACCGTCCGTCCTACAGCAGAATCAGTCATCGTGTTATGTCAAAGGGCAAAGAAACATACAGATTACATGGCCCGCCATACCCATGGCTCATGACTCCGTCAGTATCGGTAACTGCTGCAGCACATTTGGTGCCTCCGCCATCGATACACAACACAAACTTCCGAATGATCCCACTGTTCGCTGATCGTGGTTGTGTGGGTCGAGTTACTTTGTCCAATGCAGTAGCAAGCACTCCCCCAGCTGACTGCAGGAGCTTCTCACAGGTCTCCATTGACTCACCCGTTTCAGCAATCAACATCGCGAGCTTGACACTGTGTTTGCTCTTGGAAAGGAGAGCATCCAGCTCCGAATCCGTCATTGAGCCGCATTTTGGGCTAAGCCGTCGCAGCATGTTGCGGGATCGCTGCTCGAGTTTCAAGTTCGATGCCACCATATCGACCATCTGGTCAAATGTTAGAGTGTTTCAATCTGAAGATTCAGTCTGAAGAAAGGCATACCATGTTGCCGTATGTCTTGCCCGTCCGGATCATCGTTCCCGTGCTCAGCATGTTCAAAACCAACTTGGTTGCCGTGCCGGCTTTGAGTCTGGTGCTTCCGGTCACAACTTCGGGTCCAGGAAGGGCTGCAATCAGGAAATCCACATTGCCCGAGAGGCCCATCATCGAGGGAGCTGCGCAAACGACTCCGATGGTGTTGCAGCCCAGCCGCTTCGCAAACGTAAGACACCCGAGCACGTACGGCGTGCGCCCGGAACTCGCGATTCCAATCACGCTGTCGAGCTCGGGATCGAGGCCCAGCCGCTCCATCTCCTCCTCGCCGGCCTGCTCGTCGTCCTCGGCGCCCTCCTGAGCCTCCCGAATGGCGGCATCGCCTCCTGCAATGATTCCAAGAAACTGACTGCGAGGGGCGGCAAAGGTTGGCGGAATTTCTGAAGCATCCAAAATGCCAAGTCTACGCTCTGTTTGTCATTGACTGGATCGGTTGCTTGGGAATGCTCTTCTTACCTCCCGCTTGTGCCGGCTCCCACATACACCACTCGGCCTCCCCGACGCACGCGCGAAGCCAGCGCATCAATGGCACCTGCGATCTCGGGCAAACAGGGCTCAATGCTCGCCGCTACCCGGTGATCGTCGGTGTTGATGACCGTGCACATCTCCAGCGTCGACATGCGGTCGATTTGGACCGTCCGGGGATTGACCCCTTCCGTCTGCAGTTTAGACAGGCTGTTCAGATCCATGATGTCCAAGCCTTCAACTTCGATAACAGAGATATCAATATCTACAAGAATCTTCGGTGCCAGGCCACCCCGCGCAAGGGCCATCGGGATACCGGCGCTAGCCACGGGGCGTCTGTTCCCCAGGATCTCCTGAATTTGCCCGATATGGAGCGACGTCGCGGCGCTCCCCGCTCCCCTGGGCACGATGTTATCACGCCAACCCTGCAGTCCTCGGCTGATTGAACAATTCTGATTCCCCGGCTGGTCCTGATGGGTCCTAATTGGCTCGGATTCACCCCAGATACCACGGCGCGTTATAGGAATCCAGGGGTCCGCCAGGGTCGCAGATACAATACAACAAACCCGTACCTGGGGGGCCCTGGACCGACTCATGTACTTGGTCTCGCTTCCAGTCGAGAAAGTTTGCCTTTCTATTTTTGATTTTTCACTATCCTCCCCTGCGTTTTTGAAGAATAGGCTCGTCACACTATCACCGCTATCATGGAGGACGGAATGAGAGCGCAGGACTCGCCCGTGGTGGATAGCGATGGTCAACAGGACAACCGGTCGACTATCCGTCAAATCTGGACGCACTCGTGGTTTCAAATTCTGCTGATCAGCTTTATCTGTTTCTGCTGTCCTGGAGTGGGTATTTTGAACAACTTGGATTGCTCGCAGAGTGCTAATATGGATTCGCGTAGATGTACAATGCCCTCACCGGGTTGGGAGGCTCTGGTCAGGTCAATCAAACGGTGGCTGCAAATGCCAACGTCGCGTTGCTCTCCGCAACCTCTGCAACCGCGCTGTTCGTGGTTGGGCCGATCTTTGACCGTGTTGGCCCGCGAGTGTGTCTCCTACTGGGCGGGTGGGCCTATCCCTTGTATTCTGGAAGTCTCCTGTGCTTCAACTGTACGCGTATTCAAGCTTGTGGCTGATGAATGGATTGCTAATTGTCTATCATAACAGCTACTGCGAACGGTGCATTCGTTATCGCCGCCGGCGCCATCCTGGGTATCGGCGCGTCCTTCCTTTGGGTTGCCCAGGGTGCTATCATGACGACCTACGTGCCCGAATCGCAGAAGGGACGCGCCATCGCAGCGTTTTGGATCATCTTCAATCTCGGTGGTGGTGTGGGATCGCTCGCAAGCTTTGGAAGTAACTTTCACTCGACCAGTGGAACGGTGTCGAACGGAACCTATATCGCTTTGTTGGTGATCATGGCCATTGGGTGGCTGCTGGGTGTGTTTATTTGCCCGCCGTCCTACGTGCGAGTGGCCCAGCTCGAGGCCACGCCGGTGCCTGAGAAGAATTGGCGCAAGACATTGAGGCAAGCACTGCACACCATCTCCAACTGGCGCGTGCTGTGCATGCTGCCGCTGTTCTTCTCGGCCAACGTGTTCTACTCCTACCAGCAGAACGTGGTGAACGGCATGACCTTCAACATCCGCACTCGCTCGCTCAACGGTGCATTGTACTGGATTGCGCAGATGGCGGGAGGTCTCGTCATCGGCCTGATCCTCGATATGCCCGGACTCAACCGCCGCATGCGCGCCGTCGTTGCCTGGTGCCTCCTCTTTGCAACGGGCATGGGAATCTGGGGCGGAGGATATGCATTCCAGAAGTGGTTTGATCGTCGCACGGCAATGGGTCTCAAGCAGGACGTTGACTATACTGACAACAACGTCTCGGTCGGCCCCATGTTCCTCTACATCTTCTACGGCTGCTACGATGCGTTCTGGCAGTCGTTCTGCTACTGGCTCGTGGGTGCGAGTTCCAACTCCCCCGCCGTGACGGCCATTCTGGTCGGTGCGTACAAGACCTTCCAGGCCGCCGGTGGTGCCATGGCGTGGCGCATCAACGCGCTCGGAAAGCCTGCGATGACGCAGTTTGCCATGGATTGGGGTCTCTGCATGGGCGCCCTCGTGTTCGCCATCCCCGCCGTTCTCACGGTCACGATGACCAGCGAGTCGGAGTCCGAACCGGACGCGTTCGAGGGCACCGAGGTGCGCGACTCCGATGAGAAGGTTCGGGTCGAAATGAAGGCCTAGCGGCAGTTTGTAGCGCGTTCTCGCTTTTTGTGTTTTATAGAAAATCCCAATGGCCTGAAGTCACACATGGCCGAGTTCGCTCATTTGTAGACATTAAGAAACGTATATACACGGACACGCGACCCACGCGGATACGTGGGGATTTTTATTTCACGCACTTCTTCAGCACGGCCGTCTCCATCAACAACTTGGTGTATTGCCGGTGCAACCACTCAATGTGTGCAGGCATAGGACCCGAGTCCGAGTCTGACTTGCCCAGACCCTGGTAGAAGCAGCTCTTCAGAGTGAACTCGGCCACGCCCTCCTCCTGCTTGATCACGGCACCCATCTCGAACAGGCCGTCGGAGGGTCGAACTTCGGTGATTCGAGGAGAGTCTCCACAGCGCACAACGATGCGGTCTTCGGTCTTCTCGAGGACCTGGAAGTGGTCGGTGATGATGGTGCCCACCTCGTAGCTGTTGTCGAGGAGGTCCTTGCGATCCCAGAGCTGGTTGGCGGTCTCGGGGCCCCGGTACTTGCGGGCGAGGTAGGCGCGCTGAGGGATATAGCCTGCAATTGATTTTTGAACGGTTAGGAAGCTGATACGCGAGCGGAGGAGAGTGCGCCGAACTCACCCATGCCACCCCAGACGCCGGCACAGAAGGCTTCAACAAGCTTGCCTTTGTTCTCCAGCAGCGAGGGCTGGATCTGATCGAGCGGGACGCGACGGACGCAGTTGTCGTGTAGCGTCGGGTTGCGGTTGGGGTTGTATTTTTTGAAGAAAGGCGAGGAGAAAATGGGATCGGTGGTGTCCATGGGCTCGAAGACGTCATTGCGCGTGGCACCGAAGAAGACTCCGACGGAGGCAACGGTGCCAGCGATGGACACCTTAAAAAGGCGACTGGCCAGGCCCATCGTGAATGTCTCCGGGGCTAAGAGGGAGCAGGCAGGTGAAGGGGGGAGGGAAGAGGGGGAAAAGAAGGTTGGAAAGTGCCGGAGAGCTGCAACTGCGGGCCGTCACGGAGACTCGGCCCCGTCGCCGATCGGCTTTCACTCGTTTTCGATGCTATATTTTGGGGTAATGGTTATGCAGGGTCGTTCCTTATACTTCTAATCGGTCCACATCGATACCGATCCCTGAATACATATAGAGTTGAAGGAATTGGTTGCTAAAGTGTCGTGTGTCGGTGACCGGCCGGACGGCGCGAATATGTGTTGGCTACTTCGGCGTTGATACCGACGGCACTCTTCAGCCACCCAATTTGCTACTTGAGCAACCATGCTTGCGACTTATGTATCAGCTTGGAACATACATTTCTGTGAAGAATGGAAGATGGCCCAACCTAGGGATAGTTGATGAAATAAAATGATTCCACGTTACAAGTTTGGTGCAATATCCTACCACCTGCGTCGATAGTCACGGTTTGCATCTTGGAGGTGAACCTGGAAAGGGTGCGCAGCGTTTCCCCAAGGACAGCCGCTTGAATAACGGCTGGGTGTTACAATACAAGAAACCGGCGAGGAAGCATCGGTACGTGACGTATATCTGACAGCTTCTCTTGCCCTTGGTGTAACCAGTCAATTGTGATATCCATTAGTTGTACTGAAACTTTACGACCCGCAGACCGCAGCAGGATTCCTTCTACTCATATCGTTCTCTCTCCATGCGTGCCCCACCTGTCGAGATGGATTCGAAAGCAAGACACAGGGCGAGAGCCAGGGAAATTCTCTGGGCAACATATCGGCAAATCGAACATTGCCAATCTATCTTCCTCTCACCCGCCGACTTGCAGGCTTTCGGCGTTGAGGCATATCAAGTAGACATCAAAAACGATGGTGTTCTACAATTTGAGCCTAGTTTCTTCGATCCCCATCCGGCGGGTATCCTTCAAAAATATCCCATCGATGCTGCCGCAAACGACTATGATGTCCGTCGGTTGCCATGCGTTCCTACGCTCCAAGACGCCCTCGAGACGGTACAAAAGAGCCTCCCTGTCCCGGAAGACCCTCTTAGAGCGGCTCAGAATTTGCTTGAGGAGAGACTCAAAAAATACCACTTCTGGGATGACACTCACTGTAGTCGGATTGAAAACCATATCAGATACGAGTTCGGGGCAACACGAAAGGGTGGACCCCTAACTTTTGGTCTTGGTGATCTCCGCGGCTCATGGGAGGGGATGTACGTGAATAACTGAATCCCCGCACTATGACTAATTTATGATACTGAATCTTTCATAGACGCACAACATATGGGGATCCGGTTATGCTTGAAGCAATGCCTCTGGATTGGAAATCCGCGTTATTTCTAGAAGCCCATGACGAAACCTCACCTCTTCCACATGCTATTTGCAGTATCTCTGCGGACGTCGATGCGACACTTGCAGATCAGAACCTTACTCTCCACGAGATGAGAGCTATTATGAGAATGATACTTATTAGAGCTCGTGGGCCTCGCCGAAAATTTCCCATCTACCCAGTGAGTGCGTATAATATATGGCGGAACAGAAGACTAATTACAATTGTACCTTGTAGTTTTTGCTTCTCTCATTTATGGGTAAGCAGCATGGCAGAATCACTCAAATTGTCGTTGAAGAAGGGCGAATTATGCTCCAGTATTCCAAACTCTGGGGCTTTGAGGTCGAAGCTACAGCGCCGTTGGATCTTTTCATTTGCTACATGCTCAGTCAGCCCATCGGACTCAAGAGGCCTTCTTTCGCTGGCTCCCGCTTATGTTTAGATCCCGTTACTGGCATGCCTTTGGCATAGTCGTCGGGGCTGGAGACACACGGGGCACAGCAAGTTCCTATGTCTTTGCATACTTCGGGATTGCTACGATCGTTCTATCTGATATTTGCGCGAACCACTTACGGACTGATCCGTGAGTCATTGCACAGAAATACTGTTTCTCTCACATCTGCCAATCAAGGATAGCTATTGAATACAAAACAAAGGTTAGCTAAAAATTAATATCACTATCTCTGTATCAAATTCCCTTCAAACCAGTGCAGCGGATAAGACCTCGGTGAGTATCAGTGGCTCACCATCGCGCATCCAGTCTTGCTTCTGGGCCTCGTAGCAGCTGCGCTACTCCGAGTCCATCGCTCTGCCCGTGTATGACGGCCTCTGTCATGCGTCGCATCTCGACGACAAGGAGACCTTTCACCGCGTCCTCCACCCGGCCGGGTCCGTCATCCCTGTCTACCGGCCGGTGCAGCTAGCGCTGCTCTCGTCGCAATCCGTGGAGCCCTTCAGGCCATCGGGACGGAGCTGCTGGCCGGCACCATCTACCTGGACCACGTCACGGCGGGCATCCTCGCCCACACTGGCCCCGACGCCACACAGTGCCGGATCGAGACTTTCGCACCTCCTTAGTCTTCAAGAGTCTGGTGAGCGCCCTGGAGGCCGCGTTTCCCGACCTGACTATCCACACCACCGATCTCATGCCTTGGGTGGTGCAGGACTACGGTCCGTGACAGCCTCGATCGTACGCGGTTTTTCGTTACAACTCATTACGACAATTTTGAACCGAGCTAATCCAAAGACATACTAGCGTGTTTCAAAACAGGGTTCGGGAAAGATCTACAAATAGGGGTGAAACTGATTTCGATCCACTCTGTACGAGCCGAGAAACAATGCGTGTGTGTCAAGAGGGGAATCTATTTTCGACTCTCACTGTACAAACGAGCCCATCGTTAGAATGTCGCTTCCTTTTCTAGGAACCTGACCGTCAGTCGAGCTATATCTTCGGAAGCCTGAGCTAACCTAGCATGCCTTGTCCGGAGTTCGGCCGCACATTTTGCCATCGGAAAATCTTGCTTGATCTTTCTGTTGCTACCGTTGATGTCCGTAAGATAAATCAAGTGATAGAAATGCTGGCAGCCGTGATCTTGAAATGGTTGTATCCGAGAAGGTACTTTTTGACGGAAAAGTGGCGTCACAGCCCCGACAGTCCGGGCCAGGGGCGTGCTCGCATGAAGCTTTGAACAGGCGGGCGTTGCCGAAGCCCTGAAGAACATAGCCAAGGTTTTGCTTGCACCTCTTGCCTATCTTCCGGGTTTTCTCCAGCATCTCTTAAAGGGAGTCGGGAACCTTGGGGTCTTTCCGCTCGTGATTGGCCTAGATGCTAGTAAGCGCATTGAGGAGGACTTTCAGAGGCTATCTGAGGAAGCCGTTACGCTCACGCTTGTCACCAGGCTTGCCTTTGATCAAGTCGTACTGGCAGACGCCGCCCGTGGGCCCACAGGGCTGACTCCCAACAACGTCATCTAGCCGAATATCGTGGTCCTCGTCCCATCGAGCGATGCCGCCGTATGCCCACCAAAAGACCAACACGGATGGATGGCAGAGAGCAAGCAGGCTCGAGGCCGTGGTCGCAGCCGAGGTGGTTCCGTAGACCCCGGGGGCCAAAGAGGCAATGACGATGTTGTGCTCTCCCAGGCGACCTCACGTATAAACGTTCGCGTCGGCTTGGTGTCGAGTGAACCCGGTTGGAGCTACCATGTTACTCATCGAGCATCGCTTCTGTAGCGGCCCGCTCAATAGGAAGAGCAGCGATCCAGGTGATCGCATAGGAGTCGGGGCCGGAGAGGGCGTTATGGGATGCCATGGTGCGAAGGAAGCGCATGAGGCTGTCAGATAGGCTGGTGGAAAGATAGGGTTGTACGGTTCGCCTCCGTCCACGAGGAAGCTCGAGCTGAGTCACACGCGGGGAGATGGAGGAGACCTGACTGCGATGAACCGTGTATCACTATCAGTCAAAGGACGAAACCTTGTCATCTGCTATGCAGGACTGGCGCTATCACCTAGTAACGTCCAGCTAGATTCATACTTATTGCATCACACTGTAGAAGGACGGAGGCAAGTTCAAAGGACAAAATCGGGGTGTCGGGGTCAGCCCACAAGAACACGCTCTCGTTAATGGGACACATACGTTGGGGGCCGTAAGCTGTATGCGCTTGCCAGTATGCCCAAACCTTTGTCATGTCGATGGAGTGGCCTTCGCAGCCTGATTATCTCGAGTCGGCCTTCTTTTGAAGACTCTACCCGGAAGAAGAAAAAGTCCGCAAGGTCGATCATGGAGTTTATCAGACTCTGCTGATAGTTTTGCCCGGCTGTTGGTGAAGGGGCGGCGCTTAGTGAACTCTCAGGGTATAGGCTGCTGGAACCGCCTCTTTGCCCACCTTTTGTGTAGATCAGCAGAAATGAGGCCACGCAAGCTACAGAGTTGCAGATACGAGCGTTTGTACCTGCGGTAGCCTGTAGGAACCGTAAGCAGAGCTCAGGAGTCACCCTACGTGTTCCTGCTCAATAAATATTGGACGAGAAAACACTGACAGAAAGTCAAAGGGGCAACACTATATTGATACTGTGACCCCTGAATGAAATGGTTATGGAGTGTAGACGTGGTTAAACGGTGTAGTGAAAATTGGCTGGTTAAACAGAGCCGTGGTTAACGGGAACGCCCAGTAAACAGTAGAAAGCCTAAGTCGAAAACGGTCAACAAAAAAACGGTTAAGAAGGGTGGTCAACAGACGTGATCAAGGAGTGATGAGCGGCAGATGCCCCAACAACGGTCAGAAATTACCGTTCACGCTGACTTTGAAACTTTGACCTTGGGTGAGTGGCACTCTGCCCCGTCATCCTCGGCTTATTATGCGTTTATCTGACATATTTATTGAACAAGAGTTTGAAGCAATACGTCCCTATGCAGAGACAACCTCCTAACGGTCTTTTTTTTATTTCACCCTTCCCCTGAAGATTCGCCAGTTCACATTGAATACGCTTGTCGGAAATGAATGAGAGATTTGATGAAGTCTAAAGTATTTGAAAATTGACGTACAAACGCCGTCCGCTAGTCTACGGTAGGCCTCGCCTGTTACCGTCAGGCAAGCTAGAAGAGGGAAAAGATCTCAATTAGGTCCTAAAGAACTAAAACATCAAGTTGAAGAGAAAAGGAAAGAGAGATAAGGCAGGGGCCGCAGGGCAAGAAAGCTCCTTTAACCTCTCTTGCTACAAACGGCACTTCTCCTGAAGCTTCCTGCACAGATCGAGGCTTCCTGCATAGATCATTCTAGAATAAACAAGCAAACAATCCTCCACCAACTGGTCCATGGCCCCAAGACTACCATGTGACCCGGTCACATCGCCATGGCACCGCGCGGAATCGTAACCGAACTGCATTTTCGCGGTTCGGACCAGCAGTTCCACAAACAGGACAAACAGAAATATATATCTATATTTTAAGGTAAAATAGGTAGTCTATATATATTCTAAAGTAGTAATGTTAGGCCCTAGAGGCTTTTTCAATAGGAATTAATCACAAGAACTAGTAACATAATAATTATTTGTATTGTATAGATGCGTATAGTGAGATAGTGCAGTTTAGTGAGGTGGGGGTTTAACTGGGTTGAACCCCTTAGGTACATAAGTGACGTATAAACGCTGATTGGGACCCAGGATTAATCAGGATTTCTCTGCGTCCCAGGCAACTTTTTCTGGGTCCCAGTCAGCGGGCCCCCGAAATATGTCGGAATGAACAGCCTATGGACACCGGGTAGCGGTGTAGGAGAACATTTTTGTATGCATTTCCCTTAGAAACAGTTCTCAGGAGAAGTATATAAATATCCCCCTGAGAACGAGCAGAAAAGATTATCAGAATTTACTATTACTTATCTGTCCATCTTCTTTTCGTCTGATCATCTACCCCCTTTATTTCTCAACAAATTGGAATATATTTTCTATTTGGTACGGCGCTATCGGTTGGATCATTATTGACAACTTTGTCTTCGCCCTTCGGCAGGCAGTGCTTCTATTGTTGGCCTTACATCGCTCGTCTTCGAGCAAAGCCAGTATACAACGAGGAAGCGAGACAGAGCCGCTCTTGGGGCATCCCGCAGAGGAATAAACGTCTAGTTGTTGTTAGTTACAGAATTTAAAATTAGCAATTTATTTGTGCCGCTATGCTACCTAAACAAGGATCTCATTCAACTAGTGTAAACTCGATCCAGTTACTAGCCGGCACCACAAGCTTAGGTCGGCCTCCATTATCTGTCGGATTGCGGACCTTAGCATCAATCCACACCAAAGTATCTTCATGATCTTGATAATGTCCCCAGTCCCACCAGTCAAGCGTAGCTCCCTTGAACCCGTACCGGAATTTTTCGCCGGGCGCTACATTCTTCGGGAAATCACTCACCTCCCGCGTGAATGACCACGACTCACTAGGCATCAGGGCCACGAAATCGTTCTGGTCGTTGCGGCCAACATTTACCGGAACAGAAGTAGAAAATCTGTAATCGTGGTGCGTAAACAGGCCCCCGAGTTCATATGGACTCCACTGGTCTTTTCCTCCAAAGTAAAGCCTGAATCCATCCTGGCGGCGATCGAGATCCTTGAACATAAACGTATGAATTATAACCGGCTTTCGGTCTAGGGCATTCGGAGCTGCATCATATGAGAGTGTGACTGTGACAGGATAACGTAATCTGCCTGCTGGAGTGCGATCTTTCGTCGATAACGTACTAGGTCCAGCGATGCTCAGGCTGAAAACAGGGGCGCCACTCATCCTGGCAGGTGCCAAAATGGATCCGGGCGAAGGTGGCAATGGGCCCAAATCGTCTATGTCGCTTTCAACATCGATAATGTCCAGTGACTGTCGTGGCCCGCCGGGGAGTACCACCACAGGGGACTTGGGGCCGAGTTTGCGGTTACTGTGCTCCGCTAATGTGCCCCAGTCCCACAAATGAATTTGCCCCCCCACCCAGAAGATTTCGTAAAACTGTCCTGGTAAGAAGGAGTCGAAGTAGATAGATGGCAAGGCTACCTCCCAGAAAACGCTGGCGCCTGGGTTCAGTTCTTTGAAGCACGAGTTTGACGTGGAAATTTTTCGTGGGTGGAAGGGTTTTGCCCGCAACTGCTCAAGGTCGACTTGCACAGGCTGCAGGTCGTTCGTGAATGGATAATTATAACGAAGCAGCATTATGCCCGGCTGGCCAAATCCATCTTCAATAGGGTCCCAGTGGACAATGCATGGTTGTCTTTGGATATCATCTGCATCCCGCGTGATTATGAAGGTGATAGGGTACCACGCTTGAACGTTGATATCTAGATCCGGTTTCGCTTTAAAAGTAAGAGTGAGGCGGGGGGATCCAGATCTGTTTAGCTTAGTTTTTGTGGGATAGCTCGTCAGGGAGCATCATACGGTCTGTCTACGGCTGAAAATCTCGTGAATGGTGAGTACTGGTCCATTTGTGCCGTAGTCATATGAAATCGTGGAGGTGGAAATTTGTTGGGTGGACAGAAAAGGCACGGCCATCAATTTGGTGGGAGTGAGTCAAAACGGTCACGTGGGCGGTGCAACCTGTCAGAGCACGTAATATAAGGGCCAATCAGCGGTGAAAAGAACTCTGTATTGCTATACCCCTGAATCTGGCAATTTAACGTATTTCCCAAGCGAGTGGTCAGCCAAAGTCGACGGTGGTAGGGAAAGCTAAGATCATGACGTTTGAGGACATTGCAGTGGCAAAAAGAAAGCGGGAAGAAAAAGAAGCAGCGCGAGAAGCAAAGAGGAGGAAGAAACGGGCTGAACCGAGTCAAATTAGTGACAACCTGCCACATGCAGAGAAAAATCATCGCCATGAACCGTCGATGAGGATAGAGGATTATTGCTCCGTTCTCCAGTTTGATTGAGTTTGAAATTTCTTGTTAAAGATAGATTTATGGTCGAAATTAAATATAGCTCCATATCATGTAAAACCTGAATCCTATATCCAGGCACGATGACCCGTCAATCCCGAAGACAAAACGTGACTAATTGGACACAAGGCTACAGTATTATCAACACTGCTTTATCTTGTCTCGCATCACCACATGTATGGTCACGCCACCTGACAATGTTGGCACAACTGGATCCCTTCTCAGTCTCAAGGCTAAAAGCTTGGTGAGATCGAGTCCCGCTTTTTCCACAGTCTGGGTGGTGGGCCCTACACATTTTTACTTTGCAAGTGCGAAAATTCTTCCGATGTACGTGAAGTTTGAGCGGTGATGGAGGGATACACATGAAACCTAAAAAGTTTAAGTGCCTAACGCCTTTTTTCGGCTTTGTCGTGCATCGACGGCCGATTGTCGACGCCATGCCAGAGGGTGATTCTGATTGCGCATACCAAGTGGGTTCTTGTATTACTTGTGTGCGACAAAATGGATTAATTACACATTATTAGTATCAATGGCCAAAGTTCCCATTTGCAGACTTTAATAAGGAGAGCCACTCAAAGGGCATGGTTCTTCAAGCCAAAAGTTGCGCCGGATGATTTGACTTTTCCTTTCTCTTACATCATTGAATAGATATAATAGAGAGCCCACACCCCCATAATTAATACTGTGCTTCCAATTTTCAAGATCCAGCGGGAACTTCACTTGCTCCAAATCAAAAATCATGATCTCCCCCGTGTCGCAGAGAAAGAAGTTGTCCAGTCGCTGGTCCAAATATTCCGCGCCATGCGAATGTAGAAGATTCATGGCTTTCTCAAGCTGACGTTGAAGCTCCTTCAAAGAAATAGGAAGCGTGCTATGAGCAAGTTCATGTAGTGTTCTCCCAATCACCTCGGAAAGGATGATAACAGGACTGTCGTTGAAAGTCCCTTGGCCGAAAAAAGTGGGAATAACCCGTCCTTGTAGGCTTTTCAGTCTCTCATAGGCTTCTATCTCTTGTTTAAATTCATCGTGCCAATCTTCTTTCATTTTCTTGATGATTACAACGGTCGGAAGACCGTGTAAATCCTGGCATGTTTCTAAATTCAGGCGATATACTTGGCGACGTGGATCCAGGTGTTGGATAGTTTCAGCACGGATAGGGACCGCGTTAAAAAAAAAAACCCTTCTGCAATATGAGAGATAATACAAAACTGAGGAATGAATGGCTACATACCTGGGGTTGCATTTTCCCAAAATCGATTTCCATGGCAAAAGTCGCATGGAAGTTGATGTAATCATCATCAAGCGGGAAGGGGGATAAGTCATCCTATTTAAGTCCCCATCTAGGCGGGTTAGAGCACTCTATGACTAAGCCACCAAAGGGATCTGTGGGCTAATGATTGGTCCCTCGCTGATCGTCAAATGCAAGGGGCATTTTAGGGGGAAAAAAGGGAGACTCATCAATATTGGTATTTTCACATAAGATCCGGCAGAACACTAACTAAATAGCAAAACTCATCGTGACCAGATAAAACAATTCTCAGTATCACAAACTGTTTCGTAGCCATTTGTCCAATACCAATAGCCTTCCCAGCGGCCATTCGATCGAAAACGCCATCTAAAATCACGTCTCCACCCCCTTGGGGTTTGATATCTATGCCCATTATGGCCGTATCATGATGGTATCCCCGAAAAATATTCAAATTCCCGAACCAAGTTGTCAATTTTGACCTCTAATGGCGCTCTTTCCAATACACCTCTGACAGTTTGAGACCCCAAACGATCAGCCATGGAAGGTGTTCTATGGTCAGGACCAAGGGATGTGTGGACATCTTCAAAACTGGCGTGCCCTGGCCTTGGTCCATGGTAAATAATATGTTCAAATCTCGGGAATTCATCTGTCCACCGTTTGGCGCTAGTTGAAGTTTCGATATCGGCCCATGCAGGTGGAGGTGCATGCGTTAGGAGAAGGTCATGTACGGTCGGCATCCTGACAACAGCTAAATGCGGATGGAGAGAAGTGGAGGCACGACGGAGCCTAGATATGACATAGCAGTCTAGAAATAACGCATGCAGATGATGAGTTCAGCAGACAAGAGTTGCGGATGTAGATATTTATAATGTCCACAGGAGTATTGCCGCTCGGGCGTCAGTGTCACGCTAAATTTGTTACAGCCCACTGATTTTGCTACGCTAAAGAAAGGCGCTTGATCAAAGTATTAAAATTATGAGACAAAAGGCTAAAGTTTCAGATTTTTTGGAAGCCCGTGACCATCGTGTCATACGTATTTGGCATGTTGCAAAGCACGCAAGGTCAAAAAACGCTTCGTAGGGAAGCTCCCAACGTCCCAGTAAGCGAATCGAGGTTTTTCACGCGGTCGCATTTCCAGGCGAACTCACTCCCCTACCCATTTGGATCGTCGAGGTATTACTTCCTCGCACTGTAAGCTCGCACGTAAGCGTAATATTCCGCCAGGCACGAAGGGACGCATGTAACTTGGATTTCCAGGGTTAATGCACAAAAGCGAAAAGAGCTTGTTGGCCAGTCACTAGCCGCTGGATACCACCGATCACATCCGGGTGAGCGCTTAATCCAGTGGCAAGAAAGCCATTTTTTGCAAAGGGTAGAACAAAATCTTTAAGTCCCTTTTCTTCCGGGTCCGTAAGATAACGCTGTTTTTCGGCTTTCTCTTCCTTCGACTGCCGCCCGTTGGCGCGATGCTAGAGAGTGGATGCTAGGACGTTAGTATATCCTGATTTAGCAGACTATATGATATAGTCAGAAGAGTCGCTTAATCTAGATAGAGCTAGTGTTGCTGGGTCTATAACACGCATAGATAGATTTAGTGTCGCAGTGTCAAACACTACGAGACGGGAAATAGCCCTAAACGGAAGATAGCAATAGTTATTTTTAGCTCGGAGAATGATATTCCTGGGCCGAGAGCTTATCGCTATATTTAGATCTAGCGGATCAAGGTATCTCCGAAAGTGTAACGTCGTACCTACCCCGTGAAATATACTAGAATAAGTACCGACGCGTATATAATAGACGCGGATTTCTAGAAATTTATATATAGCGATATATATATATAATAGCTGAAGCAGCTTCTCTATGCCTACTTTGCTTAGAAACTAGAGTAGAAAGGAGGATGAGATGTCTACAGCGTATGTTTGACCTGTTCGCGATCCAATAGAGTTTCCAGGGGTCAAGGTTCGCCATTATCACAGCCCCGCTTATTGGACTTAATCTCGAAAGTAACTTGCTCGTAGTAAAGAGCAGATGGCTAAATGAACGCCTGATGAGTTTGGCGAACTGGCTACCCAAGATGGTGGATAATTCTCGGTCGGCGAGGAAAGTACCTCTGCAATACTTCGGCACGGTTACCCCGCTCGTTACGGTATACATACGTTACTTAATATGGAATCTGCCCGTCCCTGTCAGTCACAGAGATCATAAAGTTTAACTGCTTATCGCCATAGGCCGCCCCCAACCAAGATAGGATGGGTCGGCTACTTACCCCGTTTCACCAAGATGATGCGATTCGTTTATAGCCCGGCCTGGACTCCGAACCAATATACTTACACCAATCGCCAGCCATCTATACAGTACAAGGCGACTGGGACTACAGTATACAGTAGAATTCGAAAACAGATTACGCCACGCTTTCTTTCCCAGCGCCCAACCCAGATCGCACTAAGCTAAGTTCGGTCTCTCGGGTACAATAGATCAACAAACATTACAGTAATTACAGTTTCCGGCACTGGGCAGACCATACTTGCCGAAACGCCCCGTGGCCATATAACAGAGTTCGAAAACAGATTACCCCTCAGACACTCTCAGTTGGGTTGGTTTCTCGGGCCGTAAAGTACCCCTCGGACGCTGATCGTTTGTTTTTCGGTCTGTGCCATAAAGACGCTAGGCCATATAAGGTTACTATGAAAACAACAACTGCCTAGTAGTATCCTGGTATATAACGTATGGGGATTTAATATCCTTTGAGTCATTGTAAATTATCGTATTCTCCTGTGGAAAGTTCTAAGAAGGGACCTCAAAGGAGTGGGGGAGATCTGACAATCTAGCTTGTGGTGGTGACCCGCTTGTGAAATACGTTAACATGTTTTCTGTAAAGGACGGCGTCATTCCTAACCCGGAGGCTGGTTTAATCCGAGCCGGTAAGACGAGTGATAGATTAGAGTAGTTATGATTTGTATGATACATCCTTTTGGACCCTTTCAAGTAGAAGACCTGCTACAGCATTCATTCCGTCGAGATTCGGGTGAAGGATGGGTCCGCGTCGAATCACCGATGAAAGGTCAAAACCTCCAACCCATGGTTCTTTGCTGCCAAGTGCGTGTCCTAGGCTGAGTTCGTGGACTGGTACTCTCTCACACCAGTCGCATCTACTTTCCGCTACAAGAGAATAGGCATTGTGTAGTGTAGAGGCGACTCCACGATGATGCTCCAGTCTCTCGTGATTGAAAGCAATATCCTGACCAGGCCGTGTGTCAGGTCCTAGGACAGCGAGGTATTCAACAAGAAAAATGCGAGCTTTGGGGGCTCGTTTGTGTATTTCGTCGAGGACTCCGCCTAGTCTGTCAGCCAATTCACTTGGAGACAACGGATCAGACGTTTGTGCTGGTGATTGGGAGACAACAGCCGATCTTAACGCCCTTAACCCTCTAATGAGGGTATTGGTGATTGCTCCTGGTATAGTTGCAGCCCAAGCGTCGGAAAGCATGCCACCAATGTAGTTGATATCGTTGCCACCAGCAGTAACGGTGATGATATCCGCATCGTCGGGCAGATTCGAGAGTTGAGTCGGGAAGGTTTCCCTAGCAAACGGGGCAGTTTGTTGGTCGACTGTTATGTTGAGAAGGGTTGCGCCAGAAACAGTGAGGTCAGTGAGCTCGGCGTTTAGCTGTTGCGCCAGGAGATGAGGGTAGTTCTGCCCTGATCGCATGGCAGCGCGTGGTCCGATTTGAGGGGGGATGCCAGGGCCAGCGGCAAATGAGCTTCCTAGGCTCGCAATTCGGAGCTTTCTATTTCCAGGCTCCATCATATTATTAGAAATCTAAATAGCAAAGAAAAGGGAGGTTTTCAGAAGACACTAGTCGTGGGGTTGAGTTGTGATTCCCGAGGATGATCGGTTTCTATTTCTGGAGGCCGTGATTTTCGGAGAAACTTGATACCGATTCCATGAGGGTCTAACCGTCTCTTGGTAAGCAGCACCCCAACAGCCCTGAGACGGTTACGTGCAGTAACATGGACAAAAAAATAAAGCCTAATACGGAATAGCGCGCTTTTGGTGGTGTGCGAGAAAGAATGGAAGTAAATCTGACTTCAGATATTACTGTAGTTCTCTATAGCCTTCACGAATTGATAAGAAGCGCTGGGAAGAGGAGGTTGCAGACAAGCAGAAGCCAACGAACACAGAGAGATCTAAGAAGCGGTATCCATGCCCGGGATTTCAAAGATCACATAGATTCCCAGGAAGCAAAGAAATTGAACGTATCTGGGAACAAACAAGAATTCGGTATGAAATGACCTTTAGGGCCCGGTTGACGCGGTAGAACGAGAACGTGTTTCTCCCTCACCAATGGTCTATCTCAATCTTTCAGAGAATCCCGTGTTTCCTGGTGCCACCTAGTTAGAGGAATCCATCGATATTATTCAAAATCAAATCTAACGGCATGTTTGGTTGAAATATGCATTTGAATAGCTACAAAGTCTATTTTTTGACGTCGAGGTCAAGCGTTTGTAGCTGACCCATACCATCTTAGCGTGAGGCGGCCCATGGCGGTATAAGTAGTACAAGAACTCCACGACCCACCCACTTTCTTGTTGTTGGAGCTCATTTCACTTCCCCAAATGCCGCTAGTAATCGGATAGTTCGTCTTGCCAGACGCTGTCTCCTACTTTTCCAGTCCATTTCCGCATCCAGTACTCTTCGCAATATAGGAATCCTAGATTCCATTTGTGTGCATCTGATAGTCTACCCAGCCGATAAAGGTTGAAGCAGCAATGGTGAGCCTCCAGGCCGTCCAGGCGCACAATGCGACTCTCAAATCCCTAACCCCAGGTCTCATCGCGGTGTTTGGTAAGTTCAATCTGCTCCAACATGCCACCCGCTACGATGAAGCAATTGCTGCAAGATCCCCTCTCAAAGCCTTACACCTCACTAATCCCCTCCCAGTCGGCGGTACTTCGGGCATCGCCCTCTCAACCGCCCTCGCCCTCGCCCGTCAAACCCCCTCTCCTAAAATCTACCTCATCGGCCGCAGCCAGTCCGCCGCCGATGTTGCCATCGCCTCCATGAAAACCATCAATTCCTCTGCCCAGCCAACCTTTCTCCAAACCGACATATCCCTTCTCAAAAATGTCGACAGCGTCTGCGCTGAGATTGCGGCAAGAGAGAGAAAAAAGTGAATCTGCTCTTCATGACACCCGGATACATGACGCTGAAAGGCCGGGACGAGACGGCCGAAGGTCTAGACCGCAAATTCGTCCTGCATTACTACGCGCGGATGCGGTTTATCACCAACCTGCTTCCCCTCGTGAACGCAGCCGCTCAAGACTCCTCTGTCAACGGCAACGCCAGACTATCCCGCGTTGTGTCTGTCCTAGACCCGATGGTCTCCGTCCGCGCGGGCGGCTCCGGCACGCTCGACTTCTCGGACCTCAGTTTGAAGCACACCTTTAGCCTCAAGAAATGCGGCTGGCACGCTAGTCTGATGGGTAATTTCTTCCTGGAGAGTGTGGCCCAGCAAAACCCGCATACCTCCTTCATCCACGCATACCCCTCTGGCGTAGCCACGGGCGTGTTGCGTGAACTACCGGCTGGACGCGTGCTGTCGGCCGTGCTGACGCCGCTGTTAAGACCATTCATGGTGCCTCTCGAGGAGAGTGGAGAGAGGCATTTGTTTGCGGTAACGAGTGGGAGATATCCTCCGAAAGCTGAGGGGGAGGATATAGAAGGGGATGTCGCAGTTGGCAGCGATGGGACGAAGGGGAGTGGGTGTTACTGGGTGAGTTGGGACGGTGAGGTATTTCCGCCAAACAAGAAATTGGAGAGGACGAGGGGCCAGAGCGGGGCAGAGAAGGTGGTGCAACACACAGAGGAGGTGTTTAAGCAGGTGTGCGAACACGGCAAGACATACCCGTGAAATGTCATCGAGGGACAAAGTCTCAGCTGGTCGAGATGAGATTGCACCGTGGTCAGTTCCTGGGATGATACAGATTGCCAATTTAGCTCGTCCAGCAAGCAGCATGCATGATCTCATTCTCCGGACTAAGGAAACGGGTTTGGGGTCGCCATGCTCAGATTTCTTGTTGCATGCTAATGGCAGTGTCTAATTATTTGTTGAAGTCCTCGTGTCACGGTGCTTGACGGCTTGTACACGTGACCGCTGTGTTTTGTCGGAACGAACAGCCCTATGGAGACCGGATTAGTAGTTAATCCGGTCTCCATAGGGCTGTTCGTTCCGACAACTCACATCAACCAAAAAAGCTAGGCTTAGCTTAGATCTTGTCAAACAATCCTGGTGAAAACTGCCCGGACGAACGTACCTGTGTTTGCCTGTGCTGTAGCTTAAGCGCGGTTGATGGTCAAGGATCGTGTTTTTTTTCATCATGACCGCCCCATCAACTTCGGCTTGAGACTGTTTACTTTTGCTCAACTCACAATATCCATTTTTCCTAATGGTGTTCACCGGTCAAAAAGGTTCATATCTGAGGTCAATTTCAAGTACTCTAGTTTATTTGTTCGTCCTGTATTTCAAGGATGGTTCATGTTAAGAGTTATTCATGTTGTTGTTTTCATCATTACTGTATGCGCCATCAACGATGCCTATCCTCTCTTGTTATTTAACAGTCAAAAATGGGGGTTTTCGGGCCAATTTTGGATACAGGATCACCATTAACTATGAATGTCAAACACTCCGCCACTCCGCCACTATTCGATTCTGGGCAATAGATCAACAGTCAAAAAGACTCCATAAATTGACTAATTAATTTTAGCACTCAACAGTTAAACGATAGTTACCTAGGGGACGTGAAGTCGCGCTTGGAGATTCGATACAATTTGACAAAGGCTTACCCGTTCTAACTTCTATTTGGTCCGCCTGGAAGTACCTCTGAAGACAAATCAATTTCTTATCATGACACGCACCTTATATTCCGTGTCACAGAGGAGGCCAAGCATGTAAGTCAATTTGCGGTTGATCAGGGACATTGCGGTGGCAGTCTTCGGGACTGGGCTGAATAGAGTTTCACTCTATATCAGTAACAAAACAATGCTGACTCCGACTATTAGTTTATACCGAAGGCCTTGCGTGAAGTCAGTACAGAAGATAACGAACCCCCTCTGTACTATCTTGTTGAATCGAATGTCTGCTCGGACAAGCGAGAGGGTGTTCAAGATTGAGTTGCAAGACGGCGAACCTTTCCACTCAGATCTCATCGGCGCCTCTAAAGAGCAATGTCAGAATTGGGCCCTAGAGAAGTGGTTCCAAGCTAAAGTCAAATCCATCGAACCGAATTTCATCGCTATTGCAGACGACCGAAGCGCTCGAGACGGGACTCTACTTATGAGCTTCTACTGCCCCAAAATTAGCCAGGAAGAGCCTACTTTCGAATTTGACGGATGGGGACCTCTCCTCCCAGAGGCCAACACCTGGTACAACTTCAGAATTGATCATCGTGCAGCTGATGAGATCCATGGAGCTCTGATGTGGGCCACACGGGATACTGCCTATCCGACCTATTTTGGACTCCCAGAAAACTTTGCGGATGAGTCTGGCATCTTTGATGTATTCAAAGCGATTCCCTATGTTAATGTTGAAGAAAGTGACGAGGATGTATAGAGATCTGGCACCTTTCACTACAGAAAATACCAGCTTCGCTTTTTTTTCTCTCTAATTAAAGTACGAAGAGAAACATGCACTGTACTTTCTAGTCATTCTAGATAGTCACTTGTTACTGGTCGGTTTCCATCTCTACACAGACTACTAGGTATACGGCAGCAGGTACCAGGCATCCTGGGGGCAGCTACAAGGCACCCATGCTTATCGGTTTGGAATCGACACATACTGCGCGGTGCGAAGGCTAAGAGTGTCGAACAGTCCCCACGACTGATATGGCTTCCGTTTACTGGAAGTCCGCGAATGCAACAACTCTTCGGCTAGCCCAGGCAGTAAACCCGAGTGGGGAAGGAGCAAGCCGTCATTCAATGAAGACGCCATAATAAAGTGACTCGCGATGATTTAGGAAACGCAATGTTTCATATAGATTCTACGGGTTATAAGCATTCAACTAGTGAAATTGATCAAGCTTGTTCGGTGAGATGAGATTGATCGTTGGGGTGTGGAGCACCCGCGGCGAAGCGGTGTGGGTGGTCACGGCACAATTAGATCCTGTAGTTGTGGTGACCTGGAGACTGGAATTTCCAGAATGCGGGGAATTTGCGGCCCCCGCAGCAAATTGGATAATAATCTCTCAAGCATCACGGGGCACTGACTCCATTTTCTGCATGTCTCCGAATATAGCAGCCTGTTAAATAGGAGAAACGTAAATGGTTCCAAGGTCGGCTGACCTATTTTGCGTGATATTACCTAAAATCTCGGCTTGCCACGGGGCTATACTTGCCCGATCCAGCCGATCTTTCCGCTTATGACCAAACCCGAGTCTGGAACACCAAATTTTACGTGATTTCACAAGCGCCGCAAAGCATTGCCCAGCATTCGTTTTTGGGGTTGGTTCAAATAGCGTCATAATGATACACCTCCCCCGCAGAATCTTTATAAGGCGAGATGTTCCCCGGACTTTGAGTGCCGAGCCCAATTCCAGGTTATCCCCCTATACGTTACTGCCCCGGGTACCTTATTTCATTCAACTCTAATTCGATGTAAGTAATGAAGATGTCTTCTCCTGCCTGACAGTCACTCATAAAATACCTTAGTCAATGTTCCAGAGTCAATCCTCTCCTATCATGACCATCCAACCTTTAGAGCGTCCTTCACAAGGCTGGAAATGCCAACAATGCGGACTCCCTGGCGTTCGCTTATCCACGCGCCCAGTTGGCTCCAATGAAGCTACCAGTCGGGCATACTACAAATGCGTCCCATGCGATCGCTTCCTGGGCTTTTGCCCTTGCACCACGCCAGGAGCCAGGACAACTTCGACGTGTCCGTGTGGTGAACACAGCGATGCCGAATCGCCGGGTCTGGAGGACCAGGTGCCTCGCGGTGTCTCCATGCTTTTCACGGAGCAGCAAATATTCAACCCTCACAACCCGAATTCAGGGTTCGAAGAGGATTGGGAAGCAAATTGCAGTCCCGGTTTCATGGTTTCAAGGTTCAAGGCTGTGGGAATAGAGTTGCCTCCCTGGGCGTGAAAATGATGCTTTTTGAGTTTTCATTTCAATTTTTCATTTCAATTTTTCGAAAAACATAGCGAGACTTGTTTACTTTACCAAGAATCTATACTTGATTGTTACCCACGAAGCTTTTGTTAGTAGGGTTTGAGAAGTACGCTGTACTTCAACATCGACTAAGTTTAGGAAAGAAGGCAGAGGGCGGTGCAAGAAGAAAAAGGGCGGTGTGAGTATCAATCTCTATGCTTTATTGATGGACGATAGCCGAGGAGACAGCCCTTTGACAGCTTCGGTTGTCGTTTATGTCTTGCCTCTCCCGTCTATTAATAATCCCATGAAGTCCTTCTCGTGTTCGTTACGAACACATCTCATTCATGGCCCTCTCTTCCTGCCCTTGCGTGCTTAACCCTTGACATTGTAAATCCTCCTCGTCTTCGTTCTGCCTGCCGCCTTTGCTCTATCAGCTCATCAAGCAGCTGATCCGGGGTTTTCCCAGCCCTATATGATTGTTCCATCGAGCCTCCAGCGCCCACCAAGATTTTAATCAATTCCTCTCGTGCTCTATGAGGAGCATCGCGGGGCTGCGATGGATCAGGCATTCCGTTTTCATCCGCCCTCCTGTTAACCCACTTGCGAAAACACGAACTTCTGATCCAACGCCCTGGGTACTACCTGGTGCTCAGGAATTGATTCATTACTCCGAGAGCAACCGATCGATCCCACCTTGGACTACTTTCGACAAGCATTGCCCCCGCAATGGCCGGAAAAAAAGAAGAAAGGGGACGCGGACGCCTGGCCGGAACCCCCAACCGACCAGGACAGCCGTGAAATAAGCGCACACGCGAAAAGCTTACTGAAAACGACTAAGCAGTGGAAGAATGCCGCTGAAGGAGGCGGCCTGCCATCACCCGAACGCTTTTCCCAGTTCCTGGAGGCCGTGATCTCCCTGGCCACTAGGATGAAGGAAAGCGAACTGCTCGCTGAATTTCGGCCTGATAGAGTCGTAGAGCTACAACATCATTCTGTGCAACAATATCACCTAAGAGGAGCCCATAAGGACCCTCATACACTAGAGACCTCATACACTGGAGATCCATCTGTGTCGTAGAAATCAGGCTTAATATCGAAGTCTCCATGGTCAAAGTCCCGGTGAATTTGATGGAAGCAGGGGTACGCCATGGGAATTCGATGCAAGGATGAGATGGAGAATAATTGAAAAAGAAAACAGCATAGAGAAAAAAAAGAGTGACAAGATGGAGAGGAGGTGAAAGAGAAGAGTGGTCAGGAAGTAGGGGATGGTGGTAAAACTGATTTCAATCGGGGTCCCACTCCGACAATGTATCGGCACCAACAGTGCGTAAGCCTAAGCCTCACTCACAAAAGCGGTAGCATCTTAGATTGGAAAGCCCCATCCGCCAGGGAAAATCTCATACGTCCACAGGTGCATATATGACTGCATTCGGGTTCTAGAGTATATTCTACAACTATCCTCCGACGGATCCAAATCAATCTCAAAAATAACGAGCGACAGGTAGTTCGGTCACTTCAAGACCAGCTCGGGAGTAAAGAATGTGGGCCATGTCCCACAGGACTAGTCTGCGCTTGCCTATAGACCATGGCCATCAGGTAGCTTGCTTATTGCATTTAGGCACGAGAAAAGCCAAAGAGCGAGAAGCCAATGGAGGAGGAGGAGGCCTGGCTAGAGGCGGGAGTGGGAGTGGCAGAAGGAGTACCACTAGGGGTCACAGTCGAGGAGGGAAGAGCAGGTGGGGTGAAGCTGTAAGCACGCTTCTGGGGGATCAAAGAAGCCAGAGCGCCGAGAGCAGACTCGGCCTCAGAGGCGAGGGAGGACAGGCCACTGGGAATGGGCGAGTCGGCACGCTTCTGGGGGACCAGAGATGCAAGAGCGCCGAGAGCAGACTCGGCCTCAGAGGCGAGGGAGGACAGGCCACTGGGAATGGGCGAGTCGGCACGCTTCTGGGGGACCAGAGATGCAAGAGCGCCGAGAGCAGACTCGGCCTCAGAGGCGAGGGAGGACAGGCCACTGGGAATGGGCGAGTCGGCACGCTTCTGGGGGACCAGAGATGCAAGAGCGCCGAGAGCAGACTCGGCCTCAGAGGCCAGCGAGGATAGACCGGTAGGAATGGCCGAGTTGGCGCGCTTGAAGTTCAGCGAGGCGGGCCATCCACCGGAAACCGGGGTACCAGACGAGGTACCGAGCGGAGTACTAGCAGGAGTTCCAGTTGGGAGAGACAGGCTAGTGCTAGAAGAAGCGAATGGGTTGGGGAGACCAGAGCCGGTAGGGAAGACGTAAGTGCCATTGGGGTTGAAGGGGACAGCGATGACAGCGCCAGAAAGGGCGAGAGCGAGGGAAGCGATGGAGACCTTCATTGTGAAAGATTGGAAGATGAACTGGATAGCAAGTTATGAGAGAGTGATAACTTAGGACAAGAGACTGGCTCGATCAGAGAAGAGTTGGATCTGTTTGATGATGAGCAGAAGGGAGGGACATGGAGGGGTCTTTATATCTTTTCAAGACGACTTTTGCCAGAGTAGAGGATCTGCAGCACATCGTCGAACACCCGGAATCTAGCTTTCCGGGCCAGTGACTCCAAATCGCTTTTGTTCATCGCCATCGAGGGTGGAGATAAGTCGCTCCAAGGTCCCTCGGCCCTGGCCTGGACTGTGTAGGGTTGGAGAGATCTTCAACATCGGGGAACTCCAACGTTGCTGATATGCGGTATCAGGACACTACTAGAGTGAAAGCGAATTGAGCTTCCGATGCAGATCAGACACCCGGCTGGGAAAGGCTCCTGGTGCTGAACTATGGGTCGCGGACAGAATACATATCGATTGTGTGAAGTGATGCGCGAATTGTTCACAGTCGGCTCCACCAAGAGTACTTTAAGTTTGTCGTTTTAGAACGCATCTGGAATTTGGTCCAGCTGCAGAGGCGGAGGTTCAGGTGCTTTGTGATGTGATAGGATCAGAGCAGGAAGCGATATTGAGATAGCAGGTTCAGGGACCACCATTAACCGGTGCCGATCGACGATCCTGCCGATCACCGTTGGCTCGCCGTTTCTGTCCATTCATCCGACTGTTCGGGTTTGGTTCGCCTGTGAGCGTTGTTCACCGTTAGGTTTTCCGATGGTGAACCGTGGTTGCAATCGGCTCCTCCCCGCGTTGTCGAGCACCACTTGTACCTAACTCTCTCGAGCCCCGGGCAGGTTTGGTCGGTATCGGGATCTCAAAATCCAGACAATGCCGAAGGACAGGTGCACATGGGCGTCGCATGGGCGTCGCATGGTCTCGCATGATCTCGCATGGTCTGACGCGACGTCACCCTTGAATCAAGTTATGCAAGGCACGTTGGAGATGGGGATGCACCACGGAAACGAGCCTAACGATCACTGGCTCTATTGGAGATCTCCTGTGCGGAACGCGTGAGAACTCGGATGTCGGCGCAAGAACGAACGGTGATCGACTTGATCGCTGCGTCGATAGCAGATCGCCGATGTCATGGGCCTTGGAGTGGACGGAATTGCCACGAGCACCGTAAAGCGAAGGCAGAAGTCCGCTTTTCACTCCCCGACGTCTCCAATCCGCCACATTCCAGTAAGCCATTGCTACATGCCTCTGTTCTTAGACCAGCATCTCAACACCAGGGAAGCTCAAATCACGGGTACCCAAGATGCGCCTTAGTTCTCTGCTGCGTCTCTCAGACCCCCGGTAAAACTCCCGGTGATGAGACTTCGGGGAGAATCCACCCAGTAATCCACTCTTCCCAAAGATCGGTTTGTTCAACCCTGGTCTCACGCGAACCGACACGATAAGCTTCCATAGCCAATGATCGGACCTTATTGCCGTCCCGTGCTCTCCGTTCCTTGATAATAGTGGGCAGAAGAGACGATGGCCCATTCCAGGTCGAATCCGAACCAGACTATCGCACTCGTGGGCGGCAATGTGAAATGCCGAACTACGCATCTCGAGCCCGCGAAGATTGTTGGGCGAGAAATGGCATCGACTGGAAAAATAGGAAGGACATCAGCACCGAGTTTTGACCGAAAGTTCCATCCTCAACAACGGGACTTGGGGTCGGGAGAACATCCGCAGATCCGAAGCTCATGGGATCATCGAGGCTAGTAAAATCATTACCTCTAGGACTTACGGTATCCACAGGCAGCTGTCCCGGCCGCGGTTGCCTCGGAGGAGCAAATCGGCTATCTAGAGGTACAAAGCTGTGCAATCCGAGGTTGACTAGACATTGAAAGGAACCCGTGTTCCATTTCAGTGTCTCCCGGGCTCGGAGTATATTTAAGATTGATCGTCACGGTTCGCTAAATCACATCGCACGGATTCGTATTTATCGTATTATGGATCATTACAGCTTCTTAGCCCGAGTCCACTCGGGTTCAAGGTTATCACCGATGGCACGAATGGCCTCCTTCTCGAGCTCACGACGAGAGAGCAACCCATCACGCCTGGAGACCTTGGAGGCGGACTCCTCACGAGACATCTCGACGTGGATGTAGACAGCTGCCCGCTTGCCGCTGAACATGGCGTGCGGCACGTTGGTGCTACCGTCCGAGTTGGCGTCACCGATGGCGAAGACGCTGCTCTCGCTGGTGCGCATACCACTAGTGACGTCGATCTTGTTGTCGGTCACGTTCAGGCCCATTTGCTTGGGCAAAATGGAGCGCTGCGCGGTCGCGTAGTTGGTGATGAAAGCGCCGCGTTCAATGGGCTCGCCCTCGGTGAAGTGGATCAGGAACTTGTCGAACTGAGTGTCGGTCGTGAAGTTCCGATGGGTGGCACCGTTCTGGAGGCGCTCTATGCACTCGATTGTGCGGTTCTCGATCTTGATGTTCCAGGCCTTGAGCTGCTCCTCCCAGCCCTTGTGCTGATTGGTGGCAGCGGCTTCACCTTGAGGGTTCTGCGTACCATTGACAAACGCGATAATATCGGAGAACAGGGTGTGGGTCTCCAACACGCTCCCCAGCACATCGGCAATGCTGCCGAGGATTCCGAGGGGCTGGTCACGGTGCTCATAGCCGTCGCACCACGGGCACCAGAAGATGCCCTTCCCGAAGGCTTCCTGCAGGCCCGGAGTGGCGGGCAGTACATCGCGCAAACCGGTGCCGAGTACGATCTTGCGAGCGGTGTACTTCTTACCCGTATTATCGGCAACAGTGAAGGAGGAGACTTCACTCGAGCTGATGGGGGTGATCGAAGTCACGGTATTGTTGCTCCAATGAGCCGTTGGGTACCGAGAGATCTGCTCTCGGGCCAGACCACGGAACTGGGCAGGTGGAGTTCCTTGCACACGTTAATGTGATGGCGGGGAATGCCGAGGTCAAGCTTCAAAACATACCATCATTGCCGATCACGTCGTGCATCTCCCGAGTCACATCATTGCGGTAGTGGTGATTGTCAAACAGCAGCGCCGTTCTTCGAACGCGAGAAACACCGCTGAGAGCACTGAGACCTGCAGGACCACCACCAACGATGATGACATCGTAGTCGGTCGTGGGGATGGATTCCGCGAAGGCGAAGGCCATGGCGGAAACGACGGACAGCAGGGCGGCGATTCTCATAGTGACGGACGAGAAGAGGTAGTTCCCTGGAGCACGAGAAAGTCATTGGAACGGGGAATGGAGCTCTTTTTTAAAAGGCAGCTGCCCCCAGCTACGGGATCAGGGAGCCCACTCGAACCCACTGGATCATTGCGTACAATTACGCCAGAAGGGCAGATCAAGATCCGGACTGGGTATCTGTGGAGGGGAGCACGCAGGATGCATGCTCAGCTCATGCTCCCTTCATGCATAGCACACACTCGGCGAGCTGAGCGGGCTGCAGCGATCGTCCAGATCGACATGCCTTATGAGAAATCCAGCTCTCGGGTGCTCCGGATTCGTTGCTCGCGTGTCGAACGCAGAATCGATATTTTCAATAGCTGTCAATATCCTCCGGATAGTGCTGCCTTGCATAACATCACATCACTTCAGGGCTAAAGAAGAAGGCTGGTTGACAGGGAGCGGGAACGAAGGTGAGGAAGATCGACGCCAATGATGGGGCCATTCATCGCCCCAATGCACGCGCAATTGGCCCGGGCGATCTTGGCAATGCATCATGACGATTCGTTGAATAATGAGATCCGAAAGGGTCCCAAGGTTTCTGTTGAGGTACGTTGTCTTCCCAGGTTGCATTGTGCGAGGAATTGTTACCGGAAGTATTCAGAGATGTCCCCGAGTAGCTACTAAAGCTATGCGGTAACGTGCGTGGTCAATCCTCGGCATCTATTCGGCTCGATCAATTACTGTTGTTTCTTCTTTGTAACTTGCTTGTTTATGCCGCTGCGGGTCTGAATCGGTTCCAATCATCGGGTACTCCGATTCTACCAATTTCATAGCCCGATGCCAACATTTGAATGACCTCATACAAACCCTACGCGGTTCGGCAAACGACCAATACTTAGGTTCCTAGTTCCGTCTAAACTCTCATCCACAGTCACAGTCACACCGAAGATACCTCTAGGCAACTGCTCCGCGCGCTCCCGGTCGCGTCCAGTGCACGGGACTGGTGGCAATGGCAAATGTGTATGCTGCGTATGATCCGTCTTTGTGCTATTTACCTGCCTACCAGGTCGTCTCCGCCACTTCTTGGCGTTTCACTTCCGTTTTAATGCTCAGACCTTGCCGCTTTTTGCTCACTGAGAAGAAATAAGCATAGGGGTGAGCACCCCGCAGAAGCGAACCTCAACGAAATGCACTACGCTTGATTACGCTCCGGTTGGATTCGGATCTGGTGCTATATCCAAGTAAAGTGTCTTCAATCTTTCACGATACATTTGAAGTTTAGACATATTTCAGTGCTGGAGGATTTAGCCGCGACCATGTGTCGTTTGGAACTGCTCTTAACCCCAAGACAAAGAACGGCAGGCACACTCTATAGAATCAAATTATGATCGTGCATTGTACTCATGGGCCTCACGATGAGCCAATTTCAGCTTGAATGATTCGACGCGACGCAGCACCTGGATTGTATGTACACTCGTTTACCGACCCATCCAGCCTCCGTCGACCGTGTGCACTTCGCCGCTCACGTACGCGCTGGCCTGGCTGGCCAGATACACCACCGGTCCCTTGAAATCATCCGGGCTTCCCCATCGTCCTGCAGGGATACGCCCGAGAATACTGGCAGCGCGTTCCTTGTCCTGAATGAGGGCGGCGTTCATGTCGGTCGCAACATAGCCCGGTGCGATAGCATTGACGTTGATTCCTTTGGACGCCCACTCGTTCGACAGCGCCTTCGTCAATTGGGCTACGCCACCCTTGGCTGCCGCGTATGCCGGTACGGTCAGTCCACCCTGAAAGGACACGAGAGAAGCCACGTTGATGATGCTGCCGCGCTGGCCGAACGAGTTCGGCGTACGCGTGAGCATATACGCGCCTACGTCGCGACAGAGAGTAAAGACCGTGGTCAGGTTAACTTGCAGGACCTGCATGCATTTTGATGAGCGTACGCTAGTATGTACAGAATTTCTCACATACCTCATCCCAGTCGTCTTGTGGGAAAAGATGACTCGGATGCCGTCGCTGAATGCCCGCACAATTCAGGAGGATGTCGATGTCATGGCCGCCCTTGATGACGGAGTCAACCAACGCAGATACTGATTCCTGCGAGGACAGGTCGGCTGTGTAGATGGTGGCTTTGCGGCCCAACTTCTCGATCTGCTCTTTCGTTGCCGGGTTGCTGGAGTCTCTTTGGACTAGTACAATGTCAGCACCGGCCTCTGCTAAAGCAATGGCCATCGACTGGCCGATGCCTCGAGTGCCGCCAGTCACCAGCGCAGTTCTACCCGTGAGTGAAAATAGATTCATGATATGTGTTGGCTCTCACTCGGCGGGAAGAATGCCGACTATATACCGAGGTGCATGCTGGACCCCCACGCCCTCCCCGCATCGAGTGGGGGACGACGACATCCCGGAGCTTGCGATTCTGACCAATTATCCGATGCTATCAGGTCTGCTTCTACGAAATGCGGGATTCCGAGCGTATGGTCTTGCAGCAACAACCATATTACGCGCCCAAATTCAAGACCTCCCGTGAAATTTGAAGCAGCTTATGTGATCGAATTATCTATTGACTAGACACGGCCCCTTGGTCTACCACTCGCGAATCGATCCATCCGGCCCGTAGAACTCCTTCGGTTGCCAGGGCTCGGTGACCTTGCTTATGCGCCGCACCAGCTCCTCGTCAATTTCAATTCCCAGACCAGGCTTGGAGGGGGCTGCTACGAATCCGTCAGCAATTTCAAAGACGGTCTTATCCACCAGGTAGCTGTTCAGGTCAATATCACCGGCCTCCACGTTGTAGTGCATGCCGAGAGACATTTCCTGGATAACAAAGTTGGGTGTAGACACGGCCACCTGCAGAGACGCGGCGAGAGCAATGGGACCCAAGGGACAGTGCGGAGCAATGGCTACATCGTAGGTCTCGGCCATGTTCGCAATGCGCTTGGTCTCGGAGATGCCGCCCGCGTGGGCAATGTCCGGTTGCAGGATATCCACCGACGCATCTTCTAGGAACCGCTTGATATCCCACCGAGTGTATAAACGTTCACCGAACGCAATTGGAATAGTGGTGTGGTTGGAGAGCTGCTTAATCGCCTCGGGGTGTTCGCAGAGTAGCGGCTCTTCGATAAACAGAGGTTGATGCGGCTCTAAAGCCTTGGCCAGCTGTTTTGCCATCGGACGGTGCAGACGACCGTGGAAATCTAGACCGGCGTCCAGGCCGAGGGCCTTGACCTGCTTGAGGCGCTCCACGCAAGATTGGATTGCCGAGGGCGAGTCGAGCCAGTTCATGTCCTCGGTGGCGTTCATCTTGATACATTTCAGACCCTGCGCAATGCGTGCCTTGCTATCAGGCATCAGAATCAATTCACATTATAACCGAAAAGAGGGGAAATACTCACGCAGCAGCCTCGACATCGCTCGGGCGGTCGCCTCCAATCCAAGCGTAGACCTGCGCCTTGTTGCGCACCTTGCCGCCCAACAGCTGGTACACAGGGACGCCCAAACGACGACCCTTCATATCCCACAGCGCAATGTCAATTCCAGACATGGCCGACATGAAGACGGGCCCGCCGCGATAGAATCCCAGGCGCCATATTAATTGCCAGATATGTTCGATGTCACTGTCCGAGTTAGCCGAGACGTATCTTGAGTTCGACAGGGCGCATACTCTGCTTCCAATCCCACGATGCGCGGAATGATCTCGTCCAGCGCGCCCTCCACAGCCAGTGAATGACCCTCGAGGGTGCCCTCGCCCCAGCCGAACTGGCCCTCCTCGTCGGTGATCTTGACGAACAACCAGCGAGGTTTGACCCGGAAATACTCGACGGACTTGATTTTAGCCATGGGTGTGAAGAGATGCTAGAGATGTGCAATCGCAAACCGACTACTGGATACCCCTCACCATATAAGCCACACGGCGAGTCGCAGCCCCCATCATCCCACGGTGCACCCCACGCCGTGGGATGAGGCCGGTAAAAGTCCGGGTGAGTGAGGAGCAGATCATTTCCCCACTCTAAAGCCGAGTGCATCACTGTCTTATTGGCGGAAGAACCCAGCTGCGTCCTTCGTTTGTGGAGATCCAAAGAGGACCGAGAAGTGGAGAATTCCAGCTCGGCTGCCCCCACGCTTTCGGGTGGAGACCGACTTCATCAGGTGGATCATCGATCCTATTTGCCGAGTGGGGTCCTGCTCGTAACCGAGCCCTTTTTGACGTTGAAATCCCACGGCGCAGACAGCTCTGGACTGAAGCGAGCGCCATGACCATCACACGGGCAGATATTGCGCAGCACAAGAGTCGTGAGTCGTGCTGGGTTGCCATCCACGGAACTGTTTACGATGTAACGGGTATGAATCGATAGGATGACGTCTGAATATAAGAGGCTCACCCTGGCAGACTTTCTTGATCATCATCCTGGAGGAGCAAATGTCATTCTACGCTGCGCCGGCAGGGATGCCACTGATGATTTTGATTCCGTTCATTCAGCCGAAGTGCTAAAGGAGTTGCCTGACACCGCGCTGCAAGGGCAGATTGATGCCGCAGAACTGGCATCATGCGAGAAAACAATAATCCCCAGTGAGAAAGCCACTGAAACTCGGGTTATCGGTCCACCGCCCCTGAGCACGTTCATCAACCTGCACGACTTTCAAGAAGTCGCTCAGCGGTATCTGCCTGCCAATGCGTGGGCCTACTATTTCTCGGGGGCTGACGACGAAATTAGCAAGCGCAACAATGCCCGTGCCTATCAGAAGGTTGCACTACGGCCGCGTATTTTGAAGAAGGTGCCCAATGTCGATACAAACACTTCCATTCTCGGCCATGCGGTATCCCTTCCCGTCTACATCTCACCCTTGGGCATCGCAAAACTTGCTCATCCAGATGGCGAATGTGCCCTTGCATCGGCCGCTGGCAAGGAGGGTGTGGCCCAGGTCCTTGCAAACGGTGCGAGTATGCCAATCGAGCGAGTGATGGCGAGTCGTGTCTCGAACGAACAACCGCTATTCTTCCAATTATATGTCAATAAAGACATCAACAAGTCAGTGGAAGCCGTGAAACGCGCCGAAAAAGCCGGTGCCCAAGCTATTTGGATCACGGTTGATTCGCCGGTGGTGGGTAAGAGAGAAATGGACGAGCGGCTGAATCTGGCGGTGATGGTACGTGTCGATTCAACTCAATCATATCTACAGGGCTAACGATATCCAGGCAAATGATAGTGATGCCTCGGGCCAAGGTGTTGCCAAGATCATGGCCAGTTCTATCTCGCCGTATATTGACTGGGAGATTCTTACATGGCTTCGAAATCTCACCAGACTTCCTGTGGTGATCAAGGGTATCCAGTGTGTGGAAGACGCCGTTCTGGCCTACGAGCACGGTGTTCAGGGGATAGTCCTCTCGAACCACGGAGGTCGCTCCCAAGACACGTAGGTTATCCAAAGGAGCTATTCAATGCCCACAAAGCTTACTCTCATAGTGCCCAATCTCCACTTCTAACGCTGCTTGAGATACGCAAATTTGCACCCCATCTGATACGCAGTAATATGCAAATTTTCATCGATGGCGGCATTCGCAGAGGTACCGACGTTCTCAAGGCCATTGCTCTGGGAGCAACCGCAGTCGGCTTGGGTCGACCTTTTCTGTTCAGCATGTCCGCTGGATACGGAGAAAGTGGCGTCCGTCGGATGCTAGAGATCCTACGACAAGAGATCGAAGCCAATATGATTTTCCTGGGGGCCACAAGTCTCAAGGGGCTGCGGCCGGAGATGGTAAATGCCAGCCGACTGGAGCGGGATTTGATCGGCAGTGTCAAGCTGTGAGGCGATTCTTGTATCTAGTATGATATGGCAAACTCAAGATTACAATACCAGAAGCACTTCGTACCTTCCCAGGCTATAAATACTGAGTAGAGCAGTCTGAGCTGACCCTTTCTTTGCCCGTCGTTTCATGCCCTGTATGGAACCCCCACGCCGACTTCGGCACGAGCCCCGCGCGCCCCGCCTCGAGGCATCTTCAGGGAAGCCCGCGAGAATGACCAACTCGGCGTACCCCTCAGATAGAACGCCGACTTGTCATCATTCAAACTGACAAACACCATGTCCGGCCAGATCGATATCCTACTATACGGCCTGGGCGCGTACGTGATCCGATTCCCTGCGCGATTTGCGGTCGCTAACGCGCCATAGCATCGGCTCCTTCTACGCCTTCGTTCTGAGCCGGTCCGAGCGTGTACGCTTGACGGTAGTCGCTCGATCAAACTACGAGGCTGTCAAGGCAAATGTAGGGCGGTGACTCTGGATTGTCAAACGTCGGTTTACTCCGGTCGCTCATGGAACTCTAGGGAATTACCATCAACAGCGAGAACCACGGCCAGCACAATTTTCATCCACACCGAGGTGAGTGGGACTCTGCATTCAATCTAATGCTTCTCATACTTACATTAAGCAGTGGTGAAATCCCCATCCGAGGTGTCTGCCGTTGACTACGTAGTGTGCGCCCACAAGGCCATCGATCAAGAGGACGTCGCGGTGCAATTGCAGCCCGTGGTGGATCAGAACAGGACGACCATCGTGATTATCCAGAATGGAGTTGGTAACGAGGAGCCATTCAGGAAGCAGTTTCCCGGAAGCTCCATTCTGACCTGCGTGGTAAGTTTTTTGACGGGTGATCGCTTTGTTTCGAGACTAACGATGACAGACCTGGGTCGGAGCGACACAAATCAGTCCCGGTATCGTCAAGCACACCAAGTCCGAAGATATGCAGATCGGCCTTTTCGCGAACGCACAGGTTGAGAAGGCGACCGAACAGCAGCGACTCGATACTTTCACAGACTTGCTCCGCAACGGCCAAACCCGGTTCCAGATTCTCCACGATATCCAACGAAAGCGATGGGAGAAGGTTGTATGGAACGCGGCATGGAACTCCATCACTGCATTAACGATGGTGGACACCCAAACCTGGCTACACTCGTCAGATGACGCCGAGCCATTTACTCGCAAGTTGATGCTTGAAGTCATCCACATTGCTCGCGGCTGTGGTGTGGCCCTGCAAGATGAGCTCCCCGACCAGCTCATTGGAAAGATCAAAGCCATGCCAGGAATTGGCAGCAGCATGCAGACTGATTTCAAAAATGGGCGGCCAATGGAGATTGATGTGATCCTGGGTTTCCCCGTGCGCAAATCACGGGAGTTGGGCATCTCGGCTCCCTATTTGGAGACGCTCTATGTCATCCTGCGCGCGATAGATGGTCGACTGCGTGCCGCACTGTAGAGTCAGCCCTAGCAAAGTGTCGGAACTGACGAGGCCATAAAGCCTCCACGAATGATGTGTTAGAAGGTCGAAATCCATACATCCAATGAAACTTGTAATAGGCCGATGATTGCTCATGGGTACACTGTATACAGAAGTTGCATCCCACGTGTGATACCCTACGCACTTCTCCAAAAAGTCAAAGAAGTCATTTGGATTTAAGCAGCGGCAAGCCACGAACGGCTCGGAATTCTTACCGACGGCTGGGGATCCATATTCCCCACGCAGGATTTTGCTGAACCGTCCGCATGCCCCCACTCCCATGAAGTTTGGTGAGAGATCAATGAGCTGTCGCCGTGGTAACCGACTCGCTTCCGCTTTGATATAAATGAGGAGAACGGTCCGCCCTCGGCCGAAGGCGCGCACGCAGACCATGTCGAGATCTCATAGGAATAGGTTGGTCACAAGTTGATGCTTGGATAGAGTGATAGATCGCCTGCCCGGGTGAGCAGTCATAAAACAACCCTACCAAGCACTTGAGGTATTTGGCCGGGTAGGGAATCGATCCGTATACCTGTACTAGGCTTTTATCCAGATGTAATGGGCACGGTCAAATAGGCATATGCATGAAAAATGTTGAATATCCAATGACTATTAGACATCGCGGCACCCTGGTTCCAACATCTCATTTACAAAATCATTTGGCGCCATCCATGCCGACCCTTGCCCAACGGCCCAAATGCAACGAGACAAGGTAAGAAGGCCAGCTCACTTGTCCGTTGATCTATATGTCAAAGCGCCTGAAAAGCCATTTTGAACGCCAAATATCACAATATATGCAAGAACCATGATATCCAAAAATCAATGTCCAAAAGAAATCAAAATCGTCATCACATATATACGGCCAGGGGCGCGGTTAATTCCGCGTCCGGGAATGCAGACCTGAGAATTCCTGCAGTTGGATGTACGTGGTCTTGTCGGTCACTGTCTCAAGTTCGGCATCGGGGCCGGGAGGGGAAGTGTCAGGGGCCGGGTTGTCAGGAGGTGGAGTGTCAGGAGGTGGAGTGTCAGGAGGTGGAGTGTCAGGAGGTGGAGTGTCAGGAGGTGGAGTGTCAGGAGGTGGAGTGTCAGGAGGTGGAGTGTCAGGAGGTGGAGTGTCAGGAGGTGGAGTGTCAGGAGGTGGAGTGTCAGGAGGTGGAGTGTCAAGAGGTGGAGTGTCAGGAGGTTTCGGCTCGGGCGGCTCTTCGTCGACAGCAAATCGCCAGCGGCCATCGGAGCCCATAAACATGCGGAAACCGTAACGCTTGTCCAAAGTGGTGAGGTGAGCACGTCGTTGGGTACTGTTCCACTTATGCGTGTCATCAAAGTCACGGAGCATCCGACTGTGCGCAATCCAGGGTATGATAGCTCCAATGGACCGCGGCATCCGTGGGCCTCGAAAGCGGCCTCGCCGGGTCCCAAAGACGAGTAGAACGACCAGTGTGTCGAATGCGATGATGATCAAGGCAATTGCAAGTGAAGGCACCGAAGGCGCCATGGTCCAGGTGCTTCGGATGACAGTGGCGTTGGTGGCCTTGATGGGCTCGTCGAGAGTGTTGAGATAAATGTCACGCCAAATAGAGAAATAGGTACTATATACCCATTCATAGACCTTTTGAGTCAAATCTATCATTCTCTCGGGCTGGAGAGAGTCGAAATCGGGATCGTCGCGTTGATATAGCCGGGCAACAAGGAACCCAGCCCAGTCGTACGAAGAAATATTGTACGATCCGTTGTGAGAAGTGGTGTTGCCCACGTAACTTTCCGGAATGGCTGCAAACACTTTGTTGAATTGACCCAGGCTCACCGTGGCGTTGTCAAACATGGGGCCCTCCGTGATAGATGAGTTCGCAATGGGCTCATGCCCATCGATTTGGCCCTTCTGGTCGAAGATGAGAGAGTAATTCTGCATCTGAACCTTAGGTTCGCAGTGCAGGGCGACGGTGTTGTTGTCGTTAATCGGGGTGTCTGCTAGATAGTCCCAACGGCCGACCACAAGAACTGTGGAGGTCTGACAGACATCGGATCCACTCACATCCGCAGGGGATAGGAAATGAATTGACAGAGCAATTCCCTCATCTTTGCTCTTCAAGGATGGCATTCGTGCAACACACTTCACAGACGAGTCATCAAACAATGTATAATGCCAATACTCATGCCCCGATGTCGTGTTCTGGTAGAGAGCTTCATTTGGTAAAAGGGTTGTACAATCCAAAGATGCTCCCACGCCGAGAGTGGTTGCGCCGTAAAGAACATCCGGATCACGGTTGTGGATATGGACCGGAATAAAGGACTGATTCGGACTTGTCCAAGACAACATAGGAACTCCACTGGTGATGCTAGTCTGGATTAAGTCATACTCGGTGAATTCAGCCGCAAAGTCCGTGCGCCAAAACGTGGACTGACTAAAATTCATGGTCAAATCATTTGTCGGCAGCGTCGACGACATTAAATCTTGGGTGAACAGGCCACCTGCAACAACGGTCAAAACCATGTTAATGACACAGGCCAGAGATACCAGACCAAGCAAGACGTGTCGGTCACGGGCGGCTTTTAAGAAGATGGCAAAGGGGCTTTGAGAGGAGTAGTTGAGTGAGAGGGAAGCTCGTGCGGACGCCATCCCGCGTTGGAGGTGAACCCAAGGCTCCAGAACACTAAGGTTCCGTTGGATGGACGTACACAAAGCGCTGATAGATGATGCGACGACCGAGGGCAAGAAAGAAAGAACCACTTGGAGCGTGCTCGAGTCCGATTGGGTCAAATGCCGGAATCGGCCATCTTTCACAAGAGAGGAAATGACCAGCCCCATCAGAATAATGACCGCCGCCAGGGCTAAAAATTCAACGATAAAGAAGGGTATGAGAAGGAAATGCGGCATAGGATCGTTGGAAAATTGGAGGTTCTCGCCAAGCTGCACGGGCGAACCATCTTCGGCAAGTATCTCCAGTTGATTGCCAGACGGGCCTGGCCGCCAGCGACATCGGGCGTTTCGAAAGATACGACGCAACTGGCGGGTGGAGAACTGATGGAACTCGGCGTGCGGCTCGGCTAAGACGTTTGAAGGGTGAAAAATATTCGCAGCGATACTGCACATGGCGCCAATGGAGCCGGGGTCGCTTTGGAGAAACGTCTCACGAGATCGATACAAAAAGAGGAGGTAAACGGCGGTTAAAGTGGTTAGGGCTAGAATGAGCTCAGACCAAACAGCGGCAAAGTTCACAACGGCGATAGCGACCTGAGTTGTGACGCGAGTGGCAGGAACTATGGTGGGATCGCAATCAGGGTCAAAGAGACGACCGAGAGTGAGGACAAATGTCTGCTTGACATCATGGGTGATCTTAGCCTCGAACTCGGCTTCGGTCATGATTGACGACGTATCGAGCACCAGAAGTGGCTGGAGATCGCCCAATTCTTGACTGATGACCGGAAGTTCCGTGACCGTGCGACCGCCGGTGGTAGCGTTGTCGTGAATGAAGAGCATATCGCTAGTGTACGGGGCACGTTGAGAGAGGAGCGCTTGGAAATGATCGATGTTGAATTCCGCCGAGGTGAGGGTACGCGTGGTCGCAGGGTGAATGTGGATGGATTCGATGGAGCTGTTGGAGTGCATTGAGACCCGGGCATCCGCCTTGTGATATGTGATATCACAGGCAAAGGCGATGCCGGAGGCAGAAAATTCGCTCTCGTTGAAGGGTTTTGACTCGGTCGCATTGATTGCGATAAGCATCCCATAGAGGTCGTATGGGTCGCACCCGGTTGCCGTGAAAGCCTGGGTCCTATTCGGATATTCGGATGCGGCCGAGCCGCTAATCACCGGTTCCCAGTATCGGACCTGAAGGTAATTGGTGAAGGGAAAGAAGATGCTCTCGTAGTGGAAATCCAGCTTGCACCGAGCCGAATCACCATACGTATCCTCCATATCGATGCCACTGGCATTCCATGAGACCATTGGGACACCGTCCGTCGGCTTCTCGATGGTGACCGAGAGATTGTCATCTACCGCGACATTCTGACACGTTGTTTGGGCCCAGTACAGCTCCTGATCCAATGTCCATAGCGTATCCTCGCCCACATCATTGCTTTCGTCGTTCGGGATCTCGACCGGGGCGATGGCAAAGAAGGCGGACCGGGTACGACGAAGTCGCTCATCGGTCGAGAGCACGGAGTCTACGGTATTGTTTGCCTGCGTCGACATCCACGTCGCTTGAGTATCCAGATCCACCAGAGTCGGCCAACTTTTCATCGTTGCATGCAGGACCAACTCCACCTCTCGTAGCTCGAAGACGGTACTTTGCAGGGCGGGGAGAATCATGCGGATCGAAAGCGTAATTAACGAGACCCAGAGAACGATCCAATGACGGCGGCGGGCGGCATTAATAGGGGTGAGGATGGTCTGGCCGAAGTTGTAGTTGATGAAGAGAACGGTAGCCGGGGCCCCGTCGGGCTGCGATAATTGGAAATAAGGCTCGAGTCGCAGGACATCGAAATCGGTCACCGTCCACACCATCAACAGAAGCAGGGCGAAAATGATGGGCACATAGTTGTAGCCGAAGGACTCCAGCCGGGTGACATCGTCCGTATCGGAAAAGAAGACCAGTCCTCCTTCACGACTGCTATATTGCCGTAATCCCTCCAATGCTAGGAGCATGGTCAACATTATACACGCGACGCCGACGAGGTAGGGGGGTCGTAGGGCCACCGGGCGCCAGCCTCGTTGCCGGCCGGCGGCAGGTGCCAGGAAGGGCGCGATGAACGCTGGAGAGAGTCGGCACGGTCAGCATTGCGACTTCTTCGTCAGTCCCATCCTTCCACTCGATCCTCCCCAAGCGGAGACGGGGCAGGATGAAGACCGATGGGGTCAAGGGACCAGCTTACCAGCCCATGTTGCCCAGAACCCCCGCGCCTCTCCGCCATCGACGGACATGCTGGATTGAAGCCCAGGGAAGGCGAGTTCGGGAATCGCAGGGCATTGCCAAACTTGCGTTCACAGGACCCTGGGATGCACGAAATCGTTGCGATTCCGCGGCTGGTGACATGACGTTGCGGACGAAGCTTGAAGAGGAAGAAATCCAGCCCGGTGGCGAGGGGCCAATCAGCTCCTGGGGGCTCGTGGTTCCTACTTTTCCCCCTCGCAGACGAGTTGGAATACTCCGAGCCTATCGTAGAATTTACGCAGTACATTGTCCTTCTCTACGGTCCTTGTCCCTGGCGTGCGACGACCGCGGATGCCTGGAAATTCTCCCACGGTTGTGGCCGGGACGCAGCCACGGTGCCTTCGGTCCGGGAACGGACTCGGTCGCGGCGTGTCTTGGCATTGCGGTGCAAGTTTATCGACTCTCCACTTGCCAGGTTTTCGTACATTGGCATCCTCAAAGATGTGGTGCGCATATCGAGCTCCTGCAGAAGTCTAGGGAAGACAGGTTGGCTGACGCGAAACTTCAGGAGCCAGTTCGAGTTGATAGCTTATTCAACCGCGATATTGATGAGCTCGAAAGAAACAACTTCGACTCGGATGCTCGGGCCGACCTCGTAGACGACGTCTCCTTCGCGCCGGGCGACCAGGTTCCCGGTAGTGTGAAGCTCCGTAAAACATTTCACAACGTGCGTACAATATTCCAATTGGGGAAAGCGGGGCAATTTTGCTGACGCGTCCAAAGCCGCCGCTCTCTTGCGCAAAATCCGCTGTCCGATTACACGGGACACGGCTACCGACTGGGTATACGACTGCACCCCGTATGGACAAGAGCATTGATTTCGTGAGACCGATTCGCGAAGGGCCGAAACGACGTTGACGCCCTATATCACAGATGCGACTCGGACGGACGGCTCAGGAACAATCGACTTCTAGCTCGGAATCCTCGCCGCTCAGACCACACTGATGCCGAACTACAGATCCTACGAAATAATGCGTACCCGGGGTCTTTGAATAGTGTTTGGCTCGATTCACCAGCGGCGTTGGTATGCCTGTCTGAGGCAATCGGATCATCGTGAAGGACCGCTCGTGCTTGGATTTGAACCGTTCTACGGAGGCGGGCCGGAGATCGATCGGAGTGGGGTGACAGGACGCGGGCATCGATGACGTTGTCCCTCGACGGGGGTCGAGGGCGGTCTTGAACCGAGATTAGGTCCGTCGGAGGCGGTGCGCGCACCCCCTATCGGGTGCATTTATGTAGTTCAGGCGGGTTCCGCCGCCCGTGGCGTGGCTAGAGAGGTGCAAGAGGCGCGAGCATCTGGACGCCACTGCTGTGCGCCTGATTTCCCTCAAAGTAGAGTCCGCCACTGACTCGGGCGTATCAGTGATAGAGGAGAGTTACATTCAGACTAGTGGTTGGCGTAGATCTGGCGCCTTTCCGCGTATTATGATCTAATTCCAGGAATCAGTCTGACTCGGAAGTTGAGACATTAGTAGATTGGAAGAACGATGCGGTGAAGCTTCCCCGCTTGGATGTCACTTTGACTTAGGGTTGGAGAATCTCGCGAAATCCGTTCCGTCATCTTTCACCCTTCCTCTCGTGAACCATCATCGCACATGGAGAATGCTGGATCCGCAGTGGATGTCTTTCGCGACAGGCTGTCTGGCCGTGTTGCTAGCCGGTCTGATCTGTATTCCGGCTATCAAGAGTATCACTAGCCGAGTCGCCCGCAAGGCGGCCCGGGAAGATGAGCAGTCACTGGCAAAGGTCGCCTATCGTGATGACGACGGCGAGGCAACCGAGGAGTCACTGCGGGCCTTCTCGGATAAATGGCAGCGAATCTTGATCACCCTGACCTCGATCTCCGGACTACTAGTCACGCTGGCTCTAGCCGTTCTGACAACGTTGAAGGACATCACCAACTATACGTCCCTCGCATGGCTGCAATTCGGTGTCTGGGTATTTCTTCAGTCCAATAAAGCTGCCTCGGTGAACATAGGTCTGAGCCAAATTTAGGTCTTTCTCTCCATTCAAACGATCGTCTTTTTCACGGAGCCACGGCCAACACGCCGATTTGACCACGCCGGCTATGCACTTTGGGGCAGTTTCATCGCCGTAGCATTTGCCGGGGCGCAGATTACCCTGGCTTCTTACGGCGGCAAAGCCCTTCCTCACACCCGAGCCTGGGTCATTCTGCTGATCGTGCAGATTGCCTGCGCACTCTTCCGAGGCTTGTTCTGCGCTCTCCTGCCGCGCCGACCCGACGTGTATTTCGAGGGCCAACTGGTAGACCAGCAATTGACTGTCTCCGTACTCCGCCGATTCACATTTTCCTGGGCCAGCACTCTTCTCCAGTATGCAGTTAAAAACAGGACACTGAATATCGATAGTCTTCCGAAGCTGCCATTGTCCGTGCGCGCACACATCCTGCGAGCCAACTTCGAACGAGCCCTGGGATCGCGAAAGATTTGGAAAGCGATCATCTTCGCTCACTACAAGTCCATTGGGCTGCAGATAAAGTGGACGCTGGCCGCCTGCTTTCTGAGTTTCGGTCCCCACGTCGCTTTGTATAATATCTTGAACTCCATGGAAGCCCGCGGAATGGAGTCGTGGGCTGCCGCCCAATCTTGGATTTGGGTTTTTGCCTTGGGAATCCTGATGCTGGCGGCTTCCAGCATTGAGGCCTGGATGTTCTGGGTGATTTGCCATCGACTTGGTCTTCCCATTTACGAGGAACTATCCGCCACGATCTTTGCCAAGGCTATGCGCAGGAAGGATGCGAGGCATACCAAGAAATCTAAAGATGCGGATAATAAGCCTGATGCCTCGTTCAAGGCACTACGGGAAGAGCAGGAAGAACAAGATGATGACGAAGAGGCCCTGAAGAAAAGCCGACAGAGCGTCATCAATCTTGTTGCCGTGGACGCTCGGCGGGTTGCGGACTTTGCAAACTTTAACTACCTCATCCCGCTTGCCACAATCAAGGTGCTTCTGGGCTGTGGTTTCTTGGTTAATATTCTTGGATGGCGCAGCACAATGGCCGGTCTGGGTATTTCGGTTCTCGTCACGCCGCTAAATATCTACGTCGCCAAGAAGTACAAGAAGGCGCAAGACCGACTGATGAAGGCCCGAGATCAAAAAATGGCCGTCGTGACGGAGGCACTTCAGGGAATCCGGCAGATCAAGTTCTCTGCTCTAGAGGAGCAGTGGCAGCAACGCATCGTGGAGGCGCGGGAGACGGAGCTGACGGCTTTGTGGACCTCGGTCCTCTATGATATCGGCCTGATCTCAATTTGGATTCTCGGGCCTGTTGGGCTGTCAGCTGTGTCTCTCACGGTCTGTGCTCTGATTAATGGTGGTCTGGAGGCGTCAGTTGCTTTCACGGCCATGTCAGTCTTTGGGTCCCTGGAGCAATCGCTGGCTATTATCCCAGAAGTGATAGCGGATGGTCTGGAAGCGAAGGTCAGCGCAGACCGCATTGATAAGTACATGAAGACGCCTGATAAGGTCGTCAACACGGTCCGTGCTGAGAACATTGCTTTTGAAAATGCCTCGGTGGCATGGCCCGCAGATCAAACAGAGAACGAGGCAGTGGATGAGGACCGGTTTGCACTTCGAAGCTTGGATCTGGCTTTCCCTATGAAGAGTCTCAGTGTAGTGTCTGGTCGAACTGGATCTGGAAAGAGCCTGCTGCTTTCATGCCTGTTGGGAGAATGCGAAGTTCTCGAAGGAACAGTCAAAGTTCCTGTTCCCCCTCCTATCAATGACCGTTTCGATCACCTGGCAACCTCCGCTAACTGGATCATCGACTCTGCCATTGCCTACGTTGCCCAGATTCCGTGGATTGAAAACGCAACGATCAAAGACAATATCCTATTCGGGCTACCGCTCGACCCAGAGCGCTATCAGAAGGTGGTATTCGCATGTGCCCTGCAAAAAGATTTCGAAATGCTTCCCGATGGTGAACTGACAGATATCGGCGCCAATGGCGTCAATCTGAGCGGCGGCCAGCGGTGGCGCGTATCATTGGCTCGGGCATTGTATTCTCGCGCGGGCATTCTCATTATGGATGACGTTTTCAGCGCCTTGGATGCCCACACGGGCCGTCATGTCTATGAACATGGTCTTACTGGAGAACTTGGTCAGAACCGCACTCGGATTTTGGTCACGCATCATGTCGCCCTGTGTCTTGCTCGTACGGACTACTCGGTGCTTCTGGAAAACGGTTGTGTCAAGTATGCGGGCACGATTGATGAGCTGAAAAAGTCAAATCACCTGGAAGATATCCTGCAAGAAAATGTTGCGGAGGGGGATCATGTCGCCGCCGAGGGCGATAAAATTCTCAATGAAGAAGAAACAACGCTTCAGAAAGTCATCTCGAATACCTCTCGTCATCATCCGAGTACGGCAATGAACGGCGCTATTGCGGCTAAGCCTATGAGCACCAAACCCCCCAGGAAATTTGTTGAAGAGGAAAAGCGCGAGACTGGCAAGGTCAAGCTGGCCGTATACGCGGCTTATTTATCCAAGGCTGGTCATTGGACTTACTGGCTGATGGCAAGCGTGGTCTATCTCAGCAGTTTGACGCTCATGGTCGGACGAGTAAGTAGAATGCCCCTACTTAACACATCTCGCATCAATTAATTCATTCCAACAGGCGTGGTGGGTCAATATTTGGACCGGTTTTTCATCCAACACACAGACGCATCTCGAGTATTTCTCTGCTCTCCTGCAGCATCCGATGAATGGAACGAGAACGACTCGTGGAGACGACAATCTCGCTATGTATCTGAGCGTCTATGTCGGCATTTCAGTGCTTGCCTGTGTGGTTGGAACAGCTAAATACTATTTTATGCTCAACGCCGCCCTCAAGGGATCGAGGAACCTGTTCAAAGGGCTGATTTTCACCGTGCTTCGCGCTCCGCTCCGATGGCTCGATACCGTTCCCCTTGGACGAATCCTCAACAGATTCACTGCGGACTTCCATATGATCGACTCTCGACTCGGGTACGATATTGGACTCACGGTTACCAAGATCCTGGAGGTGTTCGGGGTCCTGGTTGCCGGCATGCTTGTCTCGCCCGTGGTGATCATCTTTGCCGTGGCTCTGCTTTTGGTTTCGCTCAAGCTGGCTCTGATTTATTTGGCTGGCGCGCGAGAGATTAAGCGCATTGAGTCGATTGCCAAGAGCCCTGTGTTTGAGCAATTCGGGTCCAGTCTGGCCGGCCTAGTGACCATCCGCGCCTTCAACAAGAGTGATACCTACATTGGAATTATTTACAACAAGATCAACTGTCATGCCCAGGCCTGGTGGAATGTGTGGCTGTTCAACCGCTGGCTTGGATTCCGGATGAACCTCCTTGGTGCGATCTTCGCAACTTTGACCGCAGCCCTTGTCGTTTACGTGCCCGGCATCACAGCCTCTCTGGCAGGATTCGCTCTTAGCTTTGCCCTGCAGTACAACTCGGCTATTTCAATGGCCGTCCGCCAGTATGCCAACACCGAGCTGAATATGAACGCTACCGAGCGTGTTATCGAGTACTCCTCCACCGAGCTTGAGAACCAAGGCGGTGCTGATGCACCCGCCGCCTGGCCCACGGAAGGACGGCTGGAGATCTCCGACTTGGTTGTTGGGTATGCGCCAGACCTGCCTCCTGTGCTAGATAGACTGAGTTTCACCGTCGAGAAGAACCAGCGAGTCGGCGTGGTCGGCCGGACAGGTGCGGGCAAGTCTTCATTGACTTTAGCACTGTTCCGGTTCCTTGAAGCGCGCGAAGGTCGAATTCTAATTGACGGGCTAGATGTGTCCAAGATCAAGCTTCATGATCTGCGCAGCCGGTTGGCCATTATCCCGCAGGACCCGGTTTTGTTCTTTGGGACAGTGCGCTCAAATTTGGACCCGTTCGGCGAATATAGTGACAAAGACCTGTACGATGCATTGGTACGCGTTCAATTGATCTCTTCTACCTCTGATGGCAATGAGATTCTGATTTCACGCACTGCCACGCCACGACCCTCAGGCTGCACCGGCGTAACGACGTCAGAGACAGCTACCGCAACCGCCAATGCCAACGCCAACATCTTTACATCTCTCGGCGCCACAATTTCCGAAGGCGGCCTGAATATTTCACAAGGACAGCGACAGCTCCTGTGTCTGGCCCGGGCTATCGTCGCCCGCCCCAAAATTATGGTGCTAGACGAAGCCACCTCCGCCGTGGACACAGAAACCGACGCCCTGATCCAGACGTCTATCCGCGCGGAGTTCGGACGCAACGCCACCACCCTGCTGGTCATCGCGCACCGATTGAGCACGATTGCGGATTTTGACCGGATTCTTGTCCTCGATGCCGGCAAGGCGGTTGAGTTTGGCTCTCCGAAGGACTTGATGGGTATTAAAAGCGGGGTGTTTAAGAATCTGGTGGATAACAGTGGGGAGAAAGATGTGTTGGAAAAGATGATTTTCGGCTGAAAGGAAAACAAAATCCGGGTTTATTGGTTTTTTTTTATTTGTTTATGTATAGATTCAAATTTGCATCCAGATTGAACACTTCGACGAATAGAAAATAAAGTCATTGTTGCATTTTATTCAGATTCGTTCCCTGGATGTTGATCAAATGTAGGGTTGTGCGTCCAGCGGCGCCTAAATTATGCCAGTATGGAACATTTCGCTCAATTTCTCTTCTTCCGTATCGAGGCCCATAGCTTCGATCTCATCGATACGGTCTTGCAGAAACCGCCGATTAGGAGACTCCATTTTGGTGCGAAGTCGTTCCACGGCTAGACAGATAGTTTTAGCTGGGTCTGCGTCTAGAGATTACAAGTATCGGGCCGTGGTCAGCGGTGGAGAAAACAAGCGTTCATTTGAGAAAAAAAAGAAGCAAGTTAAGCAAACCGGAAGACGGTTATTGTGGCAGTGGACAACTACTTATAAAAGCGGAGCCCAAAGAGGAAACTCTCCGTAGGGGTTTTTGGTCAGAGCCGATGAGCCCGACAACTTGCTCGTAATTTTGTACTGAGTCGCAAGTTATTGGTTAGAATGACAGCGACGCTCGGAGATGTAAGCGGCCCACAAAGCACGAAACAGGTACATACCCGCTGGTGGGTCATTGCATGAATTATGCCCAGGGAGGACCGAGGACCTTTACGATACCCTTGGTCCCGGGAAGCTACCTGGGTACCTATGGAGATATATCATATGTGACACCCATCGTCCCCGGTGGGAGCATTTTTCCCTCCGGATTTCATCATCCTCAAAACCCTTGCCAGGGAGAAACATGTTCCTCACTATACACTCTCTACATTACGCTGCACTTCATAGGTGAGTGGCCGTGGTCCTCTCCTCCGCAGTCACCGCCTGCGTCTTGGAAGTTTCGACGTCGCCGTGCTCCATGGCAACGGTTTGCATGGTCTGCACGCGAGTCTTCCAGGCCGGAGTGCCGAAGAACTTGGAACCGTTAGGGTCCTCGAACATGGCCTCGGTCTCCTCCAGGGTCTTTCCGGCGGTCTCCGGAAACATGAAGAAGACGTGAATAAACATGGCCGCATTGAACACACCAAACAGGATATAGGTTTGCCAGGTGATGTTGGAAAAGGCCGACGGAGTGAAGAGACCGAGCGCCATGTTAAACGCCCAATTGCCCGAGGTGGCCAAGGACACACCCTTACTGCGCAGACGCAAGGGGAAGAGCTCCGGTGGGTAGGTCCACGAGACGGGGCCCCATGTGGGCGCATAAGAGGCGACGAACAGATAGGTGCACGCGATTAGACCCTTGGCGGCCGATCCGGTGACGCTCATCGACTCCTCCGCTGTCTTGCGCTGGCCCAAGGGGATGATAGTGGCGTTGCTGCCCAGGATGCCGGCGTTGGCAAACATGAAGGCGCACATGAAGAACGCACCCACGAGCATCGTAGGTCGACGTCCCCAGCGATCCTGCCAGATCAGCGCCGGAAGCGTCATCACCACGTTGATGATGTATTGGATCGACGAGGCGAGCAGGTTCGCGTTACCGGAATAGCCGGCCATGGCAAATACGTAGTTAATGTAGTACACTAAACACCACGAGGTCAGCGCGCCATGTCTTATTCTTACGAGATCATCCTCTCTCAACACTTACTCATAACGTTCATGCCGGTCAGTTGAGACCAGATCTGGGTGAAGAGACCGATGAGTGTACGGTTGAGCATCCGCGGGGCAAACAGGTCCAGATAGGTGACGCTCTTGAACGACCGTTCGAGCTCACACATGTCCCGAATATCTTGCAATTCGATGGCCACGAAAGGGTGGTTGCGGTCGCCCTTGGCGTGCACCAAAGCCAACACGTCGTGAGCCTCCTCCCAGCGATCCATGCGAGCCAGCCAACGAGGCGATTCGGGTAGGAACATCATAGCGAAGAACAGGAGGACAGCAGGGATCATTTGCAGCCCCCAAGGAACTCGCCAGGCCGCAGCACTCCAGTTGTCGGACTTGTTACCTCCAATGAAAGAGCAGCCGTACGAGATACTGTGTCCGATGGTAAGCAACGTCACTACGGGATATCGACCGGGGCCCGTGGGAAACATACTAGTACATGATGAGGATACCCCAAGTGATGGCCCACTGCTGTAGGCCCACGAACCGACCACGCTTGGACGGTGGCGAAAGCTCCGAGATATAGACGGGGACTTGCGCAGATTCGATACCCACCGCAATACCGTTGATGATACGACCGACGATGAGCATAGGGACGTTCTGAGCAGCGCAAATCAAGATGGATCCGACCATCCTGTACCGAGATTAGCTGGCATTCTCAGGCGTCCAAGTTGAGGGTGCGGCTAACCAGATAACACAACCCAACATGATCGCGTACTTTCGACCAAGACGATCCGAGATAAAGCCGGAGATCAAGGCGCCCAGCCAGGAGCCGGCAGCCATTGAGGCAGTCACACCACCTTGTTTCAGAGAAGAAAGTCCGCTACAGTTGGGGTTGTTGTCGAAGGGCGGGCCATGAGGACCCTCGTTGAAATAGCACAGATAGGAGTTCTCCGTCAGCTGCGCCGACATCGACGCAATGTCGAAGCCGAACAAGCCGCCGCCGACGACGGCGACGGAGGCGATCACGTAGATGTTCCCGATCAGCACCATAGTGAGGATCTCGGGGGACGCAGGCGTGTACCAGATCACCAGGGAGAGGTGTTTCGGGGTTCTTATATATTGTGCTGCCGATACGAGCTATACCCCTAAGAGGCTGCAGGGCTGTCTTTGCTTTTTCATTACTTTATTCCTTGGTCGTGATCCATATTTCCACGCGGGGGGCTTGCGCATGCACTGGGAGCAATCGGAGTCGAATCAGATCAATGAGTACAAATCGATGTAGCATCCTCGATCTCTAGTTTGGATGTGACCTGGTGTCATCGGCCATATATTGGTCAATCCACGTCTAATGGCACGCGAGAAAGCGGCCCGGGGCCCATGGGGGAAGTTTGGTGGGGATGACCCATATTTCCCTGCTTCGTTCCGGAATCTCCCCAGATCAAGAACGGAGTTAATGGCAACTCTACCCATGGGAATCCTCTGTTGTCTTTCACCATGACGTCCGTTCATGCTTGTAAATGCTGGCAAAGCTTGGTATTGCCGTGTGGCGTTTTCGGCTCTCACTCTCCAGAGTTTTCACTACGCCCTTCCCGAGCGAGAGTTTAACCCCCGAATGCAGTGACATGGTGGCCTAAGCCCATCCCACCAACCGCCTGTTGAATTATCGGCCATGCCCTTGCACCTCCGATGTTTTTTCGAGGAGAGGTCGCGCCCCCTGGTCTAGCGTGCTCGAGTCTGCCAATACCAGCGGCCAGTGGCGTGGGGATGTGACCTTGAAAGGATCGACAGATACGCCCTCCCGGGTGTGTCAGCTTCGGTGTTAACAGGGCCGAAGCCGTTAGGACCAAATGCGAGAAAACTTGGCGATGGAAACCTCTAAATTCAAAGAAAAAACGCTATAACGGACAATGCCGCGAGTTACGGAGATAGGCATCCCCCCTATCGCTCTGAACATCTTTTGCGGAAAGCCCCACCACGAGTCTGACCCTTGCTTGGGATCGAAAGCGACCTGTCGCAAGCTCGGGTTCATGTAGTTCGTGAGTCCTCTCATAACATACGTTAAGTTTCTAGAGCAGGTGACAACACTCTGTTGACTGCCACGCGTCAATGGCTCCGGGGTTGAGCACGGGCATGCGGGCAATTCGATGAAATCCATGATCCACCCTCGGAGCTCGGATCCGTTCTTTGGCCTATGCGTCCCAGCGGGGAACGCATCTGCGACATGCAATGTGGCTTCGGATCCGGACCCAATAAGGGGCTTATGCAAGCGTCCTTGGCATTTGTATCAATAAAATCGTTTTTACATAGGCCCCCGCGCCCCCCACTCCCCCCTCCTTTCGCTTACCGTACGTCTGAAGCTCGACAGGGCAATCGCGCCGGTGAGCCATTTGAGTCGGCTAATAGGACTGTTTTGATTGGGAAAGTGCGACAACATGAGTGTGCTAGTTGCCTCCAACCTCACGAGTAAGGGTATCCGTGTATGGGGCCATTTTGCTTGAAGGTGAAGCTTCGGGCTCTCGTATTTTCTTTCTTTAGAACGACTCGCCCGTGCACGTAGATGATTCGTGAGCTAAGCTCTTCGGAGATTTCTTCAAGGTTGGTTTTTCCGGATACGGCGCAGGCTTTTCAGCCCCAGCATTCTTACAAATATACCTTGGGCCTGTCATGTAAGGGGCACGCCATTTTTGATGAGACGGGCATCAGCCTCCTATTTGAACTTTCAATAGGCCTTAGAGGATGAAAAGGTCGGTCCCTAATATTCATCCGCAGATCTATAAATATATTGTGCTTGGAGTTTGATCCACTCTTGGAAACCCGAGACCAGTTGACCAGACACCCCAAGGTCCTCACTGAGAATAAACTATATAGAGGAAAGCCGAGTCGCTTGATGTTATTGGAATTTTGATAAGCTAAGATGGGCCAAGCAAATGTACGGCCGGGCCGCAGCCCAAGCCCGAGTAACCGAGGTCCAGTCACGAGCAACTTGAAAGCTGGACCCCTCACATGAAACGTCCGCGAAGATATCACGAACACTCGTTCACTATATCAAGATTGAGTCTGACAAACACGATCTTTGAAAACATCTCGTACATCGACAGCAAAATGCAGGCCGTGGTATTCAAAGGTCCCTTGGAAGTCGCTCTCGAACAGCGACCGCTACCACAGATCCAAGACCCAACTGATGTGATCCTGAAGGTCAGATATACAGCGCTCTGTGGCAGGTAAGTAAAAGGAATAAATCATTCTACGAGTTCAGGAATGCTGAAACGGCGACAGTGAGCTGCACGTTTTTCGGGGCCACCAGCCCTCGACCACGGGCTTTATTATGGGCCACGAGTTCACGGGCGAGGTGGTCGAGACTGGGGCAGAGGTCCAGAACTTCCAAAAGGGCGATCGGGTTGTGTCTCCATTCACAGTCAGTTGTGGGTCTTGCTTCTACTGTGTCGGAGGCTTCACCTCTCGATGTGTGCGAAGCCAACTGTATGGATCCGCGGTGCTGGATGGAGGACAGGCCGAGTACGTCCGTATTCCGCTCGCGGACTCGACCTTATGCCACTCACCAGCTGCAATCGATGAGAAGAATCTGGTTTTGATGGCAGATATCTTCCCCACTGGCTACTTCGCGGCCAGAAATGCATTCCAGGCTCTGGAAAATCAGGCTATCCAAAATAGTACCGTGCTTCTATTCGGATGTGGACCCGTGGGCATATGTGCCCTTGTTAGTGCCCTGGAATATCAGCCGAAGCATTTGATCGCCATTGACAGTGTTCCATCCCGTCTTCAGCTTGCGGAAAGCTTGGGAGCAGAGCCCTGGAATTTCCAGGAGAATGAACGGGGCTTGCGAGACCGAGTGAAGGAGCTCACGGATGGCCGCGGGGCCGACGTTGTCATTGAGGTTGTCGGCCACAGCTCTGCTTTACGAATGGGCTTCGAAATGCTTCGTCCTTGGGGAATCATGTCGAGCGTGGGGGTACATAACGGGGACATCCCCTGGACGGGTAACGAAGCATATGGAAAAAATCTGCGAATTCAGATGGGCCGTTGCCCTGTTCGAAGTAGGTTCGCATCAATGTCGCTGGTGCGAGCTCGGCTGACGAATACAGGTATTTTCGGGGAGGCCATGGATCTGTTAGCCAAAAAGCAGGACGTGTTGAAGTACGTTTCTCATGACCGTGATGCTTTCATGCTTTCTTCAGAACCATCTAACAAGATCTAGCTTCATGTCCCATGATATTCGCCCGCTGTCTCAAGCTGTACAAGCGTAAGTGAACCCTGATCCGATTACGATGAGATAGGAACTCAGCAGCGCGTAGATACGACGATTTCAACCACATGCAGAGTCAAAAGGTGATTTTCGAGGCCGACAAATAAGATCAGTGGTGTGACGCATAGCACCATGGCACCGATCCATGGACTTTGGAGGGCGTTGACAGGTTCTGTTGGGAGAACCCCCGACTGACCTGACTGGGGCTAGGAATGCCCTCGTGTGTATGTTTAGCTGCGCGCGCACATCCAGATTTAGTTTTTTTATTTAGTTTTGTATCCTCGTTAATACTACATGATACTTTTTATCTTTGGGTTGAGCCTGTAGTTTCGGCATTTGACATAAATTGCTGTACTTCATTTTCATTTGCTTAGAAACTCGCTAGTCAAATTTCTCTGAGTAAGTAATAGGGTGCATCTGGATGGAAATAACAGCCCGTGGCGAGGTCTACTCGATATCCATCAAGACACATCTTCCATTGCCTTCATAAAATGTCCCGCGAATTTCCCTCCTATATTAGTCTTGTTTACCTGTGTAATACGAACTCCCGAGACGAATATATATCTTGTGTTGAGAAATAAAGAGGAGATCAGACGGAAAGAGGATGGACATATAATTGGTAGTAAATTCTAATAATTTTTCTCCTCGTTCTCAGGGGGGATATTTGTATCCTCTTCCTGAGAACTATTTTTTATGGAAAAATACATAAAGAATTGTTCTTTCACACCGCTACTTGGTGATCAATGAAAGAACTGGATGAGAAAACAGCGGAGAAGGTGATGTAGATGAGGAGACAGCATATACGGGCTGCTTATGCGGCCCAGTTTCTAATATTCTCATGCCCATAGCTTGCCGATCAGCGGCCATCTGGGCAGAGAGATGCCAACTGATGTGGACACCTTAGGGTGGGGGCTCCAACACTCAACATCTTGATCTCTCGAGGCTTCACAAACATCGGCTCTGTGGTTGGTTGCCAGGTAGTCCTTGTAGTAGTCTTTGCTCATCTGGGTCTGTACATCAAAAAGAGCAAACAATCAACCTCAATAAACCACGCAGTAGATGCGGCCCTATGAAACCTGTTATTTCTTTTTCAGGTTTAATCTAGTCAAAGCTGATCATCATACCAGTCTTCAACCCAATGCAGGTTTCCCGGATCATCAGGGGATTGGTACAACTCAAAAAACCGCCATTTCGGCTCCGGAATTACAGCGTCATAGACCGGCTTGAAGTGCTCAAAAAACTTAATAATATTTTAAGGATCGATGTAAATGGTGACATGGAGCCTGAATCATGGTCCTGACCCTATTTTAAAGGAGTTGCTTCCGTAGAAGTTGTGGTAATAGGTTTGGAAGTGTAAAAATCAATTCACAGGATTTGTACTCTCTTAATCAACAGTAGCCTATATCCAGCAAATTCCTAAATCCTGGAAGAAGCATGGTGGTGCTTTATCTGTAGTAGTACCGTTATTTCCAAGCCTCATTAATTGCGCTCCCCAGGCAGCACAACGTATCTCAGCTGTCCTATATCATATTGCTTGGACAGTCAAAGGCTGCTCATAAGGTTCCTCCAGGTACTCCACAAACGCAACCGATGTTTCAGTTTCCAGGCCCCAATTGAGACTTTCTCCGTGTTAGTCCCGGTTCCCTGGCAGAATCGATCACCGCCCTCCCAAGCCATGCATCGATGCCATAGATGCCATGCGTCACACTTTAAACTACTTATAGACTAGATCCTGCGGGCCTGCACAGTCAGCCCCAGGAGCCCTCAATTTGCAACGTCACACCCTCCATCCTCCACCCTCCATCCTCCACCCTCCATCCTCCACCCTCCACCCATGGGCTTTGCTATCGGATCGCCCACAGGTTCCCCATCCAAAAGAGTTCTTGTAAAACAAGGTATTGGCAGCTTTCGAGACGGAATACCTACCCCAGGCCTCAGACTGATAACCAGAGGGGCAATAGAAGTACCCTCTTACGAACTACTGGCGTCACTATTTGCCGTTCAGCGACCTCGCTTCATCCACTCTACTCCCTCAGTGATAACAACCTGCTCATGGCCCAAATACTGCGGGCGTACGCGGCGGCAGGGTTGAAGGCCGTACAGTTGCGAGTTTTCGACTCACCCCTGCGGCTCTTTTGCTTCATTTTCCGTTCTGGGGTCTCCTCGCCAATTTTAACGGCGAGAACACCAAACGTCGACCCAGACCAACAGTCTCTACAAGATCAGCGTAATATATTCTACCTGTTCAAAAACGAGTCAAGCTCCGAGAGTTTCACCTTGTCAGATGGGCGAAACATTGGGTTCGCTTATTATGGCGCACAGAATGGCCCTGCGGTATTCTACTTGCACGGATTTCCTGGCTGCCGACTTTCAGGTGTCTTCTTCGACGGGCCTGGTAAGAAGCTTGGGGCAAGGATCATCGCCGTGGAAAGACCTGCCATCGGCATCAGCTCTCCTCAGCCTGGCCGGAAAGCGTTGGATCATGCGAATGACATACACGAACTTGCGGAGCATCTGAACGTCAAATCTTACGGCATCATCGGCGTCTCAGGTGGTGGCCCATATGCACTAGCATGTGCGTACGCGTTACCAGAAGAGAAATTGAAGAGTGTCTCTATCATTGGCGGAATGGGCCCGATTGATATCGGTACCAAAGGCATGAACTGGAGCAACTGGCTCACCTTCAAAGGCTTTATGTATTTCCCAGCTCTAGTTCGTTGGATACAGAACAGGGTGATCTCTATACTACGCGACCTGCCAAACGAGAAGATAATCGAGATGACCAACAGCCGATTCTCGAAGCTGTCATACAAGTGGCTTAGTGCCAATGAGAAGGCTATTGGCATTCTGAGAGACCCCGAGTTTATCAATTTGATGCTCAATTTCTATCGGGAACATTACAAACAGGGAGTCGACGGATATATGGAAGAAGGGCGGGTTTTGACAAGCGACTTGGATTTTTGTGTGGAAGACATTCGCTCCTCTATACCCATTCAACTATGGTATGGTAGGCAGGACACTAACGTACCCCTACGGATGGGCGAGGCCATAGCCTCGCGTCTCACCTCTCGTCCAGATCTCTATGTTAAAGATGAAACGCACCTGAGTCTTGTGTTGAAATATAGCTTCGACGCTCTAGAGCGTCTGCTTGAGAAGATGTGAGGATGACTTAATACAAATACACCTTATCCGTGCCGTTGGCTAAATCCCGCTTGCGGAGTGCGCTGCATCGTGATCACCATTTACGCCGTGATCATCAATTTCTTCATAAGATCGCGTCAAGGGTCAATCAATCAATCAAAGTTCAATTACCCAGATGGAGCCTAACTAGTTGCGTCAATGCAGGCGTTTCGTCCAAACCGAAGCAGAACTTGGTATCTTGAACGCCATGTCCGCAGAACGAGACCCTATACAAAGCAGAGCTGGCCTCTGATTGGCCAGTACAGTAAGTAAGGAATGTAAATAGATGAATCCAACGTCCTCAATCCCGCGAATCCCGCAAATCCCAGTCTCTTCCATCTGCATCTCCCTTCTCCAGTGTCTTGCATCTGCCGCCCTAGCCCCCATATTCCGTCTGCTCCGTTCTCAATTAATCGTGGTAGCGTAGTAGATCGTAAGATGGCGAGTATCCCGGCCTTGCTCGGAGGCCCGGTCTCTCTGTATTTGACGGTGGATGCGCAGCGTCTTCGCAACCTACTCCATAGCCGCAGGGCCGATCCCTTTATAGTCATCGTCTAGGTCCGGTTCCGGCTCAACGTGTCGGAATCGACCGAGCAGACTAGTTTGGTGCATCATTGCAGCAGTGTAGCGGGCTGCTTGCGGGTGAGATACGATTGCATCGTATTAAGTTGTGCTGCCAAGATCGGTGCGAGCGATCTTTGTCGAGCATGGCTCGTTGTATATCGTTGTATAGCGGGCACTGAAGCAGAACATGTCTCGGTGTTTGAGACCCCTGGTCTAGCTTCCAATTGTTCTACCTACACCGTATGAAGAACAGTCCTTTACAATAGTCTCTCCTGTTCTCGATGTAACCGCGGGTCTGCATACTGGAGCCTCGCAGGCTCCATGTGGGGGCCAAAACCCTGTCCTTATCCACTATTTCAAGGCCGTGTTCTCAGCGACAGATTCGGGCATCTCAAAAGTTTGATTCGAATCCTGAGGACTACACTAGCTGACTTACCCCATCTAAACAGACTTCATTAGGCTTAGAGCCCCTGTTTCTGAGGCATAAGTCGTATGGGTGATAATTTCCCAGTTGTGGCCCCGTGGGCTGTGGGCAAGGGGTCAATGCCCGCAGACGGGAAATGTCTCAGTCTTTCCTGCGCCTCGGTTGGCTCCTAGCTGGGTCCACATCCACGTCGATTGACCCCGCAGGAGACATCAGAACTGATCGCGGTTGGCTCCGGTGTCTCTCCATCTTTGCGTGGCACGGATGGGGTTCTCAATGGCTTGCAATGCGCCCGATACATTCTCGCTCAGAACTGGGGTGTCTTGTTGATAAAAGGCATTAAATGACGCGGTCCATCGTCATTTTGGAGTGGTCAACGCAAAAAAAGAATGCTGTTTGTAGGTGAAAATTCGAATTAACCCATTGAATCGTTTAATTTTTACTGGTTGAAGACCGTCGCCGCCGGTAGAAGAGGAAAGGGGTTTAGAAGATGTGATTGGCTTCAAGGTAGTGATCTGCCTGTGTGTCCGTGCATTTTCTGATTTCCCACCACCTGAAAGTTTTTACTGAAACTTTCACCGGGCTTACCCGACCCTTGCCACGGCCTTGGCAAGGGTCAATGGGTCCAATTTTTGTCGTCTCCTTCTTAACTGTATTAGGAAATAGTTGGGCTCGGCTCCGGTAGCCGATCAGGAATTGAAAAAGAGTGATGTGGGTCGATCCGGCCGGGTAGACCTCTCACCCGCCCCGCGGGTCCAAAGTCAGGAACCTCCACCCGCACCTCCAAGGGACCCTTGAGGGTCAAGGGTCCAACCGACCCACATGAAAGACACTTTACCTATTTAGGACACGCCTTACTATTTTAGGATAGATGACTAGATAGATTGACCCCTAAAATATGACTTTTCTGCCTAAAACGTGACGTTTTTTCGTAAATCAGTCACGTGGGGACCCTGAGGGTGACCTTCGGAGGGTCGGGATGTTAGACACTCCATCCGCCAAGAGGAGGTGCGGGAGGAGGGCCCGGAGGGTCACCCGCGGGTGAGTGCCAGGTCTACGAGTCTAGGCTACCCTTCCTGCTATCCATCCCCAGTTCGGTCTGCTTCCTGTAGTGTCCATCGTCCTGTCGGGCCCGCTCTAGTGTGCGTTGCAGGTGCCCCGGAAGTTACGGATATCCTCATAAGTGTGGGTGGTTATGGAACGATTAGTTGCTAGAAATTTCAGGATGGCCTTAGTACCTTTGGGCTCCCCTGGTAGCCCAGAGCTCGTAGCCTGGGGGCACCCCCCTTCGTCATAAAAATGGAAGAGAATTCAAGGAGGTCGAATGCTCTGCGTAGATAGGCATTATGGTGCGAAGGAAAGGATCATAGCGTTCCAGTAGAGGCTATTGCGCCGGCGTTAATGGGAGACAGGGGCCGAAGAGAGACCAAGACCTGCTAAACGGACAATAAACGTGCCGTAAGAATTATCATGCCCGAAACTTAACTCTGGCGGAAAGAAAGAGAGCTAGTATGTCTAGGGCTCCTATCATCTAACAGCGCGCAGGAAAAGATATCAAAAACAATGAAATGGTGCGAAAACACGACAACAGAGCTTTGATGAAGTGCGACCATCCTTTTTCTTTTTTTTTACCACTATCATCGCTTCATCATCGGACCTCACGCCCGGTTAAACGCGATATGCAAAAAGCCCTCTGTACTTATAGCAACGTTTCCTGACAACGTACACAAGGCTAAAAAGTGTGAATAGAATAAAAAGACCCATCAACACCGCCTTCTGCGCATGATCCGCCATATAATTCAAGACCTTCCCGTCCGACCCGTGCCATGATCTCCCTGCCGCATGCTGTATCACCGCCCGCCCGTATCTTTCGTCCAGCAGGCCCAGTTTTTGCCGCTGCGTACTGTATAACCACGCGTACTCCCGAAACGCCGCCGTCACCATCATCGGGCCCGTGGTCCAAAACACTTGTAGGTATGGTAGGAGGACGCGTGGCGACTCCGCGCCCCCGCGCCGTTTGGCCTCGTAGAGCGCCCACTGAAGAAACGAGGACTCGCGCTCTGCCATAAAAAAGTGATTGCTTAGGCCAAGGGTTCCTGCTGTGGGGGCGAAGATAGCCTGTAGGCCAAGATGCCGAAGGCATTGTATCTGCGTGGCGTCACGGGGATAAACATCTAGGTCTGCGTAGATACCACCTTCTGCATGAACGACTACCAGCCTAGCAAGGTCGGCACGTTGGATATTCTGTGGGTATCCCTTGTATGTGGAGACTAGCCAGGTGTACTTGGCCTCGAGGAGTTGGAGTACGTCTTCGTCGGTCCAGATTTTAACAGTGTAGTTGATAGGGTTAAACGTGATCTTCCATAAGTCATGAGATGCTTCCAGTTCCGTAGAATACGTTCGGACATCGGTCGTCCTCCAGATCTGGTGGATTATGTCGGGCACTCCCGCAACTACCATTCCAGCAGAAGGGTCCAAGATTTCGCGGTTATTGTGAGCACATCTTTTGATTATCTCCAGTGACTCAGACAATTCGCCGGAGAATGAAAAATCTTCCATGGGAATGAGCTGATGAATAACAAATAAGACGACGACGATGGAAAATATGATCACAACGAGCCTTCCTGAGCCGTTCCTGAAAACAAGAACCATTGTAAATCGCCTCACGGGGCGAGGCACCAACACGCAAAGATGGGGCCTTAGTTGAAACCTCAGGCTCAATATGCAATCGAAGCAATGTCGACAGACAATGGGGTCAAAGGAAGTTTGACAATAAGGAAATGTGGCAGCCTCAAGTAAGAACACACTTTCAAATCAGAGGGGGCCGGAAAAATTACAGTACCATGACATTAGTTTTTGACAGTGCATAATAGACTAACCTATTCACGATTAGTCTACTTCTGATGTATACTACTGAGCCTGAGCAGGGTTGAAAAATCTCTCATCATAAAGTTAACGCGTCACCCCTGGGAGCTGGTTGGCTCTTGGTGGTCCATGTCTGTCTGAAAACCCCCAACCCCCCAAGTAGTTGGCTGTTGCAGGGATCGTACCATTACCGTTTCCGTTCCCCTTTTGGTATAGAAAGAGTAGCAGACCACCAAACCTGTGCTGTCACCGCGATCCAGAAGATTATCAAAATGATCCATGGCATTTTTTGAATCCTGCAGAATTCGAAACTTCGATGCGGCTTGCTGAAATCGCAGTCGTGTGGAGGGCACAAGTGGTAGATTTTGGAGTTGCTTTCACACAGGTGCTGATGGGTCCGATCCCCCGCCGTTTTCGCCTGGTCCCACTGGGATCTCGGTAGGACTCGCTTGAAGCTTTTAGTTCAGCCGCAAAGTTGCAACAGGGTTATTCACTAGCAAGCCTACCGTGGAGTTCAAAATTTACTGCTAGCGAAGAATCCCGCGGCATGATCGGGAGACGAAAATTATCAGATCAGGTTCCATTTTCTGCCATTACAAGGTAAGCATAAACGCGGTCAAGAGCACGGAGACCAGTTAAGAAGAGCTGTGGCTTCCGCGGGATCAACCGATCTGGAGACCACACTGGACCCGTAGATAAAATGAAAAATACATGGCAGTATTAAATTTGTCTCGGAGAGCTCCAGGTTCCAGTCGGGTGAATTCCATCCCAGCTTGGGCAAAGTCTCCATTTTGCAGATCCCCGAGCGACAATTTACTATGTATAAGATGCACGTCTTTCCTAACACACGTTCGGGTGTGGGGGTTGGGGTTAGGGTTTGAGGCCGGGGCAGGGGGCACGGGGACATATTGCACTACCTGGAGTTCGCACTAGTCCGATGCCAGTTTACTCCATAGTTCCGTGGAGAGCACGAATAATGCAAAACATAAGGAACCCAGATTCTATTAACTTACACATATGTACAGTAACTAGCGGAGTTGCAGTAAGTCGCCGGATTCATGCGATATTTAGTGTGGTATTCACTGGATATGATCTAGAGGGTTGGCCCTGGTCGCCAGCTTGCATCGAATGACGTGTTCTTCCGCCTCGAATGGATTGACCACGATCGGATTATTCTTCGTAGCACTAGCTACATTGGATCAAAAAGTGTGACGCGGGCTGGGCCGGCTTCCATCCCTGGTTTAGCGTCAGAACATCGTTGCACCGGGGCATGTGCTGATCATGTGCTCTATTTTTTTCTCTTCCCATCTACCACTTGCATTGTGCTGGAGTCGTACCTTAAGGGTCGATGAGTTTCCGAGCGATTTGAAATGATGGTAGTATACCTGTGAAGTAGGGTTGAAGTCTTATGGAATTCAGATTAAATCACCACGACAGTTGCGCCCTTTTATGTGATCATCCTTGAAAACAAGTGTAGCGTTCACATGCCTTGTGCCATGACCTTCTCACTCCGAGCTAAGTGTACTTAGTACAGCCTACTAAATCAATAATGCCTAGCCAACCTAAGTATCCAAAATAAATAAATAGCTCTATTAAAATAAACAGAACGCGTACGGACTCGGGGTAGGAAATCGGGGGCCGGATACCCTACTACATCCTACTCCATAGCATATATCCTGCATTATGCCTACCGCAGGTAAAGAGCTCTCACCGTCAACACGCTCACATATTTGCAGCCTTCAGAACGACGCAAAAAGGTCATATAATCGCTTTCATAGGCAGTTTCCCTCTATATCTCGCTCTACAATTATTTATACCTGCAAAAACGAGGATATTCGCGGTCAGTAACACTACTCAGCTCAACGCTCTGGTCGGCCTCGCAATTCGAGCGCTTTTGGTCGTGATTTAATATATGATGCTATTCAAAACAACCCTAATATCAAATATGATGCTTTGCGTAGCTGTTACGGCCCTTGAACAACATGAGGCTACTTAGATGCCCAATCGGGTATATTAGGAACTACATGAGAGGGTTTCCCGCGAACCTGCATGAAAGCGAACGCCACGTGATCGCACAAAGGAATAAAAGGCACTCTCTTGTAATTAATGAACTCTCTTTCCTGAGGATTAGTTCGGTCACAATCGCAGGCTTGAAGTTCCCACCCACATACTTACAGTTCTATCTGGTCCCTTACCTGGTCCAACTCCAGCCCTTACAGTAGCCTCGTCGACCATGAAATTGGTCGTGAGACGCTCCGGAAGCTATTAAAAGATTTTGGTTCACGAAAATGGCGTAAAATCAAACGACCTCAGTTAACTGAGCACGACGCACGCTTACGCCTCGCCTGGGCGCAAAGATATTATGATTTTACGCCTGAGGATTGGTCAAGGGTCTATTGGTTGGACGAGACCTCTATTGAGCAAGATTCAGGGAAAACGCAGAGTGGACGTTTACGAGGCCAAAATATCGGGCCTAAAAGGGCGAGGATAAGCCTATATCGCTTGGAAAATAGCTTCGATAGATGTTTTGAGCCTGTTTTCCAGGCGATCCACGTTGATCAGCTCTGATTCCTTTATTCCATATCTTAATTCACCTTGAGGCGGCGTTAATGGCACCAGAATCCTTGAGACCTATCAACAATGGCTACCAACGTTAATAAATAACCGATCTGAATCTATTTTAATGCACGACGGCGCTCGCGTATATATCACGCGTCAAGTACGCCACTGCCTACAAGAACAAGGGTTTATAGTCATAGATTGGCCAGCATATTCGCCAGATTTGAACCGTATAGAGAATCTATGAGCGTTGCTAAAAGATAGGCTATTAAAGATGTTTTCTGAGCTTTATGATATACCTAACTCTGAGGAAACACGTGGGTTTTTAATTAATGCAGCAGAAATGGCATCGTCATATATAGACACTAAGATCCTATGCTGTAACAGGCCAGTGCCTGTTTGAAGGTCACGTTCGAGAACGTGACCGATCGCCGCCGACCGCCTCTTTTCATTGTTGATTGTTTACTTTTCTTTCTTTTCTCCTTACGCTTTTGGTAAACTGCAAACGGCCTAGTTAGCTTGAATCAATCTAGCTTTAGCCTTTCACATATGCAAGCTCTCAGAGAGTATGCCTGGACGGGTACAGGCTTTTATTGAAGCGGATGGATGGTACACTACCTACTAGGATAGAGCGCATTTATCAGTCTACTTTTTTTTGCTAGCAGAATATTAGGTATTAGTGGGGGTGGTCAAATACTTGTTGGTAGGGACTGTACATGCGTCACTCGCTTACCGATAACGGTAACGTAACTATTCGGAAAGCGAGCTGCGCACCCACTCGCCCTCTATAACTTCAAACCATCCTTTTTTAACCAAAACGCCTTTATATTAATTATGCTACCTAATTAGGCATTGGTTTGGCCTATGCCCTATCTGATTACATAAATAACAGGTAAACTGACCCCGTCGCGCTGGTGCTGCTACTGGTTGAACAGGCTGCCTAGGTGCTGGTGGAGATGGTGCCGCACGCTGTAAAATAGGCTCATAGGCCTGTGAATGCTCTTGAGCCTCTTGCGCCGAGACTCCAGCTTTGTAGGCTTTGTGTCTACTAACCCGTGGGCGCTTTTATTTCTGCACTGCGTTGGCAGCGCGTAATTCCTTGCTTTCTTGCTCAAGTAATATGCCGTTTTGAATAGCGATCTGACAGCCTTTGATAAACTGGTTGAACGCGGTTTGTGAGAGCGGCGGTGGGCTATCATAGCTGATGCGTATCTTTACGTTGACGGTGGTACGATATATCTCAAGTTCAGCGCGTAAACGGACAACATAGCCACCAAAAGATTCTTCTAGATAAGGGTACCGAACCTATGAGATCCAGCACGTTTCTTTTCTATTTTAGAGCTTTCACTTGCGACACACTCTTGTCTCTAGTACGGACTCATTTCCTCCTGGGGAACTCCAGATTTTAATGAGTTCTAGACCAACCTTATCAAACAGGTTTTTCCACTGAGACACCGTTCTCTCCAACCCTGCCGTGTGGAGCCACATCAAAATATCCATCTCTGCCGCTCGGAGGTCTGCACCAGTATCTGGCAGCACATAGTCATCAATCAAAAGTGTTGAATACTCGGGATCCATTGCTTCGACAACTCGAGACAAGATCTGGGCACTCTTAATATCAGACCAGTTGTGTAACACGTCACGAAGGAAGTACAGCCGCGAGCCTTGATTTCCAGATCATGGTCAGCTTTGTCCTCTTTGTGCCATGGTATCACATGAGGGAAGTGTAAGGCCAAAAGTCATACCTTTGATAGATTGTGGAGTGAAAAAGTCATATTCCATGGTCTCGATCCCATCGGGCATTTTCCCAATGCGCTTCAGTGTCAGCGGAAGGTCTTGTAGAACAAACCGACCGGGAATTTCAGGATGCTTTTGCTTAAATCGCACAAGCTCTTGTCCAGGGCCTCCACCCACGTCGACCATAAGAGCCGCATCAGGCTCTTGGCGAAGCTCACCCAACTTGTTTGCGACTGGATAGATCTCAAACCACTGAGGCATATCACCCACTCGCCGGGCAGCCATGTAGTCATCAAAAGCTTGTTTTTGTTCAGTGTTCTTCTCTAATAGGCCAAAAATAACATCCGTCCCGTGTGCGTATTTGAACAGAGTAACAGCATCGGGCTCGTCTGCAAACTGTTGGATTCCAGGACCTCGCATGTATTCGACTAATTTTCCGCCCTGTTGGTGTATTAGCGGTTTTCCCGAATACTTCCTGGACTGGACTTCCAGAGCCTTACCATTCCAAAATCCAAATCGAAGCTTATCCATCGTCAGCCCCAGCCGTACCAAATCTTTTACAATTGACACTCACTGATGCTTCTCGGCTGCAATTGACCCAGGCAGAATCTTGAAGTGAGTGCTCTCGTTGGCAGCATACAGCTGGTTGTCAATTTCGTCACAAAGCCCGATGGCCGTCAATACGCGTAGAACTCGAACTGCGGAGATTTGTTACTGTCAAGACGATACCATCCTCCTTTTCGGTAACCTCACTTGTCAAGAGAATATCCGAAGCTGTTTCACGAGCTATGTCTGTCGCGGAGATAGGTGCCCCATTTCTTGCCGCGATAACGTGAAGAAATCGATTTTCGACAGCGACTCGAATAGAAATATTTTGCATGATCTATGTAATTCAAGTGTTAGATACCGATTCCATTCGCTCTATATCCAAATTTTCCTATAACTTACTTGGAAATTCATTCGCGACGTTGTTTCGAGAGGTGTCTCGGCCGCTAGCTGCAATTCACGGATCGCTTTCAGCAGCTCTGCATGAGCATTTTTTTCCCCAGCCGCCTCTGCGGCAGCAAGCCCCTGAATTTTCGCTAGAATTTCAGGCACAGACATGATATCAGGAGTGTTGGGTTTTCAGTTCTCGGTCAAAGACAGTGGCAGTGAATTGTAGAAAGGAAGTAAAAAAATGCGACTACCAATTAATCCTCCAGGGGCGCGGATGTAATGATTGTTAAGCGGCGGTCGTCATTTCCGTAGGTCCACTTTGAATGACTGCTTAGCTCCCTCGGAGACCCTCCCCCGATTCCCTTTGTTTGTGCTCGAGCCAAGTAAACCTGGAGAGAAGTTATGGGGCAATCAGTGGGTCGGAAGCATTTTTTTGGTAGTTTCCTAAGCTTCGGCGATCGGCGACAACGAATGTACCGATGAATGAAGCTAAGCGAGTTATTCCTCCAAATATGAAAGTGAGACAAGCAGGTCCGAGCTACTCCTAATTTAAACCTTTGAAATGAGCACATGAAGGGCAATCCATTGTTAGAAATCAGGCGAGGTCCGATTGGGCGGGCGGGGGCTAAACATGCATCTACAGGGTGCTAGATCCTGGGGCCCACTCAGAAAGGCAAAACAGGGAGTAATTTTCTTACTAGTTGTGCTGTAATTTTATACTCCGTCGAAGATTGTATGTACATACGTAAAAATTCTTCTAGAGCCATCCTTCTGGGAAGAAAAAATCACCATGCGTCTTGGACTTGCAAAAAAATTAAAATTCCCACGGCCCTCAGCCCCTTCGTCACCCAAAGGTTAGTACTCACATTATTCTCATTCTAATCTCACGACTCAACATTCGCTGAATAGTCTACAACTGACTGTTTGAAATGATAAGAGACATCAGTTCTGCTTCGTGGCAGAATGGGTGTTTGTTTTTTCCCGACTTATCTACCGAACGTAAAAGTACATTTGTGAACTTGGCCTATCCAGCCTTGATTTTTTTTCAACAATGCTCCGAAGTGACGATAGTGTCTTTTGTCACCATGATATGTCTTCCTGGAGCTCCATAGACGTCATCGGCATGAGCTTGATCAGCATAGTAAGAGGCGCTAGTGAAGACAGCGCCATTTGTCGAGAAATTAGGAAGGGGGCGGTCACTCAATTGGACCCAAGACTCTCGTCTATTGCAACTTTCAGACAGATACCTGCGACTAGTATCACTTCTTTTCGAAGAATCATCTATTGCACTCCTTACATCCTGCGTGAAACGGACGAAGAAAGGGCGTAGGACTGGAATGGATCCGAAGATAACTATGAACCACATCTCGGTCAACACCCAAGTATTGAGCTTGAAGATTGCGTACGTCAAGTCTTCAACGTGGGTTATGGAAGCAATTGCAAGGGTTTTATTGATGCCAGCAATACCAGCTCTGTGAAATGTTAGAAAACTTGTACAACGCACTTGATTGGAGAGACATACATTAGACCACCTCCCATGATGAGACAGAGTCCAATTTTTGTGGACAGTTTCATTAATTGCAGCCTTCCAATGATGTAAATCGGATAGAAAGCTAGGAAGAAGTCTGCTGCTGCTCCAATGCCTATATAAATCAGCACGGGGCCTTTAGTGAATGATTTAATTCTCACTTACTGCCCTGAGCAAATCCCACTTCCGAACAGATAAGAACCATATTACAAGATCCAGGAATGCTGTTATCCCACAGCCTCTCTGTGGGATTACATTGCTTGAATATTAGAATGACCTCAATAACATTGATGAGCGCCTGGATTCCTCCAACGCAAAAGAGAAGGTATCTGCTTTTAAGCATTGCTCTTGCTTGAATCGATAATAGGAATGCAATGACTGCAATTCGGGCTATTACAAGACCTAAAATGGCAATGACCTGACCAACCCAGCTCCATAGGTTTGTCTTCACGACATTTTCGTGGGATAATAGATCCTGGTGGTTACCAAGTCCATATAGAACGCTCACTGTCATGGTGGCTTGGGCTGCTAGAGCGATGGACTATGATGGTCAGCTTCGAGATCATTGAATCAAAAATCAAAGATCTGATATCAGCATACAAAAGCAAAGATCACCCACACAAAATCCCATCGTAGCCCGAAGATACCAGAGACGAGTCGTCCATTGGGACACACTGACGCGGTTTTTGCTCGCAGGACCATTAGTATGAGAGCTAGTCCCATCTCTGCCCATGTGACCCCCAACACCAAGGGCCCTTTTCCACCATAAGATACGTCTGAGGCATTAGCCATCGTGGTAACGGCAGAACTGTCAGGGTAATTAGAGAGAATAGGAATTGGGTCTTGGACAGAATGTATACATTGTGTTGGTATATTCTCTACGTGCTGTATCATCGACTTGTTAGCACGGATTACGAACCAGAGATCCTTTGGGTTACACCTCTGGGTTACAATGGCCCCATGGAAGATTTAGGTGGGGTCCACACGAGCTGCCGGTGGGGTACGGAGTAGATTAGGTCCACAATGGCCTTCGGCCCTCGGCCCTTTATACTGTCCGCCGCCGGGCAGGTTCTCTGGTTACATCCATGTTTAGCTTGTTTAGAACAGTAGATCAAGGCGGGAGCGAATTTTCTGCACTGCAGGATCCATGCCCTTAGCGCACTAATGCACGGAGATGCTGGGATGGGTTCGGTTGAGACGGATTTGGTATTGATTCTAGCGCTAACACGCTATGTAACGTAATTGAAAGGATTCATGTCCAATAATGACCGCTCCCAAAACGCTCGAGCATGGGTCTTGAAGCGACCAAGATACTGTGGGTGGAAAATTCCATGCTGGTCGCGTTTCCTAGCCGAGTGGGCAAATCTCCCCTGAGAAGTTCCTTCCGGTTCTCGATGCAACTCGCATTGAACAGGAAAGTGATCAACAATCGAGTTAGTACTAGGCTACAAGTCTCTTTTCTCAATTAATTTCCATCACTGAAGCCTGCCCTGGCTAACAGCCCAGGATTTCAAATGCATGGCCCAGTATTTCAAGTCCTGCTGTCTCATTGTGCAACCTTGAGGGAAATATAGACTTTGTCACTCATCACGTCACCAGTTCGAATTGCTTTTTTTTTCTCCTTCTCGCATTTCTGCATGCCTCCCCAGGCAATGACTGTCGATCACAAACCACCTGGACATCTCGATGCCACCGAGATTGACGAGGAAGCGGAAGCTCTTGAGGGCTACGTAGTCGATCCCAGTCACTATGCAGCCTACGCAGCGAGATTGAAGACCAGCGACGATGGTCGCTTTGTTCTCATTCCGCAGCCTTTGAACACTCCCAATGATCCACTGAATTGGAGTGCTAGCAAGAAACGATGGATCGTCGCCATCATTGCTTATATTGCCTTTCTGGCTGATTATACCGGGGGAACAGCCATCATTACTGTCATCCCTCAGTCAATGTAGGTCAGACTCCATGTCAGTTTGAAAGCAGAATTTAATACCCGCTTTTTAGGGAATGGCAATTGTCTCAATCGATGGTCCAACGAGCAGTTGTCGGCAACTTATTCACTATCGGCGCATGCGGACTCTTCGTCGTTCCACTGGCCAGCTATTTTGGCCGCTGGCCAGTTATTTTGGTCTTCCAATGTGTTATGCTTGGAACATGTGCCTGGTCTGGCGCAGCTACTAGCTTTCGATCATATCTGGCCGCACGCATTATAAACGGTTTTTTCTGCAGTGTGGGTCAAGGAGGAGCCTTGATGTGGATTAAAGATCTCTTTTTTTTTCACGAACACCCACGGATCATCAACTACGTGGAGTTCTCCATAATCCTCAGTCCATACCTGGGACCCTTAATTACCTGCTTCATTGTTTCTTATGTTAGCTGGAGATGGGCATTCTGGGTGTGCACGATCCTTGCTGGCATAGGTTTGATTGCAATTCTTTTTTTAGATGAAAGTCTGTTTGATCGCAAGGCTCCTCCTGATTTTCGCCGCTCTTATCTCTCCCGCCTGGTTGGATTGCAACAGGCGAAGGCTCCTCAGAAGAGTTTCGCTCAGTGCATGGCTCGTCCAGTTCTGGCTATGACCAAAGTTCCCGTTCTGACCATTCTTGTCTACTATTTCTTGAACTTTGCGTGGGTAATTGGTGTCAATACCACCATTGGTATCTGGCTGACCAATATATATGGGTTTTCAACGAAGGGAATTGGTGAGTATGCTTTTTTTCACTTCTTCAGGCAGTTGAAAGGGGCACTAATTTTCTTTGAATAGGATATTTCTACTTCTTTGGCATTGTCGGCGTCTTATTTGGCTGGTTCATTGGCCACTACCTCCATGATGCAGTGGGCCGATACTATACTAAGCGTCATGACGGCCGTCTTGACCCAGAGGCTCGGTTGATAATCACGTACCCAGCAACTCTCATCTGCTGTGTTAGTCTTATCATCCTGGGACTCGCCTTTGAGAAGCACTGGCACTATATGGTAATTGCGGTGTTCGCTGCTACGCAATGTATTGGTGTCATGATTATTACAACTGCTATCAATGCGTACTTGCTCGACTGCTACCCTGAAGGATCAGGCGAAATGGGTGCATGGGTTACGGCCAGCCGTAACTGGGCGGGATTTATGGCGACATATATTCAGATTGACTGGGTAACACGCCTTGGACCCGCCAAGGCATTGGGGATCCAAGCAGCAATTACATTTACCTCAATCTTTTTCATGGTTTTCCTACAGATGTACGGGAAGCGAATGAGGAAGTGGCAAGGGCCCATGGTTTTTGGTAAGAAATGAGGGGATAATTGGCCCCTAGGTACATAGTTGAGTAAAGACATTTTCATTTTGTCTAATTTAGGAATGAGAATTGAACGATGACGCACCGATCCAGATCCACGCCCAGAGCAGCCGCCCGCCGAATACAAATGTTCTTGCAGGCAAATAATGAACTCATGATCCGAGTCGATCTTAGGCCAGAAGAGTATGCAAAGACACTGACGGCAATCACAGTACGACTTCTAATGAATAATTCCTCCGTAAGCACCTAGGCGCTTAAAGCCCATTATGCTTTGCACATACTCAACACCAATTGTGTAGTTATCTTTCACGTAAACGCGAGGCTGCTGCTATGTTGTAGAAAGCAAGAAAGATAGATGAAGGAATAAGAACAACTTTGCACAAGAGTACCGATTTGATCTCATGGTAACAACATGTACTCAAAACAAGTGGCTATTGTTGGGAAAGTATCACTTAGCAACCAGATTTCGTACCAGTCCAAAGTATAATCAGGAGATATAGCATCATTTTCAGATATAATTGTATTGAGCCTCGTCAACTCTGTTTTCACAGTGTTGGTCCGTTGAATAGAGCGCTATCCAACAGTCGTCAAAATTACTAAGTTCAAAGCAACGGTCATTAGTCGGGCTGGAGGTACAGCCCCGATTATCGCTTCCGGTGTAGTTCGAATTGGCGATGGTCTCACACCCGGTATCGGGGTAAATGACAGAATCCCACGCTCTAGTGGCTGTCCTGAGCGTCATCAGAGCGGGCGGAAGGCTCTTGAGCTTTCAGATCATCAAGTTGATTGCCGCATTTATGACCTTGTGCTTTAAATGGGTTATATGGGCGTACACGGGCTTTGGGGAATAATTTCTCATCTCAGTGACTTGGCTCGGGCTTGCGGTGCAGTGTTGGAGATAGAGCGACGGATGGCTTCAACGGGTATTTTGTTGGATGTCGATAATGACGTTCACATGTACGTTAACTAACTACAAGTGGGGGTTGCACGTTCGTTCGTTAGTAATCGGTCATGACAGCTCGGTAACTGAAATTCCCCCTTGTCTCAGACTCCAGTCTCCCTGGAGAGCTATTGGCACCTCCCAGCATCTCCTATTATATACAGGATGCATTTACCATCAGGTCCTGACCCATACACCCTCCACAAATCTAGTTCGGCACGGTATAACGGCGAAGACCCTTCGCTCGCAAGGGACCAATCCAGCACAGACAGTGGAGATCTGGAGCTGGGCAACGCCCCCCTGCTTCCCTCGGATTCCCTCGCACACCACGACTCGGAATTGGACTCGAACTTTGACATTGAGGAACACTGCCGGAATACGCGGCGTGATCCGCCCTTCTCTTGTTCCAGGGCCGGATTTGTTGCTTGGTGTAAAGGGCCCGACCCGCCCCATGTTTATCGCGTGAATTCTTGGTTTCCCAAGTGGCAGGCTGCACCGGCGCGGCTTGTCGAGCGAGGGCTTCCAAAGGGACCCATGAAGATGGCGGCGCTTTTGGGAGGGCTTTTGTTTTGGGTTGTTGTTTTCTTTTCGTTGCTCAAGATGTCGGTTGCGGATCAGGAGGTCTTAGGGTATGGACAACCGGTCAAGCTGTCGTGTCACCAACGCCTGTGGTACGTTTGCGTTTGTCCTTCTAACTTTGCATTTATCATTTTGATTTTGTCAATACCAACCGGTTTTCTTAGGAACAATGCCACGGACTGCGGCGTCAACGGCGAACTATGCCTTCCGTTCGAGGACCAGTCTTTCGCCTTTCGCTGCCCGTCCGGCTGTGCAGCTGCAATTCTCCTAGAACCGTACAATGTCGGTGAGAGGGAATATAACTATCGACCCCAAGTTATCGGGGGTGAACCGTCCAGACCGGGCGGTTACACCAGTGGTCTCTACCGCGGTGACTCATCTATCTGTGCCTCCGCGCTGCATGCAGGGCTGATTAGTGATGCAATGGGCGGCTGTGGTATTCTGCATCGCCACGTTCAAAAGAGCAACTTCGAGAACGTCACACAAAATGGCATCGAGAGCATCCGATTCTTGCCTCATTTCCCAATGTCGTTCATGCTCAGCCGCCAGGCATCGTCGCCTGGGTTGAGCGAGACAAAACTGGCCGAGTGTTCCGACAGTCGCTGGTCCCTCTTTGCATTCACATTGGCTGTGACGACTGCCCTGTCAATGACTGTGAGCTCCGCGTCGGCATTCTATAGTGCCATATACTTCATTGTTTGGTTCCAGGTTGCTATGGCATCTGACCCACCGACCTCGAGCTTCTATGACCGGGTTTCCGTTTGTTTTGGCCGATTCATACCCGGCGCGTTCGTCGGCTTCGTATTGTACTACTTCTGCGTGAAGTACACCCTGGGCGGCCTCGACGCGCACGTCGAGAAAACCATCCTCTGGCTGGGTGGTTGCTGGGTTGGGGCCCTTAACACAGACACCTTCGACCACATCCCCATCTCCCGTTTCACGCTTCATGACATCCAGCAACAACCCGGCGCCTTCATCGCCCTTTTAATCATCATCAGTTCCCTTATCGTAATCACTTTCGTCCAAGCGTACTGTTTCCGCCGCGAAGGCCGCTTCTTTCCCATGCTCCGCCTTTACGCCCTCCTCGTCCTAGGCGTCCTCATCCTCGCCCTCATTCCCTACATGAACCTCCGCATCCACCACGACCTCTTGGCCCTTCTCCTCCTTCCAGGCACATCGATGCAAACGCGCGCCAGCCTCCTGTTCCAAGGCATCCTCGTCGGCCTGTACATCAACGGCGTCGCCCGCTGGGGCTTCGGCTCCATCCTCCAGACCCCCGCCTCCCTACTTGACGGCGCCAAACTCGGCACCGCCCCACCGGTAATCAACCCGCCGCGCATCGAGCACCAGAACCGGCTCGTGTTTTCCTTCCCTGATCTCCCGGGGCACGTCGACGGGATCAGCGTCCTGATTAACGATGTCCTTCGCTTCAGGAGCCTTAAGTCAAATAATAGCCAGGATGTGGCCGAATTTGTTTGGCATCGGGGATTTGCGAATGAGATTGAGTACTTCCGCTTTGGATATGTGCATGCTCATGCGCTGGGTGGGGTTTGGTATGAGGACTTCACCGAGCCTGCGACTTGGGCGGTTGATGGGAGCTTTTCCTAAACCAGGATAGAACTGGGCCTTTGGTTAAGGGTGCAGCTTGTAGGCAGGTGAGTCACCCACAATGAGGGAGTTCCAGTGTAGAGCGGAACCGTCAGAGATAGCAAGAAATAGGCAAAATTTGGTCGTAATTCAGGGGATCAATTACTTGCAATTCGGCGCACAAATTGAAACGGAAAGAAACTGTAGAACTCTGATTCTAGGGGTGTAGTTAGATGTCTGATATTATTTGTCAGCAGTAAATGATCTCCATGTTTAATTAGATTGGATGTCAGATCCACCGATCAAATGACTGACCCTAATTTATTTGCCCAGCGGCAATATATATGCCCGACTATAGTCTTATATTTAAAGAAACGCAGTCGACTTTTTGATTGATGTATGCTGTTACCAGCTGCTACATGATTCAGCAATCGCGTCAATATATTTATCAACGGCCCGCTAAGATGGAACTTGGAAGCTATGTAGTAAATTCTGATGCTCTTTGTTGGAAATTGGAGCCCTCATCCTAAGGCGCCAATATCGGTCGGCATCTCTCTGCCCCGATGGCTGCTGATTGGTCAGCTTGGCCCATGAGGCTATTGAAATTAGGCTGCATGAGCAGCCCGTATATGCAGGTTCCTGATCTATGTCACCCTCTTTGCTTGTTCCAGAGGATGTTCTTTCATGGACCACCGGGCAGCGGTGTAGGAGAACATTTTTCTATGCATTTCCCTTAGAAACAGTTTTCAGGAAAAGGATATAAATATCCCGCTGAGAACGAGCAGAAAAGATTATCAAAATTTACTATCAATTACCTGTCCATCTTCTTTTCGTCTGATCATCTACCCTTCATTTCTCAACACTCTTTTCTGCTCGTTCTCAGGGGAATGTTTATATCCCTTTCCCAAGAACCATTTTCTATGAGAAATGCGTACACAACTGTTCTTTCACACCGCTACTCGGTGATCCATGAAAGAAATGGATAAGAAAACAGAGGAGAAAGTGATGTAGATGAGGAAACTGCATATACGGGCTGCTTATGCTCTACGTAAGTAGAATACGCAGTATAAAGCTGAATGAACTTATGTTTGTTGAGATATGAAGTTCTAAATTATCGCATTTACTATGATGCTTTGAGGTGGCCCACTCGCCTACCGATTACGTTACTCGGTAATATAAATTCAGAACGAGTGGTTCGTCATAAAGTGTCGCGAAAGAAATTATATACACTATAAAATCAAGCACAATGCTCCTATGTGCTATACGTATGCTTGTTGAGCTTGTAAAATAAAATATGCTGAATGAGCGTCGCGAGCGAATCTCCTCTTGGTCGCTCGTCTGTCTGGTCCTTCCCACCTCCTAATGCTCTCCATCGAATGAGTCATTCCCACCTGCTCGTGACTTCCTCACTGCTTCCATCTCAACTCCTTCCCTTGACGCGTGCTCCTACCCAATGGTAGTACTCCTAAGACCTCGCCGCGGGGCCGGTCACTCTTTCGATCAATTGGCTGACACTGCACTGTCCATGCGCCAGGATCGTCTCCAAAGTGGCTCGGAATCGATTAAGCAGTGTTCTTGCCAGCTGGTCACGGATCCGGTCGGCGGCAAATGCAATGCCCATTGATAGTGAACCATCTTCCTCCTCTACTGTCTCGATGGCAAAGTCAATGGATGCGTAGGGTTGCCTCGGGCTAACCTCCGTCCGCTTGTAGACTGTACCACCTAGTAATAGGTCCTCCTTTGACGCTCTCAGATGATTCACCACGCTGGCTCGCAAGTCTGCTGCTTCTTCTTCCGGCCATCCCATCCAACGCTGAGCGATTGTCGGGAACTCGAGACCTTCATGTCTCATACTGTCGACTTGTTGTTTCCTGAGCTGTTCGAGCAGTGTTTCCAGTGTCCATTCAGGTTCGTAGGCGACACGGCATGGAACCGCTCTGGCACAGCACGCAACAGCGCCTGCGGCTGATGGATGTACTGAGTTCCGTCCCGTATAGATGTCGGCAAACACAACATCACGACTCGACGTGTGCAGGCCCAATACTATACCCCAAGCGGCTTTGACAGCCACGGCAATTGGGAAGTCTGGTTGTCCACTTCTTGATCCCAACGCAATTGGCTCGCCGGAAATAAGACCTAGTCGTGAGACCTGGGGCTCGGTATGTTCACTAATGGACGGAATGTTAGCTCCACGAAGAAGCTCACGCCAGTAGTCTTCGGTTTCTCGTGTTGTCCGGGCTTGTAGACTTCGGAAATACGACCCAACAGGAACCGAATTGCCCGTAAGTTGCCCTGTAATGATCTCTTCTAATGTTGTCCAGACCCGATGCAAAGTAGCTCCATCATATAGGGCATGCGAGATACGGAACACGATGCGATGTTGATTCATAGGGGCAATGACAACAGCGACATCGAACATTGGTCGTGCAAGACTTGGCGTTGCGAACATTTCTTGGTCCAATGAGTCTCGACAGAAGGCATCAAGATCCATATCGGTGTGGAAGACGCGGACCTCTGGTTGCCATTTGGCGTAGACAACTTGTAAGAATTTCTGGCCGCTAGGTCTGGCAAATCCGGTGCGAAGTGACTCAAATTTCATGGCAAGATCAGCAACTGCCGACATCACCCCGGATATGTCACAGGGACCGCTCGCGTCGAAAGCAAAATAATTCAGTTGCCTGCGTTCCGGGGCCATGTTTTCTCTTATAATCTGGGCTTGAAAGTCTGTTGTTGGCAGAATATCAAGCACGTCCTGTGCCTTTTCAACCGGCACGCACTCAAGAACACTTGATCGTTCTTCAAGCGAGACAAGCGATAAGGGCTTGTAGTCCGCTACCTCGTCAGCGTTCATGGCGGCATATGCTGCCATATCAGAAAGGACCGGATAATTAAAAATGTCGATGACAGAAAGCCGCATGGTGTGTCCTCGTAGCTGCTGAACAAGGGTCATGGCTGTCATAGAGTCTCCACCAAGTTCGAAGAAATTGTCCGTACGCGACACAACCGTGTTTTCAAGCCCAATACAAGTGGCCCACAATTCGCAAAGCAGCTGTTCTTTGGGGCCAACAGGCGCCTGATATATCCGAGACTTGGCCGTGTACTCAAGCCACTTGTCCGATGGTATGGAATCTAGCAAAATGCGAACTCCTCGACGGTCCATCTTGCCACTGTCATTGAGCGGGAATTTACTGATAGCCAGGAACGCGGACGGTATCATGTACCTGGGAAGCGTTTCAAGGAGGGAGGTATGGAGGGAATCAAAAGCCTTCTGCTGCTCACGATCGGGCATGATTATTGAAGGCACAGGGACGCGAGAAGTATGCCGGTCGGGTGAGGTTGATTCGATGATGGCGACCAGAGACTGTCCCTTCTTGGACACATAGACGTGTGTCGCGTCTGGCAGCAGGCGGACAATCTCACTCTCGATTTCGCCGATTTCCACCCTCTGACCGCGGACCTTGACCTGCGTGTCGCGACGGCCTATGACGGTCAGCGAGCCGTCGGTGTTCTGCCGCACCATGTCTCCGGTGCGGTACATGCGCCGGCCGGGGCCAAGGCCCAACTCCTGCACAAACGCCGGGTCCGTCACAAAGGCGGCCGCTGTCTTGACGGCATCATTCAAGTAACCTCGCGAGAGTAGCGGGCCTTCGATGAGCAGCTCGCCTGGCGCGCCAAGGGGCACCAGTCGGCCGATGTCGTCCGGGTCGGCTACCCAGGCGCCTCCTGCGATGGGCTGTCCGACGTTTCCTGCAACTGCAGGATCCAGTATAGGCGGGCTGCAATGGAACACGATGGATGCTTCGGCAGGGCCATAACCGTTGATTACTGCAGCATCCTTGTTCCACCTATCCACAACTCCTGTATCGACAACCTCTCCAATAAGCACCAGAGTCTTCAGTGTAGGGACCAGCTTTGGATCTAAGAGGCGAGCGACTGTAGGTGTCACATTGGCATAAGTCACCCGGAAATGGCTAGCTGACTGATTGAGCCTCGAGAGACGATCGTCTTCGGAGAGTGAACAAATACAGCCGCCAAAAGCAAGGGTTGCCATGACGTCAGAGATACTGACATCGAAAGTGAAAGCGGCAAACTGGAGCGTGCGTGTTGAGGGAGAGAGTCCCCAGAGTGGTGCGTGTGCGAGAATGCTTGTTACAAGACCACCGTGCTCGAGGACTACGCCCTTAGGCTTGCCGGTGCTGCCAGAGGTGAAGATAACCCAGGCAACGTTCTCGGGCTGAACGGATGTGCAGGGCTCGCCGGACGGTGTCGGGGTCAAGGGGGCCGATTCGAAGAAGGAGTCGACCGCAAGCAGCTGCGTATGGGCCGATAGCATATCCAAACGTTGCTCGTGGCCACGGTCGACCAGCACGAGCGGCGCGGCAATATCCTGGACGATGCCGGCGATGCGGGCCAACGGGTGCCCAACCCCGAGAGGGACCACGGCGCCGCCAGCCCGGAGGATGGCTAGCATCGCGACGATTGTCCATTTCGATTTATCCATACATACGCCAACCTTCGCCTCCGGGCCTACACCGCGCCCGGCCAGATGGTGAGCCAGCCGGTGGCTAGCGTCGTCCAGCTCTCCGTATGTCAACTCGCCGTCCCACGCGCAGACAGCCGGTGCCGCAGGCTGGGCGGCAATTTGGTCCAGCACCAATTCATGGAGGCAACGCTCGACTCGTGGCGGCATGATCGAATTCCATGTAGATAACCGCGCCTTGTCTTGTGATGACAGCAGACTAAGCTGTCGTAGCGGCTGATTCGCATTCTCACATACAGCGCGGATGGCTTGTACTAGGCCCTGGGCGAGCTTCGTGGCTGCTGTATCTGAAAATATGGCTGTTGAATACTGCAGATCGATTTCAAGCTTGGTTGGTGTTGCGTCAATATTGACGTTTAAATCGTACTCCGTTGGATCCTTCCAGTTCAGACCCTCGAGGATAATTGATGCTTGATCGGAGCTAGCCAATGGCTGCCGCTTATATGACAGTGTGCTGTTAAATAGCGGTTGTATCCTTGAGAAGCCGAGCTCGTGCTGGATAGAAGCTAGCGAGGTCCGCTGATGCTCAAAAGCCTCGGCGGATTGGCTTTGTAGCTTACGAGCTATATCTGACACTGTTATATCCCAATCTAGCTGGAGGTGGCAGACAAGCATATTGATCATAGGCCCGACTAGCTCTTCTACCCCCGGAATAGGTGCATCACGGCCGCTCGATAGGTTACCGAAGCTGACATTTGTCGATCCCGTCCGGGTGGCAAGCACTAGGGCCCACGCTAGCTGGCAGATACTGGCAATTGAGATGCCGTATACGTCCCGGAAGTGGTGCAGTACAGAAAGGTCTTCGATCTGCGTGAACACCTTCGCAAGCTTTTCCTGTTCGTAATCGGTATTGTGCGGTGGCTCCTGCGGCTCCAGGAGACATGGCTGGGCATCGCTTAGCAATGTCTTCCAGAACTGAAGGTCATCTTGGGGGTGTCTCCCGTCCAGAAACGCGACATAGGCACTGTAATGGGAACCGCCAGCCGGTAACGCACCCTCATAGGCGCTAATGAGGTCGCGAATTATCAGGGACAGCGACGAGGCGTCAACCAGCGTATGGCTCACATCGAGGCGGCAATAGACCTCGCCTGTAGCTGTTCTTAATATTGTCAAACGATGAGGAGGGCGGTGAAGATCTGACAGGTCGAGTATCGGCCGTGAATCGAACCATTCAGCTACAGCTCTGTCTGCGATGTTGACCTCACTAAGGATGCTAATATCTGGTTGTTTGAGGACGACTTGGATGAACCTCTCCTGGCCTGGTAGCGGCTCGAGCATGATAGTCCGGAGGATAGAGTGCCGTGAGACGACGTGATGCCATGCTCTGATGAGCCGGTCCATGCTGACGGGGTTGGCGGGGTCAGATGGCTTGATGTGGCATGTCTGCTGGATGCAGTAGGTTGATGGCGATTGTACTTGGGTAAGCAGAATGCCTTGCTGAATTGGTGAACAGGGGAGAATGTCTTCAATGTAGGTGGTTGAAGACAGGCCCATAGTACTGAGGTATTGTCCCTCAATAAATACCATGTCGCTGTCGGATAGGCGCGCAAGCGGAAAGTCTGTTGCCGTAGCTGTCGGCGCTGCTATCACCAGCTCATTCACAAGGTTCTTCACAGTGTTGCGATATGCTTGAAGCCACTTCCGGACAGCTGCCTGCTGCCGTACTTGACGGCTGAAGCGCAGGCTGATACATAACTCGTCCGCTTCCACAGTGATGGTGACATCAAGCACAGCAAACGCCTTGACCATGCCGCCAACATCCGATATCGAGTAATCGCCATCGTCAATACGGAACAGTGAATCCTTCCGCTCAGTCTGCTGAAACCTTCCAGTATAATTGAAAAGGATCTCAGCAGGGCCGTGACCCGCAAACTCTTCTCGTCCACGAGCGGTCAGGAAACGGCTACCGAAATAGGGAACACCACGGGCAGGAATACGCCTGCGCTGGTCCTTTACCTGTCTCAGAACATCGATAGAACCATTATAATTAGCTTCCACCGGGACATGAAGTGGTGTCATTGTTGTGAACCAGCCAATGGTGTCAGATAGGTCCGTTTCGTTATCCGCAGCCTCGCGGCCATGCCCTTCGGTAAAGACGGCAGGGACAGGACGATCTGTAAAGACCGCCCGAAAAGAGAGGAAGAAGGCAGCTAGCAGGATCTCTATTGGTTCGGTATTAAGAGTGGCGTTGGCGGAGTCATATAGCAACGACGTCGTGTTAGAGTCTAACTTCGTCTGGAAGCTAGCGAGGCTGCCCCATATATTTTGACCGGGAGTAAGGCCCCAGTACTCCCAATTTGCTGTTGGTACCGCAACCGGCAACGTATCTGCCACGAAGGCTTCCGCTGGTGTACCGATCTCGCTCACGAACCTGCTCAATGATTGGTATTGCCGCTCCAACCACACAGGGAATGATAGGCTGCTCGGGTTTGGCAGTTTGCGATGCCTAAGGAGTTCTTCGAGGTCTCCTATGAGAATACGCCAGGATACGAGGTCGATAACAAGATGATGGGCGATCAGGTGGAGAACCTGCCTGTCCTGCAATTCGATCAGCGCAGCTGCAAACACTGGCCCGTCTTCGAGGTTGAGTGAGCCTTGGGACTGCGCAACAATATGCTGTATAGACTTCGCATCAGCGGCCCTATGCGAAGAGAGACGGTAAGACCCAGTAAGATCTCTCTCAATCCATTGCTGCCAGCCATGGTCCTGACTGTGCTGAAAGCGAGCGCGAAGCATAGCATGCTTCACAACAGCCGCATCCAGTGCCCATGCAAGTTCTGGTAGTTCTACCCGTTTTGTGATATGGAGCGAGACCCCTTGGTTGAAATGGTACTCTCCCTCAGTGCGTAATCCGTCGGATGCAATCTGGTCAAAGTACATTTGCTGAATGGGTGAGAGAGCGAAAAGTCCCTCTGGCACGCGTGATGCATCGCTTGTATCTTTGCTTGTCTGCGACTGGGCTGCCAGTTTGGGGATTGTCTGGCTCTCAAGAACCTTGCGGACTGTAATGAGGATGCCACGGGCCCGGCTAGCTGACACAACCTGCATTGCTGTGATAGAGTCTCCGCCGAGACTGAAAAACTTGGCCGAATATGTGACGTTGCAGAGCGGAACATTAAGCACTTCGCTCCATATCTCCCGTAACGATCGCTCGATGGCTGTGGCTGTGGCTGTTGCTAGTAGGTCATCATCTTTATTCTCCTCGGTGATACCCAGGGTAGCAATCTCGTCTGACGGTAATGATTGAATCCAGCGAGTAAGCGCCATCCGATCTGTCTTCCCTGACGCGTTAATCGGAGCAGCTGCTAAGGGGATCCAGATATTTGGCACCATATAGTGCATAACCTCCTGAGATAAGTCCCCCTGCGCCTTGTATAGTAGTTTTTGAGCACCCTCTTTATGATCTTCAGGAATGGGTTTGATAGCGGTATTCTGATGGCGGCTTGCTATTGAGGTCTCACTGAGGATGACAGCAGCAATAAGCTGGCCACTAAGAGGCCCCTGGCGCATATAAAGGACAACCGCATCATGGATGCCGGCCTGCTTCCCTATGTGGTACTCGATCTCGCCGACTTCTACGCGCTGACCACGGATCTTAACCTGCGCATCAATTCGGCCGAGATAAGTCAGGGAGCCGTTTGAATTCTGCCGTACTAGATCGCCGGTGCGGTACATCCGTCGGCCGGGAGTTAGGCCTAACTCTTCTATAAATGCTGGATCTTCGATGAAGGCAGCAGCAGTTTTGACGGGGTCGTTCAGATAGCCGCGAGCCAACAATGGACCTTCAATAAGCAGCTCGCCGGGCGCGCCGATGGGAACTAGTTGTCCGATGCTGGCCGGGTTAACAACCCACGTTCCACTGGCGATGGCCGTTCCAATATTCAGAGCCAATGAAGTGTCGGGGATCTTCTGACATGTCGAGTGTATACAGCATTCCGAGGGCCCATAAGCGTTGATGACGTTGGCGTGTCCTATCCATTGATCGACAACCTTCGCTTGGACAGCTTCACCCATCAAGATCATTGTTCGTACAGTCGGGGCGTCCTGCGGACGAACCAATGCTGCCACAGTCGATGTCAACGTGGCTACCGTCACATTGGCTTCAGATATATAAGCTGTGAGTCGATTCATGCGATCCTCTTCAGAAGGAAGACAGGTACAGGCCCCGAACACAAAAGCCGTGATAATCTCTTGGATAGCCGCATCAAATGTGAAAGCCGCAAACTGCAACAGACGGTCGTGAGACTGTATATCTAGTCTTCGACCGTGGAAGAAGATACTTGTCGCGAGGGGGCCATGCTGAAGCACAACGCCCTTGGGCTTGCCGGTGCTGCCAGAGGTGTAGATGACCCAGGCCACGTGATCGGGGCGGACGATTATGCAAGGCTCACCGGACGACTTTGTCGCCAGGGTTGATGGGGGGGACTCGAAGAAGGAGTCGACGGCAAGGAACTGGGCATGGACTCTTAGTGGCGCTAGACGTTGTTGGTGAACACGGTCAACCAGAACCAGCGGCGTGGCTGCATCCTGCATGATGCCCTCAATACGGGCCAGCGGCTGTTGCACTCCTAGAGGAACGACAGCGCCTCCGGCGCGGAGGATGGCCACCATAGCCACTGCTCCCAGCTTTGACTTATCCATGCACATGCCGACCATTACATCCGGACCGACACCCCGCTCTACCAGATGATATGCTAGCTGACGGCTCGCTTCATTCACCTCGCCATATGTCATCTCACCATCCCACGCGCTGATAGCTAGTTTTTCTGGCTGAACGGCCATCGTGTCAAGTACAAGGTCGTGAACACAGCGTTCGAGGCGTGTCGGCATAGTTGAATTCCATCTGCAAAGCTGTGCCCCATCTTCTGGAGATAGCATAGTAAGCTGACCGAGCGGCCTACTCGCGTTCTCGCAGATGGCGTAGACGGTTCGCACCATCCTCTGTGTGAGGTTTGTAGCTGCTGCATTTGAGAATACTGAAGTTGAAAACTGCATATCGATTGCAAGCTCAGTTGGTCCTGCGTCAATATTGATGTTCAAATCGTACTCCGTTGGGTCCTCCCAGGTCAGGCCTTCAAGAATAATTGATGATTGTCCAGAACCAGGTAAGGGTTGCCGCTTATATGACAATGTGGAATTGAACAATGGCTGGCCCCTTGAAAACCCAAGCTCGTGCTGGATAGAAGCCAACGATGTGCGCTGGTGTTCGAAAGCTTCAGCAAAATGACTCTGTAACTTGCGAGCTATGTCTGAAACTGTCGCAGTCCAATCCAACTGCGTGTGGCAAACAAGCATATTAATCATAGGACCAACTAGCTCTTCTACCCCCGGGATAGGCGCATCGCGGCCACTTGATAGATTCCCGAAGCTGATATTTTGGGATCCCATCTGGCTGGCAAGGACCAGCGTCCAGGCCAGCTGGCAAATGCTGGCAATTGAAACGCCATATGTATCCCGGAAGCGGTACAACGCAGTAAGGTCTTCAATTCGCATGAGCACCTTCTCAAATTTTCCCTCTTCGGAGTTATGTAGCGGATCTTGAGGCGTTAGGAGACACGGCTCAGCATGGCTTAGCGATTCTTTCCAGAACTGAAGGTCTTCCTGTGGCTGTATCCCTTCAAGGAATTCTATATAGGTACTGTAATGCGACCCACCGCCAGCCTGCAATGTACCCTCATAGGCGGTAATAAGGTCGCGGATAATCAGGCTCAGCGACGAGGCGTCAACTAGGGCATGGCTCACATCAAGTCGGCAGTAGACCTCGCCCGTGGCTGTCCTTAGTAGCATTAGACGATGGGGAGGGTGTCGAAGGTCTGAAACGTCAAGCATAGGCTGCGAGTCAAACCACTCAGCTACAGCTGTATCTGCAATCCCATTCTGCCTGAAGATTCCAATATCCGGTTGCCTCAAGACAATTTGGATGAACCTCTCCTGGCCTGGTAGCGGCTCAAGCAAAACAGTTCTGAGGATGGAATGCCGCATAACGACCTGACGCCATGCTCCAACAAGCCGGTCTACGCTGACAGAGTGGTTTGTAGGATCAGACGACTTAATGCGGCATGTGTGCTGGATGCAGTAGGTTGATGGTGATTGTAGCTGGGTAAGAAGAATGCCTTGCTGGATTGGTGAACAAGGGAGAACGTTTTCAATTTCAGTGAGTGAAGAGAGGCCAATAGAACTGAGGTATTGCCCCTCAATTAGTAGCATATCACTATCAGACAGGTGTGCGAGCGGAAAGTCTTTTGCTGTAGATATTCGTGCTGCGTTGGCCGGCTCTTGCGTAGAAACCTTCATACTGTTGCCAGAGGGTGTTTTTGTATCGTCTGCAGCTTCGATTCTCTGCGCTTGAGTTGCCAGTTTGGAGATTGTCTGGCTATCTAAAATGTTGCGTACAGTGACGAGAATGCCACGGGCCCGGCTAGCTGACACAACCTGCATTGCTGTGATAGAGTCTCCGCCGAGACTGAAAAACTTGGCCGAATATGTGACGTTGCAGAGCGGAACATTAAGCACTTCGCTCCATATCTCCCGTAACGATCGCTCGATGGCTGTGGCTGTGGCTGTTGCTAGTAGGTCATTATCTTTATTCTCCTCGGTGATACCCAGGGCAGCAATCTCGTCTGACGGTAATGATTGAATCCAGCGAGTAAGCGCCATCCGGTCTGTCTTCCCTGATGCATTGATTGGCGCAGCTGCTAAGGGGATCCAGATACTCGGCACCATATAGTGCATGACCTGTTGCGACAAGTCATGCTGAGCCTTGCGTAGTAGAATTTGAGCACTCTCCTTCTGGTCTTCAGGAATGTACGTAACACATGAGTTCTGATGGCGGCTTACTGCCAAGGTCTCAGTCTCGCTGAGGATGACAGCGGCAATAAGTTGACCAGTAAGTGGTCCTTGCCGCATATAAAGGACAACTGCATCATGGGTGCCGGCCTGCTTCCCTATATGATACTCAATCTCGCCGACTTCCACACGCTGGCCACGGATTTTGACCTGAGTGTCGCGTCGGCCGAGGTAGGTCAGCGACCCATCTAGGTTCTGCTGTACCAGATCGCCAGTTCGATACATCCGACGGCCGGGCCTCAGGCCTAGCGCCTCCACAAATGGAGGGTCCTTGATAAAAGCGGCGGCGGTCTTGACAGGGTCGTTGAGGTAACCCCGAGCTAGTTGGGGGCCTTCAATAAGCAGCTCACCCGGCGTGCCACGTGGAACTAGTTGTCCGATGCTGGCTGGGTTCACTACCCAGAATATGCTCGCTAGTGGCAACCCTATATTGCTTGCTTCTGATCTGTCCCTGATCTTGTTTCCTGTGGTGTGTATACAGCATTCCGAGGGCCCGTAAGCATTGATAATAGTGGAATGTTTAACCCACTGATCAACGACTCTAGGTTGTACAGGTTCGCCCATCAAAAGTAGGGTATGTATGCTCGTGTCTTGTGGCCGGATTAACGCGGCTACTGTTGATGTCAAAGTAGCGATAGTAACATTCGCTTCTGATAGGAACGACGAGAGCCGGTTCATCCGATCGTCTTCTGACGGAATACAGATGCATGCCCCTAGACAAAGAGTTGTTATAATCTCCTGGATAGCAACATCGAAGGTGTATGCTGCGAACTGTGACAGCCGATCATGCGGCTGAATATCGAATGCGCGTCCATGAGCGAGGATACTAGTTGCAAGAGCGCCGTGTTCAAGTACAACGCCCTTAGGCGTTCCAGTGCTACCGGAGGTGAAGATAACCCAGGCCACATTGTCGGGCCGCACCGATACGCAGGGCTCAGTAGACGCTATTAGGGGCAAGGGGCCTGTGTCGAAGAAGGAGTCCACGGCAAGTAACTGCGTATGCGCCGCCAGCTCCGACAGCCGCTCCTTGTGAGCACGATCTACTAGCACAATCGGCGCTGCAATGTCCCGGACAATCCCCTCAATTCGAGCCACCGGATGCTGTACACCGAGAGGGACAACGGCACCACCAGCGCGAAGAATAGCCAGGATAGCCACCACTCCTAACCTCGATTTATCCATGCACATGCCGACCATGACCTCCGGGCCGATATTGTGCTGGAGCAAATAGTGGGCTAGCTGCCGGCTTGCGCTATCTAGCTCGCAGTATGTCATTTCTCCGTCCCACGCGCTGACAGCCACTGCGGACGGTTGCTCAACCATCTTATCATGGACTAGGTCATGAATGCAGCGGTCAACCTGGGATGGCACTATTGAGTTCCAATTGCATATCTGGGCGCCATCCTCCGCGGACAGCAATTGCAACTGTCCTAGCGACTGCTCTGTCTTTGCATTTTGTGCTAGCTGCCGCACAATGTGACCAAACTGGGTCAGCAGCCGTTGGGCATCATTAGACGGAAGTACTGCACTGTCGTAGCGTACGTCGACATCGACGTTCATCCCATGTCCTATCGTACACTCGACTGTAAGGGCGTAGGCGTCAAAAGAGTCCATAGATGTGGTTTCACGCTCTATATCCACATTGAGCATTGGTGTTGTTGACTCCCTTTCTCCGGCTGGCTGAACCACAAAGATGTGACCAGGATCAAATTCTGGCCCCAGCCCTGGAACTAGTCGCCGGATGTGCTGGAGCCCAGTATGTTCATACGGAATCATCTCAGCCGCCCGGTTGTATATATCAGCAAGGAAGCCTTTGACAGACTGTGCTGGCGAGGCTGATACATAGAATGGGACTGTAGTGACAGTTGGTGCTATAAGGTCCGTGATCCCATCAATCGGTGCCATACGACCAGAGAGGACCACATTTATAACTGCCTCAGCAAGCCCAGTATTTGTAGCGACAAGCAGGGCCCAAGCGGCGCGTAGGACCGTAGGTATAGCAGTTGCTGCCGTCAGAGGAACGCGGAGGTGTTGCTGGAGTGCATCTCTTGGGTTGACGTTGCTCTGCGGGGATGGCAAGGCTGGATAACGAGCCCAATTGGCGCCTTCAAGGTGTCCCCTCCAGAATTTTGCTACGTCTTCCTTCTCCTGCAGGGCCAGGTAGCCGACAAATCGTGATACAGGCACTGTGACCGGCGGAGCCTCTCCTTTTAATAATCGGGTGAGAAATTCAATCGTCTTGGCCACGCTCCAGCCGTCATATATGCTGTGATGTGTTGTCCACACAAAGAACCGATTCGCGCTGTCCTCATTTGCCACAATTGCTGTACGACTGAGGGCGCCGCCGTATGTAATAGGGGTGGCTTTATCCGTTGCGAGATAGTCCTCAAGTGATTTCCAGTCCTGCCAGGCTGGCTGCGACCGTATTACAACCTGCAATGCATCAGCCCGTATTGAGGGGATGATGCGGGTTCGCAATATAGGCAGGGATTCAACTAGCCTCGTCCAGGCGGCTTTGAGTCGTTCGATTGAGAGGTTGGACTGCAGTCGGAAGATCCGCTGGATAACATAGGCCTCGGGACGTTGTGCGGTGATCGCCATAAGCCCAGCCTGTAACGGGCTACAGGGATAGACGTCTTCAATCTGGTCAATAGAAACGTTACATTGAACGGCAACATCCGCCAATAGTCGTGTCTCTGCCTCCACATCGTCGGCCTGGGCGAGTTCCGGCCACAAACTCAGTGGGGCCGGATCTTCACTATTCGCATGACCATTCTCGACTGCATATTTCTCTTCTATACCAGCTGCCATATCAGCCAGACGGGGCCAGCGGAAGATGTCAGCCACGGATAGGGGAATCTGTACGGCTCGGGCCGCCGCCGTCAACTTCATAGCAACGACTGAGTCTCCACCAAGCCGGAAAAAGGAGTCGTTCATCCCAACCGCCTCGGGCTCTAACGCGAGAGCCGTAGCCCAGAGGCTCTGCAACTTTTCTTCCAGAGTAGTAGTTGGTGTCTGCTTTGTGGTTGACGAGTAAGAAAAGCTGGTAAGCACCTCGCGGGATATGAGGCGCAGCTGCTCCCCCATAGCACGACGGTCTAGCTTGCCGGAGGTGTTAATCGGGATCTTCGACGTAAGTAAAAACACCGCTGGGACCATATATGCTGGTAAGACCTGGTTTAGATCGGTGTCCAATTTTTTAAGGGACTCGCGGGCAGCTTCCGTGATCTTTGCGGGGCTATACAGCTCCAGCTCTCCGCTGCTGGATGGTCCAACATCGGGATGTTCGACGACGGCTACCAACATCAATATGCCATCACAGGGCTCGCCGGCTGGCCGCACCACGTCAACGATAGCCTTACGTGCTTTTGGCAGCAGACGCACGATCTGGCTCTCGATCTCTCCAATTTCGACTCGCTGGCCGCGGATCTTGATTTGTGTATCGCGACGGCCAAGGTAGGTCAGCGACCCATCTAGGTTCTGCTGTACCAGATCGCCAGTTCGATACATCCGACGGCCGGGGCTCAGGCCCAACTCTTCGATAAATGCTGGATCTGTAATAAATGCGGCACCGGTCTTAGCCAGGTCATTCAGGTAGCCGCGGGCTAACTGCGGTCCTTCAATAAGTAGCTCGCCCGGCGCGCCGATTGGAACTAGTTTCATGCTAGCTGGGTTCACTACCCAGAATGTTGCAGCCAGCGGCTTGCCAACATTAAGTGCCTCTGATCTGGTCCAAATCTTGTTTCCTGTAGTGTGGATACAGCACTCGGATGGCCCGTAGGCGTTGATGATGTTAGCATGCTCAACCCATTGATCAACGACATTTGGTTGAATAGCTTCTCCCATCAATACTAGTGTTCGTATAGTCTGGATATTTTGTGGCTGGAGTAGGGCGGCTACAGTTGATGTTAAGGTGGCAATGGTAATGCCAGCCTCTGACAGGAACGTTGTAAGCCGGTTGATACGGTCATCTTCCGAGGGGACGCAAATGCACGCCCCTAGACAAAGAGTTGTTATAATCTCCTGGATAGCAACATCGAAGGTGTATGCTGCGAACTGTGACAGCCGATCATGCGGCTGAATATCGAATGCGCGTCCATGAGCGAGGATACTAGTTGCAAGAGCGCCGTGTTCAAGTACAACGCCCTTAGGCGTTCCAGTGCTACCGGAGGTGAAGATAACCCAGGCCACATTGTCGGGCCGCACCGATACGCAGGGCTCAGTAGACGCTATTAGGGGCAAGGGGCCTGTGTCGAAGAAGGAGTTCACGGCAAGTAACTGCGTATGCACCGCCAGCTCCGACAGCCGCTCCTTGTGAGCACGATCTACTAGCACAATCGGCGCTGCAATGTCCCGGACAATCCCCTGAATACGCGACAATGGGTGCTGTACACCGAGAGGGACCACGGCGCCACCGGCGCGGAGAATAGCCAGGATAGCCACCACTCCCAACCTCGATTTATCCATACACATGCCGACCATCACCTCTGGGCCCACACAGTACTCCGCGGACAGATGTTGAGCCAGCTGACGGCTCGCTTCATCCAGCTCTCCGTACGTCATTTCGCCGTCCCACGCGCTCACGGCTGTTCTCTCTGGGTGGGCGGTCATCTCGTCTAACACTAAGTCATGAATGCAGCGCTCAATCCGTGGCGGAACCGTCGAGTTCCACTTGGACAACTGCACACTGTCCTCCAAGGACAGTAGTTGTAGCCGTCCGAGCGGCTGCTCAGTATCCGAATTAGCTGACAGTTGCTGCACAATGCGACTAAACTGGGCAAGAAGACGCTGTGCAGTATCAACGGCGACGACGTCACGATCGTACCGCAGCTCAACTGCGACATCGCTAACATCTGATCCCATAGTACACTCCACAGTCAGGGGATAGGCATCAAAGGAATCCATAGAAGTAACGTCATTCTCTAAGTCCATACCCATATTGAACATTGGTATTCCTGACTCGCTCTCCCCGGCTGGCTGGACCACAAAGATGTGGCCGGGGTCAAATTCTGGTCCAAGCCCAGGAACCATGCGGCGAATGTTATGGAGACCTGTATGTTCATATGGTATCATCTCAATGGACCGGTTCTGGATATCAGCAAGGAAGCTTTTCACAGACTGCTCCTGTGAGGCTGACACATAGAAGGGGACTGTAGTAACAGTTGGCGCTATAAGGTCCGTAATGCCGTCTATCGGGGCCATGCGACCGGAGAGTACGACATTGACGACTGCATCATTGATCCCAGTATTGGTGGCAACAAGCAGGGCCCAGGCGGCGCGCAGTACTATAGGGAGTGTTGCGGCTTCTGACTTCAGAGGTACGTGGAGATTTTGCTGAAGTGTGTCCCTTGGGTTGACATGTTGCTGCGGGGATGGTAAAGCTGGATAACGAACCCAGTTAGCGCTTTTTAGGTGCTTTTGCCAGAATGAGGCCGCTTTCTCCTCTTTTTGCATGGTCAGGTAAGCAATGAATCGTGATACCGGGACCGGAACGGGCGGAGCTGCGCCTTGCAATAGCCGGGCCAACAATTCCATTAATTTGGTCACACTCCAGCCGTCATAGACACTATGGTGTGTTGTCCAAACAAAGTAGCGGTCAGGTCCATTGTGAACAATAGCGGTACGACTGAGCGTGCCCCCATAGGTGATTGGGTTGGCTCGGTCTGTTGCGAGATAGTCGTCGAGCGACGTCCCATGGTGCCAAACGAGCTCCTTCCGCAATACAACCTGAAGCGCATTGCAAAGGGCTGAAGAAATGATGCGTGTTCGCAAGATAGGAAGGCTTTCGGCCAGTTGCGTCCAGGCAGCTTTGAGCTGTTGAATAGACAGGTTGGCCTGTAGTCGGAAAACGCGTTGAACGACGTAGGCCTTGGGACGCTGTGCAGTGATTGCCATAAGACCGGCCTGGAGGGGACTGCAGGGGTAAATATCCTCGATCAGGTCAGTTGTGACGATGCACTGCATCGCAACATCTGCCAACAATCGTTTTCGCTCGTCTTCCATATCGGGGTCGATCCGAGCGAGTTCAGGCCACAGACTGAACCGAGCTGGATCTTTGTCGGTGAAGCCATAGTCCTCGTTCTTGTTTTCTATAGCTTCCGCTAGATTTACAAGACGGGGCCAGCGGAATATGTCGGCCACAGAAAGGGGAATCTGCTTTGCCCGGGCAACCGCCGTCAGCTTCATGGCCACTACCGAATCACCACCAAGCCGGAAGAAGGAATCATTGATGCCCACTGCATCAGGGGAAAGGGATAAGGCCTCGGCCCAGAGGCTGTGCAGCTTTTCCTCCATAGGAGTATTTGGAGCTTGCTTTGCCATTGTAGAATAGGAAAAGCTACTTAGCGCCTCGCGGGACATCCGGCGCAGCCGTTCCCGAACGAACTGGCGGTCCAGCTTGCCAGAATTGTTCACTGGGATCTTTGGAGTAAGGAGGTACGCCGTGGGTACCATATATGTTGGAAGCACTTGACCGAGCTCGATTTCCAACCCCTGGAGGCCATTACGGGTCGCATCGGTGATGTGTGAATCGTCAGACAAGTCCAACTCTCCACTGCTGGATAATCCAGCCCTAGGGTATTCGATGACGGCGACCAACATCAGAACTCCATCATGTGCCTCGCCAGCCGGTTGCACCACATCGACGATCGCTTTAGAAGCATCTGGAAGCAAATGCACGATCTGGCTCTCGATCTCTCCAATTTCGACTCGTTGGCCGCGGATCTTGACCTGAGTGTCGCGGCGACCAAGATATATAACCGAGCCGTCTGCATTCTGCTGCACCATATCACCAGTGCGGTACATCCGTCGGCCATTTAGGCCCATATCTTCCGTAAATGCCGGGTTGTTGATAAAGGCAGCAGCAGTCTTGACAGGGTCGTTCAAGTAACCTCGTGCCAACTGTGGCCCTTCAATAAGCAGCTCGCCCGGCGCACCGATTGGAACCAATTGTCCAATATTGGCCGGATTAACTACCCAGAAAATACCCGCAAGCGGCTTCCCTACATTAGGTGCCTGTGATCTTTTCTGGATCTTGTTTCCCGTGGTATGAATACAGCATTCCGAGGGCCCATAAGCATTGATAATGTCGGTATGATCAATCCATTGATCAACAACCTTTCTTTGAACAGGTTCACCCATCAACACTAACGTTCGTAGGCTTGGGGTATTTTCTGGCCGGACCAAACAAGCCACTGTTGATGTCAAAGTGGCGATAGTGACATTGGCGTCTGAAAGGAATGGCATGAGCCGGTTCATACGATCGTCCTCTGAAGGAATACAAATACAGGCCCCAAAAGCAAGAGTTGTCATAATCTCCTGGATAGCAACATCGAAGGTATAGGCTGAGAATTGTGACAGCCGGTCATGGGGCTGGATATCGAATGCGCGACCATGGGCGAGGATACTTGTTGCAAGAGCCTGGTGTTCAAGAAGAACACCCTTAGGTATGCCGGTGCTGCCTGAGGTATAGATGACCCAGGCCATGTTCTCAGGCCGCACGGTTATGCAGGGCTCTCCCGATGGTGTCGGGGTCGACGTGGCCACACCGAAGAAAGAGTCCACTGCAAGTAGCTGTGTATGCTCCGTCAGCGTCGCCAGCTGCCCCAGCCGCTGTTCTTGACCACGGTCAACCAGTATGAGCCGCGTGGCAGTATCTTTGACGATGCCCTCAATGCGGGCTAGAGGATGTTGTACACCGAGGGGGACGACAGCGCCACCGGCACGGAGGATGGCTAGCATAGCCACCACTCCTAACTTCGATTTATCCATGCACATGCCAACCATCGTCTCCGGACCGACACCTCGTTCTACCAGATGATAACCCAGACGGCGGCTGGAATCATCTAGCTCCCTGTATGTTATCTCTCCATCCCACGCGCTGATAGCCACTGCGGACGGCTGGTCTACCATCTTGTCCAGCACCATATCATGAATACAGCGCTCTACCCGTGGGGGTACCGTTGAGTTCCATCTGCTCAACTGCACGACATCCTCTCTCGATAGTAGTTGCAGCTGTCCTAGGGGCTGTTCGGTCTCAGCATTTTGTACTAGCTGGTGGACAATATGGTCAAACTGTGCTAGTAGGCGATGCGCATGGTCAACCGGGAGGACTTCGCGGTCGTAGCGTAATTCGACCCTGACTGCATTTCTCCCCACTGCCATCGTGCACTCGATTGTGAGTGAATATGCGTCAAAGGCATTGGCAGAGCTTTCTGTATGTTTTCTCTGCATATGAGACATCGGTAAGGCTGATTCGCTCTCCTCGGCAGGCTGAAAAACAAAGCTGTGACCTGGGTCGAACTCCGGTCCCAGGCTAGACACCATGCGTCTAATGTTCTGGAGACCAGTGTGTTCATAGGGGATCATTTCGGTTGCCCGCTTATGTACGGTGGTAAGGAACTCCCGCACAGACTGAGTTGGCGATGCGGAAATGCGGAAGGGAACCGAAGTGACAGTCGGCGCCACCAGACCAGTAATGCCCTCAACGGCTGCCATACGGCCGGATAGAACAACGCTGATAACTGATTCATTGGAGCCGGTATTGGCGGCTACCAGGAGCCCCCAGGCGGCTCGCAACAGCGTCGCCGTTGTCCGATCACCTGGACTGTTGGGAATTTCGACCTGTCGCTGAATCACATCTCTCGGGTTGACGACTTGCTGCGGAGAGGACAAGGCTGGATATTGAGCCCAATTGGCGCCTTCAAGCTGCCGCTGCCAGAATTCCGCCGCCTGTTCCTTGTCCTGCCGGGCCAAGTAGGCAATAAATCGAGAGACGGGCACCGACGCCGAAGGAGCCTCATCTCTTAGCAGCTGTGCCAGGAGTTTTGACATTTCCATTAAGCTCCATCCGTCAAAAACGCTGTGATGTGTCGTCCAGACAAAGTATCGACAATCTCCGTTCGCCAATATCGCCGCACGACTGAGTGAGCCACCGTACGTGATAGGCGTAGTTCTATCCGCTTCGATATACTCCTGGAGTGACATCCAGCTCTGCCAGGTCGGCTGCTCCTTGACCACAACTTGTAGCGCGTCGGCATATGCGGAAGGGATGATGCGTGTCCGTAATATAGGCAGAGCTTCCACCAATCTCGCCCAGGCTGCCTTCAGCTTCTGAATGAGCAGGTCGGCCTCTAGGCTGAATACACGCTGGACAACGTAGGCCTCGGGACGTTGTGCCGTAATCGCCATCAATCCGGCCTGCAACGGGCTACATGGATAGACATCCTCAATATCGTTAATGGATACGCCACAATACGCAGCAACATCGGTCAGCAGTCGTACTCGCTCGACTCTAGAATTATCGGTGTGGACAAGTTCTGGCCAGAGACTTAGCGGAGCTGGATCTTCGTCCGCCGCGCCGTTGTCTTCGACATGTTTCTCTTCCATAGCGGCTGCTATGTCTGCCAGCCGTGGCCATTGGAAGATGTCAGCCACGGATAGGGGGATATTTTCGGCTCGGGCCGCGGCCGTTAACTTCATAGCCAGCACCGAGTCTCCACCAAGGCGGAAGAAGGAGTCGTTGAGCCCAACCGATTTGGGGTCCAGTACGAGAGCCGTGGCCCATAGGCTTTGTAGCTTCTGTTCCATAGCAGTGGTCGGCGCCTGCTTTGAGCCTGCCGAGCAGGAGAAGCTGCTCAGCGACTCGCGGGACATCGAGCGCAGCTGATACCGCACGGCGCGGCGGTCCAGCTTGCCAGACGCGTTGATCGGGATACTGGGAGCTAATAGGAACACCGCGGGGACCATGTAAGCCGGCATCATCTGCCCGAGGTCGGCTTCCAATTTTGCAACGTCCTTACGTGCAGCTTCGGTAATCTGTGCGCCATCGTATAGCTTCAACGGTCCGAGGCTGCTCGGGGTAGGCCCAGCCTCAGCATACTCGATGACAGCCACGAGCATGACTGGTGCGTCAAGTGCCTCACCGGCGGGACACACCACATCCACCATGGCTTCATGTCCAGGCGGGAGCAGGAGATTGATCTGGCTCTCTATCTCACCGATTTCCACCCGCTGGCCACGGATCTTGACCTGCGTGTCCATTCGGCCGACGTACGAAAAGGAGCCGTCCGCATTCTGCTGCACGATGTCTCCTGTGCGGTACATTCGTCGGCCAGGGCTGAGACCCAGCCCCTGTATAAACGCTGGATCTTTAATGAAAGCGGCGTCGGTCTTGTCGGGGTCATTCAGGTAACCGCGTGCCAGCAATGGTCCTTCAACCAGAAGCTCGCCCCTCACACCAATAGGACAGAGACAGTTGTGGTTTCCGGGATATACAACCCAGAAGGCCCCTGCTAGAGCCTTTCCAAAATTCTTGACATCCTTGGTTCCACTCACGATCCTGGCCGCACACACAATGGCGCATTCGGATGGACCATATGAGTTCATAAGTTGGACACTGCTACTCCATTTGTCGACAAGCTGCGGCTCTATTGCTTCACCACCGAGAGCGAGTTTTGTGAGAGCCGGCACCTGATCAGGGGAGAGTAACTTGAGGGTTGTTGGCGTCAATTCGACGTAATTCGCATTGGCTTTTTGAAAACAACCAGCCAAATCATTCATACGGTCTTCCTCAGACATGAGACACACACAGCCACCACTGACCAGGGTGCAGAAAATGTCGGTAATGCAAACATCGAAGGTAAATGCCGCAAATTGGAGAGTCCGAGATTCCGTTGACAGTGAGAGGAATCGAGCATTAGCCAGCACTGATGTAGCGAGTGCAGCATGTTCAAGGACAACGCCTTTAGGCTGACCAGAACTTCCAGAAGTGTACAGTATCCAGGCAACATTCTCAGCTGTGACTGTGGCACACGCATCATATGCCGTAACAGGGAGTGAGTCATGGAGGGTGGCATCGACGGTGATGGTGGCTGGTATTGCAGAGCCTAGTCGCCCTTTTTGTGATGGGTCAACCAGGACTAGCCGCATAGCCGAGTCTTTAACAATTCGTTCAATGCGCGACGGAGGATATTGCACTCCAAGAGGAACGACAGCGCCACCGGCGCGGAGGATGGCTAACATGGCGACCACCGCCCACTTGGATTTGTTCATGCACAGGCCGACCATCACCTCCGGGCCTACGCCTCTATCAGCCAAGTGGCAGGCCAGCCGGCGGCTGGATTCGTCCAAATCGCCGTACGTCATCTCTCCGTCCCAAGCGCTGATAGCCACCGCAGAAGGCCGGTCAAGCACGTGTTCACGCACAAGGTCGTGGAGGCAGCGTTCGATGCGTGTAGGTACGACAGAGTTCCACTGTCTCAACTGCAGCATGTCCTTCTCGGGTAACAGTTTGAGAACCCCGAGCGGCAGCTCTAAATCCGCATGGCGTGTTAGCTGCTCAGCAATGTGGCTGAATTGAGCAAGCAGGCGTTGCGCAGCATCAACCGGCACAACTTCGCGGTCAAAGGACAGCTCAACTGTAACCTCACTTGTCCCGCCCACGGTGCATTCGATGTTCAGCGCGTAGGCATCAAACGCGTCCATAACAGTAGCTTCATCATCGGCGTCCATACCTATATCGAACATCGGTCTTGCTGATTCGCTCTCTCCGGCTGGCTGAACTAGAAAGATGTGGCCGGGGTCGAATTCTGGCCCAAGGTCAGGGCTCATGCGCCGGATGTTTTGAAGACCAGTGTGCTCATATGGGATCATCTCAGTAGCGTCTTTCTGTATATCGGAAAGGAAACCCCGTACAGTCTGTTCCCTCCTAGCGGATACGCGGAAGGGCACGGAGGTGATAGTCGGGGCTACCAGGTCTGTAATACCGTCAAAGGCTGCCATGCGACCAGAGAGCACGACATTGATGACTGCTTCCTCGGCGCCGGTGTTGACGGCGACCAGGAGGCCCCACGTGGCACGCAACACCGTAGACATTGTCGCAGCTCCCGACATTAGAGAGATGTGCAACTGGCAGGTTAGTTTATCGCGAGGGTTAACTTTGTGTTGCCCGGATGGCAAGGCCGGATAGCACGTCCAGTTAACACCTTGAAGGTGTTCCTTCCAAAATGCCACCTTATGCTCCTCATCCTGACGAGCCAGATAAGCGATGAACCGTGATACTGGCACCGGGGAAGATGGCAGCGCCTCAAACCTCAGGAGCTGCCCAAGCATGTCTATCATTTTCGACTTGCTCCACCCATCATAGATACTGTGATGTGACGTCCACACGAAGGTGCGGCTCTCATTGTCTTCGCTCTCTATGATGGCGGTGCGACTGAGCTCGCCGCCGTATGTAATAGCATTGGCTCTATCCATAGCAAGATAGTCTTCAAGCGATGCCCCGTGGTTCCAGATTGGTTGTTCCATTACCACGACTTGTAGCGCGTCGGTGTGAATGGAGGGAACAATACGCGTCCGCAAGATAGGCAGGGCTTCAACCAGCTGGCTCCAGGCGACTTTGAGCCGTTCAGTTGAGAGGTTGGCATGCAGTTGGAAGACGCGCTGGATAACGTAGGCCTTGGGATGCTGAGCAGTAATTGCCATCAGCCCCGCTTGTAGCGGGCTGCATGGATAGACATCCTCAATTTGGTCAGGAGAAATACCACATTGTGCGGTAATATCTGCTAACAAGCGGTCTCGTTCTGCATCGGTATTGTCCGTTTGGGCGAGCTCTGGCCACAGACTAAACGGAAGAGGATCTGGTTCTATAGGGCTATTGCCTTCATGATGTTCTTCCAAAGCTGCTGCCATATCCTCGAGGCGGGGCAGGCGGAAGACATCGGCCACGGAGAGGGGAATATTCTCAGCGCGGGCCGCCGCCGCCAACTTCATTGCCACCACCGAATCTCCACCAAGACGGAAAAAGGAGTCGTTGATGCCTACTGCATCAGGTGAAAGTGATAAAGCCACGGCCCAGAGGCTCTGCAGCTTTTGTTCCGTAGCAGTTTTTGGGGCCTGCTTTGTGATGGTAGAGCAGGAATAGCTGCTTATCGACTCGCGGGACATCATGCGCATCTCTTTCCGTACAGTACGGCGATCCAACTTGCCAGAAATATTTATTGGCAAATTTGGAGCAAGCAAAAATGCTGAGGGCACCATGTATGACGGTAGAACCTGCGCGAGGTCGACGTATAATTTCTCGATGGCCTTATATGCGGCTTCAGTGATCATTGCGGGATTGTATAGATCCAGCGCTCCGCAACTACTCATGGCAGGGCCAGCCTTAGCATACTCGACGATAGCCACCAACATCAATATGCCGTCATGAGCCTCGCCGGCTGGTCGAATCACATCGACAATAGCCTTGCGTGAGTCTGGAAGTAAATGCACAATTTGGCTCTCTATCTCTCCAATCTCGATTCGTTGGCCGCGGATCTTGACTTGTGTATCTCGTCGTCCGACGTATGTTAGGGACCCGTCGGGATTTTGCCGTACTAAGTCGCCGGTGCGGTATATCCGCCGGTCGAGACCTAGGCCCAACTGTTTGGTAAATGCTGGATCTTTGATAAATGCGACACCGGTCTTAGCAGGGTCATTGAGGTAGCCTCGTGCCAATTGCGGTCCTTCAATAAGTAGCTCGCCCGGCGCGCCGATTGGGACAAGCTGTCCGACGCTGGCCGGATTAACTACCCAAAAGACGCTAGCAAGGGCCTTTCCAATATTAAGGGCCTCTGACCTATGCCGGATCTCGTTTCCCGTGGTGTGTATACAGCACTCAGATGGCCCATAGGCATTGATAACAGTGGCATGTCCAACCCACAGGTCAACAACCTTGGGCTGCACAGCTTCGCCCATCAAAACTAGCGCTCGTACACTGGGGACGTCGTGTGGCTGAACCAAGGCAGCTACTGTTGATGTGAAGGTGATAATACTGACATTGGTTTCTGATAGGAAGGGTGTAAGTCGGTTCACACGATCTTCTTCTGAAGGAATACAGATACACGCCCCAAGAGACAGAGTTGTCATGATCTCCTGTATAGCGACATCGAAAGTATATGCCGCAAATTGTGACAGCCGGTCATGGGGCTGGATATCGAATGCGCGACCGTGGGCAAAGATGCTAGTTGCAAGGGCGCCGTGTTCAAGTACAACTCCCTTGGGCGTGCCAGTGCTTCCAGAAGTATAGATGACCCACGCCACATTCTCTGGCCGTACAGCCGTGAACGGCCCATTGGACGTTACTGTTAGGGTCGATGGAGCCGTGTCGAAGAAACAGTCGACGGGAAGCAGCTGCGTGTGGGACGATAGCGTAGCTAAACGTTGTTCTTGGCCGCAGTCAACCAGTACGATCGGCATGGCTGTGTCTTTCACGATGCCCTCGATACGAGCTAGTGGATGCTGCACCCCAAGAGGCACCACGGCGCCACCGGCGCGGAGGATAGCCAGCATGGCCACCACTCCTAACTTCGACTTATCCATGCAAAGCCCAACCATCACCTCAGGGCCTACACCGCAGCCGGCCAGGTGCTGAGCTAGCTGAAGGCTTGCAATATCCAGCTCGCTATATGTCATCTCGCCGTCCCACGAGCTGATAGCCGGCGCTGCCGGTTGGGCGGCCATCTGGTCCTGCACCAGTTCATGGATGCATCGATCAACCTTTGGTGGTACACTTGAGTTCCACTGGGACAACTGAACAGCATCCTCCGCAGATAGGATTTGCATCTGTCCAAGCAACTGCTCAGCCTCGGCATTGCCTGCTAGCTGCTGCACGATGTGGGCGAACTGGGCAAGAAGACGCTGCGCAGCATCAACGGGGAGGACTTCGCGATCATACCGCATCTCAACCCCGACACCACTGCTCAACTGGCCCACCGTACATTCAATATTGAGTGGATGGGAGTAAAACGCGTCTGCAGTGGTAAGTTCCCTCCTGAATAGCCTGTTCTGCATTGGTGGCGACGACTCGCTTTCTTCGGCCAGTTGGACGACAAACATATGGCCAGGGTCGAATTCTGGGCCAAGGCCAGGAACCATACGACGAATATTCTGAAGACCAGTATGCTCGAATGGGATCATCTGAGTGGTTTGCTCCTGTATAGCACCAAGGAAACCACGCACGGTCTGTTCTCTCCAAGCAGATACACGGAAAGGTACCGACGTGATAGTCGGCGCTATGATATCTGTGATGCCATTGATGGGGGCCATGCGGCCGGAGAGCACGACGTTGATAATAGCTTCATCGGCGCCAATGTGAGCCGCCACGAGGAGGGCCCAGGCGGCGCGCAGCAGTGTCGGGGTCGTTACAGCACCTGCTGTCCGTGGAATGCTGATCTGGCAATTCAGCAGGTCGTGGGGCACGACCTTCTGGTGTAGGGACGGCAACGCCGGGTAACGAGCCCAGTTGGCGCCTTCCAGGTGGTTCTTCCAGAATGTTGCCGTCTGTTGCTTATCCTGCTGGGACAAATAGGCGATGAAGCGCGACACAGGCACTGGGGCTGAAACAGCTTCACCTCGCAATAGCTGCACAAGCATTTCCATTATCTTAGCCATGCTCCAGCCGTCGTAAATGCTGTGGTGTGTCGTCCACACGAAAAATCGATTCGTCCTATCTTCGCTCCCGACAATAGAAGTACGACTTAAAACGCCGCCGTATGTAATAGGGGTAGCTTTATCTGCAGCAAGATAGTCCTCGAGTGACACCGAATCCTGCCAGATCGGCTGCTCCCCCCGGACCACCACTTGTAATGCGTCAACTTGTACTGAGGGGATAATACGCGTGCGTAGAATAGGCAGGTCTTCCACCAGCCTTGTCCAGGCTGCCTTCAGCTTCTGAGTAGAAATGTCGGCCTGCAGACTGAATACACGCTGAATAATATAGGCCTGAGGATGCTGTGCGGTAATTGCCATCAGTCCGGCCTGCAATGGGCTACATGGATAGACGTCTTCAATCTGGCTAGTGGTTATGGCACACTGCGCGGCAACATCTGCCAATAGTCGTGCCCGGTCTGTATCCGCAATACCAGCCTGGGCGAGCTCAGGCCATAAGCTCAGCGGGGCAGGATCTTCGTGTGCCAAGTTATTTGTTGCATGTCCATTAGTGAGGCCGTATTTCTCTTCCATAACGGCTGCTATATCCACCAGATGCGGCCATTGGAAGATGTCAGCCACGGATAGAGGAAGCTTCTCAGCGCGGGCTGCTGCTGTCAGCTTCATAGCTACCACCGAGTCTCCTCCAAGACGGAAGAAGGACTCGTTAATTCCTACTTGGTCAGGGGAAAGCGATAAAACTGCAGCCCACAAACGTTGCAGCCTATATTCCATAGCAGTAGTTGGAGCCTGCTTTGTGATTGTCGAATAGGAAAAGCTGTTTAGCGCCTCGCGGGACATGAGGCGCAACTGGTCTTGCACGGTGCGGCGGTCCAGCTTGCCCGATGTATTCATCGGAATATTCGGGGCAAGTAAAAATGCCGTAGGCATCATGTATACAGGTAAAACCTGCCCGAGCTCGGAATCCAATTTCTTGATAGCCTCTTGTGCGGTCTCAGTGATTGTCGCAGGATCATATAATTCCAGCTCTCCTCCACGACTAGACAATCCAGCCTCAGGATATTCGATAACGGCCACCAACATTAGTACTCCATCATGGGCCTCATCTGCCGGCCGGATAACATCGACAATAGCCTCGCGTGCATTAACGAGCAGACGAACAATCTGACTCTCAATCTCTCCAGTTTCCACCCGCTGACCCCGGATCTTGACCTGTGTGTCGCGACGGCCGAGGTATGCCAGGGAGCCGTCGGGATGCTGTTGTACCAAATCACCGGTACGGTACATCCGCCGGCCGGGGTTTAGACCCAGCTCCTCCACAAACGCTGGATCTGTCACAAACGCGGCTGCTGTCTTTCCCGGATCGTTGAGATACCCACGCGCCAACAGCGGGCCTTCGATTAAGAGCTCGCCTAGCGCGCCGACTGGAACCAGTTCCGTGATGTTCGCTGGGTTAACTACCCAGAGTCCGCCGGCAAGCGACGTTCCTATATTATTAGTCTCTGAACTATCCCGGACTTTCTTACCTGTTATCCATATAGAGCTCTCCGAGGGGCCGTAAGCATTCACAACAGTAGCCTGTTGTATCCATTGATCAACAACCTTTGGTAAGATGGCCTCGCCAGTCAAAATAAGCGTTCGGATTGTCGGTGTGTCTTGCGGCTGGACTAGCGCTGCTACGGTTGAGGTCAGGGTAGCCACAGTGACATTCGCTTTTGACAGGAAGGTAGTGAGGCGGGTTATGCGATCATGTTCGGATGGAACACAGATACAAGCGCCGATCGAGAGAGGCGTCATGATTTCTGCAATGGAAACATCAAAGGTGTATGCCGCAAACTGTGATAAGCGATCGTGGGGCTGGATACCGAATGCGCGCCCATGAGCAAGGATGCTAGTTGCAAGGGCGCCGTGTTCAAGCACAACTCCCTTGGGCGTTCCAGTGCTGCCGGAAGTGTACATCACCCAGGCCACGTTTTTTGGCCGTACGGATACGCAGGGCTCGGCGGACGGTTTCGGGGTTGCCGGGGTCGTATCGAAGAAAGAGTCAACCTCAAGAAGCTGCGTATGCGCCGCCAGCGCCGCCAGCCGCCGCTTGTGAGCGCGATCGACTAGCATTACCGGCGCGGAAGTGTCTTTCACGATGCGCTCAATACGCCCCAGTGGATGCTGCACCCCAAGAGGCACCACGGCGCCACCGGCGCGGAGAATTGCCAACATCGCCACTACTCCTATTTTCGACTTGTCCATGCACAAACCAACCATCACCTCTGGACCGACACCTCGTTCTACCAGATGGTAGGCCAGCCGGCGGCTCATCTCATCTAACTCGCCGTATGTCATCTTGCCATCCCAAGCGCTAATGGCCTGTGCCCTTGGCTGGGCCGCCATCTTGTCCCGGACAAGGTCGTGAACGCAGTGTTCCAGGCGTGGCGGTATGGCGGAATTCCACCTCGAAATCGCAAGGCGGTCTTCGATGCCATGGCTTGGAAAGTCGCGGATATACATGCTGCTTCCTCCTAACAAAAAGGCGACTGCGTCTTGGAACGCCGTCATCTGTGCCTTTGCAACCGGCCAGGCTACCCTAGAAGCCCAGTACTCGAGATTCAAGTCGATTCGTTCTTCACTGAATCTCACATTGGCTGATAGATCATACTATTATTTCATCAGTAAACTCAGTATTGACTCAGCAAAGGTAGAGCTCCTCACGTCTGTTGCGCTTGTCCTCGCGTCTAGCGTCATGGAGATTCCTTCTGTGAAAACATGTGTGTTTGTTGCTTCTCGCTCAATTGAGAGCAGCGTGTTTCCGAGCCGCTTCAACGACCGCGTTTTTGCCACGGGCAGATCGGATATGGGAATATTCTGAAACGGTAGGCCGTCTTGCCAGTCTCGTTTCGCCGAAGACAGTGCATCGGCCGCCCTGGTCTCCGGGGTCAATGTGAGACAGCATGGTAATGTGTTAAGGAAGGGCCCCACAGTGCCGTCGGCGCCCTCGAGATCGCAGTTACGCCCGGATACTATGTATGAGAACGTGATGATATCTGATAGGATGATGCGTCGAATGGCAAGTGCCCAGGCGATTTGGAACAGGTTGGCCGGAGTAATCATCATCTGACTGCAGACAGCGCGAAGCTTCCCGGCCGGTAGTGGCATAGAACAACGGGCTGTCTCCAGGTGATGCAGTTGAGGATTACTTGCGATAAGAGGCAAATGAGACTCGCTGGCGTTGATTAGGTAGGATGTCCAGTACTCAACACCTGCAGAAGCATTCTTTGCGTTCAAGGCAGCTTGCTGGTGAGATGCAAAACTCGTATATGGAAGGGCGTTCTCCGAGAAGTACGCAGCCCGTAGGTAGCTGGCACGAAGATCGTGCAACAAGATTCTACCAGAGTGTCCATCCACCAAGGCATGCGAAATTTCCAGGTCAAGTCGAAGCTCATTGACGCTGACCCCATACACACAAAGACGCAGCGGAGTTTCAAACTTGCGCATAGTAAAGGGTGGGACGGCATGAACATCCCTTGTTGAAGAGCATACTATAACACTGGGTGGAATAGTGTTGGGCTTGAGGACAAGTTGGTCAAATTTGCCAGGTCGGTCATTGCTCTCGATAAATGTCGTCCTGAGGATTGCATGGCGTTTGACAATGTCTCTCCATGCATCGACAACCCTCTCCGTTGCAGGTCGGCGACCATCGGCAGAGGTTGAAAGCAGCCTCATAGAAATATGGCTGATATAGGAAGTAGGGTTGATGGCCTGGCTGACAAAGAAGCCTTCCTGCACGGCGGAGCAAGGCGCAATAGATTCGATGTCGCTAATGGCTATACTGTGTGTCTTCAAGTCCGCGACCAAGTCGTCCAGCGCGGAATCTTGCCAATTGACAAGAGGAAAACCGTTGTCTCCATTTGCGTGGCCATTGACTCCATTTACGTGGCCATTGACTCCATTAACTGTTCCGGCATTCTTTCGGTCTATCTCTTCAGCGAGTGAACCCAAGGTCTCAGCCATCAACAGCTCTGTCATGTCCACGTGAATACCTGCATCGCGGCATTTGGCGATGAAATCGATTGCTAGGATAGAGTCACCACCGAGCAATATGAAAGACTTGTTCCAATCCAGCGAGTCGACGTCGATATTGATAACATGAGCTGCAGCTTTGCCAAGTGTGAGCTTTGATGGCTGAAAACGCGCTTTGACACTATCGGAGTTGTCCATGTTTGATGAGGGCGGTGGTATCAGTAACGAATTCGGACCACGCGATAATCTCCTGTCAAGCGTATCAAGGTCAAGGCGCGTCGTAGCCTCGTAGTAAAGCGAGATACCGATAGTAGAGATGGTTCTAGAGAGAGAGAAAAGAAAAATAACTTGAGATTTACCAGCGGGTATGTCTCACCTGGACCAAGTAGAAAGAGACGCTCGACTGCGAGGTTGACAGTGCTAACCATCCAATGGCAATGGCCAACTTCCCTGCATAAATTCAGTAAAATGGCGTTAACCACAAAGCACAGGCTTTGTTATCAACTTGTCAATAAACCCACCCCGATAAAACCCGGTGAAAGTACGCCTGCTTACTGCCGTATTCCGCCAGCCCCTGTTGATATTCATCCCCTTCGGTAGTCTGAATTTCACTTGTATGATCATTCTCAACTGAAGAAGATCCGGTCAATCACTTGCTCATTGTACCTCGTTGGAACCCGATCCAATATTCTAGCTACAGAATATGAAGGCTACATCCTACTGACTTCCCTGTCTCGTGAACGGACCAAGGACTTTCTAGGTATCCGGTGTCTTGTCAGCGGCAGTAGGCTTAGGAAACCCAATTTAATGCTTGCAGTGCCCTGGGGGTTCATTGAGATGTTCTAAAAAAAGCCCGGCCCCTGAACCACGCGGGAATGAGACAAGATACAAATGAAGCACTGATACTCACCTGCACTGCTATGGAGTACATGGACAGTTGGCCAACGATATTCTCCATGTTCCGCTAACCACCCTGCGGGTTATACGCCCAGCTTACTTCCCGCACTACATTAACTTACTGCATGCACCACAAGTTAAGAGTCAAGTCTCATCAACGCATCAACGCCAAAAATCATAATATTTTAGTTTCAATTGTAAGCCCAAAAATAAATTGGCCATGAGCCCAGTCAAAGACTCTGGAAAGAAGGGAAGAGATTGATGTGCTCTGCGGGGATTGCCGGCGGTGGGGTGCACCTGGACATAAGTGACTACGAGATTGGTGTAAATGTATGGGCGCTGGATGTACCACGTCCAAAACAGGTTTAAGTACACTGGAAATATCGTTGGTAGGATAGTTAATAACTAGTTACCGTTAGTTTAGCATTCCAGGAACACGGGGGGGATAACCGGGACAACTGGGGCCGCGGGTATTAATGTCAATAACGGGGCTGATACACGTCAATAACGGCAGGGTAAATAATTTCAAGCAGGCACCAGTGTATTACAAAGCTGAAGGGATTTAAAGCTGAAGCTTTAACCGTGAGAAGGCAATATTATTCGTTGTCGTAGACCGTAACTAGTTAAGTTAGCTGCAGCCTGACTATGCCAGGAGCGACAGTCATCAGTGTTGTTTGGACAATTTAGATTCGAGTGCGCTGTCGGTTAGGCTTCGTCAGATTTCACAGTCTTACCATTTCTCTTCAACACTTCCACTCCAAGCGCAGGTGGCCTCGTAACACCTCACGCTCTGCTTTCTGAACAGCCACGAAGATGCGCGGGGAGTGTGCACGCGTGGACGAAGATGTCTTTGGCCCCGTGGTTCAGGGCTGCCTGGATGACTTCGACTTCACGTTGCTGTTCCAGGAGACGATCCTATTCGTGCTCCCCGCCTCGTGTCTGCTACTGCTGGCACTCGCATGGCGGGCACCTGAGCTCATTCGCGCCAATGTCCTCGTACGCTCGTCTCTCCTAGGCCTCTTCAAGTCGGTAAGTTTTATGTTGCATCAAAGTGCAATTCTGGCAACCTCCGCCGCCGCCTACTCCCCTAAACTAAGGAGTTAATTCCGAAACTTACGACTCAGGCGACAGATCATTTACCCTCTTATTTTCATCTCACAAGTACTCTTCCTTGCCTTGGTCTGCAAGAATAATTCGGCCAACACGCGAGCCACGATCCCCGTTACCGCAATTGGGCTGCTCGCGATCGTCGTTATGGGCGCCCTGTCATACCTAGAACATCGCAGATCTCCTCGTCCCTCGTCACTCCTCACGTTGTATCTCCTTGCCGCTGCGCCGTTGAATGTGGCTCGCGCTCGTACTCTGTGGTACATGCCGAGTTCAAATGGCGTCGTTATAAGTTTTACTGTTACTGTGGTCCTGATGGTGATCGCTCTTGGACTAGAACTAGCACCAAAGGATGCGCTCATGCGGGAAGAGCTCGTCGAAAAACCTTCTCCTGAAGAGAGGCGCGGCATTGTGGAACGTTCGTTACTCACTTGGATTGTACCCATTTTTGTATATGGTTACCGGAACACGTTCACATCCGCGACGATGCCTTCGGTCGATCCCATATTAACTACGTGCAGACTAAAAGAGACTGCCATCAATGGTATAGATCTCCCCAGCATTTGGCAAATGGGCGTAACGGCAAGCTGAATATTCTGCCCAGATCTTGATCAACCACTGGTTTACAGTCTTGTCCAACTCCACTGGCGAGACCTGCTCAGTCCAATCCTCCCACGCGCCTGCTTTCTAGGCTTGACCCTAGCACAAGCCTTTCTTGTCGAGACGGCCACGGCGTCCGTCTCCAATCCTAAGGCTGCTCAACAGTCCCAGAACGCGCTGGTTGGTGCATATGTATTGGTCTACCTTGGCTTGGCAGTCAGTCGCTCCCTGCCGTTTATAGACCCAGAAGTCCGTCGTTCCTAACTCTGATTTTACAGGTAACATACGCTCTTTATCGCCAGAATTCCGTGCGGGCTGCCGTCGCCATGCGAGCCAGCCTAACAGATTTTGTATTCCAACGCCTTTCGCACCTAGACTCTGCGATCGAGCTCGCCGGCTCAGCTACGACCTTGGTGAGTGCAGACATTGAGCGTATTCAGTTCGGTTTTCGCGAAGTCCACGAAATCTGGGCCAGTCTCATTACTACCGCGATATCACTGTTCTTGATTGAGCGTTCCATTGGTATTGCCATGGTTACTGCGCTTGGTATCTCCATTGGTATTATGCTGACCCCGACTTGTGAGAAATGGTATGCTAATCTATAATGGGAGCAGTCTGCATGGCGGCTGTATTGCTTGTGTCGCTTGCCGGAAGCCAAGCTCAGAAACACTGGTTTGAAGCTACCGAGATCCGTGTCGCTCAGGTGGTGAAGATTCTGGCCGCGTTCAAGAGTATAAAGATGATGGGCTACACGGCTGGGCTCCTTAACAGTCTCACCGCCGCAAGGGTTCACGAGGTCCAACGTTCTCAGAGGTTTCGAGCATTCGTGATTGTGGTAGCCACGTTGGCACAAGCCGCCACCGCACTGGTCCCGGCTTTTGGATTCGCCACGTACGTGCTGCTGCACAACTCTGGCGACGACGAGGTCTTGAGTGCCAGTCTTGCCTTTGGGACATTGACGCTCTTCACCATCCTCACTTCGAGTATAGGGCAACTGATCGATTCAATATTTGGTACGGTGACAGCCGTAGGTTGCATTTCGCGCGTACAAGAAATGTGCACCAAACACTACAGGTTAGACCCTCGTCAAACAAACAGGTCGGCTGAGCCTCCGCACTCGAGCGTGGCCATGAATCACGCCAGCGCAAAGTACGATGAGGACGGTCATGACGTGATCCAGAAGGCCAGCTTCGAAGTCAAGCCCGGCATGATCGTTCGCGTTGTAGGCCCAATAGCATCGGGAAAATCCACGCTTCTGAAAATGATACTTGGCGAGGTGCGTTACTGCACGGGGGAGGTAGCTGTCGGTGACAACATTATCGGCTATTGCGATCAGAACCCCTGGTTGGATCATGTTAGCATCCGGGAAAACATTACTGGTCCCGCACCTTTCCACCCCGAACGATACGCCAACACGATTCGCATATGCGCGCTGGAGCCTGACCTGGAGAGCATCCCCGAGGGAGACGCCTGTCTTTGTTTTGGCAACGGGACCACTCTGAGCGGAGGCCAAAAGGCTCGCATTGTTCGTCATCATCTGCACCGCCGCATCGTGAAGCCTGCTAACAAACCTGTAGGGCTTGGCTCGTGCCATCTACGCATGCCCGCGAATCTTGGTCTTGGACGATTGTCTGAGCGGATTAGATGCTAATACGGAGCATCTTGTGCTTGAGAATCTCGTCGGCGCGCACGGCTTCATTCAGGAGCATTCCATCACCACTTTCTTGGTCTTGAGTTCACGTGCGTCCAGCGCTTGCTCGCCAGATTATCGTCGCCGCTGACCTGAAGATAGAGAAGCCTTTGCCTAGCAGCATCGCCACGCTTTCGCTTGGGCCTGAAGGACCCGTAATGACTGAAAATGCGTCGTACCAACAGCACGTCGCATCTCCATTGGCCCACGATTCGAACACTGTGCGTATAGCACGCTCCGGGGAGTTCAGTGAAGACAGCGACACAGAAGCGCGATTCTTGATAGAAGCGAATGGCCATCGCCTTGAAGGGTATCAGGAGTCAGGGGAACTCGCTCTCTACGTCATGTTCGTGAAGGTTGCTGGAAGAATCGGCTTGTTGGTATTCGTTTTCCTACTTGCCATTTTTGTAGTGGGAATTACCTACCCTCGTGAGTCGCCCCTTATCCGCGACGATGAAATTCGTTCAGGAAGCTGAGACATCGACATGGCAGAAATCTACCTGCAAACCTGGGTCACACAGACTCCGGCAGACCAGCACAGGAGTATTGGTACCCTTACGGGCCTCTACTTGGGTTTGAGCAGTCTGGCCTTGTGCGCATTCTCGGCAGCCTGCGTACAATTCACACTGAGAATTGCACCACGCATTTCCATCAAATTTCACGCGTCGCTAGCCAAAGCGCTGCTTTCGTAAGTAACGATCACGCCTCCTCACCGTCTACTTCGTCCACTGACAGCATCTACTGTAGTGCTCCCCTTTCCTTTCTCGCCACAACCGACAGAGGCTCGATAACCAACAGGTATTACCATCACGTATGTATCAAGTCATAAGATTGTGATCGCTGACGTATCCCTTGATCAGATTCGCTCAAGACCTTGCCATCATAGATCAAGAAGTTCCCTTGGCCTTTATCGGTACAGTTCTCATCTTCTTACAGCTGCTGGCTCAATGCGTAACTCTCATCATTGGGTCCCACTATTCGGGAATAGCTGTCCCCTTTCTGTTGGTAGTAGTGTATTGCATCCAGTCTGTGTATCTGCCGACGTCCTATCAATTACGGTTGCTGGATCTTGAGGCCAAAGCCCCCATTGTGTCACTGTTTGTTCGATCTGTCGAAGGCCTCGCGACGATCCGAGCTTTTGGGTGGTTGAGCCATACACAGATCCAGTCAAGGAGACATATTTTCGCATCTCAAGTGCCGTTCTACCTCCTAGCGACCGCGCAGAATATGCTCAGTCTTGTCCTCGACCTCGTGACTGCGGCACTTGCGATCATCGTCATCTCAATCTCGGTCGGAACGCACGAGGCGGGCCTTGGACTGGCACTGTTCAGCATAGTGGGATTGGGCACCTCTACGAAACTCTTGATTTCGCAATGGACGGAGTTGGAAACCTCCCTCGGTGCTATGAGGCGCATCAATAACTTTGCTGAAAACACCCCCTCCGAGGTCTCGTCCTATAGATGCACAACACCGCCCTACGACTGGCCGAGCAAAGGGACGGTAGAGTTCCGCGATGTTTCACTGGCGTACAGGTGAGTCTTGCGACCCTGGTGGCATCGGGACAGGCGGGGTATGAGCTGACGCATTTCAAATTGACAGTGATACAATGCCTCCTGCCATATCTAATCTAACCCTCAAGATCCAGCCAGGGTGGAAGGTTGGAATCTGCGGGCGCACTGGCAGGTATGGAAGCTGATCCCCGCTGTCGCTGACTCGTCTCATCCGTTATGCTAACAATAGCGCTCCAGTGGGAAAAGCACATTCATCTCGTCTATACTCGGTCTCGTCCACATACAGCAGGGTAGCATAATTATCGACGACAGGAACATCTCTGTCCTCGAACCAGACTCGCTACGTTCGAGCATAACTGTGGTCCCGCAAAATGCCGTGTTGCTACCCGTGGACGTGCGGACGAATCTTACTCTAGGTGCCGTAGGAGCTCCTAGCGACGAAAAGATTATCGCGATCCTCGAAGAGTATGGCCTGTACGAAAGGTTCCACGAGCGAGACGGCCTCGACACACTCGTCGTTGACGATCTACTTTCCCACGGAGAGAAGCAGATCTTCTGCATCGTGCGGGCACTCCTTCATAAGAGTCGCTTGGTTCTGCTGGACGAACCTACAAGCAGGTAAGCCCTAGTCCACTCAAGAACCATCGTTCCGCGCTTGAGGCAAGAGAACTAACCCCGCAATTGTATCCAGAGTCGATAGCAGCACTCAGCAAATTATCGACTCTGCCGTCCTGGGAGGCTTCGAGGGCTCGACAGTACTCTATGTGGCGCACCGTCTCGAGATCTTATCGCAGTTTGACCGCGTCATGGTGATGGACAAAGGCCAGATCGTCGAGTTTGGTGACCCTCGCGAGTTGCTGCAGAAACCCGACTCGCTCTTCGCCAGCACGTTCAGCAAAGCAAACTCACAGATCAGCAGCCCCAAATCGTGCTAAGAGCTACGTTGGTAAAGTAGACCTGACGAAGGCTCGATGAGGCTGCGCTCGACTTCTGACCGCTCATGATTTCAAGGATGTGGTGGGAAATCTTCGAGGACGAATGCCGCTTTGAGCGTGGAAAAGGTTCAATAATATATCCGCTCGCCGGGGCAATTTATAGACTAGACTCTGAGCGTTATTTATGTACTCGTCTACAATAATCACTTCGCCTGATAGACTGCGTCGGTTTGAAAATGTTCCAACATTTTTGTGAGGTCGATGAACAATGAATGAGACACGGATACTTGTGCCTACATTATGCCGATCCCTTTCCACATCTACCAAATCGCACCTCTCGCAGCCGCACAAACAGGTCTCTTCACCGGCTATCCGGAATCGCCATAGCTGCGTTGAATACTAATTGCTGCTGGGAGATAAAAGTCACGGTTTTTGAGTCTAACATATGGGCAACATCGCATTTACGACGTCCCAGAATCATCATCTTTTTTTTCTCTCTATTCCCTTTTGTCAATTGCCCTAGGTGCCATACATAGAAGGCACCACCCCCCGAACCTAGAATTCCGCATAGCTCCACCCAGAACTCAACCCCTGGGTCCGGGTTGAACTTCTCTAACTCCGGACCCAATCCGGACTCAATGCTGGGGCCCCAATAAAACCTATTGAGACCTAAATTGGCCCAACTTTTGCACAATTTTGATCAAAAAGCTGCTCAGTCATCAAAATAACATAACGTAATCGGTAAGCGAGTGACGCACCCACCTATTTTCTCGCGTCCACACGCGTCCTTCTATTTTCTACCGACCACCATGCCTCCAGACCGCGCTCAATTAGGCCGAAATTCTATAGAGCAAGAGGGCCGCATTTCATTAGCTATACAAGCTATTCAGAGAAAGGAAATTACGTCTATACGCGACACAGCGCGCCGATTTAATGTCCCTGAACCAACGCTTCGCCGTCGACTACGCGGGACTACAAACCGCGCTGAATCTCGCGCAAATAGCCATAAATTGACCCAAATTGAAGAGGAATCACTTAAGAAGTGGATATTATCTATGGATTCACGCGGAGCAGCCCCTTGGCCCGCTATGGTGCGAGAAATGGCGAATCTTTTACTTGCAAAGCGCGGTTCAACCCCAATCCAGACAGTCGGCGAAAAATGGGTCTATAACTATACCCATCGTCATTAAGAGCTAAAATCTCGCTTTTCACGTCGATACGACTATCAACGAGCAAAACAAGAGGATCCAAAGGTTATTCAAGGGTGGTTTGATACCGTACAAGCTACGGTTCAGCAATATAGTATCCTACCAGAGTATATCTACAACTTTAACGAGACTGGCTTCGCGATGGGCCTTACAGCGACCGCAAAGGTTATTACTCGAGCGGAATACTACGGTCGGCGATTAGTTTTACAGCCAAGAAATCGCGAGTGGGTGACTACAATTGAGTCAATTAGCGCTTCTGGGTGGGCGCTTCCGCCTATAATTATCTTCAAGGCCAAACTATACAATATAGCTTGGGCCGATGGCTTTCCATATAATTGGCGCGTATTGACTGATTTTCTTCAAGACTCAATGGGCTTTATTTTCAAGAATCGCCAGCTAACGGATAAGGCGCCTCTTCAGCTTTATTGTGCGACACTTATATTTGCCCCCCAAATATCAGTAATCCGTAGGGAGTTCAAAGCAGAGCTTCCTACTTCGATCTGACAGTTACCACAAGTTGAGGAAGGACGGAGCGCAGAATTACAGGCACTTGAGGGCCATTTAGATTGGGTTTTGTCGATGACCTTCTCGCCCAACGTCCGGCTCCTGGCGTCTGCTTCTCCTGATAAGCCTGTATGCCTCTGGGACGTGGGGACTGGCGCGCTGCATCAGACTCTCGAGGTTGATGGATTCATCAACCAGTTGAATTTGCTCAGGGTGGTTCATCTCTTATTACCAACTTGGGCGCGCTTGATGTTCAGTCCATGAGTGAAAATCATGCTTCTAGAGTAACCCATATGACCCCGGGGATCTTCATTGGGCAAGTGCAGTGGATAAAGCTGAACGGCAAACGAGTACTACGGCTTCCACCTGGCTCTCAGCCTAACTGTTCTGCGATTAACAGCAATTTACTAGCGCTAGGGCATCTATCAGAACGGGTTTCTTTTATAGGATTTCGTGTATAGCAGGCTTCAATGGTTTCAATTTTCATTTCTTCCTTATGCTCTAATCTCTTTGTAGAAGAGGGGCCTGGAAGAAGAATATAATTCACATAGCTCTACAGCGTTGGTGGAATGTGCTATTGAGTTCCACAAGTTTCCAAATCCCATACTGTAGTGTATTGCGTTATGGCTTGACACAGTTCCATGTCGCTCAGCTAGAGATTGGATCTAAAAGGTTCTCAGTAGTGTGTGTAATTGTAAGTTAAGGCTGAAATGGAGTACATGTTATACTGCAATAAATGCCACTCAACCTTTGGGCTAAAGTCTTGGCAGTGAGGCGAACCAAGACGAGAGTGTAAAACGTTAAAGCTGGTTTTGCACTTAGCTAACGCTCCTGGTTAAAATGCCAAATGGTGACATTTGCCCGGACGAGCGTTCCTGTATTTGCTCGGCCGTTGACGTTCAAGTGTCACGTTTTGCTTTCTAGACCTGACTGCGCCATCAACTTTTGCTTAAGTGACAATGTTCACATTATCTCTTGGTGTTCAAAGGTCAAATAAGCGCTATCTGGGGTAAACTTCAAATCCAGCATCGCAAGAATTCCACCAAAATTGGTATATTCTCAGGTTACATAATTTTGATGATATGAAACCAATATAAATAAGTAGTCAGTCGAAATGATGCAATATTGTCTTTCTGATCAATTTCAGACTTTTTTGTGGATGATCTTGGCGTGATGGTAGTAAACAGCACATTTCTACTAGTGTGTGTCGCCCCATAATCCGTCACTCTACCTTTCGTAATCTTTATTTGAAAAGAGGTTTCGAACAAGCAGTCAAATGATTGTTGTTTCCTACTAATCTCAGGCAATATTCAATATGTGGTTTGCGAGTGACCGTGCTCAAATTTGCAGGTACCCAGGGGGCGTTTCATCACCCATGGCATTTCATATCACCGGGATGGGGGTTAAGCTGCGACATGAGACGAGAAAAAATCAAACGGACATAAAACTCGTGAGTAGCTTCATTCCGAGGCCAAAATGACGCCGTTAGAGACTCGAATTTTGTACATAATCCATATGGGAGGATCGAAATTTTGGTGATTCATTAGGTAGTGTTTTGCATAGGGTAGCACTAGGAAGAGGCCCTGGCTAATGCGGTACAGTAAGATGTCCCCTGTCTGATCTTTATCAAGATATAAATTATGTATGCTATATAGGGAAGGTTAGTAACTAGATCATGCAAGTTCTGACTCGGAATTCGTCCTGGAGGCGTCTTGATCATCTTAGCCTTAGTCTCGTGTATGCACGGATGGTGCGAAGCTATTCCTCTAGGGATCGGTCGCTTACAGGTCTAACGTAAGCTCCAAAAAAGGGCTTCGGATTCTATAGAGGGAACATCCCCATAATAGTTTCTGCCCTATATCCATAATATATAAGCAAGAAGCGCACCTCAGACTTTTGTCTCGATCCACAGCCGTCCAGCAAGAACAACAGGGGAAACAAACAAAAGAAGCCCAGATCAACGAAGCCTATGTCTATCGCAAAACACATGGAGCTAGTAAGTCTGAAGGTCTGTCGACTCGTCAGACTAGGCTAACGAAAGAAATCTTGCAGCCAACGTACGCAGTTCCAAAATCCTTGCTGTCACCGCAGCCGGCGACTCCATCACGCGACGGTCACTCGTTACGAAGGTCGTTAAGCGAGATTGATGGTCTAGACTGTTATAGCAGAACGACAGGCAAGAGAAGATGGACGAGTGCTGGGTCTACATCGCTGAAGTCCGTCGCGGGACGCACCGAGCTCGTAGGTCTCCGAATCTGTCTGCTCGTCAACGAAACTTAATATATTTCATTCTGCAGCCACAGTATACAGTTCCAGAACCTTTGCTGTCACCGCTGTCGCACGCCAACATTATGTTACGAGCACCAATAAATGGAAACGATGGGCCGGATCGTCACAACATCCCTACCACGATTTCACATTCGGAGCTTAGCATAGGTCTGCACTCGCGATCAAAAACGGGGGGTCTTGCGCTCGATGCGGAACACGAGGCCCAGAATCACTCTCCTTTCTCGACCTCTATGAATGCCAAACAATCAGAGGAGCTGTTGCCCACTGAGCCGCACTCGTGCCAATCCTTGGACGAGAGCCCGGACCTCGCATTCCCGTTTCAAACAACAACGAAGAATCTCGGCATGAAGTATGATTGCTTCTTAGGTGAGTAAGTGGCAACTCACTCTTGAGATGTTCCCACTGACGTATCAGAAATGTCCAACAAGAATTTCTTTCCGACCCCATCCATGACAGACCCATGGGAAGAAGCACCGACATCAATTCCGTCGTGGAATTCGGCGACGAGACAACCTATTCTGTTGGATGAAGCTATGCCTGCGGCCGGGCAGGATGAAGCAGCACCCGAAAGGTACGAACCCGGGTCAGACCGGGGAGAATATTTGCTCGGCACCTCCGCATCGACGGAAGCCCGATTGTCGCATGTTCTAAAGGCTGTTGCTGCAGCTGGCTTCGAAAGTCTGGACAACGCCGTTGTTGCTTACTATGCAAAATCTTTGAAGGACGACGAATGGCCGGGGCAGGAGCAGAGACTGAATCGTATTCGGCGGCTGCCTGTACTCTTGAGGGAACTCCATCTCGCATCGCAAGGCTGGTGTCAATGGCAGCGGAGAAGCTTTCAAGAGCAAGTCATCAAGAGCACAGAAGACATCCTGATTGCTGAGTTGGAAGATCACCTCGCCGCAAGGGGAAATGATCCTCACAACTTGATTGGCGGAACTAGACAACCGAGCCGAGCCTTCAAGCACAAGGCAAGGGACGAAGCAGATATTGAGGCCGAGGTCCGTCAATGCAGCCATCCAATCCCACCGTGTAAAGCTCTCGGCCATGCTAACTGGATGTATAGCTCCCGAACACATGGACCTTGTTGACATCCCTGTCTACAAAATACAACACTGTTGCTTCGAAACACGGGCAAAGCGACATGCCCAACTTGGTCGGCAAGTTCCTCGCAGCCAGCACTGATTTAGACACTTGAGGCCGTGTACGGAGTACGGAGTATAGATCAGTAATTAGCGCTAAAATTACACTAAATAAATCCTTCACCACCACTACGATTTTTAGCCCCAACCTTGATCGTCCGTTTTCGGCCGGCAGAATCAAATTCGCCGTCTTGGATCAATGATCCACTTGGCAGCTCCGTGGTGGTTGAAGTATTCTCAAGATGTGTGGAAGGTAAAGAGAGCACAAAATTGCAGTTGAGAAGCATGGCGTACATGACCGCAACGCGTTGCGATGGTCTCGGAGTCAAAGGGGTGTGGGCCCAGAGGACAAGTTGCATCCCACTGTAAATACGCCGTATAGTTTTTTCTCTGCTAAATACGGCAGCCAAACAGGTCATTGCATTACGTGGCCCCGTACGAGCATTTGCTTCTGTGAGCATGGCACACTACGAGGTGAGTTGCCCCCTCGAACGTGCCTGCCGGGGAGGGTGACCAATCCAAGGTCGATTAGAGCGACGCGGCGTTTTATTCTGCCAGGATAGTATTAGGTACCACAAGATACGAATTTTAGGGGCTGGGCAATGAGAATGTACGCACGGGAATAATATGGCGGCATCGCCGTTGTGCTGCGGCGATAGGTCTAAGTGCAGTCCCGCTTAAATGCAGAATCACACTCAGCATGAGGCATCAGCCGTATGCAATATGACGAGATCATCGGCAAGAATTACTAGATATGCTATAGAAAATCAGCGGAAGCAATCGCATGATGGCCATCATCGACTCGACAGGCACATCAACCGGGCCGTTTCCAACTATCGCGCCGTCGTCTCTACTCTCGCGGGCGTTCTGCCGCCATCCAACTCATCCTGCTCTTCCATGCCCATGACCTCAGGGAACATCTGACCCCACAGCCAGACGGCTTGTTTGAAGACGCGTTCGCAGGCTAACATCTCGTTCCAGCTGTTGCCTGGCGGCTGGACCATGGCGAGCTCATCGACGATGGATCTGCAGGCAGCTACGAAGCGGCCAAAGTTTTCTGATTTCCAGTTTTCGATGAATGCCTCGCGGATGGCTGTGGTGTGGCCGTCTTTTGGTTTTGACTGGACGCCATTTGGGTCCGCAGGTGCTCCTGGTGGCAAGGAGGATGGGAAGGAGTAGGGAATTTGTGGTGATGATCTTGGGACTGTTCGAGTGACGAATCTAGCCGCGTAGGAGAAGGAGCTATGGAAGAGCTACGAGCTGGTCAGCTCAAGGTGATGAACAATGGGGTTGGTGGTAGCGCAACTTACATTTTCGATAGCCCATAGCATCACCATGCCCTCGAGCAATGTTGCGGACGGACATGAGGCACTATTGAACAGATCGATGAAGCCTTTGGTGGGAGGTTTCGGCTCGTCAAAGCTGACCTCGAGTCCGTACTTGCGTTTGGTAGCTTCAAGAAACTCTAGCTCCTTTTTCATATTATTTACCGCAGAGCACAGCAAGTCTAGACACCGGAACGTTGAGTCACGTTCTAAGTCGTCGATTTCGGGTATGCGGATCTTGCCTATCAGTGCTCCGGTGAATGAGACCAGCGACCGTGAGATGTACCCGATCTGCGTCAGCCATTGATTGAGAGCGCTCTCGGTCAGCAATCCACAACCTGCATGTGACAAGAAGGTATGTTGAGTACCGTTCGTCAGTAAATCTTCAGCTTGAGCCAGCAGATGTTGAGCCAACGAGGGCGCTTCAGCAAGGTGTGAGTTTCTAGGTAGGGAAGGCCGCGGACTAGAACCACTTGGCGCCATTCCAATAAGAGCACCATTCGGACCACAACGATTGACCAAAAGATCGGGGCTCGGTCTTGCGCCAGTCCAGATGGCTGCATTCTGATATTGTTCATCACTGATGGTCAGGCCCCCGCTCGTCAACAGCTCTTCTCCTTCAGTAGTGGACAGAAAGTCCTTGCATTGGCTCAGATGCTCTGCCTGGCAAGTCGCGTTCTTCGGTCGAACGAAGCCACAGCTCTGGCATCGGACTCGTACGCACTGCTGGGGTCATCAGAGAGAACCTCTAGGTTGCTGGGGTAGGCCTACCTTATGAACAAGACTGTCGTCGACGAACTCTTCAAAGTACTTGCTTATATCCACCGTCGATCGTAATCGTTGCATGGTGGGGGCTTGACTTGACGTTGAGACACGGGATGAATCGACAAGACCTTTATTAGAATCGCTGAGAAGTCTTCTTCCAGCAGCGTTGTAGGAATTCGGCGGAGCCAATTCTTGACCGTTGCCTGCCGCCCTCCACGCGGCGTATTCTGGACACTTCTGGAGATGCGCCTGGTATGGGCGTGAGTGAGTTTGATCGAGGTCCGATTAGACTATTAAGGAGTCTGACCTTCTTGCGATTAAGTACTCTGGCGCTTCCCTGCCATCGCTTGCAATGGCGACACCGGACGGTCCCGCCTATAGTTGGACTATCGATTTTCTCAAACTGCGGAATCGCTCAACATCTGTAAATCCAGACACGGTGAGCTTGCGCGTGACAATACCTGATCGTGTGTGTACGTGTCTGTTGGCCGGGGCATGACACTCTCATGGCGATGCAATGCCGCGATTGATGTCGGAGGCGGCGTGGTCGATCAATGGTCAATAACTGGGTGTATATACACGTTAATGCTGGCGGTGAAAAACTCGGATGCGAAAAAATCCGGCCTGAGACGTCCATAAGAGAACCCCGCTGTGAAACCCTGAAAACCCTAAGCCCCTGACTAAAAGTACCACTTTTTCCGGAGGTCCGCTACCCATGCGATATCACCCACCCATGCGCTATCGCGCTTTTACATTCTTAAACTACCAAATTCACCACTATTAAATCAACCCACCACGCGCGAATTAATAGGTAAATAACACAGCAAAATGGAGCGCCCTGATTGGCTAATTCAAAAATATTGATCTCAGCGCTTATATAGTAGCCCTTCAATTTACGGAGTTGTCCGAATCCGCCCCACCCTCTCCGCGAGGATCGATCGGCCCCGCTTCCCGTCTTTTGTAGCTTAGTACCTCCCACACTCCACAGAGTCCCCTGGGGTTCTCCAGGGATCCGACTTGCCCGAGCGTCGGCCAACTCGGGAACTGGATCCAGGGTCATTTCTCCACCGGTGTGTCTGTTGGTCGTCCGCCACCAGGAAGACCTCTTGGGTAAGCCCCTGCTTTCCGGAGCGGATGTGATTACTCGTACGTAGACCAGCCACATTCAAACAGGAAGCGTCGTGTCGTGTTGTCTCTTCGTGTTGGCCGCTCACGGTCGCAAAGACAAAAGGTAACAGCTCCTACTTGGCAGAGTCATGTTGTCTCAACCGCTGTCTCGTTACCCTATAGCACTGGCTCTTTATTCCCCGAATGCGCTGGAACTTATCTCCGCGCTACACAAGTAGGTAGACCGCCCCTTAGTGAATGCCTTGGGTTCTCGGGACATAGTTCCAATTGGCTTCACGAGCCAACACGAGCCAAAGTGGACACACGCAACCCTTCACAAAGTATCAAAAAAAGAAAAAGGAAATTATTTACGATCATATGCGAAAAAAGAAACTTTCGGTGTTTCAAGATAACGCGTCCCTCACTGCCTCACCGCCTCTCGCATTCAAAGCTGTTGCTGCCTTGAGCCTTCATTATTCACCTCTTAGGCTTCCATCCGGCTTTGACCAAGTACAGACGAGAATACTCCAATCCTGATATCAATCTCAGTCAATCCCAGCCCCGTCTTCGCTCGCCATCGGGATATCGCCCCATTTTCCTCACACCGCACTGTTCAGTTCACGGAAGCCTAGCATTGACGTGCAGTTGCCGCGTCATCTCACTAATTAGTAAGTTATTCATGACTCAGTCACCTTTGGACAAAACTGAAGCTGTGACTAAATAGGTGAGGAGGAGGTGTAGCCAGCCTACCTGGTCTCATTCACATCATGGTAGCGCAACCTCCCTCAAAGGGCCCACGCATCCCGGAGACCGCGGCGGAACAATCCACACCCTCAACAAATAACGCCGACCTGCAACAGATCGGCCTCGACGATCAAGAGCTGGCCGAGGACGAGGTGCCCCCTCCTGCTTATGGCGATTATTATGGCGAGATCCACGATGAAAAGAATAGTACGGGCACCAGTGCCCAGCTCACCGACGACGGCCGTGTCGCCATCCGCATCAATCAATTCAATCGCCATCTGTCCCGGATTATTGCTCCCGCTCTACATCAGCACGTCCAGGATGTTGAAGACAGTCGCCCGCTCCCTCCCCCATACATTCCTCCTTCCCTGGGAGGCGACCCGTCAGTTCGTCCACCTCCGCCCTTGAACATAGTCATCCAGGTCGTGGGCTCTCGCGGAGATGTACAACCCTTCGTTGCCTTGGGAAAAGTCCTGAAAGACGTCTACGGCCACCGTGTACGTCTGGCGACTCACTCCAACTTTGAGGACTTTGTTCAGCAGCATGGCCTGGAATTCTTCAGCATTGGCGGCGACCCTACCCGGTTGATGGCCTTCATGGTCAAGAATCCCGGCTTGAGGCCGGGATTTCGTAGCGTAATGAGCGGAGATATCGGCCAGCAAAGAAAACATGTTGCCGAATATATTCAGGGCTGCTGGCGGTCCTGTTATAGAGCCAATGATGGAACTGATGATGACCTTTCCGAGTCCTCAGGCAGCGATTCTGGCTCTAGGCCTATAGCAAAACACTTTGTTGCCGATTGTATCATCGCCAACCCCCCGAGTTTTGCCCACATCCATTGCGCAGAGAAGCTCGGCATCCCGCTCCATATCATGTTCACTATGCCATATTCCCCTACCCAGGCCTTTCCTCATCCTCTAGCCAACATTCAAGCCTCGAATGCCGACCCTCAACTGAACAATTACATCAGCTATGCCCTGATTGAACTACTCTCTTGGCAGGCCCTCGGTGATATCATCAATCGATTTCGTGTAAAGTGTCTCGGTTTGGATCCCGTAAGTACCATCTGGGCCCCCGGGATGCTTCAGCGTCTTAGAATCCCTCACACCTACTGCTGGTCTCCGGCCCTGATACCCAAACCGAAAGACTGGGGCTCTCACATATCGATCTCCGGATTCTACTTTCTCGACATGGCCTCTGATTATACACCTGCTCGTGACTTACAAGCATTTCTCAACGCCGGTCTCCCTCCCATCTACATAGGATTCGGGAGCATCGTTTTGGATGACCCCAACACGCTGACGGAAGTCATTTTCGCCGCCGTGAGAAAGACTGGCCAACGTGTGCTCCTTTCAAAAGGCTGGGGAGGTATGGGCGCAGATGAGCTTTGTATCCCCGATGGCGTCTTCATGCTTGATAACGTGCCACACGACTGGCTCTTCAAGCATGTCTCGTGCGTCGTGCACCATGGTGGCGCGGGAACCACGGCGGCAGGCATCGCCGCAGGCCGGCCGACTGCGGTCGTTCCCTTCTTTGGAGACCAGCCTTTTTGGGGCGCCATGATCGCGCGAGCAGGCGCAGGCCCCAATCCGATCCCTCACAAACAACTCACGGTAGACAAACTAGCTGAGGCCATCAACTTCTGTCTGACCCCCAGATGCCTGGAGCGCGCCAGAGAACTCGCAAGCAAGATCGCGGCAGAGAGAGGCAGCGACACGGGTGCTCAGTCGTTCCATCAATTCCTCGACCTTGACCGGCTCCGCTGCACTCTCGCACCATCCCGACCTGCTGCGTGGCGCATCAGGCGTACCAAGGTCAGGCTGAGTGCTTTTGCTGCCTGTACTTTGGCGAATGCAGGGCTGTTAGATTTCGATGACTTGAAGCTCTTCAGACCACAAGAACATTACACCGACGAGGGTCCCTGGGATCCTATCTCCGGAGGTTTTACAGCATTTGTGAGGGCTTTCGGCGGCATGACGAGGGGGCTAGCTGATATTCCGTCGGAGACATGGAGAGCTTTACAGATGCCGGCTGGGCGGAGCCGACAGCAGTCCCAAGCATCGGCATCGACAACCGGGAGCAGGAGTGAGATCTCGCATGTGGTGGAAAGATCGAATTCGTCGATTTCATCTAGACGAAGTAAGCAGAGCTTCGTCAGAGAGGACTCTCCCACTCTTGCTTGGAACCCTTCCAATATCTCCGGTCGGTCAACTCCAACTTCGAACGTGCCCACACAAGGCCAGTCAGATCCCAGACAAGATGATCCTGGCCGAGGTCCATCCCGCAGTCGGAATGGATCTAACGCTGGCAAACAACCCGACATGCTCCGTCCGACTGGCGTGCATGTGAGCAAAGGTGCTGGGCGTTTCGTCAAGGCGGTTGTGCAGGGACCTGTGGATATTTCAGTGAATTTCGCGAAAGGCTTTCACAATATGCCTAGGCTTTGGGGAGACGACACCGTACGCCCTCAAGAAAGGGTTAGCGATTTCAAGTCAGGCGTCAAGGCAGTAGGAAGGGAGTTTGGCTATGGCTGGTACGATGGCGTCACTGGCCTAGTCGCTCAGCCCTGGAAAGGCGCCCAGAAAGGGGGTGCCAGCGGCTTTGTCAAAGGAATTGGCAAAGGAATCGGGGGATTTATCGCTAAGCCGGGCGCAGCCTTTTTTGGTATCCTGGGCCATACGATGCAGGGGGTCAGCAAAGAGGTGCAGAAAATGTTCGGCAGCGATGTGCAGAGCTATATCATCACATCTAGGGCAGCTCAAGGGTATGAGGAGTGGCTGCAGGGCTCCGAAGCAGAAAAGCAAGACGTCATCGCTCGGTGGAAGCTGATCCAGAAGGATCTGAAAAAAAGGAGATCCCTAACGAGATAACGCGAGAAGCCCGGGAAGTACAGCAAAGGGTGAATTCGGACAGCAGTGCAGATGCTTGGACCCAAGATCTCACCAGCACCACGCTCGACATGGGTGGTTCACAGTCACCTCTGCATGCTGCCAACACGTGGCCCGGACGACCGTGGGAAGCGGCTGAAGCCACGTCGAGCGGAGACGCAGTAGATGATGATGATATGGACCTCGTGTCTAGGCTCCAGCCGCAACGACACGTTCACCAGACAGATCGGGGTCTGCGTGACGAGAAAACGCCACAAGAGAAAACGGAAGAAGAGGTTGTGATAGAGTACATCAAGAAGCAGAGTCTGTTGGAAGTGCAACACCAAAACAAAGGTAAGGGTCATGAAACAGCGATAGAGTATGAAGATGATGAGGACGAGGACTTGCAGAAAGCGTTGAAGTTGAGCATGCAAGAACACGGGCACCAGTACAGATAGGTTTCGGGAACATGAATAATGATTGCTTTCATATAACAAATGATCTGAATTAACTAAAGCTTAACGACGTGACCTGGCCTCTCTTTTCTCTACTGGTCAACTTTGTAGTATAGAGCTAGGGAATGTGTTGTGAAATTTTCAACCATGTGTGAACGCCTAGGTATGGAAGATAGGAGCGGGCGACATCTATAACTCCGGATTTGTCTGACACTGCGGACGAACACCAGCAATCTTGAGGACGTCTAGAACTCTGTAGGCGAGCTTTCAGCTATAGAATTACCCGGAATCTGCGGCTCACGACTGAAAAGAAAACCCGACTTCCCCATGTATTTACTCTTACTGGAACTTGAATGACTACTTAACACTGTAGCTAGGCCGGCCAACTCCCACGACTACGGCGGTAAACCTAACATCATGATAATGTTACCTCTCGGCTCGGCCATGGAGCCTTAGCACCAATAGGCTCACAATTGAATACTTCGATCACCGGACTGCCCAACAGACAGCAACTATATACATAGGCATCGTACTCCGCTAAGCGGGCGGGCCCGTTCCAAGCGATGCCGTCGCCGCTGCTAGAGGCCGCGCGATATCAACACTATCATAGCCAAGTAATGAAAGACACGGACAATCACTGCTTGTGAAAAATTCACAACGTCAAATTTCTCGCTATGATCGAATTGAAACCTTCAAATATGAATTCGACTTGATTTCCAATTAACGGGCCTATGACCTATTAATCCTGCGCTGGTTTTGGATAATTCGGCGACATGATGGAAGTAGCCATGCCAATTTAATACACCATTATCACCAACTTTCGATTATTCAACACAAATTTCAACCCCAGAAACGGCCGAACGGGTTACAAACCCCGGAGTTCGGATGGATCGAATTCGGCAGCAGTCATCATCTCGTCTTCTCAGGTTATGCGAATGAAGCGCCCAGAGCAAAAACGGAGTGATTTAGAGGCGGTCGGGGTACGTAATATAGGGACCAATCACCGGTGAAATGCACTGTGTATTGCTATAACGTAATCGGTAGGCATGTAAGCGAGTGGGCCACCACAAAACACCATAGTAAATTCAATAAATTACAACTTTATATCTCAACAACCGTGGCTTCTTATAATGTCTTCTTATAAAGCTATATTCTTTATACTGGGTCTAACATTTCTCAAAAGCGTCGAAAGTTTTTAGAACATAATGATTAGAAGATATATCCTTGAAGTCGAAAGATGTTAAATTACAAAGTATTTTTAGTAAAGATAGTCAAATCAGAATTAAATTGACCTAGACTCTTAAAATCGACTTCTTATGCTCTACGTAAGTAGAATACAAAATATAAAGCCGAATAAACTTATGTTTGTTGAGATATGAAGTTATAAATTATCGCATTTACTATGGTGTTTTGAGGTGGCCCATTCCCTTACCGATTACGTTATGGTTTGAGGACCCTTGCGATTTGGAAATCATGAAAGGGACTGGTTGTTTGATACTATACCGGAATCACACCAGATCGTGACCAAGCTATCCCTCTGAACCCAATATGTTTATCACATGCAGATCATCACTGTATACAAGGTGGTATAGTAATATTTTGGGGCTTGTTTGAATCGGCGGAGATGGTCCTGGGTCGCCGTTCTCGATTGGCTGCTACGTATGCACGGGCCATGTTGCCAGCGGCTGGCGGGCAAACTGGTCTGTGCACCAAGTAGCTTGCCCAATTATCAGCGAGCGGATTCAAAAATCTAAGCACTTGTTTGGGCGATCTTTTCAAGGGTATGTTTGTCTCAGTAAAGATGCTTGGGGCTGGTAGAGCAGCAAGGCGGATCATTATAGCCCTCTACATTAATCTCGTAGGCAGATCCGTCTGCTTGACTGTAAATTCAAGCGTGCGATCATGGGGGGGTAAGGGTCCGGGCTCTGGTCCGTTACACTTAGCCCCACTTTCTCCTCCGATACTTAAGCTCCTACCCCTAAATCTAGTATAGTCGACTGTAAATACTCCCATGGATTAGGTAGAGCGTAACCCAGCGGTCTCGCAACCTCGCCCCCTTATTCTGTCATCCCATAGAGAAGTCTATCAATTGTCTTTGGAGGAGAGTATGCTGGTGACATGGAAATGTTATTACAGTTGCTGCGCGAGAATGAGCTGTAAGTTCTCTGATCTACGAGGTATTTTGACTATTAAATTGGACGTACGGGAGCTGAATGATTCTGGTGATGATGTGAGCAACGGTGGTGGAGGCAAAGATATCAATGGCTGAATGAGAAATACTTGACACAAAGTGCTATGGGACATGCTTTGAACATAGACCAACTAGGTAAATGTGTTGTTTAGGGGTTTGCAACCGTAACCTGTATACCTACGCTGCCTTAGAAGCTCTCACTTATCCGTCAAGTTGAGGGAAGGGGACTGGGGAAGCCAAACGAAGACACCTGCTTCCTCAGTTCTCGCTTAAGCATTTTGCCGCTCGCACTTTTCGGTATCTGATCGATGAAGACGATTCGGTCCTGCAGACGGCAAACCTCAGGCAGTTCCAGGTCGTTGTAATCGCGGATTGCCCTTCGAAGATCGGCCTCGCTCGTATCGGGTGCATACGACGGCTCCCGAACCACGAAGGCCAGAGCTCGCTCGCCAGCTACTTCGTCAGGGATACCGATGACGGCGGTCTCGGCGACGGCGGCGTGTTGGATCAGATGCGCCTCTATTTGGCCGGGGGCGACTCCATTGCCCTACAAAGTAAAAGTTGGTCATGGTGCGCAGATTCACACCTCGTCTTGGTACGCTCACTCACCTTGACCTTGATCATGTCGCGGATGCGATCTACAATGAACAGGTGGTATTCGCCGCTAGGGGCCGCGCGGAAGAGGCCGACGTCGCCTGTTGGCCACCAGAAGTCCGCATTGTCCGTAGGCGGGAGAAGCGCATCGCTGGCAGAGTCAATGTACCCGCGCACGAGGCTGGGAGAGGCAATCTCGATCTCGCCCATTTCCTCGAGAGTCTCAATCTCACGGCCGTTATCGTCTCTCAATCGGATGCGGACGCCCGGGAGTAAGATCCCACTCGAACCCGGGAAGATCTCGCTGAAACATGACAGGGACCCGACACCGCAGGTTTCGGTTAGACCTGACTGAGGGTCAGATCTTCGCTCAAACTACGCTCTCAGGAGACTCTTACCCCAACCACTGAGAATTCGCACCTGGGGGCACACGGCTTGCATTTTGGCAAAGGCTTCTTTACTAAGAGGTCCGCCACCCGACACGATCGAGCGAACGGAGCTCAAATCAAATTGACCCAACGTAGATCCATTCCGTGACAGAGCGTTGATAATAGGCGGCACCTGCACCCATCAGCTTGCATTCCAGATACCCTGTGAGCCGGACTAGGAATCGGAGAAGGTTCTTATTGAACACACTGACCAGGTAAAGTGTATTGATGCGGTATTTGACGATAGAGGCCATGATCTCCATGAAGTTAAAGCCACGATGGATGATGACGCTGTCGCCAAGATACATTAACACATGAGCTGTCCAAAGACCATAGATGTGGTTGAACGGCAGGAAACCCAAAGCTACCTCGGAGCCTGCCTCTCTGGTGGTCTGTAGAAACTCTGAAGCCTGCAGGATGCTGGCGATGAGGTTTTCGTGCGTTATGGCCACGATGCGCTACAAAGCCACAAGAAAAACCTTATCAGTATCACAAGACATGTGGGGAATCGTGTGGTATTACCTGGAAGCCAGATGTGCCGCTCGTGGTACAGTAGTACGCCACACGTCGAGTCGCCTCGTTGATAGACAAAGGAGCCTTCTGTACCGGATGTAGACCCTTAGCGGCTGCGACCAAGTCATCAAGAGTAGTGATTCTGCCCAGGTCCCGATCTGGCTCGGCCGCTCCTCCCGGCACGGAAAGCCTGTAGAGTGGCAGTTTTGATAGGGAGCTCCCTTGAACGGCTTCCTGGGCTAGAGGGAGTAGATCTTGTGACACAAACATGGCGAACGGCGGCACACGGTCGAAGTGGCCTGCGATCTCTTCAGCCGAGCTCGTAGGTTGCATCATGAGGCAAGCACCGCCAATGCGGTGGATAGCCCATGAAAGAATCAGAGTGTCAACCTAGAGACCACTCAGCCTGCCATCCGGAGGATGAGCTGTCAAGGAGACCTACGCTGTTGGAAGCCAAGATGGCGACTATTTTATGCCACTTTTGCCCGGGAACAAGCTGCCACGACGAGCACAAGGCGGCCGCTACTTGAGCGACGCGAGCACTGATTTCGTCCGATGTCCATGCCCGATCGATCGTTGCCTCTACAAAGGGGGCTCGCTTCTCCGTCGAGTCGGATGCTATGGTCCTGGCAAGACTTTTTGCCAGACAAAAATCCCCGACCGGCTCTTGGAGCGGGACAGATGGCAGGGTAGGAAGGAAAGTCGGCGGTGTGAAAATCATGATGATCTACCAACCCGCAAAGAACGACGGGAAGACGCTTGCTGGAACAATGACCACTCCGATATGATGCAAGCGGTTCTGCGACGCTTTACTCTTGCGCCTTTTGTGGTTGTGATTTGCGTGGAGACCGGGTCGGTATAAGGAATGACTCGGATGTCAGACACAACAAAGTCCAGGTATTGCACAAGGAAGCCTGAAGGTTGCTTAGGCGGATCTTCGGAGGCGCTCGCTATATACGGGCATGAGGGTTATCACTGTAATATCGGCGCTTACATAGAGTCGCCTGGGCTTGCTTTCGTTCTCCAGGGGAATTGTTGAATGTAAGATATGTACTTATTCGCCGCGTAGTCCGAAAGCGAACCAATCCGGCGCGTAAATCTAAATGGACGCCCAGGAGCCTTCCGTAAGCGGGCGCCGTTGATTGAAATTGACAAGTTGATTACATTGAGGCCTACATTTATGTTCATAGACAACTTCTCTTCCCGGAGTTTGGGTTGCCCATTCCTGATCTAGCCCATTTATTATTTACAAGGTAATCCACGGGGGCAGGGCCGGCCAACACCCCTGGGTTCTTGATAATAATCCCTGGTCTCAATAACCGTCATTACACTAGTAGTGTAAATCATGCGATCCAGTCGCTCGTATGTCCCCGCACCTCGCCTCCTCGTTCGGTAGAGACAAAGGCGCGGCCACTGTTTGCCGAGATCGCTAGACTAAGGCTGCTATACAGCATGAGACCACACAGTTGAGCAGCCACGTTGAGGGGATCCCTGACGCCCAGGGAAGAGATTCCCCCGGCGACATCGACTGGATCGTCCATAAATTAGGAGTCACCAGTCGCGGCAAGTCTGCCGTGACCACCGCCGAGGGCATCGTCTTGGAAGTTTGCTGTCGGACGCCATCGGACCGTCAAGGGGCAGAATGCAACAGGGCATGCCTCCAGCAGTACCGGATTGCCGCCGTCTGTTCCGCAGGGAGCACCAAGACCAAAAGCGAACGCACCACCAACCGTCTCCTTCGCGCTGCTGTCACGCCGCTGAGATGTCCTCGTGGCCGGCACCGTCATCTGCCCCGACCCCGCCAATGTCATCTCCAATAAAGCCCCGGGGCTCTTCTGCACCCGTTCCGGCTCGGCGCCGAGCCCAAAAGGCCCACGGCGGTTACGGTCAAACCCAATATGATGGTGCTTGACGTCCACGCCAAGAAGCGCACCAGAGCCCACGGCTTCCTCACCTCCATCTTTTTCATCCTCGACCAGAGCCGCGTTTCAGTCGATCTCATCTCGTCGTCCAAAGTGCGCATATCCATAGCGATCCAATCAGAGAACGGCCTGCTCGCCTTCTCCCGGGGCGAAGAGCTGCGGATCCGGTCCCAGGTGCTGCAGCGCGCCCTCCACGGCCTCACGGCCTGGGGCGGCGTGGACCTCATACCCAACTAGGCCATAATCTCTCTAGACGGGCAGCAGCTGCCAGGTATGAAGGGCGTCTCGGGGCGCTTCTTCAGCACCTTGAGCGAGAACGGCATCGGCATCGAGAGGATAAGCCAGGGGCCCAGCGAGATCAGCATCGGCTGCATGATCGAAGAAAGGGAAACCACTCGTGCGGTGAACATCATGCATGTCAATCTTTTTGGCTTTCTTGACTGATGGAGAGAAGGGATGGTGAACAATCTTCAGCCTCAGTGTTGAGTAAAAAAAAAAAAGATTTGCCTTTGTCACCAATCTCCTCGGCAATACTCCGTACAGCAACACGTAGCTAAGGTACACACTGTCAAACCCTGATTACAGCAAGTGGGACGTATTTAGAGTTGATTCAAGGTACGGCCCGTGCCTTCCGAGATACAAATGCCCCACACTAACTGGTCAGTGCCGCTACTGGTGTGGTATTATTATAGCCATAACTTGGGAAAGGCGAGACGATCCAGATTCTTTTCACAGCTTGATTACCAAAGGGACATTGGAACGTCGAATTCGCGCGCCAGGGACGTGATTTTGGCATCTTTTCAGCATCTAGAAGCCTCGGCAGGCGGTCTTGATACGCTGTTCAATGACTGCATGCGAAGAATTCATGGTATACATGGAACAATGGAGGTGAAGATCTTCAATATTTAATTGAGCTATGGATTTGCGTTGGGCACTGGTGGACCAACACCCGGAGCGGTGTGGGTACACCACGGGACTATTGATGCGAAACAGAGGAAAGGTGACGTATCATCCAAGACTGTACAGACGATAATGTATCGAGTAAAGTGAGGTAGTAAACTACACCCGAAATGGTATAGTTTTATGCGTGTCGTGATTTCTTTGTTGAAATACTCACGTAAGAAAGGACACCCTAACGTGTCCTCGCAGTATCCGCTCTTCTAGATTAGCCCCATTCTTGCAAATAATGCCATACTGTATCGGCTTGCTCTGACATTTTATTTTCCTCCCACACTTTCTGTTTCCTGCTCTACGCCGCGCGTTCCTCACTTCTTTACCAGTCATCACTCACTAGACCTGCCCACCACCTTCCAAAAAACTCCATCACAAGATCCCCCCACATCACGACCGTAGACATGGCCGAGAACAAATCCCTCGACTACATCGTCCGAGGGCTCCAGGTGCTCTTCGCCACTATCATCATGGGAACAGATGGCTACGGTAAGCACCGCTAACCCACCGCCCCGTCGGTCCGCCTCAGAGTGCTAACCCCGTCGCCTAGCTATTCACGTGTTTCGTGGCCACAATGACTACGTCGATGCACCCGTCTATGGCGGTGACGCCACCCTTCACGTAGGCGTCCCTGCTGCGTGGAGCTTCCTGATGTTCTGTGCCGTCTGGACGGTCCTGATCGTCGTTTTCCACTTCGTCGAGCCCGGCTTCACAAGCCGCCCGATGATTGGCTACGTTGGTATCACCGCCGAAGCCGTGGCTGTCCTCTCGTGGCTCGCCGGCTTCATTGCTGTGGCTGTCAACGTTTCGACAACCAGTGCCTGTTCGTCGGGACAAAATTCCTGCGCGGCGCTCAAGGCATCGACGGCCTTTGGTGCGTTCGAATGGCTGCTGTTCATGGTTACCGGAATCCGGACTGTCATGTCATTCTTCAACAACCAGAAACGGTTCAGATCCTCATGAGTATCAGACCCAGCGCATGCGCCACAGAGTGGGTGGGGGCGGCGGTGTCGTTGTTGTCTGTTGAGGAGACTCGTTTGCAGTTGTTAATGCTTAAGTCCTGCATTATCAGTTTGCTACAGGACTAGCAAGGAAGCCCGAGGTTGATGCTTCTGCTCTGGGCCACGATAAAATATGTCATACTCGGTTGGGCCAGCCGTCGCCAGAACAGAGCCATAATATTTACATTTTTAGGCCACGCGCCAAACACCAACAGGTGCCTGCTCTAACGGTCATTACAGATATTTTCGGGTTATTTTAGGAGGACTGTATTGCTTCGGGTGTGGTCGGATCAGTTCTATCGGGGTGGTTCTGATCAAGAAGACAGATTGTACCGTAGCTGGAGACTGAAGTGCGATTGGTATGCCCATAATAAGTCAACACAGCTCAGGAGTCGCATTTATGATTCATAGGTGCTTTTTGGAGCACGGAGGGGGCTTCGGAGATTCTGATTCTATGTATCATGGTTGCTATAATCTGCAGACGTTATTCTCTTTAGTTTTCGCGTCCTTCGTAACGAGATAAGACAAGAATACTTACTATTGGGGCTATTTCATACCTCCTTGTCAAGATAGAGACATCGCAGGCCTCGCATATTCATCAACGATTAGGAGGATACGATGAAACTCGCCGCCCACACCCTCCCTATCTTCGGGAGTTCCGCAACTACTGTGTGCTTGGAATGTCAATAAGAATTTGAAGACATGTACTTGATGAAAATGGTGTGATGAAAGAGGAGAGGAGGAGAAGCAGAAGATCACTGATAAACGAGCCCCAGATTGTGCGGCGCTGGGCTCGGGTATGTTTCGTGCGAAAAGTCTTCCGCGCAACTATCTAAAGCAGCTTATCTACATCAAGATACCATTCGAGTTCTAGTTGAAATGGGACAAACTACGTGATGAATACGTCAAACTAGTGAGAAATTTGCGAGTGCTTAAGTGAAGATAAACAGCACATACGCAACGAGGGGGCAGATGCTTGGCCGTCTCAGCACCGACGCTACAATACAGCTACCAGCTCTCCAAGGTCAAGGAGTAACTAAAGTCAGAGAGGTATTTGATGGCCTGAATGTCTTCCATTACGCCAGAAAACAATTAAAATTAAAATTACGACACTGTCTACGGCAATGGCGATGAAGGAGATTACCTAGCTACGTAGTGTCTTGCGTCAATGAGCAGCCCAAGCAGCATAGGCAAATCTTCATGGTGGCACACGCGTGCTCGGGGGCACAGCATAGGAAGTTTTAGGTGCAGGAAATTCGGGAGGCTTGTAGTAAATTGATCCGTCAATGATTTCTAACATTCAGCACTGGTGCGGCCATATCGATGCGCGTCAGTATTATTCACCAGATTCTTGCTGAAAGGGGCTGCAGGAAACAAGTATCTATCTGTCTTCCACATTGCCTTGAATTAATTCCAAATTACCGTGCAATACAAGCAAAAAATATATATCCATAGTTATAGCGTTTTTCAACCCAGCTTCGACACGGATTCTTGGAGCTTGACCGGGACCAATCTCGATTTACTCGCGACCAATTGGATAAGATTCGCAATGCTCCTGGACTCCCGAATGAGGAGAAGTGAGACATCAGCAGCCAACATCGCCACGACCCAGTTGCGGAGTTCGACCGCCACCAACGAGTCGACACCGTACGATTCGAGCGTCCGGTGAGGCAGGATACGCTCTACCGGCGTGACAATCAACTTGCTCAGCTCGTCCAGCACCGCGGCTCCGACGGCTTCGACTGCCTCTTCTACAGTCTTGGTACGACCGATCTTGTCGATGTGGTCTGAGCCACTGCCGCTGCCGTCGTCCAGCTCGGCACCTGCGAAGAGAGCAGAGTCCTGGAACAGGTGTGAAAGGTGCCGCTGCTCAAACCAGTCGGGTTTCTTGTTGCCTGCATCGGGGACCAGGCCAATGGCGGCTTGACACTCCGGTCCACTGGCGGCCAGGACGTAATCGAGCGTCGCGAGGAGCTCGGCGACTGAGATGATGGCAAAGCCCTGGCGTTTCATGTTGGCGAACACGGCCGGGGACTCACTGACAAAGCCAGCGTCGCCAACGACTCCAACATCGATCGCGAACGCGGGCTGGCCGCGGCCTCGTCGATAGTGCATGAAGGCGTCTTGGAAAGTACATGCAGATGTATAATTCACTTGGGCCGGGTGACCGATTATTCCGGCGATGGACGAAAGGACAACGAAAAAGTCCATATCAGTTGGCAGGACCTCGTGCAGGTTGCGGGTTCCAGCAACCTTGGGGGCCAACGATGCCTCCCATTGCCAATGTTCCATCTGATCAAACAGTACGTCCTGTTTGTTCATGCACGGTCAGTCACTTTCTTTTCAGTGTTAAGTATAAGTGGAACACTGACCTCGAGCGCCATCGCGGCGTTGATGACACCTCGAATTTGGCCTACCCCATCGACAGCCTGTAGACCTCTGACGACAGCTTCCACGGCCTCTTTAGAAGCAATGTCACAAGCCTTGGAAAGAACTTTGACGCCTTGGCTGTGCATTTCCGCGATACATGCCTTCGCAACGGAAGATTTGGCTCCCGATCGCGACAAGGTGACAATAGTCCGTGCGCCTCTCGAAGCAAGCCATCGGATGAGATACACCCCTAACCCTCCAAAACCACCAACCAAGATGTAGGTGGCCCCGGGCAGCAACTTCGGAAGGACCGGGGTCTCTGGAAGTGCCTGCAAGGATCATCACGTCAGTATGTATACTTTTGGATCCCACTCAGAACGGAGCAAAATCAACTTTTACGTACCGGGACCATATCGTCTGGATCTGCCGTCAGGATCACTTTCCCCATGTGCTTGCCGGCCGAAATCAGGCGGAATGCAGACTCAATCTCGCCAATCTTGAATAGACGAAGAGTCACTTGATCTGTCAATTTATTGCTCGCGACCAACTCAACCACGTCCTTGAGCAGGCGATGAACAAGCATACTGTCTTCGTTGATCATCTGCACCAGGTCAACACAAGAAAAGGTGATGTTGCGAAGCAGGAATTTTGTCGGCATCAGCGCGTCATCCAGGAAGTCCTTTTTGCCAATCTCAATGAAGCGACCGAAGGACGCGAGGCACTCCAGAGACTCTCGGAATAGCTCACCAGCCAGGGAATTCAAGATGACGTTGACACCTTTATTCCTAGTCGCGGCAAGAAGCGCAGGCCCGAACGCGGCAGATCGGCTAGTGAAGATGTGGTCTTGCGGGACGCCAAGGCTCTCCAGACGCGTGCGTTTCTCCTGCGATCCGCATGTTGCATAGACCACGGCGCCCAGATCCTTGGCCAGGATGACGGCGGCTTGACCGACTGCTCCAGCAGCGGCATGGATCAAAATGGATTCTCCTGCTTGCAGCCTAGCCACGTTGATCAACGAGTGGTAGGTGGTTGCCCATACAATCGGAAGAGATGCGCCCAGCGCGAAGGAGACGTTGTCCGGGATCCGAGCACAGTGATGCCCGTCGACAATCGGATAGTTGTTGTAGGACTGAGCATAGTAGCTACAGACCCTATCGCCAACGGCATAATGAGACGTCATGTTGCTGCCAACCTCCACCACCGTGCCGGCACAGTCGTTCATCATGGTTGCAGAAGCGCCGAGCTCACCTGAGGCGACGAGCACGTCGCGAAAGTTGATGCTGCCCGCACGACACTCGATGCGAATCTCATCCGGCGCCAGGCCGCGCGCGTGTTCGACGTCGTCCGCCCACCGGAATGTTTCCATCAGCCCAGACACGCCGAGCTCGACCCTGAGCGGACGCGCGCGCTCCAGGAATGCTGTCTGCTCTGGCTTGGCTCTCGCCGTGGCGCGGACGATACTCTGATCGAGCTGCTCGTTGTGAAACATTCGGTTGACGTAAAGTTGTCCGTTACGCTCGGTGAACTCGCAGTCGAGCCCGATTGAGCCGCGGTCAAAGTCGAATGTTTCAGAGGTCAAAAGCTTGGTAAGCCACTTGCTCAAGCGCTCGTCAATGGCACCGTGAGAAGTGTCTGGGTCGAGATCGAGCGTAACGTAGCGAATACCGGGCTGTTCCAACCTCAAGGACCGGGCGAAGCCTATGGTCAGCGCCCCCTCAGGCACAGGTGTGTCCCCGGTAGCGCCTTGCGAGATCAGGATCAGACCTTTGCATGACAGGGCACATTTCTGGAGCTCCTGCCACAGCGAAGCATCCATACGGCCCGCAAGCGCCTCGCATATCTCCGAATCTATCACAAGTACCGTGCTAGCAATGTCCGGGATACTGTCGAGACTGCCTGTCGTGATCTGGCGCAGACCGAGTCCAGGGCCCTGGCGAAGATTTTCAGCGACAATACCAAGGCTTGCGCCTGACGGATCGGGAACCATGCCGCTGGTAAAGTGAAGTGAGATCTCACTTAGACAGCGTTGAGATTCAACAGGGATCTTGGCAAAAATGACGCTGATTGTAGCTCCTTCACCATCAGCATAGTCGGATACAATGACTGGGTCTGACTCAAAACCCTGCTTCACTAGTTTTTGTTTCCAGTCACTCTCAGAGAGAATGGCTGAAGACACTCGCCCTTCATCGACACCAGACCACCACCCAGAAAGAGAGCCAAAGATGAGTTGGTAATAAGGCTCTGGGTTGGTGATCTCCATGAGAATCAGTGTTCCTCCGGGACGAAGGAGCTGACGAATATTGTCCAGAGAAGACGCAATGTTCGGGGTAGCGTGTACAACATTGCAGGCGATGACAACATCGTAGGTTCCAGGCTCGAACCCTTGAAGATCGGGAGAGCATGCGAGATCAAATGCCTCATAATTGACAATGTTGCCATACTGAGCCAGACGCTCGCGGGCAGCGGGGAAGAAAGCTGTCGACAGATCCGTAAATTTGTACTGCGCCACCAACGGCTGGCCATGATGAGAGAGGGCTTGCAACAAAGGCAATGTGGCCGAAGCTGTACCGCCGCCAACCTCGAGCATTCGCAGAGACGGGTTATATTTGCCGAGAGTTTTGCAATACGCGTTGATCTGATGATAACAGCGGCTGTTCCGTTCCTCAGAATACAACTTACCCAGCATATCATTCAAGGTCAAGATGGAGAGGGAATCCGTAACGCCGGTCAGAAGATTCTCGAGGTTCTCGCCAACACGTTTCACAGCCTCGAAAGAGACGCTCGGATCCGACGTCGTGGCCACCCGGGCCTCCGATATCAATTCAGGAGAGTCGGCCTCTGTGGCCGTAAAAGATTGCATCCACGTGTACCATGACTGCTGAAATCCTGCCGCAACTTGGTCCGGTTGGATCAGTTTGAGCGCCCTCTCCACGTGAGTGCGTACATCTGCGTTGAGGGCGATGTTGCGGTGACGAGACGAACCAGCAGGAAGCAAGTTCGTGCAATGGGCTATGACTTGCGCCTTTGTCATGCTCGGATAATGGCCAACCCACTCCGGACTGTGTGCCAACTGCCGAGACCGTGCGGACATGTCGTTTGCCGGCAGCTGGGCGACTCTTAACCCATGAAAGCTCATCATGGGCCGTTCGTTCAACTCGACCTGGCCGCTCCAACAAGTACCCTTGTCTTGGGCCAGAGAATACGTGCGCACCTCGGTTCCTTCCGGGACTTTGAGAGCAGTCGAAACGGTCAGTCGTTCGATGAAAATAGGGACCATCGGCGCCTTAGATTCCCGCTCCACTAGAAGACTGGCGCATACTCCGTGGAAGAGGGTCGAGTCAAGCATTCCAGGATGCACGATGTACGACTCCTCTTCGAAAGGGTGCGCCGAGGCGTGCAAGCTTGGCATCTTGTTCGTGGTCACGCTTGAATCAGCCAGAGCTTCCAGGCTGACAACGTTATCAAACGGCGCGTACCACTCCATCCCGACCTGGCGTGCGGCGGAGTAGAAACGGGTCGGCGTGATGTGGTGTTGAATAGATGCGAGGTTGCGGTTCTTGACTTCGATGGTGGTGTCACTAAGACGATCCGCGAGCATTCCATTGTCTGTAACGTCACGGATACGACCCCGGCAATGCTCACTCCATCCTTTGCCAGAGGATGTCGAGAAGATTCGGAACTCTTTCCAATCCTGCCACGAACCCTTTGCGCTCTGAGTCTCGGGTCGAAGCGACAGACACATCTCGGTGTCTGTATCGCCCTCCCTGAGTACCAGCGCTTTGACAAAGCTGCAGTTACTGAGCGAATAACCAACAGTCGCTTTCGATTGGTTCTCAGTCTTGAAGGCCGCAAAGCGACGCATCGCCTCCATGGCCATGGCCAAATATCCGGCGGCTGGGAAGATGACTTGGCCCTGCACCAAGTGATGTTGCAGCCATGGCATCTCCTTAAGGTTCATGATACGACGCCATCTAGGCTCCATATAATTCACATCGGATGACAGATTGCCTAATAGCTCATGCGGTAAGAACTGACGATGAGTGAACTCGCGAGAGATGCGGCCGCCGTGCCAATGACGCTGCTCATGGTTAAACGCGTACGGCGGCACATCGTTCAACATAGCTGGCAACTGTGTTACGAAGCCGACATTTGCCTGATGAAAGTTTACGGGCGCGCCCAGGGCGAACAGGTCGGCCAGGGCGTGCAGCATGGTTTCGGCTGCGCTGGCCTTCCTCTTAAGACACGACATATAATGGACGCGAGTCGAAGATCCCAGCTCTTGCAACACCTCCTTGGCTGCACCCTGCATCTGCGCGTGGGGGCCAACTTCCAGGAGAAGATCAATATCGAGATCATGTTGCTGTCCTTCATGCTTGTCGCCGACTATCATGCTTCTCAGAGCTCCGGCAAAGCGAACAGGAGAGACAAGATTGCGAGCCCAGTAATCTCCATCCAACAAGAATCCGGCGGACAGCTTCTTCCCATTTAACGAAGACATCATATGTCCGGCCAGCGGACGTGGTTGGATATGGGCGATGGCAGATCGGTAGTCCTCCTCGATTGCCTGCATCATTTTGGAATGATACGCAGCTCCCCGCGTCCTGAGCTTGCGATGGAAAACATCATCCTCCTGTAGTAGAGCTGCGACTGCCGCAATATTGTCGTTATCTCCCGAAAGCGTCACACTCGTTGGGCTGTTGTAGCAGGCAATCTTCACCTCAGACGTGTCAGTGGCCTTGACCTGGTCGATGTAAGTCTGCGCAACTTCGGGCGACGAGCCCACGGCAAGCATGCCCCCAGAAACTCCGGAAGCGATCAGTTTGGATGTCAGACGGCCGCGATGATATGCCACAGTCAATGCGTCTTCAAACGAGAGCGCACACACGGCGTAAGCCGCAGCGATCTCTCCGCTGGAGTGCCCCACAACGGACGATGGACTCAAATTCAGAGCTGCCAGCGTGTCGACCAAAGCCAGCTGAATGACGGTGGAAAGCGTCTGACCATATACTGGCTCATCCACATGCGAGTCTTCAGCTTTCTCATGACTTAACTCAGTCAAAAGGTCCCACTCACAGCCCATCGTCCGTAAATGGTTGTTGGCCCGGTCCAGAGATTGGTAGAAAACTGGCCAATACTTTATCATCTCTCGACCCATGTTATAATATTGGGCTCCCTGGCCTCCGAATACATAACCAACACGGGCTCCTCCCTTGAACGGTGCTCGGACAGCGATAGGCGTCTGCTGGAGGACTTCAAGCTGGGCCACCAAATCTTCTTGGTCATAAGCGACGATGGAAGCGTTGTATTCGTGAACAGTACGCTTGTTTACTGTGATAGCCAAGCGATCCATAAGCTCATTGGACTCTTCCAACAAAGCGGCCGGGGATTCCGTCAGGTACTGCGCCAGACGCTCGGCGTTTTTATGGCAGCTCTGCTCCTCGGCAGCGCTAAGAATGAAAACGCGAGGCCGTTCTGCGGCGAAGTGGGAATCACTGGCGACGCTGTTGATGCCATTGGTACCGTTAACGCCATTGGTACCGTTAACACCATCGGTACCGTTAACGCCATCGGTACCATGGATGTCGTTGGTAACATTGACACCATTGGTACCGTTCATGCTGTTGGCGTTGTTCTTAGGCTGAACATGCTCGCCCACACGATCAACAATGACATGCGCATTGGTGCCACCATATCCAAAACTACCAGAATCAGTACTAGTCAGATTTCATCTGGAGAATGGATTGTCTCACCTGTTAACAGAGATGCGGCGAAGATTCTTCTTCTCGAATCTGATAGGTATCTGTGATCACTCAGTTAAACTGCCTACCGTATGCTAGTTTTTGCCATTCATACCTGCAGATTCCAGATGTCAAGCGGGACTTTTGGGTTTGGTCTTTTATAATTGACCTGGGGAGCCACAGCTTGGTTCTCCAGCATCAAGACGGCCTTGATCAGCCCAGCAATACCAGCCGCACTCTCCGTATGGCCAATATTTCCCTTCACAGATCCCATGATCAATGGCTCTTGACTCGAATCTCGGGGGCGAGCCAATACGTTGGCAATAGCCTCGGCCTCGATAGGATCACCCACTGCCGTGCCTGTTCCGTGGGCCTCAACATAGTCCGTTTCAATTGGAACCAGCCCGACCTCGGCATATGCCCGGCGGATCAATTCTTCCTGTGCCTCACGACTTGGCACACTGATACCCTGAGGCGTTCGACCGTCTTGGTTCAGTGCGGAGTTGCGGATGACAGCTCGAATTCGGTCACCATCTTTGATGGCCAACGAGAGTGGTTTCAAGACGACACAGCCACAGCCCTCTCCTCTACCATATCCATTGGCGCGCTCGTCGAATGAGAAGCAACGACCATCAGGCGAAAACATCTTCAGCTTGCTTTGGTAAGTAAAACGCTGAGGGTCCAACAAGATATTGACGCCGCCAACAAGACTCATTGTGCTTTCACCACTTCGCAAGCTCTGGACAGCGTTATGTAATGCTACAAGACTGGCAGAGCAACCCGTATCGACCGTAAAACTTGGACCGCGTAGGTTGAAAAAATAAGAGACGCGGTTGGATGTGATGGCAGGACCAATTCCGAGAGTATGGTAGCGTTCCTGAAATTCAGGGTCTCGCGCCAGGATCTCGCTGTAGTCGGAACTCCACTGACCAACATAAACGCCAGTAGAAGATCCCCATAGCTGGGGTAGCGTCAAGCCGGCATTCTCAAAAGCTTCATAAGCCAGCTCCAACGTGATACGTTGTTGAGGATCCACGGCTCGAGCTTCCGTCGGTTTGATTTCAAAGAAGCTGCAATCAAACGCGGCCACATCGGTATTTAAAAAATGACCCCCGGGGGTGTTGCTCGTGCTAGTATGAGGGTCTCTATTGTGGTAAAATGCCTTCATATTGAATCGATCTTCGGGCACCTCACTCCACGCAGATTTTCCGGCCGCTAGGGCATCCCATAGACGGGATGGCTCGGAAGCATCGCCCGGAAAGCGACAACTCATGCCGATGATAGCAATGGGCTCGGGCATCATGTCGGCGGTCATTTTGTTAGACGGATGTTTTGGTTAGGAGTGTTGAAAGACCAGTAGAAACAGTGTGTTAAAGTACAGAACATATTGTGACTCGTCGGGTCCGGCTCCAGAAGAACCTCTTCATTTTCGTCTCGACAAAGTCAGCATCCTTGGTCTCCCTGAAAATAATTCATCTTACACAGCCAGGCTACATAATCATCGCCCAGGGTCCAGAGAAATGCAACAAGGCTGACACTAGCTATCCACCCGTTATTGATACATATACACCCATTTTTGAGGCATATTCACCATTATGGCAGGTTATTCCCCGTTTGTTATTTATCCCGAGCCCATATTGTGTGGATAACAGTGAATACGTATCAGTTGCTTAATTTGGCTTATTAGTGCCTCCACGAATGGCCGGAGCCGCTCATTGCCCGGGCTGGTCCCAATCCATTTTCAGGGGCAGTGCAACTTCAATGTTCAAGTTACCATGGGCAACAACAAGGTCATCATAAATTTACACAGTCGCTACCCACAGGTGAGACATGTTGGCACAACTGCCTTACTCCACGGGCGACCTAGTTCGGCGCATCTATGAACTGCCGTAGGCTGTGAGCACGAATAGACTTTAGTTCGTGACGTTTCTAACACCGCACGGGAACTTAGTGCCAATGAAAATCTTGCGTGAATACCGAATGCGTTATATCTGTGCAAAGTATAGTTTATCGAGCAACTATCTTGGTTTGTTGACCTAGGTCATATTTGCTGTACTAGTATGGGCCTGTATCTATAACGGGACCGTCCGCCAGAGCATGAGGGAAGGCGAACAGTCTTTCACCGACAGACAGGCCTGTCAGTGAGAAAAACAATTCTTCGGACTGCTCAGTGTGTGTGCATTCGTGTATGAGCTAGCTAAGTCACTCAAAGCGCTTCCCAGTTGTAGGGTCTATAGGCTATCCCTCGCCCCGAGTCCTCGGTATCCAACCATGGGTTTTTAGTAATTCCACTTCGTTCTTCTTCTCCAGCATCTCCGTGACTTACGCACCCTCGTAACCTCGGCTGTACGGTACACGATATTTACGTTAGTCAGCTGATGTCACTTCTTTTAGATTCCGTTCTCCTTTTGCCTCGCTGATAAATCTCTCTTCTATGGAACGAAATAACATTGGCTTTTATCCCTACTCTTTGCCCCTTTTGCTTACTAGAAGGAGTCTTACCTAATATCGCCACACATAATACGGGTAAGCAATAATTATTGACGGGGCTTAATATTTCATTCAGGAAGGTGATGTATATGAACAAGTTTTTAACATGATATTTGATTTTAACAACAGGTGACAGTTCATCAGGCTGTTATATCCTAGAGTAACACACTCACAATCTGTTCGAGCCCCACATTGTGATCTGCCATATTCTCTTGATCTTCGACAGTGCTGTGTCAAACGTCATGATTCGACAAATTCAGAAGCGACCTCCGGGGTCGGCTGCTACCCCACTGTTTCTGTTCCACGATGCAAGTGGCACTATCTCCAGCTATTACGCTCTGAGTCCCATGGAACGTGATGTATACGCCATCTCAGAATCGCGCACGAAAAGCGATGCCTGTGGAACTCTTCAAGAGATAAGTCGCCGATACTACGCTGCTATCAAATCAATCGTCCCTGAAGGGAGGGTTCTACTTGGTGGTAAGAGACATTTGGACGCCCGTGACCGCAAGACGACTGACGGAAAGATCCAGGCTGGTCACTGGGCGGTATGATTGCACTTCAAGTCGCATGGATATTCAGCCGAGATCCTAAAGTAAACGTGGATGGCATCATAATGGTGGACAGTCCCTTTCCTGACTATCGCCATGTCGTCCATTCTGCTCTTGATTCTCCCATCTCGGAAGACGGCTTGACGACCGCGACGAACAGACTGGAGAGTTCCATCTTGCGAACCGTAAGCATGTTACGCAACTGGCGGGCTCCTGTGTGGCGACGACAGCGCCAGCCGTACACTGTTATGTTGTGTGCGACCGAGCGTGTGATTCATGAAACCATCCCGGCTTTGTCCTTTGTCGACCAATTCAGAGACAGCCCGACCCTGGGGTGGAACGAGCGTGCTGGCTTTGCAGTTGTGAACAAGAACTATTCGATTGACGGCCACCACTTCAGCCTCTTTGAGCCTAGAAACGTAAGTGCTATCTGGTCCGCCCGATCCAAAGCATGTGCTAAAAGAGATCTCTCCACGCAGGTCGCATCTGTCACGAGGGCAGTAGCAACTATTGCAGGGGACATGGAGCTGTTGGCCTGTCTCGACGACGACGAATGACGACTGGCAAATTTCAAAATCTCGAAGCTTTACAAAGCATGGAGTATGGAGACAAGGCTTGGAGCAAATATGAATTTTGGAACCCTTTCTCAGCATAATAAGTAGTATATCCTTTTCTGCAGGGCGCTTGAACGCCCAGACGTGATGGCTGGTCACACTCTTGCTCATAGGTGCATGCAAACATGAAACGGGGTCGCATCGTTCCGAAGTGATTCAGCCTCAACTAAGCAAAGCAGGAGGGTAATATCGCGAGACGGGATCTCAGCATGCAGGTTGCATAGCAGAACTCAATGCCTCGAGCAACGAAAAGATGAATGGGTTCATGGTTCATGCCTCGGAGATGGAATGCTGGCTCCACCACGCGAGAAACCCAGCACCCGAATGTCTGAAACTAAAAAAGAAAGAAAAAAGATTTGCCTGAATTTGGAGAACTGAAACTCTTGTTGGATCACGGCACTCGTCATAGACGGTTGTTTGCATACTGTGCTTCCAGTAGATCCACAGTTATTCAACTGCCAGACTCAATAATTGACTAATTATCTGCTTGGTAATTAACAGATGGTATTATTATTAGGGAATTGATACTCCCACCACCCCGCTTTACTGCTCCCACCACCCCTGTTACCGTTAGGCAAGCTAGAAGAGGGGAAGAATCTCAATTAGGTCCTAAAGAACTAAAACATCAAGTTGAAGAGAAAAGGAAAGAGAGAGAAGGCAGGGCAAGAGGGCTCTTTTAACCCCTCTTGCTACAAACGGCACTTCTCGGAAAGGTTCCTGCACAGATCGAGGCTTCCTGCACAGATCATTCTAGAACAAACAAATAAGCAATCCTCCGCCAACTGGCCCATGGCCCCAAGATTGGCATATGACCAGGTCACAAGACCCCCGGTAAAGGAAGGGTAAAGTCGGATGATACCTCGATCGTTGTGTCGGTGAATGATCGCTCCCAACGCGACCTGATGAAACGATTTGATGATCTCGACACCGATCGGACTGCCGTGAAAAAGCAGTTGCTTCGGTGGGGCGAAGTGTACCGTCGAGGCATAAAACTGAGGTTAATTATGATCTTTAAATATGTTGAGGACGACCGTCTCTCCAAAACTAACTTAGGCACAGTCGAGAAAGAGTAAGGTCATCAGTGACTAAACGAATGCTCACCGAGCGAGACAATCAACTAGTTTGTTGTCGATGTTGATCATAGAACACTTACTACATTCAGCAGCCTCAGGGGTTTGCGAGGCAGTCAGTGATTTACTCGATATCGTGTGCTGGATCATTTCAAGCTTGGAGAGAGGGAGTCTGGACGCCATGTTGACAAGGTAAATCGGGACGTTGATGAAGAGGTCTAGCAGGAAGCGGTAGAAACCCGCTGAAGGGAGGGGAGGGGCGGCTCCATCTGCTCACCCTTGTTCATCCCTCTGCTCAGCGAGTAGGTGAAATGATTTTGGGTGGAAAGTCTGGGGGATGCTAGGTATTATGTCGGAGCACGTAATATAAGGGCCAATCAGCGGTGAAAGAACTGTGTATTGCTATACGCCTGAATCTGGCAATTTGTGGGGGTTTCTGATTACATAAGAAATAATTACATCGGATCATCCAATAATCCGGTCTCCATAGCCTGTTCGTTCCGACATATTATGAAATGCACGTGACTTACCGATCTTGTCAGAACTGAGACTATATGACTAATATGGTACTAAAAATGCCCGAGGCACTTTTTAGTCCAGCGGTCAGATCTCTGACAGAACTCGCAGTTCCTGGGAGCTTAGGGGCCCATCTCAAAGTTGTGGACCTCAACTAAAGGAGGTTGCTAGGCTAGAAAATCATGCGTTGGTTTAGCCATAGCATCAACGAAAGGGAATCTCGTATATCCATTAGTGTGCTTGAAACAGCCGGCAGCAATAGACTCTCGAAGTGAGAATGTCAAAGCGTGCTTTTCGCCTGGCTGATTATCGCGTGCTGCGCTTGATTTGAGTGTTCTGGCTCGGGTCGATCTGGTTCCTAGGAAGGTGCTAATCCTACCCCACAGGACCAACACACTGCTCGATGTGTTTCCTGTCTTAGCGCCGAGGAGCCAAGTCCCTGATGACGTGCCCCCTCCTTCAGCTAAGACCTGCACAAGAGCTTGTAATGAACCACAAACAGGCACGCTTGTACAATCATGGCGTCGACAAGCCATTCCAGTGTCAACTATGAAGCCCAGTTGGGAGTCAATTATGGCACATTCACGGCAGACTTCCACCTGCCTCCGGTAAGTCAAGGAACGGAACCGAACAAGGTCAGAATCGACTGACTAACCACTGCTTCCCACCCTAGAGCGCCCGGAAACTCCGCCGAGCCCTTTGACGACTGTCCCATTCCCGCGCGATCCAGACTTTATCAGTCGCGACATACTGCTTGACCAGATTCGCGATAAAAGCTTGGTCCTAGGGTCGAGGATTGCGCTTGTTGGTCTTGGCGGTGTCGGGTTAGAGTAGAGCAACCAGTGCGCGGTCTATTGTTAATATCGAAAAGGAGATCACAACTTGCCATCGAATACACCTACTAGGACCGATCCCAAGCACCGGCAACATGGGTTTTCTGGATCCATGCGAGCAACGCAACTCGATTCGAGCAAAGTTCCGAGACATAGCGGACCAGGTTAAAATCTCGGGGCGCAAGGATCCGCAAGCCAATATATTCAATCTAGTCGAAACTGGCTCCGGGATGAGAAGAGATGAAGATGGGTTCTTATCCTTGATAATTTCGATGATCATGAGTTCCTTCGCAAGTCTCCGGTGACTAGCCAGGGAGATCCGAAGAAAATTCTAATGAATGTCTCCACAAAGCCACTATTGGAATACTTCCCCAGCAGCTTGGATGGATCTGTCATTATAACTAGTCGGACTCGAGAGGTTGCATTACCAATGGTCGATTACAAGGACCTTATTCATGTTGAACCAATAGAAAGGTCCGAGGCGCTAGAGCTTCTCCAAAGAAAGCTTGAACAACAAGGGGAGGCCAAGAAAGTCGACATTTAGTGGAAGAACTTGAGCTTATGCCACTAGCCATCGTACAGGCGGCAATCTATATTAGGAATCGAGCGCCTCGTTGCTCGGTATCCCAATATCTAAGAGACTTCCAAAAAAGTGACCCCGAAGCAACAAAGCTTCTGAAAACCGAAGCGGGTGACCTCTACCGGGATTGGGAGGCTTTTGGTGACGTGGCAACTATCATTCGATCATATTCGCCAAACAAAAGCGTTGGCTGCGGGTATGCTTTCTCTCATGAGATTTTTCGATCGGCAAGGGATTCCAGAGGAACTTCTCCGGGTTCAACACGAGAATAACCATATATCAAGGTCGGAGCTTTCACTTTCACATGACTCTAGTGATGACAAGAGGTTATCTGGATCCGACATATTCGGCGACTGTGAAAATGATATTACAAGACTGAGGGGTTTTTCATTCATCTCTGTTGGCAAAAACAGCGTGTTCTTTACGATGCATAGATTAGTGCAACCAACTACACGTATATGGCTGAAGACTCATGGTCAAACGGAGCGATGGAAGGAGAGGTTCATCAGTAACCTTTACTACAAGTTTCCGACCGGTGAATATGAAAACTGGGAAATATGCCAACCGCTCCTTCCTCATGTTACAGCAACGATGTCGCAGCGGTCAAAATCGCAGGAACCTCTACGGAATTGGGCTATATTGCTTTATAATGGTGCATGGTATGCCTCAAGGAGAGGCATCCTCGTGGATGTGAAGGACATGGCATTGAAATCAAGGAAACAGACGGTACAACTATTAGGTGAAGAACATGAATAGGCCCTCAACAGCATTGCGATACTAGCGGCAGCATGGTTGCTTGAAGGGCACTAGGAGGAGGCCGAGCAGCTCCAGGTGCAAGTGATGGAGACTCGCAAGACAAAGCTCGGCGCGGGCCATCCCGACCCGCTGACGAGTATGGCCAGCCTGGCGTCGACGTATATGAAGCAAGGCCGGTGGGAGGAGGCCGAGCAGCTATTCGTGCAGGTAATGGAAACGAGCAAGACGAAGCTCGGCGAGGATCATCCCGACACACGCTTACGAGTATGGGCTAATATCGCCTTTACCTGGAAATCTTCGGGTCATGATGCCGAGGCCGTCAATTTACTTAGAGATTGCCAAATCAAACAGCAGCAAACATTACGGCGAAATCATCCGGATAATTTTCTAATTCCGAAGCATTGCTGGAATGGGAAGCGGAGAAGCTGGATATGAATGGCTAGATAAGCTAGATACTCGAATTTAAGAATACGTATATACTTATTACTGCCCTATAATTCAGCTCCCCAGGGCTGTTTTTCCATCATGGCTTAGCCCAATGCACACTACGCGAAAATAATAGACCTACCACCTGATCCAACTCTGCTACCAAGAGTGGGGACGGTGGTAACAGAAGAAAGGCCACACGAATGAGGGCCAACAAGGCAGCAGCATTGATTATCGACCGTTTCCGGTATTTAACGCGACCTAGTCTCATAACATGTGGACTTTTCGGTACAAAACGATCCTTGAAATAAAGCTAGGCAAGTTATTACGAGAAAGATTCTATGAACGCAAAGCGGTGAAACTGATTTCGATCCATCCTGTACACGTACGGGGCTGGTCTCACTCGTTGTTTGCAACGCTCCTAAATCACCTTCTCCAGTCCTCAACAGTATTCATCGTTCATTCTGGACCCTGACGTCCGCCCGACCAACATCGCCTCGTTGACCTTCGCCGGCATGGAGCCAGCTGGCGAAGCTGACGAGTTTGACCTCCCAGGTGTGCAGCAAGAGGGGCCCAGACAAAAATACCAACAAAACCCAGGCCATGAACACGAGCAGATACCCCTCCTCAACCACCTGCCCTCTTTACATGATGTTGAAAATGATGATTACGCACAAGACTTTGCCCATCTGCCTTGGTACCGTCGACCCTCAATCGAATGGATCTTAGTTCCCTATCTCGTCCTGGCCCTGATCTATGGCGGCATCATCTCCCCGAAGATCAACCTCATCGTCGACCTAGTCTGTCGACAATACTATTCCGTGCACCGTCTCGCAGACCCTAGCTCCGTGCTTACTATCCCGAGCGCCTTCGACGATGGCGCCCATGACCTATGTCGCACTCCCGAAGTCTCCCAAAGAGTCTCCCTCTTCATGCTGATAGGAGACCTGCTCGGTGCTATCCTTCCCGCCATAGTCAGTCCTCGTTTGGGCGCGTTGTCGGATTTGTACGGCCGGAAGCCCATTTTAATCATAGGCAGCCTCGGATCTATGTGCGGCGAAATCGTCACCATCCTCGCCGCTTCCTACCGGGACACCATCAATGTCAATTGGATGCTTCTCTCGTTTTTCCTGGAGGGCATAACCGGCTCTGCTATCCTGGCCATGGCCATGGTGAACACTTATGCCACCGACTGCGTCCCTGCCCATCGCCGCAGCACGGCTTTCGGCTACTTCAATGGCTGCACGTGCATAGGCATTGCACTCGGTCCCATTTTGGCGGGCTACGTTGTGGAGTGGTCGGGCAGCATCGTCACCGTGTTCTGGATCATGCTGGGCGTCCATGTCTGCTGTGCTCTGTTCGTGCTCTTCTTCGTCCCCGAGTCAGTCTCTAAGCGTCGCCGGGAAAAGGCACTGGAGAAGGCAGCACTGGCCAAGACAGCTCGTCGGGATGGGCCTTCTTCCATGCAATACCTCAACCCATTGACTCTGCTCGAGCCACTCAAGATCCTGTATCCCACGGGCCCTGGCAGTACTCCCGCCCTGCGACGGAACCTCGTGGTATTGGCTGCCATGGACGCCATCATGTTCGGGGTCGCCATGGGGAGCGCCAATGTCTTGTTGATCTACGTCAACTACCAGTTCGGCTGGGGGACCTTCGAATCGGGTCGATACCTGACTATTGTAAACAGTACGCGAGTGGCCTTTCTGATGGTCATATTGCCTGCCATCACCCACTTCGCACGCGGCCGGGGGTACGGCCGGGCTGCATCCAACGAAGGCAGCGACTTGTTTGACCTCAGCATCATGCGGATCGGCATTGCCCTCGAAACCTCGGGCTGGGTCGGGTACAGCCTGGCAGGCCGAGGTGAACTTTTCACATTTTCCGGCGTCGTCGGAGCAGCAGGCAGTGTCTCGTCCCCGGCCTTGCAATCGGCACTCACCAAACACGTGCCGTCGGACCAGACGGGACAGCTCCTGGGTGCTAATGGACTTCTTCACGCCTTGACGCAGATCGTCGCGCCTGTCATCTTCAATGCCGTATTCGCGGCGACCGTGGGCAAGTTCACGCAGGCCGTCTTTGTTTGTCTGGCCGCTACGTTTGGTGCAGCTTTCGTCATCAGCTGGCTTGTCAAGCCTCATGGTGAGTGCGACCAAGGGAAGATCTACCCGGGCATACTGACCGTGCTAACGGGTCTTTTTGACAGTATACTACGATGCGGACGAGGCTTTTACCTCCATCTCGGGATCAACGACAAACGCGGCGTCTGCGGAATGATGGACGAGTCTACGGTTATCCACGTCAGGCCCGTCAGCTGGCTTCGAAGGGAAAACCATCACAGCTGGCCTCGTTGTTCGGCTGTTATACCAGGAGCTCGATGCCCTTCTAATGCCCAGCTCCAAGACGTATGGAGAGCCCAGGAATTTGATGTAGACGCATGCAACGCATCTCCAGGAACTACCTTAACTCTTGGATATTTGCTGTTAGTGTTCCGATGAGCCCCTGGCAGCTGTTGTGTGCAGGTGACTAGGAGCAAGGGCCGTCTTCACTCGAATTGGAAATCGATGCGATTTCTCACACCCATCGAAACTCGGTCAGGTTTGAATATAGCCTGCATTTGTCGTGCGAATAGTACTCATATAATAAGACTCTCCGGGCATCTTTGCCACTGTTTCTGAAACTATTACCCTTGTGACTTTCTTTGATTGTGACGTCGAGTCTCACTTTGCCTTCCCTAACTCAAATTCGGAGGTTCTTTTGGATGACAATCAACATAAAAAAGGGCAGGACATATTTTTTTCTTCGCCCATCTTTCAGTGAGTCCTTGGCTCCTCTGAGCGTGAATCATGGATGATCCTTTCCTGAAGAGCTCCTAAATGTGACCGGAGGTCAGCCTGAAAGTTCACAAAAACCTGCATCATGCCTGGAACTGTTATAACTACGCCTCTGAATTGATCTCCGCATGATATTCTCACTCAAATAAGTAACACCAGATGAACTATAATATTGGCATCACACGCCAAACCTTACTTTGGCAAGTTGCAAACTCTTTGGTATAATGCAATTCATGTCCCTCTTGATAACCCAGGTGAGATTCCCACAGACATGTAATTCGTTCGTAGTGTGAGCGATCACGGTTGTCAATCATTAATCAAAAAAGAAGCCTTTGACTATAAGGAACTCAATGATTTCTAGAAAGAGCCAAAGCATCGTGGGATGAGCAACTCCAACCTGGGAAATTCATGGATAGCCCCCTTCGCTTTCATGAAAACGGATGAAGAACATCTCTTCCAAGAATTCAACTACATACTTATGTCCTACTCCGAGGCTCAGTTTGTGACGCATCCAACCCTCCGGATGGTCATCATTGCATTCGGAATAAATAATGAACGCTTGGAGACAAATTCTGAACAGCATATGGAACAAATATGGGGATTACTATCAAACACGTACAAACACACATGGGATACGAGAACCAGAAAGACAAGCAGTGTGAAAAACGCGTTCTCTGATCAGGAGCAGTCAAATTGCTCTCATATTAGCCATGCTCGAAGAAAACTAGCAAGCCACCCAATTGACCCTATACCTAAGAATCACATATCTGAGACTCGTTGTCATCAACTTCCCTCTGACATCTATTTCCCTTCACGAGTACCGTTAAGGGATTCGCTCGCAACCATCACAATCCACTGCCAGGAATGACACCGCTTGCTCGCTCTATGCCACATACGCCGACAAACCGACAAACTTCACCAGAACCTCCCGCAAGAGGGCATTACCACCCTCCCTTCCGCCCCCTTCCTAAAACGCCCCTCCAGCTCGACCGGAACAAACAAACCCGGCGCAACTTCCCCCTGAGCTCATTGCCAAGCGCAACAACGACAAAATAATGGATCGCATTCCGCCTCGACAGAGACTCTATAGGATAGGTCCAGGATGCTAGGACTCGTAAACATCCCCGGCTCTACGCGAACCAGCACGGGTTTGGCCCCTACCAATGACCAAATCTTCAAGATGATCTTGGGGAACGAGACCAAGCTAATCTCAGCACTGGATCTCCAAGGAATCAAACCCTCCGAGAAACGGCTGAACTACGTCCTCAAGGAAGTCCCCCAGACTACGCAAGACTACCCGATACTCCGTAGATCTATTCGAACTCGCAGGGGAGGCTTTCGCACAGACTGGGCGGCTTGGCCCGATTATTGTGCGGCACAGCCAATACGCGAGTCACGAAGGAGACGCTTTCAACTGTTTAGGTCTAGCAAGATCTCCTAGCCAATGCTCTTATGTACGACTACGGATGCCCACTGCTCGACCCGGCCTGGCCCTTCGAGCCGTATTGAGAAGCGATTCGCCGCAACAACTTGATGGCCTTCCGCCGGAACCACCCTAAACCCCCAGAAGGCTCCTCTCCTCGCCACCGGCAGGTGGGCGCGGCGAAGACTGCATCGGAGCCGAAGGCTCCCAGACCTCTAGGGTAGAGACGCAGCTCTCTCTCAAGAAGCGCCACCTGCACTCCTCAGTCCGTCTCATGAATAAAGACCAACAGGACCGACAACTACGATATAGACGGTTTTGGATGCTCTGCCAGCCCCTTTCGACCCCGCCCCTCGAAATTGCGGGGCGAGTCTTTGTGACATGCCTGGAATACTCCTACGCTTTCCGACGCGCTGCTCTGGAGAGACGCTCTGCTTCAGATGATATCGAATAAGACTGGAATCCTGCCTTATATCAATATCGACGTACCCTGGACTTCACCTCCAAAGCAGCGAAGCTGACGAGACAGCTAATAGAGCTGACAACCCCCCCCCCCCCCCCCCCCACAGGCTTAGACGGTATTAGGTCTATGCCAGCGATTTAAATCAGTGCCCTTGGGCTAGCAAAGCGCTGAAAACCTCGAATAGACCGCAAAGCAAGAGATACTACCTGTCATAAGAAGTCAGTATTCGATTCATGGTAACGTAATTCACTACCGAGTGGGCCACCACAGAACACCATATTAAATGCTGTTTTTTACATCATTATATCTCAACAATCGGGGCTCGTATAGAGAGTAAGCTCTAAGGTCATGTTCTATATAGTAAACATAGTACTTAAATGGAGTCTAGGCAATTTGGGTAAAGGAGTATACATATTTCTAGTTTTTAGCTAGGTTACAACGTAATTTATGGTGTTATGAATAAATGGCGTTTTGTTCGGCTTAAAATTAATATCTACTATAAATAATGCTTATCAATACGAGTATACATATATTGGAACAAATTAGAGCGATGATTCTTGAGACATAAGGTTGTAAAAAACAGCATTTAATATGGTATTTTGCGGTGGCCCACTCGGTGGTGTGGCCCAATCGATAGTGAATTACGTTATAGTAGAAGAAAAGGTAAATATAGGATTGGGCATCGCAGCAAGGCAGGCAGTTTCCCGTTCTCTTGCTCGGGAATCGTCAATTGATGAGTTGGTGACTGATTTTTCCTGCTCACATTGAGTCCATTGCCGCATAGAGGAAGCCATGTTTGAATCCATTGTTATAAACTGAAAAGCAATAACTTTCCTGCAAAACCACTACTGTATGCTTGGAATGATGGTCTTTATAACGGATAGGATGTGCCGTGTGATGTGCTTACTGGGAGCGCGTTGGTTTGATTGATTGATTGATTTGTGTCGGAATGCAGCGGGATAGGTGGATCCCCAGGAACCAGGTCAGTCAGACATGGGAATAATTTCGGGCAACAGGACCCCTCTAGATTAGATTATTAGTGGGTCTCCGTTTAAGGTTAATCCGGCTTTGCAATACACTTCAAAAACTCCACCCTGCCCACTCACTTTCTCTCTACCCAAAACCTTACATGAGTAAGCTTCCGTGGCCACTTCGACTTCGAAGAGAACTCGCTGTTACTGCATTGTTCAAACCCAAAATGGCGCGCGACGACTTCCTGAAGAGCTCTGCTACGTATGAGAAGTTCAAAGCGCGTACCGAGAAGGGTGAGATGCAGCTATCGGAATACTGAAAGGTAGGTGTGCTGGACTATTTGAAGAAGTAATCTTTGATGATGCATTACTGCAGCATTCTCCATCGGCAGAAATGACTCTATGCAGTCTTCTGCAGAAGAACACCCTATTTCCCCTTCCCTCCTTAACATTGGTGTAAACAGCATGTTTGCCTAGTACAATTAAATCAAGTCTGCTTCAGCCTTTGACAAGAAAACCTTGACTACAAACCTTGACTACAGTAGTACCCTTCCAAAAGATGCTAGATTTACTCATTGAGATTGTACTGCGGCCGTACACCGTGACATCTCATAACCCATCTTGTCTTAATCTTCACCCGCTACAGACCCACACACCTGGACCTGCAGCTGTAGACGAAGATGACATGTTTAGGTCTCTCTCGAAAGAAAAGATATGCCTACAAACACTTACCCCTACACTGATCAACAAACCATTCCACACCCCATGAGGCTTGATTTAAAGGGCTACGGGACTTTACAACACAGGCTACGGTAGGGTTTTCTACCGTAACTCCATGATGGCCATCTAGGCCCGGTCTCATGTGTTTTGGAAAGTTAGCAGACCCCATTATGACTATCATCGCTACACGGTTTGACATAAGATAATGGTGATGCTTGGCTGCTATAACCATGTCGGTGCCATCTTTTCTTTGATCTGCCAATTGAACAACGTCACTCAGGCCGCGAACTGTGTGAATAGTAGGACGAGGAACACCAGTTTCCAAGTCCCTCATAAATCCAAACGCTCCATTTCGGCGCTTCAACGGAGCGCGACATAATGTATCGGGTGTGCGCAATGGAGGTGAGGTGTCATGCGGAGATTTACGTGACACTATGTTGTGCATCAGCGTTCGTGACGCATGCACCTGCAGCTACCTGGAGCTTTGTAACCGTTGTAGCAGTCGTAGCTCAAGGCGCGCAGTGTAGCGATACCGGCTTTGATGGCGTCCTGGTACTGCGAAACTTGCTGCTCTTCAAGCAGATGGGCATGGTTCTCGTCGAACCACTGTTCAAGCGTATTGATTAATTCCGGCAGTGGATTGGAAATCGCTTCGTTGGTGCAGGTCTGGTTCTTGGCAATCCAGGCTAACCCTTCCAGTATCTCCGGAATACAGCACTCGTCCCAGAGGACTCCCCCTTCCAGCAAACAAGGCTCGGGAGTGAAGACAGAATGAACAACGCGTAAGGCAGGGGGCATCAACAGAACGTCGTCTTGTTCCAAGATGACGATACGTCCTTTTCCTCGAGGCGACCAGTGGCACCCTTTTTCAGCAAAACTTTGCCAATCATCTGCATCCATGTTGGGAGCAATCATCCAGACTTGGCGGCCAAGCAGACAGCGAACCCAGGTGCCAACAGAGAAGTCCATTTGTGATCGGGAAAAAGCACCCGAGAATGCGAAGAGATTGAAATGAAGATAATTCTCAATGTCAGCTGGTTTTCCATGAAGCCTTTTCCCGATCATGCCATTGGCACGGTCAATAAGGGTAGACAGTAGGCGAAAGCGGGTCAGTCTCGTCAGCAACGGTTCGTCAGCCCTTGCTATACGGCCCAAGTTGATGGCATTGCTGACAGGAGCAATGGCATCAGATGAGGTCAGATCAAGCTTAGAGACAGCCAAGCAATAGTCCGGGATTGTCATTGGGGAACAGACACCGGTCTGACTGTTTTGGACATCCACGGACTGCTCAGGAAAGCGTTGCCACAGCATCTCCATGTATTCTTCGAGGTTATACATGCCGCTATCCAGGAACGTCTGCTTCACGACTACAGGGCATCTGAACACATAACCGCTGTCAGCGTAGCGACGGAAACGATCCCAGCTGAGATACCAGATGTCGGCCTCCTCAGACGACGCAGAGCTCTTGCCAAGCAAGTCCTCTGGTTCTGCATAAATGCTGGCCCAACGCTGTGGACGCAACCAGTCTAACTGTAGACGGCGCTGATGCATGATGCTAGGTTCTGGGTGAGGTCGGCTAGCTTCCTGCACGAGTCTTTGGACCGTTGTTGAATGGCGAGACTGGATTGACTCTAGTAGCGTTCCCGACAAAGTATGGCTCTCGGTCTGGGTACCACCAGTATTGTGAGGCAAACGATCCGTTTCAAATGAAGCGGGAACCGGAGTAGGACATTGCTCGGAGTCAGTCGAGTTAAGGAAGAAGGCAGTGCTTGGATTCGGTGCACGTGCTGAGCTATGGCTGGAATTGACGCCCGTATTGACCTCGGAGGGAATTTCCTGGAGACGAAACTCCGATTCCACTGGGGTTCTCGGGAAAACCACCGTGAATAAATCACTCTCGCTGTTTCCGTAAAGATCTTGTCTGGTTTGTATAGCGCTAGCGGATTCCACGTCCGCCCTATTGTGTTGAAATAGTGTACTACTGCGACTTATTTGAGCCGATGATGCCAATATCCGAGTCGAGTCTCCGCCATTGCGCAGTGTCTCTGGATCTGTGCCTTGCCTTGCTCCTCGAGAAGTTGCCGCCCGATTATTTGCATTTCGCTTTAAACTTGAGCCGTCAGCTTCGCGGATTTGTGCAGCATTTGTACCCCCATGAGGTAGGACATCCGAAGCAAACTGCTTTGATCCCTCTTGTGCTGTCAATGCTGTCAGGTTCATTGAGGTATCCGTGCTTGAGACTGGACCGATAGCTTTGGATGCGTCTGATAGTTGAATGTGAGCTTCTGCGCTTCCTCGATTTGCCTCATCTTCCTCGTCTTCTCCCTCTTCCTCTTCTTCCCTCACTTCTGCTTCTTCGTCTCCTTCCACCCCCTCCCTTACCTTCCGCATTTCTGTTTCTGTTTCGCTCTCCAGCTCTATTCCCAACAATTCGTCCTTGTCCCATTCATCTGGAATCTCCCTTCCCCCCTCTTCGTCTTCCTCTTCTGCGTGAACTTCCACTTCCATTCGCTCCGCTTCCAGGTCTGGCCCTCCCTCCACATCCCCGGCAGTGGATGTAGCGTTCACCCCAGGCACGTCGTTTGCTTGAGAGGTATTCACTTGCCCTTGAGCTACTTTCCCGTTCTCTGCTTCATAAAGCGGAGACTCGGCGACCACTATCATCACGGTTCCCGTTCCTCCAGCTCTCATCGCGTTTCGAAATCTCTCAGCTCCTTTTGCCTGCTGTCGTTCCACATGTGGTCTCAGCGTCTCCTGTTCTGTCACTTCTCCCGCCATCCCGGTCTCTCCAAAGTCGTCCTTCCCAGATCCCCGTCCGCTAGCCCCGTCAGTTTCTACGTCTGTCTCCACTTCTTCTATTTCTTCTTCTTCCGTTCCACGTTCATCTACACCCTCTCGATCTGCCTCTTTTCCAGCCGTAACATCTCCCTTTGCTGTTTGTCCCTCCGCTTCTGTCTCCATTTGCCTGCGGACAGGCTCTTCACCCGCACCCGTTGCTTTCTCTCCATGTCCGTCTTCAGACTCGGATGCTTGCGAGTCGACTGTTCGGGTAGATTGTTCTTGGTCGTGGTCGCCCTCCTTTGTGCGCAAGCCGGTTGAGTCAAAACTCCCTACACTACCAACACCAGCATGCGGACCACCTTCACTGTTGTCGGTGTCGTCGTCTATTCCATGCTCTTCTCCAAAGCCCACGCTTGTCGACCGGGACGAAACATCCCTTGAAGTATCCCTAGTACGCGATAGACTCTGGTAACCCAGTGGCGTCGGTGTGCCTGGCACATCAGGAAACAATGGTCTGAAAGCACCGGTCGTCGACAGTTTGAGTCGCTTCGCCGGCCGGTCGGAAAGTACAGCGTGGCTTAAAGCGTCGTCGGCCATGACCGGTATAACCATGCCGTAGCGGTCGCGCTTCAACCAGAAGTCCTTGATAGGGGTTCCGTTGATACTCCGGGTCGAGTCTTTAAGGTTTTGAATGTGTTCCCGAGCTTCCGCAGACGCTGCTTTCTGGCGTGCCCAATCCAACGCCGCCAAGATGTCCTTGCGCTCGACCGGCGACCACGGATCTTGCACTTTGGAGCCGGTGGAATGTTGGCCTATGCGATGGGCATAATTGTTTCCCCGCAACACACTTAGTTCGTGGCGCGCCAGCATCCTCGAATTGAGCAGATGTACAACATCTTCCCAGCGAGATATTAACAGGGCAAGATCATGCAACTTTCGCATCAGGTCGAGCGGCAAAGCCTGCCAACCGTAGTGCTGGAAGATGTCTGGGCCCCATATGGCGATTATTCCGGACTGATGGCGAAGGTGCTGGCTCTCACGATCTCTCGAATTTTGAAACTTCTGCGCTAGCGCATCGAACTCATCCCATTGCCGTGCATCGTTCCCATTGTCATCGGAGGGAGGTAAGCTATTTCGAAGCAGCGGACGGAAAGCGGCGGCGATATTTGCTGCGAGCTTGTTTAGGGCAAGTATTTTGTCGCGATAGGCCCGATGAACCCGAGCCAGTTCCTGCGTTCCCTTGCAAGCCTGAGCATCGCGATAAAAGCTGGCGGCAAAGCTCATCGCGATAGCCGCGGGCGATGGTTGCAGCGTCATCACATCCAACGTGACGTCAGGGTCGCATTGATGCCGAAGAGTTGGGTGATTGGCCATCATGTGTACCAAGCGCAGGGTCGACTTCGATGGGAGAGGGTGGATAACGGGCGTTGTAGCGATGCCGGTGTGGGTTACTACTATGACTGTTGGAGAAGAAATTAAGTAGAAGTGATGAACTTGCGCAAGGCACACTAGGGTCGACCGATCTTTGAAAGGGGATTACGTGGCATGCGTGTGTTTATCACGTGATTGGTGAGCAAAAAGCCGAGAGGAAGTGAGAGACGACTCAGAGAGGAGAAAGAAGACTGATCTGTCTGTCAGGATGACGGATGGACCGGATGGCCAGGACACCGGGAAGGACGTAGTGGGGATCGAAGGCCCGGGCAGGACGGCGCGGGCAACCCCACAAAGATGTGGAGAGGACATCCTGTCGGAACGAACAGCCTATGACTCCTGGTCCTGCGGGCCCTGCGCGTCGTGCAATCCGTGGTCGTGCGGATCCCACACGCTCTGCAAGTCCGAGTCCTACTCTCCCTATGTGTCGTGTAACTCGTAGTCGTGGTTCCCGTGTGCGTCCTACAACTGGTGGTTCTACTGGAAGAGATCCTAATGATAACTCTCACAGCTCTCTTGAGCCTTTCAGGGTATGAAGTAAGTGTTGATAGATTTTTCTTAGCACACTTTTTATCATGAATATGACTACATCAAACTTATACAGATTGAACACTTAAAATAAAATAAAGATAGCTTAAACGTATGCTTTCAAATAACAACTATAACTCCTAATTGACACTGCGAAGAAGCTCTTCTTTCTTCCTTTGAAGGGCCTAAATCCTTTGTTTTCGCTCAGGTTCTGCAATATTTCGCTATAATCGAGCCTCTTCATTAACTAGACACTGACTTTAAGAGAACTGCTGAGATACACTATCCTGCGGCGCTAATCTAGATGATTTAGTAAGGACTTGAATTACCTCTCTGTCGAGGTGCCCTAAATTACGCGTCAGGTATAGGTAGACTATGTACTGAGCTTACGTCACTTGTATCTTCAGTAACCACTAAAAAATAATCATTGATATCCAGAAGTTCGGGTGGCTATATTGCTAGCTCAAGTCTGTCATAGGGATTATTTAAATTGTAAGGGAGGTATGTGTTAGGACCACGCCCGGGAAACGCTAGCCAACAAAGCCAAAAGACTATCATTACCCACGAGCTGACGAAACTCGTAGATCCTGGCCCTATATACCATATAGGAGTCGTAACAGTATGACTTCTATATCCAGCGATTTACAGAAGAACGATGACGTTGATCTTAGACAAAGTGAGCACATGTGTAGCGTATGTAATAAGGTAACAACGAACCTTTTTTGCGATATTGCTTTGCAATCCGGCTTACTGGTTTCTGTCACTTTGAAAAAGCTTAGCTTATTCCTATGTACAATAGATGATTAGGTAATGCTCGTCAAGTTCGTCAAAAAACAGACGTCGCGAATCTATTGTTCGTCATAGTTTTTGGTCAAATCGAACTGATATTCACGCCATATGTGACCGGGTCACATGGTAGCCTTGGGGCCATGGGCCAGTTGGCGGAGAATTGTTTGTTTGTTTATTCTAGAATGATCTGTGCAGGAAGCTGGAGGCTTCCGGAGAAGTCCCGTTTGTAGCAAGAGGGGTTAAAAGAGCCCTCTTGTCCTGCCTTCTCTCTTTCTCCTTTTCTCTTCAACTTGTTGTTTTAGTTCTTTAGGACCTAATTGAGATTTTCCCCCTCTTCTAGCTTGCCTGACGGTAACATATTGACCCAAACCGAGGAAGATTCGCTTACACAATAGATACTCTCTATGAATGCACGTAGAGCAGTGTTACCGCAGGAATTGCGACTCTCGCTCGCGGCTGTGCCATTGCCGGTGAAGCTGGTAAGTAGTTCCGCAGGAACTTCAATGTTGAAATGGAAGCTCTGGATATATGCATGTATAAATGCATACACCTAAAATTTTGACGCAATTTCATTGACAGGTTCTTGGACAGACATGGCCGCTTCCTGTGGTGCTCTAAACACCCATTTGGCAAGATAAATGATAACTTGTTCATCTATGTTGCCTGGAACACGGTATTCGAGTGGTGTTGATGGCCCTTTTCCCGCAATGAAAAGATGGTTTAGTTGTTCATATAAATGGAATTGGACATTGTGTTTTCCGTGGAGAGCCGTTTGCCATTGTTGGTAATCATCTTGAACGGTGACTTGATAGTCCCTGCCGCCCTGCATGACGAGAATAGGTTTCCCAATAGAGCTCGCAGTTCCAATGGGGTTGAACTTGCGGTAGTCAAGCCAATAAGAGGGGCCTATCCCAAAGGGAAGTTGCGTAGCGGGCGTTGACAACGTGAGATGATCGCTATCTGCTAAATCGGCCTGCGCCTGCATTTCATCAATCCGCTTGCTTAGATATAATGCTTCTGGGCCATCTAACGATTGAATATAGCGAAGCTGTCGGATCAGACATCGATACATTGGCTCCGCCGGTCCAGCCATGATAATACAGCCTGCAACCGAAGCGTCCATAGCCGCGATTATAGGAGCAACCACCGCACCGAGGCTATGTCCGAGAACAAAAACTCGATTAGGAAGGATACTCGGATGGTTCTGGCACTGTAATATAGCGTCGACTGCGTGTTCGACATATTCGTCGGTCAAGATCATATTCTTGCGATTGCGAAAAGCTTTGGGGTACGTGCGAGTCACTTTGTCGAACCGAATAGATGCAATTCCCTGACGAGCTAGACCCCATGCAAGGTCTTTGAAAGGCCTGTTCTCCTCCACTGTCGAGTCTCGATCACATAGCCCCGAGCCCGCCAGAAAAACCATACAAGGGAACTTTGGTATTTCGGCTTGCTCTTCCGTGGCATTAGGTAAACAAAAACTTCCTCCGACCTTGAAATCTCTTTTCCCGAGTGTAATTTCGAATTCGTGTGCATCTTTATCGGCATAGCAGGGCATCTGCAAGCTAACTCCGAGACCGAGCGCTCTCATTGGGAGAAAGCGAAGATCCACGAGACTGCCTGCCGAAGTCATTTGTAGCAGCATACCGAATTCTGCGTGCTGGAATCTTAGTGGCACCTTGACAGACGTCAGCCACCATCCGCTGATAATAATTGGAGCGCCAACGCTCTCTAGCGGTCCGAAAGCTTTGCACACAATCTTACAGCTCTTCCCTAGCAGAGACTCCGAGAGGAAAAATCGGACAAGTGGGGTAAATTCCAGTCTCAACTCCGCCCAACTCTCACTTTCCATTTGTCGAAGAACTTCCCGGACGCGAAGTCGAGTTTTTAACAAATCTGGACGCCGCGACGTGGTCAGATTGGTTAAATGCACTCCCATCCATTGAGCCAAAGCAGCCACCTTTGCCCAAATGAAGCAAGCCATTTCCTGATTTTGTACTTGGCGGCCACTAACGGAAAGAAGCGGCAATAGAGGGCAACAGCTATTGAAACACACAGACGAGAATTATGTTGGTCTACTAGAATTAGTCATTCACAGCAGAAGCACAGCCTTCACTGTGGAAGAGGTAATGGAGACAAAGGCTACGAAGGAAAGGAGAAAGGGAGAAAATGGGCGCGAATCAGGCCAGATTGCCCGCCCCTTCTGAATCATTGTGTAGAACAATGGGGGCTTACTGTAATTTACAATGACTCAGTTGTTTTTAGAGTAACCTGATACGGGGTAGCGTGGCTTCGGGTACGGGCCGAGGGTGACCCTCCTGACCATCCACCCGCACGGCCCCACGATGGGCGGCCTCAGCATTTTCCTATTTGAGAGCCTTTAAAAAGTTCCAGTTTATGGTGGAGATCCATGAGAGTGGAGCCGAGAACGACGTTACATTTTCCGACTACTGTACTCCGTCGGAATAGCCGGATGTTTTCGAATCGATAATTTTTGATAAATACAGGTACTGTATTGAATATCAACCCAATACGTAACTTGAGAACATCACGATACACATCCGACCGCCACTAACAGAACCCTAGAATACTTCCGGAGACCAACTAACCAACCCCGCATTTCCTAAGCCCTAGACTTTTAAGTCATGTCTTCTGCGCCGTAGCTGGCGATTATATCCAGATGATTACACAATGGCGTCTACAGGAGAACCGCCTTCATTCAACATCACTCCATTTGAATTAAGTGAATCAGCATCGACCTTAATCAGTCGCATGAATAAGTCCATCAATGACCTTGCGCTTTCTGTTTCGCCGGAACAAGCATCTTTCGAGAACACCATTCTCCCATTCGCAAACATCGAAAATGAAATCAAAGGGAAAGTTCAATACATGGCTTTATTTCAGGCCGTGTCCCCTGATCCGGAGATGCGCAAGGCATCTTCAACTGCTGTCAGTATAGTCGACAAAGCTTACCTTGGCCTATTTCAAGATCGTTCATTATTCGCGCTAGTTCATGCTGTACAAAGCACATGTCTACAAGATACGATCGATGCTGAGGATCGCAAGTATCTCAAAAGGCTTCATTCGCTGTTTTGGAATAACGGGATTGGGCTAGAAGGGAGTGCAAGCGAGCGTTTCAATACAATTTCTGACAGGTTAATGGAATTGCAAGTCTCGTTCATGGAAAACCTTGGTTCAGATCCCGGTCGTATCTGGAAGACTGAGGATGAGCTTGCTGGTTTGGCACAGCAAGAACTTGACGACTTAGTGTCAAATGGTATTCTGTTGAAAAGGTCGCGAATCAATATGGTCCTCTCACGTTGTCACAACAGTGATACTCGTAAGGATATCTTCCTTCGAGGCCAAAATACATTCCCCGAGAACGCATCTCTACTTGAGGAAACATTGATTCTTCGAGATGAAGCAGCCAGGTTACTCGGTTTTAGTTCATTCGCAGCACAAAAGGGTGGCGAAAAGATATTCAGCTCTCCTGAATCAATTCGGAGGATGCTTGACGAGCTTGCAGATTATTTGCGTCCAATCGCACGAAAAGAACTAAAAGAACTACGATATCTGAAGAACAGCTCTGATGGTTCTTTCTTTTTGTGGGACTTTGATTACTACCATGATCTCCTTCTACGAGAGCGATACGAAGTCGACCACGAGCTCATATCGGAATATTTTCCGGCCTTGTTCACAACTGGAAAAATGCTAGTGGTTTTTGAGGCTATATTTGGATTGTCAATCCAAGAAATCAAAGATCTGCCTCAGGAAAGAACTTGGCATCCAGAGGTACAAGTCTTCCGGGTCGAAGATGCGGAGACATCGCAGCTTCTAGGGTTTCTTTATGTGGACATCTTCCACCGAGCAGGAAAGTACAGCCATGCAGCCAATTTCAATATTTATCCAGTTGGTTCTTCTATCTCTTGAAGCGTTTCGGAGCTCATTCATTATACACAGTGGTATAAAACTCGAAAAGGCGAAAACGCCCCTGTTGTATGCACAGCCCTAGTGTGCAATCTATCTGAACCATCTCCAGGAAAACCGATGCTTCTGAAACATAGGGAGGTTATCACTTTATTTCATGAGCTTGGACATGGTAATCTCTCTCTCGAGTCTTGAAATTTGTCTTCTGCTGATTAAGTTCCCCAAAGGGATACATGATCTCCTGGGACGATCCAAATATGCCACATTCCACGGACATCGAACGGTCACCGACTTCAGAGAAACACCAAGCCAGCTTCTTGAATACTGGTGTTGGGTTCCTGAATGCCTTCAAATGCTGAGCTGCCATTATAAGAATCTCTCATTGAGTAGCAGCACAGAATTTACGGCATCGATCAAAGACACTAAGCCCAGTTCTTCCCTTCCGGATCATCTAATCCGAAGTCTTTCTGCAGCGAAAGAAGTGAATCAAGCTATTTCGACACTGAGACAAATTGCATTTAGCAAGTTTGATATGGAAATTCATCATCCAGTATCCCACAAAGATATCATTTCGATGAACCTTGCTGAAGTATTTAATACGTTACTACAGCAAACAACTCTCCTCAACGGCCCTGAAAATAACTTGAAATGGGGTAATGGGTATGCAACTACACCACATTACATTTGGGGACAGGAAGCAAACTATTACTCCTACGTGTAGTAAGTTCCGCATTGGTAGCTTGTCTAAATTTACATGTTTCAGTGATACTCATATTTATCACAGCACGCGTATGCTCGCAGCTGATATATGGCACTCGCTGTTTTCGAGAAATCCAATGAGTCGAGAAGCTGGAATGAAATACCGAGCAATGATTTTGGAGCCTGGTGGGACTGGAAATGAATTGGGCGCCGTTGAGAAATTACTCGGGAGGAAACCCTTACCAGAAGCATATTTGCGAGATTTTGCTCCTTCTACATAGTCAATATCATTCTCTTCTGTTCCCAGGAGCGAATATACTAGCTGTTTACCAATCCACTCCATCCAGACCACCATAAAACGTTTCACTAGATCCCCACATATCAGTTGGATTATTGGACCTTATTTTCCGATGGTTCGAATTAATAGCTTGTACCTCTTCCTCGGTCAATTTAATGGACTGTGCTTTGAAGCTCTCCCACACCCTTTCCTCGTGATCACTTTTGGGAATGACAATAACTCGGCGGTGCATATTTCAAGCGAGAACGAGCTGTGCCACAGTTATTTCTTTTAGAGCAGCTATCTCGGACAAGGAAGAGTCATTCAGTAAAGGCGTGACGGGTGATTGATAGATCGGATTCATATTTCCAAGCGGGGAGTAGGCAATGACGCGAAGCCCCTGTTCCAAATCCAATCCACGAATTTTTGCTGCTGAAGAAAAGGATGGCTTCCAAACTCATGTACAGTTGGGCGAATGTCGTTTATACAAAAGCCCGAAGCTATCGACTTGACAGGCATTTTGACTATCACCGGAGGCACACTCATGTTCCTTTATAGCCTCCAGCTCGCTGCAACCATGGTCAATGGTCCTCATCAGTAAGAGACCCCAAGCCCTTGATGCATAGTAGACTAAACCGCTCCCCTTGTACTCTATAACGAGATCTGATGTGCCTCCGTCAAGAGGCGAGCTACCGTCTCGTAGCCCCCTGTGTAAAAGAAATGTATCGCGGTATACTCAGCAGCGTGATTATGCTGCTCCACGCACAGATCTTTGGGTGCACACAAAAACTTAAAGATGCCGAACTCTGTGAATCCTCTCATTCTTGGTCGTGATCACAAGAGGTTATAGTTGTCATTTATATGTCTATTTTTGCGTGGTTCATATTCGGCGGGGGCCGGCCAGCAGCGGCAGAGCTTGGGTGAGTCTCAAATTGATGGAGTTGCTGTCATCGTTGTTGATGTCCATTTTCCCTGTGCTGAACGTAAAAAGCGCCGAAATCGATAAAGCTAGTACGATGCTGATTCCTACCGGCTCGAAATTGTGTTGAACTGGCCAGTATATAGCACAATGCTACTACTATAGGGGATTATGCTTCTCCAAACTGGAGCAAGGAGTAGCTGAGGACCAATCATGTCCTAGCACTCATAAACAAGCCATGGACGTTCTTCTAAGATTGTTCGAAGAGTCAGTTCTCATCACAGAGCCACAAATCGTATATTAATCGAGACAGCCCGCTTCATCTTTTGCCATGAATCTCTCGGCTACGGCATGAGTTTAGCGATGTTTAGAAGACCAATTAATTTCAAGAATAGCTAAGTTTAGTCGGTAAATCAACCCTTGAACAGTACCATAAGAAAGGCTATCATCTATCAGGTAAATAGCTCCAGACAGAGCCAATGCCCAAATTGAAGAGAAAATAGGCAGACCGTCACTGCTAACGTTCAGATCATTGTGTCTTCTGTCTTCTTTGCCTTCACCTTTTTCCCTCTTCGGCGCTTCAGGGCATCCGGAGTGTATTCGGTGTCAAGGAGGTAGTCCCACCAGCGGAAGCTGCTTGAGTAGTTCCCAATGAATTTCTCATGGTGGAGGTCGTGATGATCAGCACCAGCCCAGAAAGGCAAGAAATGGTGAAGACTGCAAGGAAATTCGTAGCCACTGTGGGCATCAATAGCCTGGAACAAGCGCAACACAATCCAGATATACATAGTGAGAATATGCAGGTTACCGGTGAAAGCACACCAGAGGATCGGGCAGCTGACGGTCCCGAAGCCGAGAATCATCACTTCAATAGGAGAAGCATATTCGGCGGCCAAACCAAATGGTGCGGAATACTGATGGTGAATTTTGTGAATAGCCTTGTAGAGTGGACCCCAATGAAGAGCTCGGTGGAAAGAATAGTGCCAAGTGTCCTCCATCACGAAAAATATTGCAATCTGATATATCATAGTCCAGGGAGACGGAAAAGGAATGGATGTTGATAGACCGCAGAACTGGGCCGTTGGGTGGAAAAGCCTAGAAGAGCCGTTACTACTCAATCGGGCCCGAGAGGCAAACGTCAGGTAGAATACCACTCCGTCGAGGGCAGGAACATACCAGATTTGAGGAAGTTCGACGGTGAAGTGGCTCAGAAGCACAAACTTGGCGCAATCCCATTGCTCGAGTAATGAAGGTACTTTGCTCTGAAGCAGAATGTTAGTTTCGATGGCGGCTGGAATTGGGTTGATTTCGGCTAGTGCCAGGTGTTAGGCTTGCCACGTACACTTTGAATCTTGTATCTCTTGAAGAAACTCAAGCTATCGATGAAGATCCACGGAAGAGAGCGGCCGAAGTAGAACAGCTCGTGGATGACGAAGGACATGATGCCGGTGGCCAGGACATCATTCTGCACCCACGCATACCATGCGACCCACAATCTCTCTGCCACGCTCAAGTGGGTATTGAATCTGGTGATATCCTGATATTGGCCCCAGAAGGTGCCGGGGGGCAGCACGGTAGAATTCCTAGGAGAAAAAGGGTCAATATGCGACAAATTCCACAAAAGAGTATAATTCAACCACCCAGAATGGGGGGTGGGTTGAAAAAGCGGAGGAGACACAGACATTGTGGTTCCTAGCAGGTCTTGAATAAGAGAAAAGAAGCAGAGGCTGAGAGAAGGAGAAGACTATTTCGTGAAGATGGGAGTAAAAAAAGAAAGGATCTGGGCGAAATCCTAATCCTGCTAAATTGAAGATACCACATGCAGGAAGGTTCCAGGCAGCCAAACAGAGGCGGGCAAATGCGCATTATCCGGTGTGGTGGGGCTTGGATGGCTATCGGCCCGTCTGTGGCCTGACCTTTGCGGCGCTGATGACTTTTGTGTTCCGGCTCCCGGTCTCACCACTTCGGGAATGGCCTACTCAGAGTTATCGAAAGCAGTACTGGTTCTTACAGTATTTGCAAGATCTGGTAGGGCCACGAACAGTTTCCGGAGGTGTCGTTCGCCCGGTGCCGCAACTTGTAAGTACGGCAATTTTCTCGATCTACCAAAGATACACCAAGCAAAGAGAGTGGAGACTTTCCTAGTGAATTAAGATTAGCGCGGCTTGGGTAGAGCGCTGGGAAAGAAGGCGTGTGTTAAAGGGGTAATCCGTTTTCGAATTCTACTGTACTATATCTGGTGTAAACGTAGAGAACCCACGGTCGATTGTCTATCAGCGCGCTTTAGGCGGGTGCTTCTGTGAAAATTTTCAATAAACAAGGGGTGTTATACTGATAACATTTTGGTCATGATACAGCGCTGCGACCCATGAACGGCAACTCAGCGAATAGGGGCGAATTCTAGATATAAGGCCATGAGTTTTGATCTAGTCGATTGTTGCTTCTCTTCTACTCGACGTCTTGTATGTGGCGCGAATATTTGTCCCATGTAGTACCTCATAATGCGCTCTCTTTCGTCATATCATTATTCATGGCTTGACCCTTCCAAAGCCTCTATCTTCAAACCTGCATGACGAAAATGGCCCTGAGTATTTTCTTCTCTTGCGCCGACCATATTGACACACCATCCGAGGAAAACATCGAAACTTTGATCGGTATCCTTTTCATAATAGGTCCAATTACGTTTGATGAAACTTTTGAGCTCAGCAAAAAACTCTTCAATCGGATTTAAATCAGGTGAATAAGGCGGCAGATAGACCAACTTCACACCAGCTTCCGCGCACATTTGCGCAATCGACTCTGAGTGATGAAATGATACATTATCTATCACCAGTACGGATTTAGGCTCCGGCCATCGTCCACAATGCTGGAGAAGCTGGGCAATAAAGTCCTCAAATACGGCAGCATCTGTGGAGCCACGGAACATACGGGACAGGACAATGCCATCCTGAGCATATGCAGGCAATATTTGATATCGGTGGTCTCGGTGAAACTGCGTTACTTGCAAAGGCGTCCTGCCCAGCGGTACCCAACCCGTGCGTCTAAAACCGGCTCGTTTATCTCATGTGGATTCATCAACATATACAAGGTGATACGATTGAAAGTCGGATAGCTTGTGCAAGTAATAGTCACGCAAATCGGCATTCTGCTCTCTAGACTGCGCCATAACCCGCACTCGTACCCAACCCAGCGGGTTACAAATTCAGATTTGAAAACCCGCAAATAACGTATTTCACAAGCGAGCGGCTCACACAAGCGAGCGGCTTACCTCAAAACACCATAGTAAATGCGATATTTAAGAACACAATATTTCAACAACTACAAGCTTATTCTATTTAGCTTTCAGTAATTCACTAATTTATAGCAAAAATAGCCTAATTTAGGGGTCTGGGATAATTTAATTATCATATCACTACGTTTACCATAAAATACAATGTATTTAAGCTCTCTAAGCTTGAAATATATGTCTTCAATCCACCACATCTTGAAAACTTTCGAGACCTTCAAAATACTCCAGACCCAATAAAGAATATATTTATACAGAAAGACTTTACGAGAAGCTATAGTTGTGGAGATACCAAGTTGTAATTTATCGCATTTACTATGGTGTTTTGAGGTGGGCCGCTCGCTTGTGAATTACGTTAGTTAGATAAATTGCCAGACTCAGGGGTACAGCAATACAGAGTTCTTTTCACCTCTGATTGGCCCTTATATTACGTGCTCTGACACCCCTAGGCGATCACGTGGGATCCATACGACTGGTGTTTTAGCTCTAAGGGCTTCATGTTGAGAGACTTTTGAAAGTAGATGGCTTCGCTCTGTGGGAAAGGAACCTTCCTTATCGTCTTGAGCTCTAACAAAAGAAAGGTATCCCGTTGGGGTTCGGATTGAGTCTTGGGACTCAACTTGGAGCTATGACTTAGTGCGAGTCGGCACGGTGATCCAGAGCAGCCTCTAATTCCGAGCTATTAAACAAGAAGGACCGAGCGCTCTCGGCTCCAAATATACCTTTAGTCGGAGGGGTTCACTAGCTGAGGCTACTATAAAGAGGGGTAGTTTACCCGACCACCCCAGATTTACCACCTGGCAAGAGATTGCGTATATCCTGCGACTATGGAAGACGATTTGCATGGTATTATCAATATCAAAGATCGACGACGAATCCAGAACCGACTATCACAACGTAAACGACGTGAGTATACTCCTGATCTCTTTATCTCTCTTTCATCGTCTTTTCTCGAGGCCTTTCACTGCATATGCCCCCTCACTCACTTAAATTTTACTAGGAGAACGCCTAAAGCAAATGAAAGATGTCCTGACAGATTCTGGTGAGCAGGACTCCCCAGAAGGCAGCTCCTGCTCTCCAGTGCTAAACTCTCGTGCCGCCAGTGAGCTGAGCCAGTTTTCAACTGAGAATCTCAAAATTGCTGTTGATCATCCAACAATATTTCCGGATCTTCTTGATACATGTTCACTATTGGCTACCAACCAACTCCAGGAGCCGTTCATGAATTTAAACGCATATGAGACCCTCATCGATATCACCAATTCAAACACTTCGGGCCATGACCAGCCTGGGAGGCGTGATGTGCTGGGCGCAAACAGCGGATTCAGGCGAAAGGCTTCAGCATGTGAGGCGTTTCCCCGGAAGAAAACAAACAGTCTGCCCCGAAGTGCAGACGGTCATACAGAAAACCATGCAAACCCATGCGAACGGCCTTTCGTCATTTTGAAACAGAAGGCCGATCAAATGATCGACCAACTGCTCTCCATGTACCGATTCAGCGTACAGTTACAAATTGTTGAGGAAGACCGGTGCATTGTCGATTTTGCGGAGCGAATCCGGGCACGATTTCTTGAGTTGCGCCAACTTACCTTCACAATTGAGGAAAGCCAAGACTAGGACTCGGTGAGACCTTCTTGCGCAGATATGGGAGGTAATCTAACGTCCCCACTTTCGATCTGCCTCGGCTGTCAGCAGATAGGCTATCCTATGGGGTTACTGCAATGGAGTCCGCAATTAACCCAACTTCATAACGACGGGAGAGGAAACGGGCCTAAGCCTACTGTGCTCTAAGCCCTTCGAATGATTATACAGAAATCTAGATTTTTCAAATTAACCATGTACGTGGTGGGTTTTTCTAGTCCTTTTCATGGGGTGTGGTGAGAATTTGAATCGGGACTAGCGTAATGACAAGGCTTCTCTCTGATGCTTGTTTTCCTCTTTATTGATTGTTTCGAAATTGAACCAAGTGACATTGTAGTGGGCCGATGTGGACGTCCGACAGGGGTTGCGGAAGAGTGGGGTTGGCAGTCTTGGGTGGGGAAAGCGGCCGGAGATAGGGGAATGTTTGTTGGGTACGCAATCCTTGCCCATGGTGTTCCTACAGCGTGGTGGAAGGATGTTACTACTGCGGAGGCCAAGGAGGAGATCCAGACGAAATGCAGGGAATGCGCACCCCTCGCCGACGTCCAGTACGTGGCATGGGCCAAGGGCGATCAGCACGCGAAGGCGAAAGCAAAGTCAACCTTGGTGGTTTCCTTTGTGAACCCGAGGGACGCGAAAGAAGTTCTCAGTACGAAGTTGACGATCAGAAACCACCCGTCCAAGACGGAGCTCTACCTCCCTAGAGGCCCCGTGACGCAGTGCCTAAGGTGCCTCTAATTTGGGCACGTCCAGCGCAGCTGCCATGCCCCACACCGTTGTGAGTATTGTGCGGAACACCATGACTCACGCAATTGCCAGACCCAGGGGAAGTCAGACCACCCGACCCAACGATGCGCCAACTGCCAGAGACGAGACCACTTCGCCACAGACCGATCCTGCCCCCGATGGGCAGACGCCAAGACAGAGTTCCAGAAACGACGCGACAATAAACCACGCCGCTTCCCACTCCCGCAGGGCCTCCCATCACAGTACAAGAAAAAAGAAAAGGGCGAACGATTGTCCACGAGGGACAGTCTCCTTTCACTAGATACCGGCTCACCTCGGAGTCCCGGGCAACGAACTGGCCGATGAACACGCAAAGCGGGCCATAGGATGGCGTTCCGACAAGCAACACGTGTCACCGCCAGACGAGAGGTTCTCGGACCGCGTGCTCCGCTCCGCCGCGGAAAGAATGATCAAGAAAAGCCTGAAGGGGAAATGGGCACACTCCTGGAAGATCGGCAAGCATGGCTCACACCTCCGGAGGTGGCTCCCGGTGGTGGAACCAGCGAGGACTGCCATGAAACGATACAGCGACCTCAGCGCCGCCCAATCAGCCGGCCTGTTCCAGGCCCGGACAAGCAAGATTGGGCTGAACCATTTCCTCGCCTCCATCGACCGAGCCGACACCGAATGATGCCTCTGCGGAGAGGCCCCGGAGACCGCTCACCATCTAATCCTACAGTGCGACCGATACGACGACCTCCGAGACGACATCTAGCAAGACGACCACCCTCGGGTCAAGACCTTCAACCCGAACCCGCTGCGGGTACGGGTGCGGGCTATGGCGCAGTCTACTTCAGGGTGCCTTTCGAGCCCTTGACGGTGGGGTCCATGATCACCGATTGCGAACCGACGCGGGAGAGCTACTGCAAGAAGTCGACAAGGCCACCCAAAGATGCCAGGATATTATCAAATAACTCAATTTCGAGTGCCAAAAGTTTCACAAAGACTCGTTCGCCGCTTTTGGGGCTCGTATTCAAGTTACTGGGCGTCGCGCAGCTTATCTATTTCGAAAAAGTACTTACGCTCAAATAAATGTGGAAATATGTAATACCATCTTGGTCATATGCTGGATGGAATTTCTATCACAGGCTCTACATGCAGGACAGTAGGCTCTTTTGTTGGAAAACCAGCCATTTATAAGAGTTGGACCAGCCTCGAGATAACGTCCTCAACGGACAGAGCCCTCTCATTATTTGTATCTCCCTCATCCTGTGGGGGTGGTAACAAAACCGAATCCACAATATGACACACTCCATCACTGGACAAACCATCCTGCACTATTATATTTGCACTCTCGTTCACCCGCATCGAGATCAATCCTCCATATCGTGTCACAGTAACCACTAACGGCCGACCTGCTAGGCAAGTAGGGAGAGAGAAGCGACGAGCGCCCTTGAGAACCCGCCACATAGAATCTGCCTGGGTCACAGGAGTAGGAATTGTATGATCAGGCGTGGCTTCTGGTGTCTGCATAAAGTGCTCTGGTGGAGAATCTATGTCGTAGAAACGATTCGAATATAAAGTCCGATTGACAACGATATGATAAAGTAAGAGGGCCTGGAGCGAGGGAGCTCCTTGATCACTGAAGAGGAATTTCTGGACGTCTTCTGGTAGCTTGCGGAAGGCTTGGTTTGTGGGAATGAAAACGACTCCACCGCGACGTGACTGATCATGGAGAATAGCCTGAGCTGCCTTAGTCTGTTGCACTGCTGTCTGGAATAAATCAAAGTCGTGCGGTGGCAGAGTAGCGATAAGAGAGTATATTGCCGGCCGAGGAAGGAGGACCTGATCAATTATATGGACCAGACCGTTTGTCGTTAGATTGTCGGGCTCGACCACGGTCGCATTGGAGTTTACTCCAAGCCCTGTAAGTGAGGGACGAATTGTTACTCTCTGGGCGCCATTTAACTGGCCAGGGAGGAGTAAGAGGTCCGTAGTTGGAGCTGTCAGGAGAAAATATATAGGCAGGAACCCCGGCGAAATATGCGCCTGGAGAAAAGTGAGAACATTTTCCTCTGGCTGCTTATTTCCCAATTTTCGGAAGGCAGTGTTACTTGGGGCCCACACAGTGGATGAGAAGTTTGAGTTCTGCAACAGTTCCTTGATCTGGGGACATTGATCAATGAGTTGAATGAACTTGGATGTGGTCGGTTTCGTCGAGAGGAATTCATAGAGTGTTACGGGCTTTTTTTTTCGCATCGGCGAGGAATGGCACGACTGCATGGCAATATCCGGTATATTGATGTTGGAGGTGCTCGAGGCTATCTTCTGTTGAGGCTGTTGCAACTAGCCAGTGTTTATGGTCGCATACAGTGGTCATGGTTAATAAGTGCTGAGAGAACAGAGGGCCAGTTGGGTGGGAACCTGCTATCTTATATAAACAATTCTTTTTTGTTGTCAGATTTATTCCGATTCTTCCCACAAGCGTTGTCAGATTGTAGGCTGAGTGTCACTATAGAAAGCAGTCTGACATGAACACGTTAAGAAAGCTATTTTGCTATTTTTATGGCAATATTATGGACTAAAGCTTCTTAAAAGGGTGGTTCCTTCATGGCATAGTCTTCCGATTTCCTCGTGACAGGAAATTCTAATCGCACAGAATTATCGAGTGCCCAATTCAAGACAGCATCGTAGTCACGGCACTGATGAAATGTATTATAGTCCGGATAAGGCTCATCGAGGCCATTCACCCAGTGAAACATGATCAAGCTAACAACTAAATTGCACATTAGAACTTCTCGTAATGTTTCCGCGCAGTGATCTGTGGTCCGATATGGATTAGGTATGTAGGCTGAACGAAGCGATCTAAACCGTTAAGGGAAAAATGCGTGACTCCGAGGTCATCGCACCACTTACCTAAATGGCCTCGCATCATCTGAGCTTTCATGTTGTCTTCCCGAAAATAGTTCGGATATGATGCTTTCCGTAACTTGTTCTATTGTCCAAATGCTTGTTATCTGAAATCCGAAAGACAAGTAGAGAATCTGAGCATATCAAGCGGTGTATTACCAAACAGTGGATGTGGTGAAACATCTCCAGGGTAGCCATATATTTGATCTCGCCTCCCTGTAGGATTTGAACAATTGAATTGAGCCATTCGGAATCGGATGCTAGGGGTAAATTTTTGACTATAGCGTGGTCGACAGCGAGCGTTCCCTGACGGCCATCGAGAAGGGCTTAATTTGCCACGCGTTAGGTCCAAATTCAAGTCAAGGTTCTTCGTTGGCTCGATGGCTCACGGTTCTTAGTAAACTGCTCCCATTCCGCATCCACTGCGCCCACTCCTGGAGACCAGATAAAACGCGATGGGTATTTGCTCGGAACGCGAAATGTGACGTTATATCGGGTCGATGCAATCTCCACTGCGTCAACTACCGGCGCTATGGAGTATCATTATCATGAATATTGATGCCACTTGCGATTGCGTGGATCCAGGCTAACGTACACCAAGCCATCTCGGCACATATTTTTGGAGAGAAGACAATGACGAGACTGGATGTCAAGAGGATGAGGGCGAAGATGAAGAGTATTCCATGCATCAACCATGCTCGTGTTGATAACAGTCGTGGGTAGATATCTCCCGATGATTCGAGCGACTCATCCGGAAGCGGGCTGTAAGCTCCACGGCTTTGCGACATAGTAAATATTTGATTTAGTGTTGGTAGCAGTGATATACGGAATTCCATTACTGTGGTTATCATTCCTCTCCTAGACCATATCTGACGCTGTCAACGCATGTCAGCATGTCAGAGTTCATCTGTCAGACCTGTGATCTGATTTCCTTGTCATTTCTGGCCTAAAGAGCTCAATTTTCTGGTTTGTCAAGGAAAGCTAGAAGCTTACAAACAAGCCACGAAATGAGCCATTCTCTATGTAGGGGGGTCTCCGCCCTCGAAGACAACTTGGATGAGATTTCTCACCCACCGCATTGTTTCTTTTAATGCATATATGTGCCCCTACAGTCAAAGATATCCTATCCGCATCTAAAAATCGAGTTATCAATTCCTGGGCGTGACATTCCGGAGATTGAGTTCATAGGAATCATACATGTAGACGTACTAGGCAAGATAGATATTTAAGCATGGAAAGCTTGACGTTGATATTTATTTTGAAACATACGTGCTGGTGGAATCTCTAAATAAGATTGATGGGATAGTTTAGGAACTTGGCGTAAGGAGGATGACGCGGCATACCATAACGTAACGAGTTTAGAGAAATTAGATATAGAGGCTGAGTATGAGTGAGGCGATTACCTAGTAGTATAGACAAGGATGACTACTGTGAGCATATGTTAATGCGTAGTGCGCGGAGGAAGTAATAGCTGGATGAACTAAGAACAGGCAATATATGGATCTGTATGACTTCTAAGGTTGCAGTTACTCAATACCTTAGAATGACGTGAGCCACTAGGTGACCCTATCATTCAAAGCCCTACATACACGAGCTTAGTACTTTGTATCATCGCGCTTGTCCCAGTACTGCAACACGGTATTGGTGTCGTCCTTGATGACCTCGCTGGAATCCTACTCTCATTTAGGATATTTCTTTGTGCGAGACAGACTCGGGGGATAACTGTTGAAAGGAATCATATGTACCTTGCTTTCTGGTGCAGGAACGGGGAGAGCAGATGCAATTTGCAGTGCAACTGTCACCAGCGCCACAGCAATGGATCAAGCTTTCATTTTGCTAAACTTCGCGAATTTGTCGACTTTGGTTGGAGTGGAGATTTATTGACTGCCAAGTGATGGTGTCGTTTTGTCGTGAGCCAAGTGCAGGATCTGGCCCTAACTTATGTATCTTTCCCCACGCAAGCGGTATGTTATTGTAGCCGACAGTATTTTTGAGAGGCTGAGAATGTGGAGAATATGACATTGTCAGCAGTATGGTCATCATGTTCGTATGTAGGTGTAAAGCGGCGAGATATGACGTGGGATATGTATAGTCTTGTTGAGCATATTGACTTGTGGTGGTCAGATTGATACTAAGCTTTCTATTCTTTTTTCATAATCGTTACTATAATTTTTGTCGGAGTTGAAGGTCTGATGTCTAAGTAAGTCAGGTCTGCACACCTAGGTCAAGTGGATCTTCTCGTAGATAGTGTCTTCTTCTTTCTCTCTCCTAGATAGATGTATCAATCCAATGAACCACCCCATATGATATATACTTTCATTGCTAATAATTATATTCTGGTAGATAGATTTAATCTTGTAAATCATTCTACCCCATAGATTTGGTTGAATTGTGAATCTGCACATCTGGACTTCGTAACTAAATCTTATATCACCTCTCGCTAAGTTCTACAGCCTACGTATAACCAATTGACTTGAGAAAGAACTTTGCATTGGAAATAAGTACGTCAGATTCACGCGGAATGACTCAAATTCTTCTGTCCTGGAACCCTCTCAATTGAGTGACTTATGGGAGCTTTCCGGCTGATAGCCCACTGTAGGATGGACTCAGGATCGCGACACGAATGCTGAAAAATCAGAATCTGCGTATAACAGAAAAGGAAAGTAGCTTACCATAGTGTTAAAGTCTGGAGTTGGAACTTCCATTCCATGAATCCAGTGGAACATTACCAAGCCCATGTCACCATTACACATCAGAACCTGCCCAATAATATCGATACAGTGGTCTATCATAGAATTAGAAAAGATTCAGAGAGCAAGACTGGATCTTTATTTTACCCGTGTGTTCACGTCTGTGATGTGAAGAATGCATGAAGAAAGAATCATTATGTTTGTAATAGTCCAAGTAGGTCCATTTTCGAAGAATATTCTTGGAGCTATTAACTAGAGGTTGGATTGATAGATAATTTCACTTACCAGACAATGTAGCTGATGGAACATCTCCAGCGAGCCCATATAGCCTCCTCCATTCTCTTGGTCTAAACGAACCATTGTATCCACAGAGTCATCGTTTGATGACTGGTGAACCTGGTCGATCGTGGTGCTGAATACAGCTGCAGTCTCCACCATCCAGGCTGCATTCATAATACCGTTAATGGGGATCTCATCTACCTCAATCTTCACTTGGAAGGAGCTCACTATTTGTGGTGAATCGATCCCACTCGCTGTCTACCTGAGCACTGGGCGGTCCTCGAAACTTGTTCAGTGTGTACAATATTCCATTCAGTCGGGTTGGTGACCAATTAGTATTTGCAGGCGGTTCGGATACTGATTTCTGGTTAAAGAAAGCGAAGAAAATAATCTAGCAATCACAAACACATACACCATTCAGTATCAGATGGACGTCGAAGTTGGCACGTGTCCAAAGCTTTCCAATGCATGGCTGCATGGATCCAGTACCCAATACCGAAGAGCAATATGCCTATCAAAACCTGCACAGCTATGTATACCGATCTGCTTGGGCCAGGTGGAGTAGACAAGGGCTCTATATATTCATTGTCAGGTAGTAGAGGCCCAGCAGAAGAGTTTTTTTGGCTTTCAACCTTGGAGGATTGCTACTCCATCTGCAAAAGCTGTGACGTAATGATTTACCTCGTTTGATGAGGACTCAAGGTATTTTTGGGAAGAAACGCACTTCTCGAGGTCGTATTCAGATTGTTTGGGTCTGGGTACCAGGCATCAGATGTATCAGGTGGCACGGCCCGTTGTCGTGCTCAGATGTCAGATGTCAGAGGTCAGAGGTCAGAGGTCACAGATGGTCAGATGTTTGCCGATCTTGGTGCAAACATTTTGAAGCAGGGAAAGCTTTTGCATTTGAGATACATACTCGATACTCATAGTTCCTTCCTCACTCATGACAACCAAGAGATGATTGATCAACCTCAATACCAACGCTTACCCATAAACGAGGACAACGCTGCTGAGCTTTCAGCAGGTGCACTAGAACCTCGATGGCGAAAAACATGGAGTCTATTCTTTGCCGCACTTCTGGCTTCGTCTCTACTGCTTCTTTTGTCATTCCTGCTAGCAAGCATCCCAGGGGCACACACCACAAATTCGCCATCCTTTGAATACCTGCATTGTGGCAACAGCATCGATATTGCAAAGTCCCGCGGATGTCAGTTCGATGTCTTGAATTATGTCTGGCTGCCAGAGCCCTGTATAGAGAAGGAAACTGTGGACGAATTTCGCATCTGGCTAGATAGCCCAGAGCGCCAATTTGGACGCTGGCCGTTCTTTGCCGATCGCGGAGGATACAAACGCATCACCGACGAACAAGCCTTGTCAGAGCGGGTGCATGTGGATACCCGCGCGCCTCAAGAGGAACATCTGGCTCATTGTATTTTCCTGTGGCGTCGGTTGGCACGCATTGCTGATATGAAGGTGGAGCTGGATATCTGGATGGGTCATATTCACCATTGCATCGAGGGCCTACTAGGTATTTTGCAGGGGCCAAATCCAGGGGATGCGGAACGGCCACATACAGTGTTTCAAGTTGGATTAGGTGGATGCAGAATAGGATAGCAAATATTGAGCAATCAATCAATCAATCAATCAAAGTTCTATTAACCTGATAGAGCCTAACTAGGTGCGTCAAGGCTATGCAGGCGCTTCGTCCAAACCGAAGCAGAACCTGGTATCCTGAACGCCGTGTCCGCAGAACGAGACCCGATACAAAGGAAAGCTGGCCTGGTTGGCCAGTATAGTAAGGAATGTAAGTAAATAAATGAATCCAACGCCCTCAAATCCCGCAAATCCCAGCGTCTTCCATCTGCGTCTTTCTTCTCCAGTATCTCGCATCTGCCTCCCTGGCCCCCATATTTTGTCTGCTACGTTTTCAATCAATGGTGGTGGCGTAGTAAATCGTAGGATGGTGAGTATCCAGGCCGTTCTCGGAGGCTCGGTCTTTCAGTATTCGGTGGTGGATGCGCAGCGTCTTCGCAACCTACTCCATGGCCGCAAGGCCGATTCGTTCGTGGTCATTATCGGGTTCCAGCTCCACATGGCGGAATTGACCGAGCAGACCTGTTTGGTGCATCATTGCAGCAGCGTAGCGGGCTGCTTGCGGGTGAGATACGATTGCATCGTACTCAGTTGTGGCGAGTCGGATTATATATTTCTCCGCTCCCGGATCCTCGGTTGCGCCCCCTGCACCCCACAAAGCAGCAGTCTTTGCATGCTCATCTGCTGCCTCATTGCCAGGAACACCCACATGGGCCGGATCCATCGGAGAATGATAGATGTGGGTGTTTGCCGCGACCGGATGGCCCGTACGTGGTCATAAATGCGTCCGAGCACGTATTGGCCGGACGGTCGCTTTGGGTTCCGCACCGCTTGAATTGCGGCCTGGCTGTCAGAGAAGATAACCAGTTCTCTGGCTTTGTCCTCGGTTGTTTGGGTTGGCTGGATTGCGAGTGGTTCCAGGGCCATCTCCACCCCTGAGAGCTCCGCCGCGTACACGCCGGACTGTCGGTCCGTTCCAAGATGGCGCTGATGCACCGCGCCTGTCAAATCGATAGCCGCAGCACCCACCAATCCTACGTATCCACTCCCGTCGGTGAATACGCGTTGTACAGTGGGTGTTCGTAAGTTTGAAACTATGATTTTACCGCCTATTTTCTGCCGCGTTTTCTGCCGTCTTAAACATTCTGTTTTTTGTGCTATTTACAGGAACCTCTTTAATATTTCGCAAACTATCCACTAGCCCCAATGATACCACTAAAGAGGTATATAAATAGCATATAGAATATTAAATTACTCTATTGCGCGTAGAAACGCATCGGGTAGGCGAGGTAGACAGCGAGGGCGGTGAAAACAAGGCGGTAAAATCGTGGTTTCAAACTTATGAAACTCCACTGTATTGCCCCATCTGCCAGGGCGGCTTGGAACTCAATCTCGTCGTGGGTGCTACGCGCTGCCTCCGCGTCCTCAATGACACAATGTAGTCGCTGTTCCCATCGGGCCAGCATACATGCTCTCTTGGATTCCCACTGGACCGCGCCAACAGGCCTTGTTTCCTCCATTTCATCCCCTCGAGCGGTGGCATTCCCCCTAGTCGGATCTCCGTTGGCTTTCGTTTGGCATTGAGGCCCCCAGGGCGGGCCCAGGACGCCCCTGTTTGGATTCGGATGGCGGTTTCTTCGTTGACTTGGTGCATTAAGAGGTTGATTGGCGTCAGTAATAATTCGATGTCAAGCGCCGCTGATCATCAGCGCCGCACATTTTTGGATTCTTGTGAAACTCCTGATCACTCGCGACTGCTCTGTCGCTAGAACATTCCCACTCGCTGGGCTGTACTAGGCGGTTAGGCCCCAGAAGAGCTGCGGTATGACCACCGCTTGGTAGATCTTCCGCATCGCCATTAGTGATGCGCCCACGTGGAGCCTATAATCCCCCTAAATGCCTCTAGACTGCTGTTAGCCTTGGCGATGACCTTGTTGCGGTGCGTTGTGAAATCGAGGTATTTGTCGAGCCACACGCTAAGGTATTTCGTATGTGGGGAAGGTAGAATGGTTTGCTAGGGGAGTTGTAATGGTATCTGGTCATCCCCGTCGAACACGCGGAATTCGTAGATGTCTGACGATGAGGGCGAGGGCGGTCGTTGGCTCTGAGCTGGCGGGGGTGTCGTCGTCGCTGTCGTAATCGCCGTTGTCGTAAGGGGAATTCGAGGGTTGCTGAAGTGGATTAATTCGAACTTGTTGGGTGCGAACTTAGCTGTATGTCTCCTTGCCTATAGGTCCGCCTTTTGGTATGCCATTTAGAGGATTTCAATATTCCTCGCGTAGGACTCCGATATCACTAGGACGCAGACATCGTCCACCCACCTAAATGCGCGGGTGTATTCCTCGCACCTGAGTAGGTCGAGTGTGTATCCACGAACCAGCGGCGCGTTGAACAAGAGAAATAGGATCGATGAGATTGGGGACCCCTGAGGGATCCCTATTGGTGTCGGTATTGATTCGCTGAGGAACCTAGGGAGTTTGACCCTGGTGCTTCTTCCCTGTAGAAAGGATCGAACCCATAGAATCCAGTGCCCGAGTCCTAGCTTCTTTATGTTGTGTAGTAGCCGTTCGTGGGAGACATTGTCGTACGCTCCCGACATATCTAGCAGGAGTATGCTGACCTTTCTATCGATTCCCCATGCCTAGTGAATCCGGTCCAGGATTAATTGGATAGCATGGTCGACGGAAATGCCTTTCCGTCCCCCAAGATGCGAATTTGGTAGTATCCTGTATTCTTCCACGGCCCAGGAGATCCTCGTCGCAATGATGGACTCCAAGAGCTTGCCCAAGGTGTTTAGCAGGGCCACTGGCCGGTACGATTTCGGCATCCTGTAGTCCCTTGGCCCGCCCTTACGTAGCGTGACCGTGATGGATGACTGGAAGTGTCGTGGATTATAACCCGCGCGGATATATACGTTGCATATCGAGGTGATGATGTCGGTGAATGCGTCGTCTGCGGCTAATAGACGCTAAATCCGGTTTGGAATGGCGTCCTCCCCGGGGGCTTTGTCCGGCGGTGCGCGTTGAATCGTGTCCTAGAGTCCCTGCCGCTAGATGGGCGGGAATGTTAGCTGATCTAGTTGACTCTGATTCTCATGGATGTCGTCGAGGTCGGTGGGGGGTGGCTCGGGGAAGAAGACTTTTTGTAGGATATCTACCTTGGCCTGATTGGTGTCTGCAAGACTGCCATCCGGCCGCTTAAGGGACGGTATAATACTTCCAGTCTCCTGCGAACGGTTCCTTGCCTATTTGCCTACCTTCTATAGCCCCTTAGGGCCCTCCTCCGTGGTTTCTTTTACCTATTTGCGGTAGCTAGCACGCGACGCCTGCGCGATCACCTTTAGACATTGACATGGGTTGTCCATGGGTCGAAGGTTCGACCCATGACCCAACCCATGGGCAACCCATGGACACCTAATCCTGCCTGATTTAGGATTTTCGGCCTGATTTGGCCTGATTTAGCCTAGAATTTTTGCATAATTTTTAGCTTATTTACTGTTTCTTACCTCTGTTCTGGTCTGAACGCGTACCATCACCACTTTTTTCATCCTTCCCTAATGTATTTATATGAAATAATATTGTTTATATCTAGATAAGTACTATTTGTATCGGTCGCATAAGGAAGACTAATTATTGTCGTCTATATTATGGTGGTTGTGTATATTTCGATGGTGTAGAGTAGAAATATATATTTCCTGTAGAGAAGTGTACCACCACTTTCCACTGGAGATTCTTCTTTTATTTTTCACTCACCTATTTTTAAACATTAAGCAATTATTTTTCTTGTACGTACTACCTGGATATCTATCTATCTATTCTCCGAGTTTGAGAGCTTATACGCTTAATTTGCGTGAGTAGTGAAGGTAAAGACTTAATGTTAAACGGACTTAGAGAAATTGATTATACAGAATAGGTGTGTGGGTCTAGGCTCAGGGTTGAGACCAATAATATCAGATGAAAGGGCCCGCTTAACACGCGTTATAACCAATCAACACGTGTATAGTCTTACCCGCTATTCATTCCATGGTTCACTTCCTCCCTACTTCACCCTTACTTTTGCGTTCTTTCGCCTTATCATGGCTAGATCCTTATCAGAACACTTCGATTCTATCACGAGTGATAGTATCGACCCTCTTCTATCTGATTGCTACTTCTCTATCCCACCCTCCTCGGTTCCTGAAAGCCAGTCCACCGCGCCCTATTACCACCGAGCCCCCACCGATCCTTGAACGCGTCGGGCCTAAGAGAAACTATATCCTATGGACCAACATAAACAAGGCTATATTCATCCAATGGTGGCTTACAACAACATATGGGCAGAAACCACGAGCGGAACATCCTCGGTGGGATAAAAGGGGCTTGATGTCTGAGGTTTGGACACACTTTGAACAGGGCGTAGAGATCTCTACTGGTAAACCATGTATTACCTGTAAGGACTGTGGCCAGATCTACGCGCATAGTCCTAAAAATGGGACGAATGTTATGACAAGGCATAGAGAAAGATGTCTACCAAACAATAAGTAGAAACAGACGAATATTCAGGCGATGATTCGTACCTAGGTAAGACAAGGTGAAAGAAAAGTGAAAGAGACGTGAAAGAAAAGTGAAAGAGAAGTAAGGCTAATATTTCTTTGTTTAATCCCTAGGCTCTACGCGCTACCCCGCCTAATGTATGGGACGAAAACGACTGGAAGAAGCAGCTTTTAGTCACAATCACAAGCCTTCGTCTACTATTCTAGATCATCGAAAACCAGCACTTTCGAGACCTTTTACGCTTAACCCAAGAAGCCCCTTCCCTCCCTATCCTCCAAACGGGTAAAACCCTTGCTCGTCAGCTTCAAAGCACCGTCTAGGTCCAGCAGCAAGGTATACTAGATATGCTTCCGTCGGACGCAAAGCTATCACTTGCACTTAACTGCTGGACGTCGCCCTTTCATTAAGCGTTTATGGCAATTACTGGTTATTTCCTTGATGAACAGTGGGAATATAGGCAGATCCTACTCGGTTTCGAACCCCTCGAGGGTATATATACTAGGGAAAATCTTGCTTTAGCCCTATGTGCGGTCATTGATAGACATAGGATTAAAGACCAAATTCTGGCTATCACCACTGATAATGCGTTAAACAATAAGACAATGTTTGATAAGGTCCAACGGACCTATCTAGACATCTCTATTGTTCATATTCCGTGTATGGCGTATGTGATTCAGCTTAGCCTCAATAAGCTCCTATATCGGATCAAAGCAAAGCCAAAGAACGATACGGTGGACATAGTATAGACCGATGAACTACAGAGGGCTTCTACCTAGCGAGGACAGAAAGGGGATATTGCAAACACCCTCGATAGGGTACGCCGGCTTGCAATATATATTAACGGTAGTCCACAGAGGCGTGCAGAGTTCCTCCGGCTTCAATCGATGGAACCTAGTCGATTAGTCCCTATTCAGGATGTCCGAACTCGGTGGAATTCCACCTATCTAATGCTACAAAGGGCTAAACGGCTACAGCCCTACTTTAATAGATATTGCCATATTGAGTGCCTAGACAACCTAAAGCTTGATTCAGAGGAATGGCGCTAGGTTGACTATCTTCTTTGCCTCACAAGACCATTCTTCCTATATATAAGCACGTTTTCAAAGACAAAAGACGTGACTATCCACCAGGTGTTTAAGCTTTATAATGAGCTATTTAAACACCTCGAGGCGTCAATCAATCAGCTCAAAAAAAAGAAGGTACGCTCTCACTTCCCTCTCACTTTTCCCTCACTTTTATTCTAACAAATAATAGATCAAATGGAAGCAACAGATGCTTGTCGCTCTTGAAGCAGGCCTACAGAAGCTCCGTGAGTACTACGCAAAGACCGATTAGCCTGAGGCTGGTAATGTGTATGTGCATGGCACTATCCTCGCACCAAAGGATAAGTTACAATACTTCAAACGTAAGGAATGGTCTGGTGGCCCAGAGGACTCCGAGCTAGGTCAGACATAGGCCGAATACTACCACAGCACCCTTCAAGATCGGACCAAAGCTTATCAGTGCGAAGAGGATCATACCCTTCTATCTAAAGCTTATACACATAGGTCAGAGCTTGATCGGTTACTCGAAGATGAAGGTGAATCCACCCTAGATCGGGATGAACTCGCACAGTATCTTCAAGCCGGTAAGCCTCTTGATTCAAGTCTCCTTCACTCCCCTTTTAAGTCAGCTCGACTCCTCTTTTGAGTCAGACCGACTCCTCTTTTTAGTCAGGTCGACTCCTCTTTCAAGCTTAATCCCTTATATTCTTGAGTCTAAGCGACTACTCCCCTAAGTCTGATCAACTCCTTCCCTAAGTCTGATCGACTCCTGATTTAAGGCTTCCTCGCTTATTATTAACCCTCTTTACCCTTTTTTCTTACTTCTCTTTCTCTCTAGGTGTTATACGCACTACCCCTCAGGCCTTCTGGAGGGACCATCAAGTGGAATACCCTACCCTCGCATGGGTAGCCCGCGATATCTTCTCTATCCCCGCCACTGGTGCGGGTGTAGAGAGGCTATTTAATTCAGCCCGCGATATTTGTCATTATCGTAGAGGTCGTCTGAACTCAACCACTATCCAGGATTTAATGATGTTCTCCTGCCTTACTCAGTTTGAGATAGAAGACGAATAGCTTGAACTAGCTCGGGCTCTAGAGATTCCTGAAGAAGGTGAAAATGAAAAGATCTCACCTACATTAGAAGGGATTGATCCGATTAGTGATACCGAGGAAGGCGAGGATGAAGTGAGGCTATCTGTGAGGGTAGGGAAGAGACGAAAGAGTGTTTTGTCCGATCATGAAAGTGAGCAAAGTGATGATAATGAGAGTGGTTTACCCTTGATGAGCCAGGTACGGCATTCTGGAAGGGCAAGGAAGGCGCCTCGGATATATGAAGGGTTCGAACTTAGTAAATAGTTTAGTATTTGATTAATTTTCACTCTTTATTCACTTTACCTTCACTTCCTGATTTAATCCGATAATGTTTCATCTAAACCTTACCACTCGAATACGTAAAATACTACATAAATTATGCAAATTATGTATTCTAGTATCATGGGTTTCTTGGCAACCCATGGGTCAACCCGTCCATGGGCAGCCAGACCTGACCCGTCCATGGGTTCGGGGTAGGTGTCCAGGACCCGTCCATGGACGGGTTGGGTTCGACCCATGGACCCAACCCATGGGTTATGTCAATGTCTAATCACCTTCCCTTTGCGGTTTCGAGCACTAGTGTACTCCCTCTAGTCGTCCTCTTCTCTGGACCTCCTCCATGCTCTGTATAACCTTCTGGTCACCTTTATGGCTTCAGAGTATTCGGGGGTGAAGCTAGGGTTGGCCCGTGATGAAGGTTGGGCCTATGGGGTCGATTCCTGTATACCGCGCTGGATGACTTCCATGATGAACTCCACTGCATCGTCGATGCGCCTTGGTGTCACCTCCCTAGGGAGGTTTAGCCACGGCTTTCCTTGTAAGTTAGTCTGTACGAATTTGGAGAACTTATCCTCGTCCATCGCCTTCCAGTTCCTCCTCTTCTTTTCCTGTTCCGGCTGCGGCGTGTCGAAGTCGATAATTGTCCGTATTGGTAAGTGGTCCGAATCCGCATGGATCTGCTCCAACACCTAGTAGTCCACTATTCGCCCGCCGAGCCCTTCCGTGGCGAACACTAGGTCGATTGTGGTCCGACTGCCTGCCTGGTTGCGTGTGATGGAACCCGGTTTCAACTAGAGATCCATTCCCCTTGTCTCCATCACATTAAGTAGCTCTTTGGCCGCTGGGTCCTAGGGGGCACCCTCGCCTCCCTAGTGCGGATAGTGGAGATTGAAGTCCCCTACCGCTAGGTGCGATACTCCTGGCTCTTGGTCTCTCGCCGGTGGAATTAGCTGCGAGAGCAGGTTTACCGTGTCCTCTCCGTTGTTTGGTTGGTTATATATATTGAAGATTCTGAGTTCCTTCCCCTCCCTGTTCCGCATGCGTACTTCCTGACAGTCTTTAGAATGCACGATATGCGTTAGCCCTTCGATTCTTTTCGACACGAACATGCAGACCCTTGCCCGATCACCCCCTGTCTCGCTTGACTGGGGGTAAAGGAGTTAGTGGGTCTGCTTCGCGGGATGATGTGTTGTTTCCTGGTATAGATTCGCCCACGGTTCCTGGATAGCGATGATGCCGGCTTCCAGAACGGTGGGATCGCGCATGAACTAGGCTATGACGATGTCCTTTGATTGGTTCGTGTTGTATTGGATGATAGTGAGTTCCTTATTCATTGTGGGTTGGGCGGGAGGTCTGCTTCTTTACTGACTTTGGTTTCGAGGGTTTTCTCTTGTCGGTGAGTGACTTCCGACTGCTAAAGCCAGTGGACACCTTAGTCAACTGACTAGCTAGGGCGTCCGCGCTATATTTGCGCTTCATTGGATGGCTCCGTCCGGATGGTGCTGATTTAGTGGACTTGGCGGTGCTGGTGAAGATCGGTGGGTCGTTCTCCTTGCCTAGTGCTTTCCGGGCGACGCTGCCTTGGGATATCGATGCATTGCCGTTCTCATTCAGAGCGGACGATGGGTGATATTCGCTGTCCTGATCATTGATATCGGAGGAGGGGTCGACATAGATAGGTTGCTGATTATCTATCCCTAGGTCATACAACGCCTCCCGCCCTTCTGCCTGATCCTCCTCTTACGTTTGCTCCAGACGAGCCTTCTTGTTCGCTTCGGATACCCTCGAGACCATCCTCGTGATCCGTCGAGGGGTTGTGACAACCTTCTTCGATGGCCTCTTGGAGGGCTCTGACTGCCTCTGTGATGGCGCATAGATTGACTGTTGGATAGATTCTGCGATGGCTTGGACTATAACTACGTCCTGTTGCGGTTGTGGGAGCAGTGGTGGAACTATTGCGGTATCCTCCGTTGTGTCTATGGACTCATCGTGTGTAACGCGCTTGTTCTTCCCTTTCCGGCCTCCCTTGGTGCTTATCTTGAAGCTCGTCTTGGACAGCCTACTTGCTGAGGTTATCGCTGACGGCGTCTTCCCTCCTGCCTGCTGACTAGATTGCAGGCCCGACGCGCTTCGCACTGCAGAACTGGAGTCCTGACGCGTCTGCTCCCCGCTGGAAGAACGTGCGGCTAATCCTGAGGCGCTATCTATAGGATCCGATTCCCGTGATACCGTTGATCCCTCTGTCCTCGTTCTTCTAGAGCCCTCGGAGCCGGAGGCCGGTTCCTAGGAGATGGAGATATAGGCCGGCACTCGGTGGTAGGTTGGCCGCACAAGCTTCCTTGCCTCTGAGCGCTCGATCTCCCTCTAGAAGGCCTCGCACTTTTTGGACCAACTAGGGTGTGCGCCCCCGTAGTTGGCGCACTTGCGTTCTATTAATAATCCTTCCTGACGCTTCTAACACTCCCGAGTGAGGTGATCATCCGCGCAGAATACACATCGTGGTGCTTCGGAGCAGGTTGTTCCTATATAGCCATATTTTTGGCATCGGTGACATTGACGAATACGTGTGGCCCGGTCGAATAGGACCGTGGTTAGATAGACATCATCGTATAGGGTGTTTAAGTCGATGGCCTTGTTGGCCGTGATAGGGGAGTCGAATTCCACCACTAACGAACCGGCCTTCTTGCCCTCGGGGGTTCTCCCCTAGTATAGCTTGATGATCTTGGCGTCTTCTCCCTAGGTAGACCGGTTTGTAGCCTCTAATTCCTTCATCAGCCTTTGCTATACTGGCTTATCCCCGAGCTCCGTTGCCGCATTGATCCCGAGGGCTTTTATATTGACGTCGTGGACGACAACCCCCCAGGACGGCAACCGGACTTCCGCATCTTTATATAAGCTCTTCGCCTACGCGGGGTGTGCCCGTGCGATCTCCGCCTCCTTGGCGGACCGCATCGTGAGGCTTAAGTCCCCGGATTTTAACTGGCGGACGGCCACGAAGGCCACCGATGCTAGGGTCACTACCCCGTGGCGGTGGGCTGTGTCCACCTTCGCCCTCTTAGCCCGTCTCTTAATGTCCTTCGCCGTCATGCCTCTATAGCGCTTGATGGCATCTTCATCCCCGAGCTTGACAATGACTTCGCGGTCTTTGCCGAGCTCGGACCGAGTTATTCCGAGACTGCTGCCCGACCCATGCGTAGACAGATGGTGGGCAGGGGCCGGCGGACGCCCTTGTCTGACGGCCTCCGCGAACGATCTGGTTCGATTCTGAGGCTGAGAGACGTCGGTGGAGATGCGGACGGCATTGATATCCTGGCGAATCTGGAGGTTGTCCTGGCGAAGGCCCTCAATCTCCTTCTTCCAGTCCGCCCCCCAGGGGTTCCGCACCAGGTCCAGGGTCAGGATTTCGATATCCTTGACGTACTGGAGCACCGGTGCGGGCACCCGGATGTTGTTATGACTCTGGATATGCTCCAGCAGCCGCTTTGTATCGTGGTTGGCGTTCATGATGCGGTCGATAAAATTTGTTGCTTCGGTTCCCGCACCCCCCGAAAGGGGTGGCCACTGGCCAGTCATTCCCCGGCGCCACCATGGTGATAACCACCTGAAAGTGGTATCAATGGATAGCGCGCAGAGTTAATTGAAACTGAGCAAATTCTGGTGGGCGTAGCCCTTGGCGTTGCGTTGCGATTTCAAAAATTAGATTTACGCAGAAGTTGTTGTTTTTACACACGATCCACCGCATGGTGTAACCACATTCACTCCGTCTACCTGGGTGATTCTACCTATTTTTTTTTTCTGCTTTATTCTCTCCTCTGGTCTTTTGCCTCTATCTCTGATCAATCAATCAATCAATCAATCAATCAATCAAAGTTCTATTAACCTGATAGAGCCTAACTAGGTGCGTCGAGGCTATGCAGGCGCTTCGTCCAAATCCGAAGCAGAACTCGGTGTCCTTAACTCCAGACTCGCGGCTTGCAATAAACAGTCGTACAAAGGAAAACCAGCCTCTCGCAGGAGGCTGGCACAGTAGGGAGTGTCCCAAATCCAAATCTCGCACATAATAAAGCCCATATAAAATCAAACCCAAAGCAACAAAGCCCACGATAAATCACTCTGCATCCCCTCGTCCCCGTGTTATGCTCCCGCCTCTCTTTCGTCAGTTCTCTTCCCCAGGCCTGGGCAACTCCTAGCGCTTCAGATTCTCAATTGGTTGCGGTGCTTAGTGAACCAGTGCTTGTTGAGTATCCTAGCCATTCTCGGTGGCCTGGTCTTGGTGTTCATTGGTGAATGCACAGCGTCTTCACAACCTACCCCATGGCCGCGAGGCCGATTTGTTCGTGGTCGTCGTCTGGTTCCGGCTCAACGTTCCGGAATTGGCCCAGAAGACCCGTTTGATGCATCATCGCAGCGGCGTAGCGGGCCGCGCGCGGGTGTGATACGATTGCGTCGTATTCCGTGGTGCTGCCAAGATCGGTGCGAGCGATCTTGTCCAGTATAGTTCGCCGTAGACCGTTGTACAGCGGGCACTGGAGCAGGATATGTCTCGGTGTCTGAGATCCCTGGTCACAGCTACAACGGTCTGTTTCCCTTTCTTTGATCTTGTATAAGAAATGCCCCAAGCCGATGCGCTTGGACCTCATTTGAATAAGAATCGATGCGTACGGCTTGGACAGTCCCTCATATAGCTCCAAGGCCTTGCGGCTTGGTGCCTTGATTAGGCACCTTGTCGGTTTGGCCGTCTTCTCTTTCTCCCACTGCTTCTTCCATCTCTCCTTGATGCGCTTGCGCGTGTTTCGCTTCGCGGCGGAGGCGAGCCGGATAAAGTGTTTCTCCGAGCCCGCGCCCGCACCTTCTAGAGAATCTCCCGCTCCCCACAAAGCGGCTGATTTTGCAGCCTCGTCTGCAGTTTCATTGCCAGCAACCCCCACATGGGCTGGAATCCACCGAAGGGTGATCCCTGTGGGTGTTTCACGCGACCGGATAGCCCTTACGTGGTCATAAATGCTCTTTAGCACGTATTGGCCGGACGGTCGTCGCGGGTTCTGTGATGATTTAATCGCAGCCTGGCTGTCAGAGAAGATCACCAGTTCTCTGACCTTGTCCTCAGTTGGATGGTTCGGTCGATTTGCCAGTTGTTCCAGGGCCATTTCAATGCCCGAGAGTTCTGCAACGTACACATTGGATTGGTCCAGCGATCCAAGGTGTCGTTGCTTCCAGTCCGTGCTTGTTGGATCCACCGCGGATGCACCCACGAGTCCTGCGTATCCACTGCCATCAGTGAAGGTACGTTGGATCGCTCCGTCGGCGAGTGCGGCGTCCAGTTCGATGCCATCGTGGGTCTGGATGGCGATTTCCGCAGTCTCTATGACGCACTTGATCCGTGTCTCCCATGGGGGGAGCACGAATGCAGATCTTGATTCCCACTGCACATTTTGCCCTTGTACTTGTAGCGGTGCCAATGGGCCGTGTATCTTCCATTTCAATGCTTCGAGTGGCGTGATCCCTCCGAGCTTTGTCTCCTTTGGTTTGCGTTTGGCTAAGAGGCCCTTGGGCAGGGCCCAGGGTACTCCCGTTTGGATTCTGATGGCGGTTTCTTCGATGACCTGCTGCATTAGTAGATTGATCGGTGTGAGGAAGAGCTCCACGTCGAGCGCCGCTGCCGAGATGCTTTTGAAAGCCCCACTAATCATTAGCGCGGCGCGCTTCTGGATCCTTGTAAAACCTCTGATAATATGGGACCGTTCTATCGCCGGCATCTTTGCAGGACTGAACCACGCTGCTAGACCCCAGAAGATCTGTGGGATCACCACGGCTCTGTAGATCTTACGCATCGAGGACAATGATGTCCCCCACGTGGACCCAGTGATGCCGCGAAGGGCTTCTAGGCTGCTGTTCGCCTTCGCAATGACCTTACTGCGATGTGTGGTGAAATCGAGGTGCTTATCAAGCCAGACACCGAGGTATTTAGTGTGTGTCGAAGGTGTTATCAGTTGATCCGGTAGTTGCAATGGCATCTGGTCGTCTCCCTCCTCCACGTGGAATTCGTAGATGTCTTGTGGTGGTCGCGGTGTCCACGCCGTGGGCGCTGGTTGTCGAGGGTTGCTGAAGTGGATTAGTTCGAACTTGTCTGGCGCGAATTTGGCGGAGTGGCGCTTGGCCCATGTTGCGGCTTTGCCGAATGATTTCTCCAATATTTCGATATTGCGGGCGTAGGATTCCGAGGTCACCATGATGCAGACGTCGTCCACCCACCCAAACGCGTACGCCTGCCCTCCGCATGGCAGGGAGGGCAGTGTGCACCCACGTACGAGTGGTGTGTTGAATAGGAGGAACAGTATCGGCGAGATTGGGGATCCTTGCGGTATCCCCGTCGGGGTTGGGATAGGGTCACTGAGGTATCCTGGTAGCCGGATCCTAGTGCTTCTCCCCTGCAGAAACGACTGTATCTATGGTACAAAATGGCCTAGTCCCAGCTTTTTGATATTGTAGAGAAGTCGTTCATGAGACACGTTGTCGTACGCTCCCGACATATCCAGTAGGAGCATACTGACCTTGCGGTCTATTCCCCATGCCCGATGCACTTGGTCAAGGATCAGTTGAATCGCATGGTCCACGGACACTCCTTTCCTTCCTCCGAGGTGCCCTTTAGGCAGGATTCCCTTTTCCTCCGCCGCCCACGCTATCCTTGTCGCGATAACAGACTCCAGTAGCTTGCCCAGTGTGTTTAGCAAGGCTACAGGCCGGTATGACTTCGGTTGGCGGTAGTCCTTTGGCCCTCCCTTGCGAAGGGTGACCGTGATCGAGGATTGGAAGTGTCGTGGGTTGTAACCGGTTCGTATACAGGCGTCGAAGATTGAGGTAATGATGTTGCTGAACGGGGAGTTGTCGTCTGCCGCTAGCAGTCGCCAGACCTTGTTCGGAACCGTGTCGTTTCCTGGTGCCTTGTCTGGCGGCGCTCTGCGGATAGCATCCCGCACTTCCTGCACCGAGATCGGTGGGAACTGGATCTGGTCGACCTCGCGTGTGTCCCGCTGAATATCCTCCAGATCTGGGATGGGCGGCTGAGGGAAGAAGACTCCTTTCAGGACCTCCACCTTGGCTTGGTTAGTATCCGCAAGACTGCCGTCTGGCTTTTTCAGCGCGGGGATATTGCTCCCGGACGACGCTTCAGCACGGCTCCTTGCCCATTTGGCAACCTTCCACATCCCCTTCGGCCCTTCATCCGTTAGGTCCTTTACCCATTTGCGATATGCCGCTCGGGAGGCCTTCGCAATGACCTTACCCTTGCGGTTGCGCGCACTGGTGTATTCCTGCCAATCATCGTTGTTCTGCGAGGCCGCATATCGTCTGCGGAGCCGTCGTGTTGTCTTGATCGCCTCGCAGCACTCGGGCGTGAAGCTAGGTTTTGCCCATGATGAGGGGCGTGCCCAGGGCGTCGACTCCTGTACCCCCCGCTGGATGACTTCCATCAGGTGTTCGACCGCATCGTCAACCTGTTGTGGGTGCACCGTATCTCCGCGGAGGTGCAGCCATGACTTGTTCTGTAGGTTAGCGTTCACAAAGGTGAGGAACTTATCGTTATCCATTTCCTTCCAGTTTCGTCGTCTCGGCGCTTCTACCGGTTCCGCTGTCGCGAAATCGATGATCGTACGAATTGGTAAGTGGTCAGAATCCGCATGCACTCCCTCCTGCACCTTGCAGCTAATCATACTTCCTCCCAATCTCTCTGATGCGAAGACCAGGTCGAGCGTCGACCTGCTGCCGGCCTGCATGCGTGTAATGGAACCCGGTTTCAACCAGAGATCCAGTGCCCTCATCTCGGCGGCGTCCAGCCAGTCGTCCGCAGCTTCATCCTGTTGGACACCGTCACCCCCCCAATACGGGTGGTGTAGGTTGAAGTCCCCCACGATCAGGTACGTGACGCCTGGCTCCTTGGCCTGTTCCCTTGTCGGTGGAATTAACTGCGTGAGCAGGCGCATCGTGTCCTCCCCGTTCTCTGGTTGATTATATATGTTGAATACGCGCAGCTCCTTCCCTTCGTGCCGCAGACGGAGCTCCTGGCAGTCGCGGGAGTGCACTACATGCGTCCACCCCTCCATTTGTTTCGACACGAACATACACACCCTCGCCCGCATGCCTCCCGTCTCATTCGCCTGAGGGTAGAGTAGCTGGTGGCTCTGCTTGGCTGGGTGATGCGTGGTTTCCTGGTATGGGTTGGCCCACGGCTCCTGGATGGCGATGATGCCCGCCTGGAGGACCGTCGGGTCCCGCATAAACTGAGCCATTACCACATCTTTCGACCGATTCGTGTTGTATTGGATGATTGTGAGTTCTCTACTCATCCTGAGGTGAGTTGGGGTTCTGTTTCTTGGCTGATTTGGTTGATCTTGGCTTCTTGGACTTCTTCCTCTTCTCTTTTAGTGAGGATCGGTTGCTGAAGCTTGTCGATACACTAGCTATCTTGCCGACTGCGGTGTCTTCGCCGTGCTTGCGCTTTATGGGCCTACTCCGCCCCGCTGGCGCAGATTTGGTGGATTTGGCGATGTTTGGGAAGACCGCGTTCTCCTTCCCGGCTGCCTTGCGGGCTATACGTCCCTTCGAGGTATTGCTGTTTCTTTCCTGAAGGACTGACGATGGCCGGTAGTCGGTGTCTTGTTCGTTGATGCTCGATGATTCGTCGATATATATCGGCTGCTGCGCGTGTGTCTCCTTCCGGTGTTCGTCAAACACGGCTTCTGTCTCCCCCTCCTGCCGCTCTAGACACGCCTTCTTTGTTGCCTCGGCTACCCGTGTCATCATGCGGGTTATCCGCGGGGGGAGTTCGTTAGCGAGTCTCTTCTTCGATGTCTTGGAGGGTCGCTTCGATGGTTCTGATTGTGTTTCGGTTGGTGCATGGATCGACTGGTGAATTGACTCCGTAATTGCCTTCACTAGAGCTGTTTCTTGTGACTGGTCCTCCACGGTATCCATTGGCTCGCTCGCCGCTCGGATATTCCTTTTGTTCTTCCCTTTGGTGCCCCCCTTGGTGCTCGTTTTGAAGCTGCCTCGGGGCGCGTTGCTCACATTGCCTGGGTTACTTGAGGTGGCCGTCGATGACGTGCTCGCCTTTTCCCCAGCCTGCTGACTGGTTTGCAGGCTTGACACACTTCGCACAAGGCCGGAGTCTCCGTGTGTCTGCTCCCCGCTGGAGGAGCGTGCGGTCGACCCTGAGCCGCTACTCACAGGGCCGGTTTCCCGTGAAGCTACAGCTATTGAGGCTGAGGTCGTCGCTGGCGATGCCTCGGACCCCTCGGACCTCGATCCCACTGATTGCTGAGAGATGGAGATGTGGGCCGGTACGCGATGATAGCGGGGCCTTACAACCTTTCTGGCCTCCACGCGTTCGATCTCCTTGTGGAAGGCCTCACTAGACTGCGCCAAAACCCGCGCCAACCCGAACCCAACCCAACCCGAACCCGCATAACCCGAACCCAACCTATTTAGGTGGGTCCTCATCTTAGCATTATTTATGAAGTATTAGTCTGTATTTTTAGGTATTTGACTTACAAGAAAGGCCTCTTTCTATGACTATAGTGTGTGATGTAGGGCTAATGAATTCCTGAAGCTATAGCACTAATTTTCTGACGGCCGTCAGAAAATAAGGTTATTAAGCTATGGTACTAGCTTTTTTGACGGCCGTCAGAAATTGAGGTTCAATTGGTTTATAATATTGATCACTAATGATATGCCCATTGCTCATCCTCCTGCCGAGGACGCTTGCGCGATCTTTTAGATGCGCGGCGTGCCTGAGTGCTTTCTAATTAAGGGAGATCTACCTCATAGTTATCACCATTATCTGGCTGCGGAAGCTCCTCTTCGTCCTGATCCTCGCCCTCTTGTGTATCCTGTTCTTCATTATCACTAATTGGATCTAGCTTAAACTGATCAGGCGTGTACTCTCTCTCTTCTTCTTTGCCCGCTTCAATTTCATTAAGAATGAAAAACTCTTTCAAAAATGTAAAAGAGTCTTCCTAGAGGTCGAACCTTGATGTACAAAGATACATCATTAGTTCCTGGATTGTTGTGCTATTTAAGCGTCCTCGGCGATAATGACAGACATCCCGCGCCGTATTAAATAGACGTTCAACTCCAGCACTAGTTGCTGGGATTGAAAGGATATCCTGGGCAAGGGCAGCAATAGCTGGAAAGCGGTGTTGATTCTCCTTCCAAAATGGGAGGGGTGAGATATCAATAGTATCTATTATTGATTAGGAAGAGGAGAAAGCGAGAGAAGATAAAGAGACATACCGCTATCAAGATATTGAACTACCTCGTCCTTGGGCGACGATGGTTGGCGTTTGCTTCCACTGAGCATTAAATCAAGACGTGAGCCTACTCGGGTTGACGCCTGAGAGATAGGGAGGCCTTGCTGAGAACAAAGACGCTCTTGGTATGGAGATAGAGCCGTCTTCAAGCTCTTTCGATATTGATCGCGCCATTGATCGTCCCAATCGTTTATAACAAAGAACTGAAACTTATTTACTGGCGCGAGCATTGTTCCAACCGCATAAAGATCCCCTTGGATTGTGTCCGTCTGCTGATAATAGCTAGCGAGCTTCTCACGCGCAGCCTTAAGCGCCTTGCGCATTGTCTTTTTCCAGGGAACTTTTTTCCGTGTAAGCTGGTCCATTGACCGCTCAAGGTGTTCAAAAAGCTTGTTGTAAATTCGAAACACATGATGAGTGGTAGCGTCCTTTGTCTTTGATAGCTCAAGGGTAAAATCAAAGAATGGCTGCGTGATCCATAGAAGGTAGTCAATCTGACGCCATTCATCTGCATCAAGCACTAGGTCAGTCCGATCATATTCAATACAAAAGGGATCAAATATCGATCGGAGCCGCTTTGCTCGTCGAAGCATTAGAAATGTGGAGTTCCAGCGTGTTTTGACATCCTGCAAGGGCACAAGCTTAGTTGCTTCAGTCTGGAGCTTGGAAAATACATCACGGCGCTGAGGGCTTGCATTAATATAGATCGCAAGGTTGCGAACCTATTTAAGATAGATGATTAGTATAGTGAGAGAAGTGAGAGAAAAGTGAGAGTTATTTACCTTATTCAATGTCCGAGTAATATCCCGCTTCTTTGTCTTTGCATTCGTATAGGCAAGCTGAGACCGCTCAGTCGTCCAACGTATCTCGGTTGTATCGTTCGTAGGCTCGGCTTTCATCTGTCCAAGTAGCTTATTCAAGCTTAGTTGGATAACGTGTGCGAGGCACGGAACTCGAATAATAGTGGTTGTATCCGACAGCGACTACTGTAAGGCATTAACTAATGTATTATTATTCGATGCATTATCGGCCGTTATTGTAAGTACCCGGTCCTGAATCTGATGCTGCACAAGCACATCTAGGAGTATAGCGCTGAGGTTCTCACCAGAGTGCGTTCCGGAAAGTGGTTGAAAGCCAAGTAGAACCTCTTGATACTACCAATCTTCGTCGATAAAATAGCCAGTGATGGCCATAAATGCTTGAGAAAAAGGAGATGTCCAACAATCAAGGGCGATTGATATCTTTGCATAACTAGGGAGCTTTCGTAGGATGCTTTGGTGCCGTTCCTTCACTGTGGTTTGTAGGCGACGACGAATAGTCTTTGCGGAAGGGATCTCAAGGCTAGAAGGGGCGCGTTGAGCCATTTGAATTAGGTTATGGAACTCAGGATGCTCAATAAGCCGAAAGGGAAGACGTGCGACCGTAAGGAAGGTGAGCAGCTTCTCTTCCCAGGCCTCTTGGGTGAACCGTTCATTTGTAGGTTGGGTATACTTCTATTCAAAATATTATATTTATTAGCGATTTCTAAGGTTATATCTTTAAATATAATAGAACTCACTGTATCCTGTAGAAATCTAGTAATACTAGCCCCTTGTTGAATATTCCTCGCGCGCTGTTGACATGCGGTGGTACGAAGATGCTTTATCAACGTGGATATACCATGTCGATTCGTGCCACTAGGAGTCCTAGTGGAAGATGGATGCTCAAGGATTAGACCGCAGCGCTTACACATAACCTTAGGCTGGCCATTAGAACTCTCTGCTACTTGATCAAAGTGCTGCCATGAGTCCGCTGAATGGCTAGCATCCCAGCGGATTTTGCTAGTCTTTCCATAGTCAGTCTCAATCCACCAGTCCACCCACTCCGTATGCATTATACGATCGTAAATCACGTAGTTCTTTCTTCGATCAGGGCCAACGCGCTTTAAAGCGGATGGAATTAATAGGCGAGGCTGCGGCCGGATAAAGTCTTGATCAAAAGGGTCGAATGTTCGCTGACTGCTAGAAGGCTCAGGGGTAAATAGCTGTGGGGGATCCGATGCGAGGTATGGAACACTGTCTGTATCATCATAGAGAGATGACAAAAATATATCAGAATTCTGACTTTGAGACATAATATCACGAGGTAGGGAAACAATAAGGGATAAGTGAGAGTAGAAGTGAAGACTTACTGAAGGACATTTATAGAAGTCAAGCGCTAGATGTAGTAGACTCATCATTTTATTACTATCTTAGACTAGAAGAGTCCTATAATTGGTGGATAGTAGGAATATTAAGTGGAGTATAACCCGCAGAACCCATTCAAAACCCACGAAACCCACCGATAACCCGCAAAACCCATCCAGAACCCGCACATAACCCACAAAACCCATCTAGAACCCGCGTATAACCCATGCCCAACCCGCGAAAGCACATTTGGCCGTCAAAATTTTACAACTTGATTCTGACTTACTACGTTTAATCCTATTTTATAGACACCACACCTAAATAAATTACGAATAGACTTATATTTATAATAAAACAAAGCATAAGGACTAATTTAATAGGAGGAAATAATAAAATTAAAGGTGTATATAAGATAAAATAATAAAAGCAAGACGTTTCCTCCAAAAGGTACACCACCTTTATTCTATGTCAGATATATATTTCTATAGAATAGAAAGGCCATTCTAACATTTTCACGCTTCCACCGTAACCCTTTAGACGGATCCTACTAAATATATGTAAATAACTAATTACTGATATTAATTAATTAATATACAGAGGAATTTCATTTTATTTCAAGTGATTAGAGCCAAAGTCAATAACTTAGGAGGACTATGACTAGAACATGTGTAAATAACAGTATTTAATTAAGATGAATCAGCCGAATTATACACGCCAAGACCAGGATTTTATGTAAATTCGGGTCAAGATGGGTTATTTGCGGGTTTTCAAATCTAAATTTGTAACCCGCTGGGTTGGGTTCGGGTTACAACTCATAACCCGAACCCGCTGCGGGTTCGGGTGCGGGTTGAAGGTCTTGACCCGCATTGCGGGTTATGGCGCAGTCTAACGGTGGGCGAGTTGATCGTATAGTATTTATGGTTGGTATTGCCATTTGTCGAGCAATTGCAGGCGTATTATCAGCAGATATGCCAGTCACCCGCCATTCCCGATACGCAGGCCAGCAAGATATAGGGGATCGATGCCGGGACCGGACGGGAGTGGACGTCGGTACGGTTGAAGGAGGCATTAGTCCGGGAAAGCAAGATGCGGTTACACCATAGATTGACGTTGGCCGCGTATCGGGACATTGCCATTGCCATCAGCCGACGGTATTTCAGCAATACCAAGCCGTTTCCGCATAACGTCCGCGAGGATGGGACCGAGGTCATAGCCAACGACGAGGAGAACGAGGATGCCATAGACGACGAGCAGTGGATCCGCCATGTAGCGGATTTGCAAGCGGCGCACACCACCCACGTTGCCGAGATGGTATATAGACGGATGATAAGCCAGTAGCAGGGGACCACGGCAGGCCGGCAGGCCGGATTCCGGACGAGCAGCGTGCATTGGCATGATTTGTTAGGGTTTAACATCAAGGACGTCCCCAGCAGCGTGTTGGGTAAGCGGCCGCAGCCCCGGTGGAAGGACGAGGGGGTTATAATGCGGGATGAGCGGCAGCATTTAGTCGAGACGACCAATATAACCGAGGCGTTACAGCGGATGACCGGATAGCCCACGATGCAGTTTCGCGGGGTGCAGGGGGCCGCCATCCAATCGATCCAAGCAGGCCATTCCTGGGTGGTCGTAGTGATGCCCACGGGAGGTGGGAAAAGCATATTGTTTATGTTGCCCGCGTGGGTGGCCCAGCGGGGCGGATTAAAAATGGTGGTGGTGCCGTTGACGGCATTACGCGGGGATTTATAGCGGCGATGCCAGGCCGCCGGCATCCTATGTGTCGAGTGGGACAGCCATCGCCATCCCGATCATGCCGCCATTATATTCGTCACACCCGAGTCCGTATTCACGGACGGGTTCCAGTCGTTTTTGAACCGCCAGCGCGAGTTGATGCGGTTAGACCGGATTATCATCGATGAATGCCATATAATGTTGAACGAGTCCGAGACGTTTCGCCCGCGGTTACAGCAATTAGGTCGATTGCATCAGTGTGGCGTGCAGATAGTGTTTTTGACCGCGACATTGCCCCCATGCGAGGAGACCCAGTTATTTGAGCGAATGCAAGTTACGCGGGAGGACATTAGTATGCACCGCGAGCGAACCAGTCGCCACAATGTGGCATACCGAGTACACCGGCCCGTGATTGCATCGAAACATCGTTCCCAGACGCAATAGTTACAGGATCCAGGGATCCGTCATTTCATCCGCGAACGGGTGCAGCGTGCCAGACCCAGTCGAGTGATTGTATATGGTAGCACTAAGCCCTACTGAATAGTTACATGACTCAAATTTGAGGGTCGGGGTCAGGGTCGTTAGAGTCACCCGCAGGTCGTGCCGTGGCCTAAACCCGGGTGCCCCTCCCGCGCCCCTCCCGCACCCCCTCCCGCGCCCTCCTCCGCTACATCGCGATGCATGGCACGATCAGCTTCCGACATGCGGAATACCCTACCACCTTCCTCTTGTCGATTAAGCCGCATATTGCTGTGGAGCCATAGGCATCAGGATGTCTTAAGCGGTCATCTCAAGCCTAATTTATTCCCTGGAGTCCTTACCCCGGCCACTCTAACCACGGAGTACCGTCGGACTTCCGCCACCTTTGCTCATACGCCCATAGGACTAGAAGCGTTAGGGTCCCTGTTCCGCAGCGATGGGGCCGCGCCAGTGTTCATTCCTAGTAAGGAGGGCGCCGCACGTCTAGATAGGGACCAGGGAAAGAGCTGCGATCAGCGTCCGTTTTCACTTCCCAGCAAAAGTACGATGGCGATGTAAGGCCTGCCTTAGTGTGGAGATTTGCCAATTACGTGGCTGCTGCTGTTTGAGATTCCTGTTGTTGGAAAATAGAAGAGAGGGGATCACCGCGGGGTCAAGGGGGAGCGCCGGAGTTGGGGGGGGGGGGGGTGGAAACGGGGGTTGAGAATAGGTATGATAAAAGGGACAATCGACTTCGCTTTTGACCCCGTGCTTGCTTCCGTGCCTACATACCTCCCCGACATCTCTTCCGGTTGAAGCTTGAACCAGCAGCCGCCAACAACCAACCCAGTCCGACCACACGTCGGGGAGTTCATCGGGATGAAAGGGCCCCCACGTTCGGCGATCACGCTGGCACAGAAGCGGGCGTTGCGCCGCCAGGCTCACGAAGACTCCTCCATATCGAACAAGGGTCTCCAAACCTGGTTCCAGAAGATTTTCGGGCAGTTCATCGCTCCCTCCTCGGTCTCCGAGATTCTGTCCTTCCGGTATGACTACCTCGACGAGCAGCCTTGTCATTCGCAGGTGAAGAGAAAGAAAAACCGGCGCGAACAGTGGCCCGAGCTGGAAGAACAGCTGGCTTGTTGGACGATGTGGATGATCCAGCAGCAGCGGCAGAAGGACGGAAAAGAGGGCGTGAGGGGCATATCGACCAAGACACCTACCAGCACGATCCCTGGCCGCCTGATCCGAGAGAAGGCGCAGTCACTGTGGCGATGTATCCCCGCATATCGGGGGAAAGAGGTACCGTCGTTCAGCAACTGCTGGATTCTGCGGTTCCGGGAGCGGTGTCAGGAGAAATCATGGATTCAAACACAGCTCGGTGAGACAGGAACAGCCAGCGAGAAGAAGGAAGAGGACGAGAATCAACACAGATATCCATTACCTTTTGACGACATTCGGGCTTTCGACGGGGAGTCCGAAGAGGAAGGCAGTAGATTACAGGACAGCCCTTCGCTCGACTGCGAAGTTACATCAGGGACGGAAGGGTGGGAGTTTGATGACATTACTAATTCTGATTGGGACGGGTTTTGCGACCCGTGGCCATCTTCAAGTATTACTGCTTGATATGAAATAGTTTCGACTGTTGTTTATGTTAGGGCCTTTCGGACATTTAGGTAATTGTTCTTTGCGGAAGTGTTATACTTCCTGACTTCTCTCTCCTATAGGCATTGTATAAAACTTACTGGTGAATCTCACTGCTGTTCCATCCTCTCAGTTGTTTCTATAGTCTTAGCTGAATGATATCTCAATTGACCTGGTTTACATCGCGATAGAGGGAGAAAATCATTCTTTGAGAAGAATCGCAGCAAAAATCGTTAATTTCAATGGTCTTGACTCTATACATTGGATCAAGACTCAGCCTGAGAATTACAAGCAAAAGAAAAGATCGTCTCACAAACTTATCCCATTAATTTAAGCGAAAACGGCTTGATACGTTCTTGTCGGGTATTCACAGGGGAAGGTTTATAACATTAAAGACTATATGTTCGTCATTCATTATATGGACAAAGGAAAGTCAAGGAGTGGCTCAGCCTGAGGTAATGAATGACCGTAAAAGTTTAGAGGCCAGAAAAGAAAATCACTACTCGAGGTGCTACAGAGTTCTTTGCTTTGAGGGATCCACATAAGTGCTGTTAAGTACATCGCGACGACAGCTTCGATGTCAATGCTTAAAACCTTAGCAAGAAACTTATGCTGGTGATGATGACCTGTGTGAGGGACGCAAATCTGCCACAGTATGCACGCAGATCTGGACAAAAGCCAAGGTCGAGGCGATGGTCACGGCAAAGCGGAGCATCGGCTATGCGACCATACAGAACTATGGTGGGTAGTTTCGAGCAAACGAACTGAGAGTGCCGACTATTCAATCATCGTATGCGCGCATCGATGATGCTATAACGACCGGCAAAGTTGTGTTGCCCCAGACGAAGCGAAGTTCATCCATAGCGCGTCCAATTAAAGCTAATCCAGTAACCAAGGGTGTAATTGGCACTTTCCCACTCTTACAAGCCTGGGCGCGCTAGAATTTAGCGTGGTGTGACCAGACTTTTGCGCCATTAGTGTATATCTCCCCCTGTCTCTCTCTCTCCCCCTCGTTCCAAATTCTTAACGCATTCTGCTGTACATCCTCAGACCCCCTTGTTTACTCTACTGGAGCTCAGTTTCCTTACAACATGCTGAGGGACTTGGACATAGATTCCTTGACCAACCATCTGGCATCCGTATCATGGGACAATAAGCAGCGCCACGGCAACCTCCAGGATCTGCTTAATCGCTTCAAGGACCTGTTGGATAACTACAATTCTCTGAAGAGTGACTACGAGGAGGTGAAAGAAGGACGAGAGAAATACAAGAAGCAGGCGCAGGGCCAGGTACGAGCTGAGAGGCTGCGAGAATCGCTTAGAGGTAAAACTAACGAAGCACTAGGAGAGAAATCCTTTTGTTCTGGTTCTGGTCGATGGTGATGGTTACCTTGTAAATCTACCCTTGTCATCCAATACCGAGTTTACTGACTGCCTTCTAGTTTAAGGAGCACTACTTCAAATCTGGCAGCGAAGGCGGAACCAACGCAGCGCGTGAACTAACTGACTCGGTCCGAGAGCTGATGCATTCGACCTTGGGAGCTCAGGCTGACCAGTGCCGCATCATGGTACGCGTATACGCAAACGTGCTCGGGTTGTCGAAGACCCTAGCTCGAGCTGGGCTCGTTGGCTATGAGGCTCGCTCGCTGTCGCCATTCACTTCTGCCTTCACGCGCGCTCAGGACCTGTTTGATTTCGTTGATGCTGCGGAAGAGAAGGAAAGATGTGACTTCAAAATAAGGGGTGAGAACCGGCGTTACCAAACGGTAGAGGCTCTTCCAATCTTGCTAATCGTTCATGCGGGACAGAGATGTTCCGACTGTTTATCGACCTCAATCAGTGCCGCCACATCTACTTTGCAGCCTGCCATGACTCTGGATACAGCTCCTTATTGACTCCGTATAAGGGCAGAACTGGCCGTATCACCCTCCTCAAGGCTGCCTCGTTTCATCGGGACTTCGAATCTTTGGGTATCCCCATCAAAGAACTACCCTCCGTGTTCATGTCCACACCTCTAATCAGCAACAAGCCTACTGGTGCTGTCAATAGTAAATCAACACCCCAAGTCTCAACCTCGACTGCTCCTGTTCGTTCGTCGCTGGCGCCTGCGGCGAGTTCTGCTCTGATCTTTGGTCGGCCGCAGCGGAACGCTGGCTAGGCTCAGTATCCCTTTATATGATAAAGAAATGTGGTATTGGTGGCTTAGAGTGGATACCTGTACAGTATGCAGGACGTCTACCCTAAACCGGGCTCATATGGCGGGAACAAATGTGCTCGAGAGAACACCCCGATACCCCAATATTTCCCCTACGGCAGGGAGATTTAATTGCCCGTTCATCTGTCCTGCTCTTTATTTAATATCTACCAATTGATTTCCCTATACCTGATTTTGGCTTCTTCTATAACCGCCCGTCACTGCTTTTTCCCTATCTCTAGCCACTTCCTTGGCCTTCTCGACATGCCGACAAGAAGACTAAAGTTGGATAAAAGATGGTCGATATACCCATCACTCCACGATGGTGTATCTCGCTTGCTGGAAGAAGACGATCTCCATTACGACTTCGATCAAGTTGACGACGCTGAAAGCTGCACTAAGTCGTACGATATAAACATCATGGGTCGATTCATCTGCCGCAACCGCGCATGTTCCTCGACAGGATGGTCAAGCAAGAAAGTTGCCATCACCATTCGAATGTACCCTGGAGCAAAATATAATGCCAGAGTGTATTGTCAATGCTGCAAGACCTGTACAGAATTATCTCAGCCAACCATTCCTAAATGAGTCATATGCGGAAAGGGTCGCATACTGTATCAAAAAATGGAGTGGAATACAGATGGACATGCCCTATTATTCTAGTGAAAGCACGGGTCCACACAATAGTGACTTGTGTGAAGGGTGCAGAGACGGTCATTACAATGCACTCAGCCTGGGGTGGTTCTAGCAAATGAGGCAGTGAGTTATATACGACACGTCTCAGATCCAACTAATAAATGATAACTAATCTCTGTTGTGAGGAAGCTCAAATGAATCCATTCATCGGCTATCAACGAAGATCCTAGCACAAAGAAAGGAAGGAAGGGGGAAAAGAGGAAGAGATGGGGGTGCTAGAAGACATAGGATGCAAGCGGGGCAACGTTGCAAAAGAGACCACATTACAAATAGGGCTACATCGCAAACGAAGCTAAACAGTCTGAGCCTTCAACTGGTATGTAAGGTAGTGAGAAATGGCAGCGTGAGGCCCTGACACTACTTAGGAACCCCTTTGTGCTTTCTGCTTACCAGGACTATCCGAGACCAGGTAAGGGCAATAAGATTCCAGTGACTGCGTGGAAAACTACCTAGACAGCTAGGGACATGTGGCTGGATCCCAATGCAAGCAGTCTCTCGATAGTAAAGAAAGAAAAACGCTGCTTGGAACCCTTTGAGAAACGAGTGAAAATGGCAGTTGGTACGCGTAAGAGCATTGCGATAGCGAGTGTGGCATTGGTCGACTAAAAGTCAGGCCGGGCAAGTTAAAGTGCTGGATCGATTTGAACAACAATCTGGGCTGGCTGTAGTGGCAGTGGAAGGCCGCAGATTAATCGGTTGCCTCGGTAAAGGGCTCGGGCTTGGTGAAGCGAGCCTTCAGCCCGTCTGTGTTGGTGAACGGCTCGGGCTTGGTGAAGCGAGCTTCAACACCCTCCGCGTCGGTGAAGGGCTCAGGCTTGGTGAAGCGAGCCTCAACACCTTCCGCGTCGGTGAAGGGTTCTGGTTTGGTGAATGGCGCAGCGAAAGTCTGGCTCACCAGACAAGCAGCGGCTAGTGCACCGGTTGCAGAAATGAAGCGCATGGTGGTCTGAGTTCGATAAGTTAGTCAAGGCACAAGATGGATGCCAGGGAAGATTTTAAATGTCATACCTATGCGAAATACGGCGTCGGTGTGGTTGTAGGCAGTTTCGTCCAGAACTCAGTTTGTCCTAGACAGGTGAGGAATAGATGGTAATGACTACGCAGCACCCGTGTCACGTTCCGGTTCATATATGGGCGAGGACTCTTTCTGACTCCCAGATTCGTCTAGGGAGAGAAAGGAAGGGAGTGTGCAAATCTGTGCATTAGTACAAAACGCGGCCCAACTCGCGGGCAAGGGAGGGGGGATAATCGCTATAACGAGACCCTCGAATGCTCTTGCGCGAGACATGACACAGATAAGCCGCGGATGAAAATAGCGCCAAACCGGACGTCTCAGCTACCCACACCGCTCTTTGCACACCGCCTCCACCGCCTACCTCAGCCCCTGACGCGTTAAGCTATAGGGTACTACAACCTCGCATTTTCCCCTTTCCTCTCTATAATAACACTGCTAATATGCCTCCTATTCGCAGTGCTGGAGCGCTAGGGAGGCCACCTCGCCGTCGGAACCAAGAAGTTGACTCATACCCTCGTACGAAGCTTGTTCAGCTCAAAAACGTGGCTCTCTGGAGTCAAGACCTATAAACAGATCCACCAGGATGAAGAGACATGGGAGCTTTTAGTAGATACGGCAGAGCGAGCCTGGCAGGAATTAGATCCTTATTATTTAGTGGATCTATCTGAATCTATGCCACGCCGGGTGAAAGCAGTCATTGAGGCAGATGGGTGGTATACTACACATTAGGTAGTTGGTAGTGCTATATGGTGTGTGTGGATTTTTGAATTCTGAGGTTTTATGCTGGCAGAAAATTACATAAGCATTTTAGCGTGGACGAAGACTTGTCTCCAGGCACTGTACCTGGAGCCGGCCACAATACCTCGCTGACTGGTCGTCTTCCTCCTTCCCGGGTTCTTTTCTCCTTGTCAGTGGTTCATACACCTTATTCAGACCAGATCATGGCACCCTCGTTCCTGACCTGTCCAGTGCCACTCTGGGAGGATGGTCGATTCTCGTCTTGCGTTCAGCACAAATATCTAGGAAACCTGGTCCCCTTCACCAGTGTATTAATATCTCTCGCGTTGCTACTGCTGTCTTATCTCCACCGTCGGCGACAGAAAAATTGGCAGGCAGGCGGGTTCCAGCCACTAGCAAGTGCAGATGTCGACCATCAACCAGTCAATCTGACCAGCAAGCCATTGATTACCGCCCATGGCCCATGGCTAACCCGGCTGGAAGGGTTGCTACTTGTGGTGAACCTGGCCACATTTCTTCCCTTCATCGTGAACCTAGGCTCGTCGTCAGAACGGGTGCCGCTCGGATTCCCTTTTTTCGTCCATATATGTTCTTGTTCTGTGGTGTGGACGACAATGGGTTTCGCCCGCGCAATCAAGGATATTAGTCCGGATCCGTTTGCATTCGGGGGTTCTTTACGCATTAAACTGGCTATCTATCCTCATTATCGTCCTGTCAACTCTTACCGGATCAGCGGGCAACCCCTGGGCTCTCACCGTACTCACGGCCCTGCTTCGGGGAATTCTGTTTGCACTCGTTCTTCTCCTTCATGTCACGGCACCGAATATCAGTGTGGAGGCTACCGCAGAAGGGGTGTATGAACCCGTCCAGCCAGGAAAGGAAAAGTCAGCAAGTCTGCTATCACGTTGGAGCTTTTCCTGGGTGGGCACTGTTATCTGGAAAGCGTTCAGGAGTCCTCTCGACGCCACCGATCTCTATGCCCTGAGCTGGGATGACAAGGCCGCAGTCACAGCTTACCTGTTTCGCATGGCCGCGCCGATTACACGTACACTGCTTTGGAGATTGTATCACTTTGCCAAACATGACCTACTTTACCAGGGCGCCTGGGCAATTCTCTTCAGCCTGACGAGCTTCTGCCCGGCAATTCTGCTTCGGATTATTCTTGGGTACCTGGAATCGCCAGAAACCATGTCTCGAAACAACGCCTGGCTTTGCGTTGGGGGGCTCTTAGTTGCCGGAATCATCACAGGTATCGCGGACTGCCAGTGTGAGTGGCTGGGTCGCAAAATCAGCGTGAGGCTGCGGGCGATTCTGATCAACGAGATATTTACAAAAATGTTGAGGAGAAGGGTGACGAGGCCTGCAAGGGTATCAGAAGAGCAGGAGGACTTCCCTCAAGAGAGTCATGCTACGGACGGGAATGTTCTCAACCTGATGGCTGTAGACGCTGCCAGCATCAGCGAAGTTGGCGCGCACATGCATCTCGCCTGGGTCAATTTCCCCCTCCAGCTTACAATTGCATCCGCGGTGCTGTATAGCATCCTCGGGATGAGCGGCATCCTGGGCGTCGTTCTGATGATTGCCCTCTTACCGCTGAATGTCGTGGTATCGAAACGCCAGGTGGCAGCTCAGATGAAGGTGCTAAGCGCAGCCGATGCCCGTGTTCAAGCGAGTAATGAACTCATCACTAATATTCGCATCATCAAACTCTGTGCATGGGAAGCGGAATTCCGGAAGAAAGTGCGTCGCCTGCGGAAAACAGAGCTCTCGGAACTACGTGGTCGTTTCTTCTGGTGGTCGATAGCCATGACGATCTTCTACTCCCTTCCTTTCATCACGACACTGTTGACCCTGTTCCTATACACGGTTGTCGAAAACAACAGATTAGAGACCAAGATTGCCTTCCCTGCCTTGGCGATTTTTGCAGTTCTACGTATCCCGTTGGATAGGATGTCATCCATGATATCGTTCCTTCTCCAAGCTCACGTCTCTGTCGGTCGCGTTGAGAGGTTCCTGAGGGAGAGAGAGACCAGTCGATATGATCAGTTGGCGGGAACCGAAGACCTTCCGGTCGGCTTCGAGAACGCTACCTTGGAATGGCCTGCCACAGGGGAAGGGAATATTGATGCTAGAGGAGACATTGAATTGGCCGAAGTGCCCCCCACACCAGCATTTCGGCTATCCAATCTTCAAATCCACTTTTGCAGGAATGGTCTCAATGTCATCTGCGGTCCTAGCGGATCCGGTAAGTCGTCACTGTTGTTGGCACTGCTAGGAGAGATGGAGCTCCTGCGAGGCCGGGTACACCTACCCCTGGGACGACAGACAATAGGTGAGATTCCATTTTCAAGCAATGCCGATGATTCTGTAGCCAGCGATATGGCATACTGTCCACAGGAGCCGTGGATAATAAACCAGACCGTTCGAGCCAATATCTTGTTCGGGCTGCCTTTCCAAAGTCACCGCTACAAGATGGTTCTTGATGCGGTGGCCCTGAGCCGAGATCTTGCAGAGCTTGAGAACGGTGATCTTGTTATCGCGGGGGAGCGCGGCAATCGCCTGTCTGGTGGCCAAAAACAGAGAGTTGCATTGGCAAGGGCATTGTACAGTCATGCCCAGTTCCTCATCCTGGACGATTGCCTCAGCGCACTGGACTCGCGCACGGGAAGGCATATTTTTTTCCGGGCGATCAAAGGTCCGTTAATGGAGGGCAGAACATGTATTCTAGCCACTCATCACACTCGGCTTGTTCTCCCTCATTGCGACTACGCAGTTCTTCTGGAGAATGGGCGGGTAAACGGGCAGGGTACAGCTGCAGAGCTTGTAGCCGCGGGTCTCATGGGGGCAGACAAACTGGAGACCGAAGCACAAGACCTATCCAGGAAGATCGACTTTATATATCAGCCACAAGTGACTACCGCTGCTGCGCCTGAGTCGAAAATCCCAATGCCGGATACATCAGATATCGGGATCGGAGGTGACAATGAAGCCTCAGAATTCGAGGCTGAGCCGGGATACCAAGAAGACAAATCGACTGGAGCAGTCCCCTGGTCTGTGATCAAGGTCTACCTCACATCCATGGGGTCCTTGTGGTTCTGGACAGCTGTAATCTTGGCTTTTGCTCTTCAACAGCTCACTTCTCTAGGAACGAACCTCTGGATCGAGACATGGGCGCGTGTGTTTGACAATTTAGTGAAAGCGTCAGCAGCACCCGAAGAAAAGCCCGACACGGTCAATTCGGGTTACTACCTGGCAGTATACGGCCTTATCTGTCTGGCATACATTCTCACCTCATTTGCTCGTGATCTGGCGGCATTCTCTGGCGCACTCAGAGCCTCGGCCCGGATGTTCGACAACCTGCTGGACTCCATTCTTCATGCCGGTCTCATATTCTTCGACAAGGTTCCATTTGGACAGATCACGAATCGTTTCTCCAGAGACGTGGAGGCAATTGACCAAGAGGTTGCTCCTCACTCTATGAGCACGTTCTATACATTCTGCTCTCTTGCTACAGTCATTATTTTGATCTCGGCTATGATACCCGTGTTCCTTCCAGTAGCAGCCATCATCTGCTTCGCCTATTATATTATCACCGTCGTATATATCAACAGTGCACGGGACCTGAAAAGGATCGAGTCGGTTCAAAGGTCTCCACTGTACCAGCACTTCGGAGAGGCACTTACCGGGTATGTCAGCATACGTGCTTACGGGCACGTCGGGCGATTCACTGAAGAGAACCACGGCTTGATCGACGGCTTCAATCAGCCGTATGTCCTGCTCTGGGCGGCCAAGGAATGGTTGACCTTGCGCATCGCCTGTCTGAGCGCGCTCATCTCTTGGCTGACGGGTACCTTCTTCCTCTGGGGTCTGGACAGGGGGACCGTCAACCCGGGGATTGCCGGCCTTGTCCTCACATACGCTGCCACCTTTACCGACAATGTGCTCTGGTTTGTCCAGTTATATGCCATAGTTCAGCAGAGCTTTAACTCGGTCGAACGTGTTGTCGAGTACACGGAGATCGCGCCCGAGCCGAGCGAATCACTTGAGCCACCCCCATACGACCTGTCGCCCCAGTGGCCTGCGCGTGGCTCCGTGTGTTTTCGAGGATATACCACCCGATACGCTCCGGAGCTCGACCCCGTCCTGATTGACCTCGATTTCGTTATCCCCGCCGGTCAACGGGTGGCCGTGGTCGGACGCACCGGGGCGGGCAAGAGCACATTGGCGCTAGCCCTCATTCGAGCTCTGGAAGCAGCCGCGGGGCATATCACCATTGACGGTGTCAGCATCGCCTCAGTAACCCTGGATCGACTGCGACAGGCCGTGACCGTGGTGCCCCAAGACCCGACCCTTTTTCATGGCAGCTTGCGAGACAATCTGGATCCGCTCCACCATCACCCCGACACCGATCTGTACCGTATCCTGCGCGAACTGCAGTTCTTCCGATCCCTTCCATCCGGCAGCCTAGACTATTCCGCTGTGGCCTTATCCCTGGGCCAGCGTCAGCTGGTATGTATCGCGCGGGCACTCCTCCGTCGCTCCCGGGTGCTCGTCCTGGATGAAGCCACGGCATCCATCGATCATGCCACAGATGCCTTGATCCAGGCGGGACTGCGATCCAGCATTGCGACGGGGACCACAGTCCTGACCATCGCTCACCGTCTCCTGTCCATTGCGGATTATGACCGCGTCGTCGTCCTGGATGCCGGTCGAGTCGTGGAGCAGGGGTCCGTCGCCGAGCTTCTCTGCCACCGAGGCGACGGCGCCTTCTTTCGCCAGCTGTGTGAGCAATCGGGTGACCTCGCCCATATTGAGCGGGCAGCGCAGGGTCACCACATCGAGAGCTAGGGGAGGGAGGCAATCTGTATTATCCTTGTTTACACCGTTGCTGACAGGTTCCGTGATTACGGTCAACTTCGAGCTATCCCCATACTCCACTCAGTAACCTACCACTCAAGTAGAATGCCTTTGCGATCTCTCACACGTGTATTTAATTCTATACACGGCAGTAACTATACTCATAGGAACTCTCAGGTATTTAAAAGCACCACGATCTTCGGGCACGTAGTCGTTCGTTCGGACCAATGCATCAGATCAGGTCCGCGAATCCCAAGCTATGCTCTCGGACATTGTGGTCAACATATCTTCCTTGAAAGAATCCTGACATCGTAAGAGCCACTAGTCAGTGCCAGAAGTACCGTTCGGAAACTTGACCGCACTCGCAAACTAACCTTGTCCCAATATCCAAGAGTCTCCCTCTTGGTCAATCCCATGAATCGAGGCGGTACAGTTTCCTTGATCATCCGAGTGTTCGGCTAAAGCGGCGGGCAACATGTCAAACACCTTGCTCGCGTGACTGACGACACTCAATCGACTGCTACGAGCCTCCAAGGCGTTGGACACTGAGGGAAATCCAAAGCCAAGCCGTGGTGGTGTATCACACGGATACACGCCGTCGAGGGTGGTCGTGAGCGTTGTGCTGTTGTGACGCCGGATAGATCGAATGCCGGCGGCATCGAAGAGCTGTTGGACCGACTCGATGGGCCTGATGAACATGTGTATGAGGCGTGAGTTTGGACCCGTCAGTGTCAAAATCGATTGATGTTTGGGGCAGGCGGACTCGACCTTACCCCCAGCTGACAGTGGTGCCACTATCGACCATGATGGCCGCATCGCGATGAATGATCCTTCCCCCAACCGCGACATCCCCGAAGACATATCGCTCGTGCATGGCGGCTGTGCTCAACGCCCCGGCATAGCGCGATTGCTCAACGCCGCCTAGGTAGAGAAAGGCCGACTCCGTGCTGGGTTCCAGTGCCAGTCCGAAGCGGCACTCGTCGAGGATGCTCGGTTGGCGACACAGGCTGGAGAACCAGTTGGGTACCTCCTCGCCGAATGCACTCCCAGGGATGAAGAAGCCCATCAGCCCATCATGCGGGAACGGCGGCCTCGGCCCGGGCGAGATGCTCGTGGTGACCCCCAGCGATTGCAAAGGAACAGAGAAGTCGGTGTTGTCCAGGGACACGGTATCCTGGAAGACCGTCCCATTCACCTGAGTTCTTCCATGATCAGACACGCCCTCCCTGCTGCAAATGTCGCGCCTTACCGTTTCTTCCCCGGACCCATCGGAGTTGACCGTCCCGTATCGCATGGAGAATGGCCGCGAGAGCGCAATGGCGGACTTGCTTGGCCGATAGACGTCTGGGTTGAGCAGGAGATCGGTCGACCCAGTGTCAATCAAAATGGAGAGGTTCCGTGATGCTCCGATGGAGAAGCGGGCGAACCAGAAGTCCTATACGAAGCCATTAGCGCATCACGAGCAGGTGATGGAATCCCCGGGACCCGTACGCGATCGTCCCTCTCCGCCGTCAAAGTCACGAAGCGACACGATCCGTGAGTTGTGACCTGGCTGGATGATATGCCTTGGCCTCTGGTCAGGCGAACAGGGACGATTGCCCCCTCCACCCGCCAATCCAGGACGCGCAGCGTAACTGCTAGAACGATCGCGAGGGAGAGTGAAGGCATGTTAGTCCTTATTGGGGAAGGAAGGAGGAGATTGTATCTCACACATCAGCGCATTATGGAAGAGATCGAAACCACTTCTCGGGAACCCGCCGAGTGGAGATGTATTTTCGCTATAAATCGACCGGATTGGCAACCGTGAAGGCCCTACCACCAAACCCGTCTGACGCTGGATGCTCAATGTGCGACACAGGCTTTACTTATATCTGTCTCTCTTTCTCTCTCCCTCTCGCCGTCTCTCAGACAGCCGCGTTTTCTGCTGAGCGGCAAGTTTTACAATGAAACGGCCTAATTGGCGTGCGCGGCTTGGGGCTTGTGCAGGCACGCTCTCGCGGGCCGATCTAGACGAGGATGCCGAACTTGAGTCGCGCGAAGGCCTGTTAGAGATTCAAAATCAACACCCTAAAAGGCCGGATGATGAGACACGGAGGCCTAGGTTCCTAGTATTGTCCATGTTAGGGTTCCTTTTCGTCCTGGGCTGGGCCTTGGCTGTCCTTCAGGTGTTTTTCCGATCTAGACATTGACATGGGACTCCCATGGGACTAAGGTCCGTCCCAAGTCCCACCCATGGGAATACCCATGGGACCCATGGGTACCCATAGACACCTGATTATGCCTGAATTCGCCTGAATTCGCCTGAATTTTGTGCATAAGATCACTGACTAATCTTTGTTATTTACGTCTGTTTCGGTTGGAACAAGTAATATCACTACTTTTTAACCTACCTACTAGGTAATTATAAGAAATAAAGTTGTTTATATATATAAAAGGGTCCGTTTCATCGGTCGCATTAATGTTTTAGGCCTATCGAAGTAAAGGTAAAAAAGCGGTGGTAGAAATTATGGTTTGTCCTCTAAGATATATATTTATTATATACAACCAACCACTCTGCTATTATTTCCTTTGATTTTATTATATTATAATACTAGGTTATTATGGCTTATTTTACTAGTTAATTTAATTACTATAGCTTCTTTTATATATATTTATCTTGCAAACACCTAATTGCTAGTGTAGGGTGTGTGGTTGAGAGAAAAAGGTCAGAGTTGAGAGCAAAAGTTAAGAAATTTCTAGGGGGCATAGCTCTTACTGAATTCTATGGGACTATGGGACTCCCATGGGACTACCTACATAAATATAGAGAGTTAGGCCAATAGGATAGGCTAGGTAGACCCACCCAGTAGTGATTGGCTTATAAAGAACCAATAATATTAGGCTACGTGCTTAAAGCCCTTAATATGCCTTACCTTCTATCTAAGCTTTTTCTCTTTACCTTGGTCTTAGTTTCTCTTCACTTTCGCTAGTATAGCACACCTTTCGGACCCTATGAGCCAATCTATATATAGCGATAGTATTGATCCTATCCTTCTATCTGATTCTTTCTCTTTTGAACCAAACGAACCAACTGAAAGCCAAACAACTGAGCTTACACCACCACCACTACTACCACCCTCTATTCAACGTGTTGGAGACCGGACGAAACAGTGGGCACTTTGGACGGAAATGACCAAGACTGAATTTATTGAATGGTGGCTTACCACTCTATATGGGACAAAACCCGAAGCAAAATATATCCATTGGGATAGAAAGGGCCATCAATCTGATGTATGGACGCATTTTGACTAAGTTGCACATATTAATACAGGAAAACCAATGGTTGCTTGCAAAAGGTGTGGTATAATAATAAAGCATCCAGTAAAAGATGGGACATCTGGGATGCGACGACATCTAAAAAATGGTGCCTGTCAGATAAAAAGCAAGCAAATAAGTATTAAGCACTTAATACAGAAAGTGGTATGTTTACTAAAAAGTGAGAGAAAAGTGAGAGCAAAATAAGAGAAAACTAACCTATTATTCTCTCACTAGGCAGTCAACTCCAATCTATCCCAACCTTGGTCTGAAGAGCTCTGGCAGCAACAGCTTTTAACCACTATCACTAGCCTACGCCTACCCTTCCAAATCATCGAGAGCGAGCACTTCCAGAAGCTTCTACGCCTAACCCAGTCAGCCCCTTCAATCCCAACCTTTCCTACCGGTCGCACGATACAGCGCCGACTACGAAATATAGTCGAAGACCGATAGAAAGACAGCCTTCAGATGCTTCCACCCCATTCAAAGCTCTCAATTAGTCTAGATTGCTGGACATCACCCTTTCAGCAAGCATTTATGGCTATTACTGGTTATTTCCTAGACCAGAATTGGGATTACCGAGAGGTGCTTCTAGGATTTGAACCCCTAGAAGGAACACACACTGGGACGAATCTTGGGTTAGTCCTAACTGATACCCTTCAAAAGTATCAGATTCTAGACCGGATTATGGCTATTACTACGGATAATGCGTCAAATAACTAGACGATGATTACAAGCATCTAAGCTAGTCATCCTGGTCTACCTTTGATCCGCATTCCTTGCCTTGCGTATGTGATTCAGCTTAGTCTGAAACAGCTTCTTGGTCAGATGAAGGCAAACCCCCAGAATAATATAGTGGAAATGGTTTGGACAGAAGAGCATAGTCGGGCTGCTACTCGGGCTCAGCAGAGCTCTAGAAAGCTAGATATTGCGAATACCCTTCGTAAGGCTCGCAGTCTTGCTATCTATATTAATGTAAGCCCACAGAGACGGGATAACTTCCTAAAGCTTCAGACTAATTAGCCTACATTAGTCCCAATCCAGGACGTCCGTACGCGTTGGAATTCGATATATCTAATGCTTTACCGGGCTAAAAGGCTTCAATCTGATTTAAATCAGTACTGTATCACCTACCGGGTTAAACAGTTAATGATTAATTCAGAGGAATGGCGTCAGATTGATTAACGTATTTCCCGGTTGACATGCGCACCCGGTTGACCTGCGCACACCGCCCGAAACGCGTCGCGTTTCCACACCTACTTTCTTTAACCATCTACTATGCCACCAAAACGCGGTCAAAACGCTCCAAAATCACTAGAACGCGAGGGTAAAACCCTTCTAGCTATCCAGGCCTATAAAAATGGCCAATTTTCCTCTCTTCGCGCAGCGGCTCTTAAATACGGTGTGCCTGAAACTACAGCACGTACGCGTATGAATGGAACACCCTTTCGCGCTGATAAACGCCATCCACGACATCTATTGACCCAAACCGAGGAAGATTCGCTTACACAATGGATACTCTCTATGGATGCACGTGGAGCAGCGCCTAGGCCAGCTACTGTAGGAGAAATGGCCAATATTCTCCTCGCAGCGCGTGGCTCTACACCATCACCTACAGTCGGCAAAAATTGGCCATCAGCCTTTATTAACCGCCGGTCAGAGCTTTGTACGCGATTCTCGAGACGATATGACTATCAACGCGCCTTAAACGAAGATCCAAAGGCCTTACGCGCGTGGTTTACGACTGTACAAAGCGTTATCGAAGAGAACGGTATCCAACCAGAGGATATCTATAACTTTGATGAGACAGGCTTCGCGATGGGCCTAATCGCTACAGCTAGGGTCGTTACCCGCGCTGAATACTACGGTCGGCGAGCTATTTTACAAGCTGGAAATCGTGAATGGGTCACTACAATTGAATCAATCAACGCTACTGGTAGGGCGTTACCGCCCTGTGTGATATTTAAAGGCAAAAACCATATTGGAGGATGGTTTGATGGCCTACCGCGTGATTGGCGTATTGAGGTCTCGCCGAATGGCTGGACTACCGATGAGATTGGCCTACGCTGGCTAGAAAAACACTTTATTCCTGCGACCGCTAGGCGTACGCGTGGAAAATATCGATTATTGATTCTTGATGGCCATGGTAGCCATCTTACAGCGCAATTTGATCGAATCTGCACTGAAAACGCAATTATTCCACTTTGTATGCCAGCGCATTCATCACATCTCCTACAACCTCTTGATGTAGGTTGCTTTGCTGTATTAAAACGCGCCTATGGCCGCCTTGTGGAGAATCAAGTGCGTCTTGGCTATAATCATATCGATAAGCTCGATTTTTTAATGGCCTACCCTGAAGCGCGTGCGGATACATTGAGGCCAGAAACTATTCAAAATAGCTTCGCAGCAGCTGGTTTAGTGCCATTCGACCCAGAACGAGTGCTTTCAAAGCTTAATATCCAGCTTCGGACGCCTACGCCTCCTAATAGCCGACCAAGCAGCAGATCTAGCGTTTTTACACCAAAAACGCCTAGAACAGCTATTCAATTAGAGAAACAGGCTAAAGCGCTTAAAGATCTACTTAAGCAACGTTCAAAAAGCCCACCAAGTCCTACCAAAACTATGCTTGACCAAATTATCAAAGGCCACTCTCTTGCTTTGCATCACACAGCACTACTCGCGAAGGAAGTTAGTGATCTACGCGCGCATAATGAGAAAAAGCGGCAGAAACGCGCACGATCAACTAGGCAGATAGCATATCCAGGTGGCCTAACAGTCGCTGAGGCCTCACAGATTCTACAGCCTCCTACACAGGCTATAGAGCGCATTAAATCGCCTACGCCTACGGCCGTTCAACAGCCTAATTTACTACCTCTGCCAGCCAAACGTACTCAACCAAAGTGTTCTGGGTGTGGAGATATAGGGCATAAGATCAATTCATGTAAAAATCGATAGGTTTTCAATATATTATGGCGTTTAGGTGGAAAAAATCCTAATTAAAAATACAGTGGTAGGCGGTGTGCGCAGGTCAACCGGGTGCGCAGGTCAACCGGGAAATACGTTATCTTCTTTGTTTAACTAAGCCTTTCTTCCAATTTACCACTGCCCTATCTAAGACCAAGGATATTACTATCCACATTGTTTTTAGTATCTATAATAAGCTTTTTGACCACCTTGAAGCTTCGATTCGGCAGTTGAGGCGGAAAAAGGTTAGTCTCCTATATTCTCTCCCTTTTCCGCTAATTATAACTCTGATTTTTCGCACTTCAACCTATATAACAAGGGTTTAAAGGGGAAAAATCAGAGTCAAAATTAGCGGAAAAGGGATTCTATTATGACCCGTTCGGCACCTTACGAGAAATCAAAGTTTTTGG